GGTACACTAAGTATTAGCAACTGGAATCAGGGCTACAAGATGTACTAGCTAGATTTTTACCTGGATTTTTGTATATTAAGTTATGATTTGTTAAGTCAGAAGTACTAGCGCTGGGTAATTTGAGTGGTTGGGGATTCAGGATGGGATGGTAACAGACTTTTGGAACCCCACTTTTAGGTAGCTGACTGAACTTATGGTCCATATGGCATGCGATTTCAACGTTGCCCACGACTCACAAGGCCAAGTCACAGTCCTTGGTGCCTCCTAGCCAGATTGAATCAGCTCATTATGAATTTCCAATGACCCGGAAGGTCTACCATCTAAAATTACTAGAGTATGTTCCAAAATCAAGCGTGTTTAGTAATATGACCATTTTTAGCAGTGTGACCAGTACCACGCTTTTTCTTCCTTGCTCTACGTGGCGATCCTCCTGCTGTACGGGACGGCACTTCCCACCAGGCGGTATATCGATCGGTTCCGCGATTATAAGCCGACCACAACAGATCCCATGCGCTCCCATAAAGTCCAAGATCCCTGAACTCTCCATTCTCATCAAACACCGAGTCCTCGGGCGACACCGGAAAACCGTAATCTTTAACCTCAATCCACTCGTCGAACTTGACCTCTGTGGTCTCCTCAATGTCCGGAGGCTGGCCCGAACGACTGTGGAGGTGGGGGGTTGTGATGGCGCCGGTGCTCTTGCGGCGCCTCGTGGGCGATTCATCCGGGGCCTGAAGGAACGAGCTGCTCGGCTTGGGTGGTTTCACGTCGTCGCTGCTGTCGCTGGGCATCATGTATTCCGGCAACCTCGGAAACGGCGGATTCGGGTGGTAGGGGCCCGTATCGACAATGGCGCACCACTCCTCGTAGGTAGGCGGGCGTCCGTGGTTGACACTGCCGAGCCGGGGGTAGCTGGGCTTGTGCTCGATGAAGAAGAAGTCGAAGATGGCCAGGACGGAGGCCTGGACGGAGATGAAGGCGGTGCGGACGAGGATGAAGCCCCAGGCCAGGAAACCGGTGATGCAGGCGAGAATGGTCAAGGGCACGACGCTGATGGCCGTCACAATCATTGAAAGGGTGATGAGCGTCCCCGCCAAGTTGCAGCCGTCCAGGAGGACCTTCAGTCCATTGTAGGCTCGCCTGATTTCAGTGAATATCTGCCGTATCGAAAACATCGTCGCCAGAGGGTGATTGGATACGAAAGTGTCATGACGGCTCGGACTACCTGGGCGGTAAGCAAATGGGAGCGGCCGGTGTTCTGACGAGGTGGAAAAGATAGTGGCATGGGAAAGAAAAATCAATGCACTGGTCAGCAGAGCGCATGCACTTAATGAAATATTCTCCGGTTTGGCTCAAACATTGTGATAAATATTGCTGCAAGAAACGTCATGAAAAGCCTGCTGCAATGCAGACAGTTGCTAAGTCCCAACAGAGCCATCATCCAACACTGACGTTCGGACTCCGTCAGTGAAGATTCAAGCGCAGTGACTTGCGGGATGTCAGAGCGAGGGATCAACGCACCATGGCATCAACGGGGAGACCGACCTAGCCAAACTGATGACACAATATCTCTAGCTAATCGCACCTCAACGCCAGCCCGGTTCCCAGTCATAGTCAGGTATCCCGTCCCAAACCAACCTGAGACAAAGACGAAGACGCCAATCCCAAACCCTAACCTTCCACCAAACCCCTCTCACAAACTCTGCCAAAAGTAATTGGCATAAAAGAACCTCGAAAACCTCCTATCAATATTCACCACATGCACATCCCCCTTCCGGTCATTCCTGACCACCACCCGACTGAACTCCCCCTCCGCATCCCTCTCAATCTCAATGCCCAGACTCCGATAGACCTTGAGCCGCAACAGCACCTCATCCTCGACACCCCCCATGCCCCCATTCCCGACCCCGCTCGTAGCATCGGCCCCATCCACCCCCTGCAGCTCCAGCTCCTGCAGCCGCGCATTCAGCTCGGCCAGCTGCGCCTGCAGCCGCTCCGTCTCCATCTCAAGGTCGGACGCAGCCTTCGCGATGCGAAATTTTTGCGTGTCGAGCCGGGAAATCTCGGACGCGTGCTGGGTGGACGAGTGCGACGATGTCAGCTCGGCGTGCTGCGACGAGAGCGTGTTGAGCGTGCGGGCCAGCCGCCGCAGCGACGTCTCTGCCTCGCGCACGCGCAGGTCGCGCGCCTGTTGGAGGGTGGAGAGGGATTCTGAAATTCGAGATACGGCTGACTTGTCCGGGGCGATGTTGAAATTGGCTATCGTGTGCCGGATCAGCTGCGGTTGAATACCGTGGTTAGTGGACGGGGCCTGTGGTGGTGAGGTGGGGTTGGCAGGTGCGTTACCGTAGAGGGGTCTTCTTCGAGCAACATTTTGGCTGTTTCAAGAAATTTATCGAGTCCGACGTGCTTCAAATATTGTGTTTCGTGGCTAAGGTAGGTAGGCGCAAAATTGTATCGTTGGATGATGTTGACTTGAGCTTGTGGTGTTGTCGATACGGAGTATTGAGTCGCAATTCGCGAATGGAGGATCGAGAGTGCTTGGCGCCAAGGCATCTCCTAGAGCGACAGGGCTGAGATCCGGCTTCTTATCCTACCTTATCAATTCGACTCTGGTGGCCAGCTTCGTCATCGTCTGCCACATGCTTTGACGGCCAAGCTTTGGGAACCCGCCTAAGGCACATTGTTTTCCACAGCTGCCGCAGATGTCTATGCATTTTCCCTAGAAGTTACCAGGCACAGGTCAAAATAGCAAGCCATTTTTTAACTCGAATACTTTACCCTCACAATCGCCCATCATGACACAACTCCCATGTACGTTCGTCACCCCTCCACAAATCCCGGACGGCGGCAAAGGGACTAACGAGCATGATTCCAGATGCGATCGACGCCGAAACGTGAGTGCTATCCGCCGCATGGCACGCGGTGTCATACTGATCTGTTATTGCAGGCCGCTCAACCCAGCTGAGCTGGCAGTTCTCCGGGCACAGTACGAGAAGGAAGGCGATATGGTCGGCGTACAGACAAAATTCAACTACGCATGGGTACGTCCACGCCCTCCCTGTCCCTCCCCACCGAACCCAGAGGAAGCCACACTCACACCTCCTTTCTGTGAAGGGCCTCGTAAAATCAAACACCCGCTCCGATCAACATCTCGGCGTATTGCTGCTGTCCGAAATCTTTCGGACGTCGCCCGAGCGGCGGCGCGAGTGCCTCTACTACCTCGCCCTGGGCAACTACAAGCTGGGCAACTACGGCGAGGCGCGGCGGTACAACGACCTCCTCCTTGACAAGGAGCCCGGGAATCTGCAGGCGACCAACCTGCGGTCGCTGATCGACGACAAGGTGGCCAAGGAGGGGCTGATGGGCGTGGCCATTGTGAGCGGCGTCGCCGTCGTCGCTGGTATCGTGGGCGGCGTGCTACTCCGGAACCTTGGCCGGAAGAGATGATGTGATGCTGCGCTGGTGATCCTCAGGGGGAGTTTGCGTTGTATAGAGCGCCGAGCATATTCTTCAACGGTAAATCGGGAGCCAGTTTATGTAATTAGTACGGATGGAGTAGGCGGCATCATGGTAATCTCGGCGTGGATTTTCTGAATGGGGGGAGGAAACGACGCACGATACCCCATTTCGCAAAATAATCATGGTACATGTACACAGAAGTGCATCCTCCGGGCTTTCCGCTCTGTTCCCGTCTGACCCTACGGACACACCCAGCAGTGGTGGTGTCGTAAAGGGACTGATCACCTTGCAGACTCTGATGCATCGTGGGCACCAAATGGAACAGGCCACCGGAGTTACTGGACGGAGATTGAGTGTGTCATACCCGAAGGGCCGTTGCAGGCAGATGTTCGGAGTCTTCATCCACAAAGAGACTCGGGTATATGGTAGTATGCGAAATACGACACACCCAGACGTGGTGACCTAGGTGAGAAGTCAGCCGGCCAATGCACGTGTGATATCGTACTGGGCTGCAAGCAGGCCTACCTTATGCTCCCCTCCGACGACACGAAGTAGTAAATGCACCGCTTGAAGTCACCACGAAAGCTGTATGTTGGCTGGCTTCCCGCTTCGACGCGCCACCGGACGGATTTAAGATGTTAAATCGGAACCTATCTCCGCAAGCAACCGAGTCGAGTCTGGAACGAGGTGGAAGCCAAAATACCCGACAAGCGGGGCCGCGCACGACCACATGGCGAGGTCAAGATGAGGTATAAGTAACCGTCTTGTTTGCCGCATTGAGCTATGCCATCGTCATTGTTTAATAAAGGAGCACTTGATACAGGTTCAGACTTGCAACCACAGACCTTGAAACATGGCCTTCCACTACAAACGCGTCCTTCTTATTGGGGCCACCTCCGGAATTGGAGCGGCTATGGCCGACAAGCTCATACTCGAGGGCGCCAAGGTCATCGCCGTTGGGCGTCGCCAGGAGAGGCTGGACGCTTTTGTTCAAAAGCATGGCTCAGAAAAGGCCAGTAGTGTCCGGTTTGATGTGAATGATAGAGCCGGCATGGATGCCTTTGTCGAGGGGTAAGTGTGAATCCATGGGTGATCTTTGCTCTTCCAAACTGACGCCACCAGGATCGTGAGCAACTACCCGGACCTTGACTGTGTCGTTCTCAACTCGGGGAAGCAGAGCCTATTTCGGCTCTCTAAACCGGCCGAGGTCGATCTGGATGCCTTTCACGAAGAGATGAACACCAATTTTTCTCGGCTGGTGGATTTGTCCATGAAGTTCCTTCCCCATCTGCTGCAGAAGCCGTTCCCCACGGCGTTGGTCGTGACGGGCACCAACCTCGCCATCATTCCGGCCGTCCTGATGCCGGCATACTCAGCCTCGAAAGCCGCATTGAATGCCTTTGTCATGTGTCTCCGTCGTCAGAACCAGGGTTCAAATACCAAGATCATCGAGATCTGGCCTCCTCTCGTCCAGAGTAAGTCGACCTTTGCGTTTTTACCTCCCCCACCTACTTTGCTGACTGGTGTCTAGCGGAGCTCCATGATTACATGGGGCCAGAAGTCGGTCGGGCCATGGGAATGCCTGTTGCAGAATTCATCGAGAAGACATGGGCGCAGCTCACAGCGGGGTCTGAACATGTTATTGTCGGTGGTTTTGGGTCGGAGGAAGCTTATAGGGGGATGGTGAAGCAGCGCAGCGATACTTTTGAGGCTGTGTCGGGAATGTTGCTAAAGAACTTTGGGTCCAAGGTGTGACGCGGTGTGCACAGAGTCCAGGATGCAGTGTCAATCGTGGGTGCGCGGGCCACGTCCATCGCCCTGGATGCTAGGTATGTTTCCACGGAACAGAAAACAAAAGATTAGGTTGTTCAATTGGGGAATGACTGCTGTTTACCGCTAAGACACCTAGTGACAGAGTCACGGCTCATAATTTGCCCGTGATAAATGTGCAGTCTCCCTGTCGTGACTGGTGGACTACCCAAGATAATCACGAGGTACCCGGCGATGGTCGCAGCCAATCCTCGTGTCAAAACACAGTGGTGAGCGCTTCGAAGTCTTCGATGTGCAAACCCGATTGTTCATTGAGTCCTGAATTTCAAACTTGGCCGCATAACTGGAGTGATTTATTCATGCAGTAAGGTGGTATCAAAACCGTTGATCCAGAAACTATCGGCTTTACCGCAGTTCTGAGTTGAGGAACAGAAGCTACACATAGAAGCAAAGCCTTGGGGCCTGCAGTGATACAGAAGCGTCGGTTGGTTTTGCCGAGCCTGCGGGCGTCTCCACTTTCGCAGCCATCCTTGGACAGCACCAACCTGGGCCCCTGCGTTGAGGAAATGACAGGTCGGACGCGACAGTACAACGGACAGCAAGTCACGCCATGGTCATTCTCTCCTCTAATGACCTGCCCTTGTTGTTTTGCCTTGCTATATTCTTTTTCGCCTGGTTCTTGAGATCACAACGTAGCAAATCAAAATTAAGTATTCCCTGGCTTGCGCACATATTCCAAAGTCTCCAAGTTCAATGGCACGTAGATGTACCTTTTAAGCGACTCAGAAGTGGGTTCTGTGACGCACTTATCCAGGGTCCAACAGCAGCCCACTTCAAGGGTTCTCCCACAGGATCCCGACCTCGATCGCCTGAATAAAACTGCCCCCAAACCACTATCCTCTGGCACGAGAACACCTTACTCTTCCCAAGAGTGCACCGCTTTGCGACGGCAAACCACTGAGAGGGGAATCGAGCTACCCGTCGTTTTCGACCCACCGAATACTTCACAATTGCGGCTGAGTCGGACCCGCGCCTGCTGCTTCCCTCAGATTCGATACGTTCCTTTCCTTACCAGACCAAGGTGGGGCTGCCTGCAAGGCCGGCTTGATGCATTAGGCTCGCCTTCGGCCATCGCTCCTACATACCTAGGCACGTTGCTCCTGAAAACTGTCTACAGGCAGGCCTTTTTGAGTAATCGACTTTGAACTGCAGTCTGGCACCCTGGCGTCTCGTGGCCGACTAGCTTTCGCCGTCCTTACCGGCGTTCTCGGCGCCATCGCGGCTTATCGGCGGCGTGCTCAGCCTCCACGCGGACAACTCGGCATGGCGTCCACCGGCGGGAATCATCTTAGCGCGGCCGCAGGTCGAGAGGTGGTCTTTTGTCACGCCTGCCAGAATGAGTGGTATCGCGATGAGCATGACGCTCTGACGTGTCCCAGCTGCGAGAGCTCATTCACGGAAATCGTAAGTGGCCGATACGAAGGCTTGCTCTGTATCCATCTGACATGTTTCGCTAGGTTGATTTTTCCAACGATCCCCGGCCTACGCATGGAATGCTCCCTCACTTGAACCTTAGCGGCCGCTCTAGCCCTTTCTTCCACCGTTCGGGTGGCTCCGACTCTGATCCCGACGAAGGCGATATCGAGGAACACCTGCACAGCGAGCCTCGGTTTCCGTTTGGCAGCCCTAACCCGGGGCGATATGGCGCACAAACTGATCGCGAGCGGGCCAACGCCATGGAGGGCGACGCCATCCTCCGCCGCTTTGCCGACATGCTCATGAATGACTTTGGGGCGGGAAGACAAGCCCGCGGTGGCCCTGGACTTGGCGGGAATGACTTGTTTACCTTGGAGGAGCACATACCTCAGCCCGGCACCAGAATCCAGCGCACAACCTTTAGGGCTGGTCCCTTTGGCGGAAGCACGAGTGTCACAATAAGCAGCGGGACGTTAGGAAGCGGACCGCAAGGCGCACCACCTAATTTTGCAACGTACGTCTTCCCTCGGAGAAGCCACATCCATACCGGAGGACCGCGCATACATAGGATTGCTGTGCTCAACAACGGTTCGACTAATGCTCTTGAACGGCTTAGGTTGTTCGACCAGATCTTTGGCAATCCATGGGGGGCCGGCGCCGACGAGGCACGTCAGCGGGAGCGCGGCGCGCCAGCACCGGGTCTTCCGTTCCCAGGCGCGCTTCACGACCTCCTGCACTCTCTGTACAACCCAGCGAACGCGGTACACGGTGACGCAGTCTTTTCGCAGGAGGCCCTCGATCGCATCATCACCCAGCTCATGGAGGCGTCTCCCCAGACCAATGCGGCGCCCCCTGCATCCCAGACGGCCATCGAGAACCTCGAAAAGAAGAGAGTAGACGCCGAGATGCTCGGGGCAGAGGGTAAGGCCGAGTGCACCATCTGCATCGACGGGATCCACAAGGGCGACGAGGTCACCGTGCTACCGTGCAAGCACTGGTACCACGGCGAGTGCGTCGTCCTCTGGCTCAAGGAACACAACACGTGTCCCATCTGCCGGATGCCCATCGAGAACAGGGAAGGTAGCGGAAACAGCAGCAACGACACGAACACCAACCGTAACGGAGGGCCGTCTCAGCAACCACAAAACTCCCAAGACCCGCAACCCGCCTCCGCATCAGCCTCAACATCAGCATCGGCATCAGCTTCATCATCCTATCCCTCCTCCTTCAGCTCCTTCACGGCCCGCCCACCCCGTCCCGAGCGCGAGCGCGACCGTGAACGACCCCTCCGCAGCGCGAGAGAGAACCTGGAGAGGCTCAACGCTATCCGAAACCTAGCCGGGGCAGGTCCATCGTCTTCACCTTCCTCTTCATCTGAACCCCAGCAGCCCCCGCGCTCGGGATCGCACAGGCGCAATTCCCGTTCACCGCCCGGCGCGTGGCCTTCTTTATTGGAGGATGCGGAAAGTGCCTCGAGGGCGGCAAGGGTTAGGAGCCCGTCTGCGTCTTCGAGGGAACGGCAGAGAGAGAGGGATAGGGATAGGGGGTGGGAGAGGGACAGGTGGAGCAGGATGGGCTGGGGGGAGGGACCGGAGGCTGGGAGACGGGGTTCTCCTAGGGAGGATAGAGATAGGGAACTGCAGCAGCAGCAGCAACAGCAGCAAGGGGGCAACGGTGGTGTAAATGGAGGCAGCGGAGGCGGTGCTTTGGGATGGTTACGGGATCACTTTTCAAGGCGGGGCTGACACGGAAGTTGCTTGATTGTTGGGGTATGGGTGCCTTGCGGTTGTTCGGCTGACCGTTTCTGGTGAGCAGTATGGACGTTGGGTCTTGACGGTGGATGGAAGCGGACTTTGACAGGAATCTTCGCGCGGAGGCGCTGGCGTGATTTCGGCAAGCGAGGAAATGGGTTGATGATGTCCACGACGATGACCTTTATGACCTCGGACTTTGTCTCCCGGTGGATGTGTTGCGCGGGTTTCACTCTACCTTTTTAAAAGCCTGAGGTGGATGGCTTTTGGAAGGTATACAATGCCAGGATGGTGATATGGGAATGGATATGGGGGAATGGGGCGCTGGGGTGGGGTTTGTTTTTGTGGACAGGTAAGGTAGTGCAGAACATACTACTACCTAGGGACAGCGATGATACCGGGCATGACCCGGGAATTAGACTCCGCCGCTTAGCATTTCTAGTTTAATTTAATGGCATGAGTAGAGGACAACGGTGTTTCTTATGCTTTGAGACGCGAGGCATACGACAGCACTTGACTTCGGCAATGCAGGTTGAGCAAGAGATTGCCAGCATGGGACAAGAGATTGGTCTTTAGCGGGCTTTAAGTCAACATTACCTCCGTACCAATTTGCCGACAGCACATGAATGTCCTTGAATAACTTCCCGGCTTGGGATAACTAAGTTCTCGAGACTTTCAATTTGAGCCCTCCCTTGCTGAAATCCGTTCAAGCTTGCAAGTTGCCACGGGTTCGACTCGTCAGCCCGCCGATCTGCCCTGCGACCTGATTGGCCAGCTCCGCGACTGTGTGCTGTCCTGTTCCGAACTGGGAAGGATTGCGCAGCCTTCCTTGGCCTGGTTGAAGGGGTCTATCTTGGGAAGAGAGAGAACGGGTTCGCGGCATGGATTGCAGGATTGACGTGGGTTCATTGCAGGTCGGTCCTCTTGAGTTGTCTGCCGCGGTCTTTCTTCTGCTCATCTGCGTTTTCCCGTACTTCAACTCTAATAAACAGTCAGGACTTGACAAGTTTGACCGGGCATCAACTGCGTCTTTGGTCATTGTTTTTCTGATATTTCCGTGTACAGTTTTACAAGACCACTCCGGCACTCGCCGACTTACACGATACGCTGCCACTCCAGCTCCGCTGTGGCCGTCGTGCGATCGTCGACCGACTCACTTTTTCTTTCCTTACGTGGCTGCCTGATAGGCAGCTTTGCTGGAAAATGCGCCGGTTTCTCGTCACAGGGCTTGTGACTCTGCAAACGGCGGGATCAGCGCACGGCCTACCCCATCCTTCTTTACGGGTGGACGACGCAAACTTGTCGCCGACAACTTGGAGACAGACCACATCAGCAACCTTCAAGCTTATCTCCTTCCCGGAAGACACACAGAAACCTGCTGTGGTATAAAACCGTCATTTTCCATGCACTGATCAGTACGCTTACACCAACAGGCTGACCATGACCTTTCGGTCACAGACCACGACCCCTCAGCGCCCCTGGAAGGCGACCTGGGTAGGGAACTCACCGAGCTGCGAACTCTCCGTGCTCAGCTGGCAGAGCTTGCGAAGGACGTTTCGGCCCGTGAGAAGTGGCTCGCCGCCACCGCCGTCTCGGGAACGACGGTGACGGATCTTTCCTCGCCCATCACCGACTGCGACTCCCTGCCATGCGCCCTCCGAGCCATTCTCCGCAAGACCAAGTACAGCCTCTCTGCGGTCTTTACCAATTATGACGACGATGAGAGCGATGAGAGCAACGAGCACAACCGCACTGCTACGGTCATCCCCCTTCCTCCGTGGCGACGCAAACTCGATCAAAACGCCACTGGTGATGCCGATGGCCATGTTGACGGGGACTCTGATTCCTCGAGCTCGGCCAACAGCAGCAGCAGCAGCAGCAGCAGCAGCAGCGCTGACGGCGAAGGTTTTGACCTGCGGCATCCTGCACACGCCCTGTTCGCCGTCTTGCTTGCCATGTCTCTCCTCCTTGCCCTCCTCCGCTCGCTCGCTTCCTTAGCCGTTTCCGTTTGTTGTGGTGAGAGATGCGACGGCTTGTTGCCTCTCGCAACCGAGCCGTGTCGTTCACGAGGGGAGTCGCGACGTCGATGGGGGTGGGCTTGGGAGAGGGTTTGGGAGTGCTGGCGGAAGTGTCCAAGAACGAGTGAAGGCAGGATTAGATTGGGGGAGGAGGTTGAGGCGGGCAATGGAGATTGGGATGAGAAAAGGGGGTTTGGGGACCGGGATCAATGTGAGAAGTATTGGGATGAGATGCGAGCGGAGTGTCTGGGTGAGTATGGGACTCCCTACGCGGATGCGGACGAACAGGGGCCGTGCTATGCGGCAAGGGAATATCTAGTAAGCGAGGACCAGGTTCTTGTCCTTGAGGGTGATAATGAACGAAGGGTAGAGGGTCGAGGGGATTCTCAGGGCAGGAGGGACTCGCTGGACAGCCCGCCTTCGTCTCTTTGCGTTTCCGAGTCCTCGAATCTTGGTGACGAGATCGCGTCATTCAGGTTGGCGGTGGAGCTCGTCGAGGGTATGTTTGCTGCTTCGGAAGAACAGAGGGACAGAGAGATGTAGACGAGGTGCCCGCGTGTTGTGGAAAACCACGAGCTACCTGGTATTTCTCTTCAGCTAATGGTCTGGTACTAAAGTGAAGCTGGGTTTCCATGACGTCGCCACATCCGATATATTTGTGGCATTAGCCCTTATGTCATGTTCCTGTTTACCTTCATACACCAGAACGTTCATGACTGCATGTGTCTGACAGAATCAGAGACCGTGTGTGTTAACTGTTATCGAAGCGAGATATTGACTTGGAATACTGTAAGGGCGTAATCTCAATCATGACATTACCATGTTGAAGCCACAGGAAGAGGATCGCATTTACACGGACAACACCCCCTTCCATCAGGGAACGTGAGCACAACGTCATGCTCTGCTTCGTCACCAGTCCTGGACCTCGCCGGTGTACAACACTACCTTGCCGCCGTACTTCTCCTTGGTCGCCGTGGTGAGCACATTGACCATGCCATTGTCAGAGTCTTGCAGGGCGACAGGCGCTTCTTTAACCCCAAAGACGTTCGCAGCCGTGTTGCCCATATCGGTCTGCAACCAGCCAGGGATCAACACAAACGCGTTCAGCCACTCGTCCTCAGAGTTGACCCGCTTGCCGTACCATGCGACGGCCGTCTTGGTAGGTCCGTAGAGCGCGTTCCGGACTGGAGGTTGTCGTCTACTAAGGTCGTTAGTTGCCCATCCACTTTGCTGACGTCCTACAGGCCACAAAAGATTCACTGACCCAATGGTACCAGCCTTGGACCCCATGAACGCAAAAATGGGCTTGGTCGGGGACTTCTGCAGCAAACTCCTTGTGGGCTAATACAGCGCCACCGGACCGAGCACGTTCACGGCGAAGGAGTTTGAGTGTTGAGTTAGGTACAGTGGTTACAGGTTAGTGCCAGCTAGGGCCACTGGTCAGCCTGGCGGGTTAGGGTTTAGTATCTGGGAGTCACGGTTCAAGTCAGCACTTAGGGTTCGCACCAGGTGTAGATTTGCCGTCAGGAATCAGGGAAGAATGGGCCATTGGAGATAGTGATTCTAGAGTTGCCGTCGTTCATGCCTTCATGGTCAGATTGGTGTTAGATTTGCTACATATACTAACCTGCGGCTGGTCGACGGGCGATTTCGAAGCCCAGACTAACCGATTTTGGAGCACTTTTACCGTACGCAAAGGGTTACATACGGATACGGCACATTCAGGTCCGAAACTTGAAGGTGAAGGAGCCCCGCAAGCGAACCCCGCCTATGCTCGTCAAGCGAAGCCAGACACATCGTTGAAGCAAATCATTCAAGTTCAGGTCGTTGTTGTACGGCAAACCCGAAATGACAACCCCCCTCAGAGCGGCTATTTTGGTCGTCTCGACGACAGCGGCGAAGGAACCATCCACCGATGCTGCTGAAGCCGCACTCCGGGATGTGTTCGAGAAAGACGGCGGGGCCCGGTGGGAGGTGGTTGAGGCCAAGATCGTGGGCGATGTCACCACCCAGATCCAGCGCCAGATCAGGCTATGGACAGACCTCACCGAGCCCATGAATCTGATCGTTACAACGGGCGGCACAGGCTTTGCCGTTGCCGACCACACCCCCGAAGCCGTGTCGGTCCTGCTGCACAAGCAGGCGCCGGGGCTTGTCCATGCCATGCTCGCTTCCTCGCTCGTCGTGACCCCTTTCGCTATGATGTCCCGGCCCGCCGCAGGCGTGAGGAACCAGACCGTCATCATCACGCTGCCCGGCTCTCCCAAAGGCGCGCGCGAAAATCTGCAGGCCGTCATCAAGACCCTGCCCCACGCCTGTCTACAGGCCGCTGGTGCCGACTCCCGGGCCCTCCACTCGGGCGGCGTCAAGAAACTCGAGCAAGAAGCCGGCCTCACCTCGAGCACACAACTCCCCCATGTCCATCATCACCACCATCATCACGGTCACCACACGCATGGTCACTCACACGACCACGCCCATGGCCACCCCGCCCTAACCCGGCACACGGCACCTTCCATAAACCCCATATCAAACGATCCCTCTCTTGGCCCCACCCGCCGCCACCGTTCCTCGCCCTACCCCCTACTGCCGGTCTTGGAGGCCCTCTCCCTCATCGCACAGCACACCCCGCCGCCGACCACCACCATCCTCCCCGTCAATCCGTCCCTGACAGGCCACGTCCTGGCCGAGGCAATCCACGCGCCCGAACCCGTCCCAGCGTTCCGGGCTAGCATTGTCGACGGCTACGCCGTTGTCGTCCCCCAAACCTCAGCATCGTCATCGTCATCATCATCATCATCATCATCATCATTCAACGCAAATGCAGAAGGGGTCGACATGCGGGGTATCTACCCAGTCGTTGCCGTCTCACACGCCTCAGCAGCGACGGATGACGGGGAAGCTTCTTCGGGTGCAGGTGGGGGGAGGAGGGGGGAGCTGAAAGAGGGCGAGATCGCGCGCATCACGACGGGTGCGCCGCTACCGCCCGGCGCCAACTGCGTCATCATGGTGGAGGATACCGTCCTCGTTTCTTCAAAGACGGAGGACGGAACCGACGAGGAAAAGGAGGTGGAAATTCTTGCTACGGGGGTCAGGCCTGGCGAGAATATCCGAGAGGTGGGCAGCGACGTCTCGCAAGGCGCCTTGATTCTCGATAAGGGGGAGGAGATATCTGCTGCCGGCGGGGAGGTGGGGTTGCTTGCTTCTGTTGGGGTGCGTGAGGTGAAGGTGTACCGGCGGCCGGTGGTCGGGGTGCTGTCGACGGGGGACGAAATTGTAGAGCATGTTCGGGCCGGCGGGTTGCGGTTGGGCGAGGTGAGGGATACGAACCGGCCTTCTCTGATCGCCGCTGCGAGGGAGTGGGGGTATGAGGTGGCGGATCTGGGGATCACGAGCGACAAGCCCGGGGCGTTGGAGGAGGTGCTGCGGGATGCGCTGCGGAGGGTGGACCTGGTCATCACCACGGGTGGCGTGTCGATGGGCGAGCTGGATCTGCTCAAGCCGACCATTGAGCGGTCCCTTGGCGGGACGATCCATTTCGGCCGGGTCGCCATGAAGCCCGGCAAGCCGACGACGTTTGCGACAGTGCCGGTGAAGAATAACGCGGGAGAGAGGGTGTCCAAGGTCATCTTCTCGCTACCTGGCAACCCGGCTTCGGCAATGGTCACGTTCCACCTGTTCGTGCTTCCCTCACTCCAGCAGATGTCGGGCATCTCTCCGCCGGGCTTGCCAAGGGTGCCTGTTGTCCTGTCCCACGACTTCCCCCTTGACAAATCCCGGCCGGAATATCACCGAGCGATTGTCTCGGTTGGGAAGGACGGCGTGCTGGCTGCCGCCAGCACTGGCGGGCAAAGGAGTTCTCGGGTTGGCAGCCTGAAAGGGGCCAACGCATTGCTCTGCATGCCCAGCGGGTCAGAGCCGCTGCGCAAAGGCGCCAAGGTGGAAGCACTGCTGATGGGTCACCTACGAAATGGCTTGCAATAGAACGATAAAAACAGTGCTCCGTGATGGATGAAGACAACCGAATTTATGACCTCATGTACCTCTTCTGTACAGTAAACTTCTAACACTGTGATATGATGCCGACCATGCCCATTAACCGTCCCTGCCCCTCTTCCAAAACGCCAGTGAAAAATGAAGCTACACAGACACGCTTGTCGCCGCAGTCTGAATTTAAGATGAAATGTTCGTGGTTAGATGGTCGAGTTTGCAGCCGAGCGGGGACTCTCACGGGCTGCTGCCGAAGTCGGCCGCTTTGTTGGACACGAGTAGCCCGATAATCAGGCCGAACAGGCCCAGCACCGAGCTGAAAATCTCGATAACCAGCATCTTGACGAAGCTGAGGGGGGGTAGAGTCAGCATGGCCTGCAGCCCGGTCTGTTGCAAGAGACGCGACATACAGCGTAGGATCGGCAGCATCTGCCAGCGCAGCGCCGCTTCCGTTGATACCGACAGCGACGCCGCATATCAAGTTGCACATGCCGACGGTGATGCCGGCCCAGAACAGCGCGTAGCCTGTGTAGTAGCTGTCGGCCGAGTATGCGGCCTCGCCCTGGAGCGGGTTCAACTTGGCCGAGAAAACGATGGCCATGATGACGCCGTAAATGGCAACAACCTCGCAGAAGATGATTGAGATGAGATTCTTGGTGCGGATCCGCGGCGCCTTGACGCCTCCGCCCAGGATGGACGAGCCCGTGATGAAGATGCCCCTGTCAAAGTCGGGAAGGTTAACACGAGGATAGTCTGAGCGGAGGAGGGAGTGCCATACCATGCTGCGCCGACCACCGAGAGTCCTATGCAGAGCGCAATACCCAAGTCTGCCCACGCGAATGGAGAGACGGATTCGAGGAAGGCGCCGACCTAGAGGTTCGTCGTGTGAGCGTGGGTGTGGAGTGCGCCATCGAAGATCGGGAAAACGGTTCGGTTATTGACATACATTGAAGGATTCACCGCTGCCGGTGAAGAGCATATCTGGGACGAGACGGGCTGGTTAGCAACTCGACTCTGCAACTGATTGTACTTGCATCGTAGACAAGGCGCAAGACCACTCACAAGCTCCCACGACCGCCAGGGTCGATCCTATCCCGCCCACTCCGTACTTGTAGCTCATTTCTACCGGGTTCCCTCGCTATCGGTTTGCGTACCCAAGATATTATGTTTTGTTGCGGCAAGGAGTTTTTCCAACGCTGGTCGTCGCTTCAAGCTTCCAGGTTCCAGCTTTCCGTTTGCCGGCGCCGCGCCGCCCGCCAACTGCCAAGACTTTAGGAAAGCAGAACCAGTCACGTGACTGAACGTCTGACGGGCCCACACTCGGCTGCAAGACGAACATGTACGGACTAAACTTCCCCGAACTCGAATCGACTTGCCCCTCTACAGCCCCAAGGGTCAGTCGCCGGAAATCATCGGCGAGAGAACCAGGCAAAATGGCGAGCTCAGCAACAAACTACTACGATCTATATCGTCATGGAAGGTAGACTTGTCTTGTTAATGCCATGCGCAGCCGTTGCGCAGGTTCGGAGGGGAATCCTCTTGGCTGACCTTGCACACTCGTAGTCTCGGTGTCGCCTTGACAGACGCTCTTGACGAGCTGATTGGGGACGAGCGCATCGACCCGCAGCTCGCCATGAAGGTCCTCACCCAGTTCGACCGCGTCATCGCCGAGACCCTGCAGGAAAAAGTCAAAGCCCGGTTGACCTTCAAGGTGATTACCCTTCTGTGGTCCTGGGGGAACCCGATTGCCTGAGGAGGCATTGCAATGGGAGGCCATGGGCTTTCCTGACGTTGGCGCGGGTGGCTTTGAGCAGGCTTGAAGCACTTCATACAAACTGAGCTGACCGGCCCCTCACAGGGTTCTCTCGACACATACCGCTTCTGCGATGAAGTCTGGACCTTCCTGATCCGCAACGTCACGTTCAAACTCGACAATGGCAGCCAAACTGTACAAGCCGATAAGGTTAAGATTGTCAGCTGCAGCTCAAAGAAGACGGAGGAGAAGTAGGAGGCTTCTATACCTTCCGTGACAACCGATGAAGGCCGGAGCGGAACTGGGGTTTGAGAATAGCGTGTATCCATCAGGTCTCGTGGGCCTCTGGAACGGTTCAATAACTGCACCGTAACTGGGCTGTCATTTTCTTCAGGCTCGGATTATGGCTGGCGTTGGCTTTGGGGCACATTCAGGGCATGGACAAGGAGTCAGGGTGGGATGGCGTTTATGGTTACGGAAGGATGATATCTGCAAAAACTAGACATGTTACCTTGCCTATGGTATTGGCTTACACCTCGGAGTGGTTGGAGTAGGATGCTTGAAGGAGCACTGCAACTCGCAGCTTTCGCTTGACATTTGCATTTGTAAAATCCATATCACAGCTTTCTCAAATCCCATCCTGGGTCTTCAACACTCCCCTTCAATGTGTTCCGTTGCTGGAGGCTTGGCATAAGCGTCGGATATTTCCGTCTACCTCGGACCCCCTTCCTCCATTCTCCTGCCCAGTCATCACTTAACCTGCATGACCCCAAGCCCAAGACACGGGGAACACGATATCGTACCCCTAGAACGCTGTCAGAATCCGCGTGCGCTACAACGTAACAGTGTCCCTGAAACTGCATTAGAGTGTTGGTACCACAGATCCTTGGAAGCCGATCCGCCCGAGCCGGGCCCCATTGTTCTCGAAACTGCGAATGCCTATCGGTACCTAGGTACCTGGCTTACCTTATAATCCTTTGCACTCTTCCCGACCAACATCCTCCAACAACAATGCCGCCAACACTCCGTCCACGCAAGCAGGATTCTGGAGCTGTGCCTGTAAGGGCTCTTTCCCCTCACACAACAACAACGACCGGGCCATCCACTGAGTCTCGTTCAACCGTACACCACAAGAAGAGGTTTGCGGGGCGAATAAAGAATGAGAAACAGCCGGGTGACGAGATGAGCCCGTCGGATGAAGAGCGGCCGTTTCTCGACCGTCCGGCAACAGCGACCGAGGATGAGGTTGAGGTGTCATCGCTTAAAAGTCGGAGCTGGGCACAGCGGAATCAGTGGATCGTTTTTGCGCTGGCCAGCGGGGCGTGTGCTGCTTTTAACGGTGTTTTTGCCAAGTTGTGAGTTCACTTGTCTTCCACATTGGCTGGCCAGGGGGTTGTTCTAGTTTCGGGAACGTTGGATGCTGATACTGAGTGTGGTGCAGGACAACCACGGAGTTGACGGCGTCCTTTTCTTTGGTTATTGCGCGCATGCTGGAACTTGAGAGGTTGGAGCGAGTTATTGAGGTTGCTGTGAGATGTGTAAGTCTTTCTTCGTACGCAAGGATCGAGTCTGCTTAAGAGACTGACACGATCCAGACATTTTTCGGGTTGAATCTCGCATTCAACGGTGTTGTAAGTCATGCCGTCTAAATATTGTTCTCTATCTCCCCGACACCTGCTTCGTATCCCGCAAACCACACAGCCGGTCTCCTCAGTCCTACGAGTTGCATGTGTCCCGATGCAGTCCATCACCATCAGAAAAAGTCCCATCTTCATCCATCTCGTTGCTCTCCCCATTTCCTTCAGCATGAACTAACCACCTCCAGATGTGGACTCTCTTCACAACGGCCCTCGCGCGCGGCAACTCGACAACCCAGGTCTCCATCATGAATACCTCGGCCAACTTTGTAATCACTGCTTTGCTCGGGTATGCCATCTTTTCCGAGGCGCTGCCGCCACTGTGGTGGCTGGGGGCTGCGATGCTCGTGGCGGGAAACGTAATTATCGGGCGGAAAGATGAGGGGTTGTCCAAGTAGGAGCAGCAAGGGGAGGGAGAAGGTGTGGAGGTGATTTCGGGGGAGGAGAATGCTTTGGTTTGTGGTGATGGGTTGGGAATAGTCCCGGGCAAGGGAGTGGAGGCCCGGTTCATTCACCTGCTGGGCAAGACGGAGAGAAGAAGGATGAGGATGAAGATGTCGCAGACTGAGGATGTAGGGATGTAGAGTGTGGAGGGACGGTTTCTGAGTTCATGGCTATAGACGATGATACCCATGGTCCCTCCGTATTCGACGAATGGTTCGGAATGTGTGCACACTGTGGTTATCAGACCATGAAACAAGCGGTTGGTCTATATTCGATGCCTTGAGATATCTGCTGCTCCAATGGAACCCCAAACAAACTCAAAAAATGTTCTGAACTCTCATAAAGTAAGCTCAGAGCCTTCACCTCCCAAACTGAACCACAGCCATTCGGTGTCCCCTCCTACAGGCACCTTGGAGGTAACAAGCATAGGTCGGGTACCTTTGACTACCTGTAAAGCGAGGGGGTGGCGATAATGATAAGCTTTAAGCGACAATGCGGGGCACAGGTTGGTTCTTTTCAAAACTTTTTGCGACTGAACAACCCGCCTCCCATCAAGGTATTTTGGGTGTGCTGCATAAGGCACACATCGCTCCGGTGAGCGCTGAGCAGCCATGTTTCCCGATAGCCGGGGCGTGAGCCCCTCGGTGATAGAGGAGACTGCAGAGTGTCAGTTCCCTGCACTGGTGTTGCTATGTCGCTGACTTTGGAGAGCTAGCCAAGACTAACACCCCTTCGCCTTCACAGATGTCCTCGACCTATGGCACAAATACCGAATCCCCATCATCATGTCGACCCTGTTTGTTCTGAGTCTGCTGCGGACATATTTACATTCGACTCAGCAACGAGAGCCGTTGCGGGTGCTGCAAAAGGTGTACGAGAAATCGGCCCAAAACGGAAGCCTTGCCACAGACGGAAATCCCAAGGTGTCGGAGAAGGAGGACAAATCCAAGGAATCAGAAAGCGCAGGGGTGGAAAATGGCAAGAGTCGGACAAAGCAAGGGCCGAAACGGATAAAAGGCGACATCAGCAGGAGAGCAAGCAGGAACGGAGAGGCTGGGAGTGTGGCTCACAAGATCCAAGCTTTAGTATTTTATTCATCCTTGACGGCCAGCACAGAGAAGATTACCAAGTCTTTGGCACAGGAGCTGGCAGCTTCCTTGGGCTGCACCGACGACGAGGAATTCGACTCCGCATTCCTCCCACCGAAAGTGCTGGATCTGGCTGAGGTTGACTACGACGAATACTTTATCACACCCCCAAAAACCGACTACGAGCAGGTCGACTTCTTTTATCTCTTTGCTATCCCGAGTTACAACATTGACAGCATAAACGACAATTTCCTTGAGCATCTCAAGGAGACACATCACGACTTCCGCATCGACACGTCGCCGCTTGCTCCCATTCTAGGGTACTCGGTGTTTGGCTTTGGTGACAGGGAAGGCTGGCCGACTGAAGAAGAAGGTTTCTGCTTTCAGGCTAAGGAGGTCGACAAGTGGATGGCGAAGCTCACCGGACGGAAGCGGGCATACCCGCTTGGCATGGGCGACTGGAAGCGGGATGGCAAGGAAAGATTGTTGGAATGGAGGACTGGGTTAACGGACGTCTTGAAGCAGTTGGAACGGACTGGAAGCTTGGGAGACGGGGTCCCAGGTTCTGGAGATCCATTGGAAAGCGACGACGAGGAGGAGGCTGAAGACGATGGCGAGGTGGTCGTTGAGGAGGTATCCATTTCCAAAGCGACGAAAGGGCGTGGTGCTGGCAGTATCGAGGATGTCGAAGACATTGGCCGAATCATGGAGATGTCACGGACAGACGACCCCGGCCAAAAGCCAGCAGCGACACTCGCCATCGACTTCACCAGCGAGGGCAAGCAGGTAACCAAGAAGACCGTCGCCGTCACAATCAAGGAAATGGTGCCAAAGAGCTCGCCCACCTACGCTGCCCTGACCAAGCAGGGTTACTCGATCGTCGGTTCCCACTCAGGGGTCAAGATCTGCCGCTGGACGAAATCCGCTCTGCGCGGCCGGGGATCCTGCTACAAATTCTCCTTTTACGGCATCAATTCACACCAATGCATGGAGTCCACCCCATCTCTCTCCTGCTCTAACAAATGCGTCTTCTGTTGGCGCCACGGCACCAACCCCGTCGGCACGACCTGGCGGTGGGTGGTGGACCCGCCCCAACTGATCTTTGACGGGGTCAAAGAGAACCACTACAAAAAGATCAAGATGATGCGCGGCGTGCCGGGGGTCCGGGCCGAGCGCTTCGCTGAGGCCATGCGCATCCGGCACTGCGCCCTCTCGCTCGTCGGCGAGCCTATATTCTATCCGCACATCAACGAGTTTCTGCGGCTGCTTCATGGCGAGCGCATCTCATCCTTCCTCGTCTGCAACGCCCAGCACCCGGACCAGCTCGCGGCGCTGCAGCATGTCACGCAACTGTACGTCAGCATCGACGCGTCCAACCGTGAGTCGCTCCGCCGCATCGACCGCCCGCTGCACCGCGACTTCTGGGAGCGCTTCCAGCGCTGCCTCGACATCCTTCGCGAGCGCCGCGTCCGCCAGCGCACCGTCTTCCGCCTGACGCTGGTCAAGGGTTTCAACATTGACGACGAGGCCGAGGGGTACGCCGACCTGGTCGAGAGAGGCCTGCCGTGCTTTGTCGAGGTCAAGGGCGTGACCTACTGCGGCACCTCGACGTCGAGCAGCGCGGGGCTGACTATGGCAAATGTGCCGTTCTACCAGGAGGTGTGCGACTTTGTCGTGGCGCTGGAGAAGGCGTTGCGGAAGAGGGGGCTAGCGTATGGGATCGCGGCCGAGCACGCGCACAGTTGCTGTATCCTGCTTGCTAGCGAGCGGTTCAGGGTGGATGGCAGGTGGCATACGCTGATTGATTATGATCGGTTCTTCGAGCTGCTGGAGGAGAAAGGACCGGATGGGGAATTCACTCCCGAGGATTACATGGGCCCGCCGACCCCTGAGTGGGCGACCTGGGGGAATGGAGGGTTTGATCCGAGAGATCAGAGAGTGGATAAAAAGGGGCGGCCAATCGAGGCGGTCTAGATTGGGATATAGGCAAGTCCGTTGTGTAAGGAAGAGCAAATTGTGATTCATATTTGCTGTTTGGTCTCTGGAAGAATCGTCTGATGCTGTCATTAAGCCAAATGTACCCCGGGTGATACCTGCTGCGCGCAGATGCTTTATGTATACAGTACTCCCCACTCGTACAGCTAGCTTCCTCTGTCTGGCTCATTCGATCCCTCCGCTTCCATAGTAGAAGAGGGACAATGTTGTATTGTACAATGCATCTGACGTCCGCCCATTGCGCCATGCCCTATTCGCCTTGATGCTCAAAAACACGCGGTTCCCCTATCGGGGAAGATCGGCGGAGTGATAGCAATGGCCCTGCCAGACCGGACATCAGACAAGAAGTAAGTTCTCCGTGAGCATCACTGGCGCCGTAGCTGAGGTATATTTGTTCAGTTCTAGTCCAGGCCGACACCCGGGACGGCGCCCATCTCGCGCATCAGTTCGGCCACATCGACACCCGCGGGCCCGGTGTAGTTTGTGCCGATTCGGAGGCTCCCATCGTATGCGATCATCTCCGCCAGGATGTCCAGAATGGGCTGCAAACAGCTTGTGTGAGCAGGAGTTAACGACGGAAGGGAATGGCAACTCGCTCATACCTTGGATACTGTCTTGTCATAGATGTTGATCAGGTCGCCTGGCGTGGGGTACACCTTGAGCGCCTTGTAGAAGGCCAGAGCGGCGTCAATCGCCTTGGTAGCTGCATCGACAAAGAATAGGCGTCAGCTCGGTGTTCTTCGGTGCCAGAGCAAAGAAATCGGACGTACGGTCGGCGCCCAGCAACTCGCCAGCCTGGACCTGCTCCAGGAAATAGGCCTCCTTCTCCTCGGCGCTCCCCGGGAAGCCCTCCTCCTTGGCCTCATCGACGGCGTCCTTGATGGCCTGCCTCTGCTCGTTGAGTTGGGCCTCGGCCTTGCTCTTCTCGGCGCGCGCTTGCTGGCGCTGGCTGCGGCGCAGTTGCCTCCTGAACTCCGGACTGTGGCGGCGGCGGTAGTCGAAGTAAACTGCGTATGCTGTGGCGTGCCAGAGTCAGTCAGTTAATACTCGATATGTTGCAGAGTCGGAATCGAGGAGTGCATGAGGGCGCATACCAAGGACACCAGCAGCAACCGCGGCAACGGTCGCAACCGCCGCAGTCCGTGATGATGTGGACGACATTGTAATCAATCGGGTAGGAGCCTGTTAAAGTGCTCGTAATGTCGCAAACTTCGGCTCCGGACGTGATGGGGTGGCAGTTGAGCTGTTTTGGTTTGGGGATGGAACTGGACTGTCCGGGCAAGGGAGCTGTTGAGTGCGCTGTGTTCGGCCCTTGAAACTTTTTCTGGTGTGGTTGCCGGCTGAGCCTTGCCAAGGCTCGACCCATGCAATGACGCTTGCCAAGCTTATCCAATCAGAGTAAGTTACAGGATCCATTCTCACACTACCTTACGGTTTGTATCTCGCTGACAACCTACGGATCCGTACCTCCCCTATCATTCCTGACTCTCGAATGTGACGGATCGCGCGTCAATGATTTGAGAATTTTCCCTTACGATTTGGTTGATACTAAGGACCCATGGGACAAGACAATCCTCGCGAGGATACAGCAGCGGCCGTCTGCTGTTGTTCTGCCCGTAGGCTGGACTCAGACACTTCAACAAGGGGTCGAGGCACCGAGTATATCCCGACGCCCCAGGAACTTCAACAAGCGGATCGCGCCTCCAGACGCCATCGCTCTCCATCTCATCACAGAGCCCGCCTCCGAGTCTCCTCAGACACTGCTCGCTGCACAGCAGATCCGCACATGACTGATGAAACCAAACCAGTACGGGGTGCTGCTAGAACAGCATCTCCGCTCCGTTTGTTGACGGCACCCTGATTCCAGTTTCATCCCTGGCACATGCTCACCACAAGAAACCCCGACAACGCTTGGTGCCGCACAAGCACTTCGTCATTTCCCCAACCTTTGAGAGATCGTACGCATCGTCATCCATATGCTCCAGCCCGTCAACGTAGTCAAAGGTCAGCTCGTCGCCCGCGGGAATATCCTGGATCGCAAAGAGGGCCAGGTCGTGGATGTGCTTATCAGCGTGGTCGCCCACACGGGCAAAGATGCGCATGTTGGGGTCGCAGCTGTGGTTGATGAATCGCGTCGGACCGCTCATCCATTCTCCGTCGACCTCGAGCGGCGGTGCCGCCAGCAGGGGGTCGAGGGACTGTGGGTCTGAGAACTTGTCGAGCGCAAAGAGGTACACGTCCTTGCGCCGCGAGATGGTCGACTCGGCCCGTCTCCGATCCGCCTCTTCGCTCGTGATGATCTCGCCGAGGTACCGGTCGACGAACTGGCCCTCCCTGATGTCGACAGGGCACTTGACGCCCCAGCCGCGATCTTTGGTCCGGAAAATCTGCAGCGGTACCGTTCGGCCTCGCTCCACCACCCGGTTGGGACAGTTGAGCGAGCAGTTGCAGCCCTTGTGGCACTCGTAGATGGGTTCGCGGCTCTGTAGAATCCTATCCCTCAGCAGCCCGGCTTTTGGCCCGCTCGAGTGATATGCAAAGCGCTTCCGCCGCGGCTGGCTGGCTGAGCCGTCATCGTTCTCCTCATCGCTATCAGGGGCCATCTCGTCGAGGCACTGACATGTATTGTACATGCAATCCTCGTCGCTCTGGCAACTGCAGCCGGTCCGGAAGGAATCCTCGGCTACGGGCACATCATCGGCGATGACGGAGTGGTCGATGAAGCGGAAGTTGGGGTTTATTACCTCGTCATTTACGTCGTTGACGATGGTGATCGGGATGGACTCGTGTGTCGCAAAGGAGCGAATTTGGCACCAGTGGCACGCCTTCTCCTCTTCCGGGTCGGACTAAATGTCGACAAGTTAGCTGGTTCTATGGGTCCTCGGAATTGGTTTGCTCTCCTACCATACCTGTTCCAGCCCATGGTTGAAGAAATGTGGTGCGATCGCAGCCTCCATATTTCCTAGTTTGGTGTGGCCGCGAGTGCTGATGCGGTCAATGCTGATATTTTCTCATGTCCAACAGATGGTTTCCGATAATTTGGCGATGATGATGCAGCAGCTTCTAAAATCTGCAGTATCGCTCCGCCAACTGGGCACATCAGTCGTCGCAGATGGCAATGCAACAACGCGTCGGGGCTCTTTGAAGACGCGCCAAAGGTGCAAGGATTGTAATTGAATCGCAGTGGGGCTGGCGGCAGAGTCTGATCCGCCAAATTGATGATCCACCGGATTGGTAACGTAACGTTTGGTATGGTACAGTGGGGGTTCAAAAGTCTGCGGCAGCCCGCATCGAGATCCCCCGCCACACATTTCTTTGATGATGCACCCCAATAACGTATCTCAGCATAACTTTCCACTACCAAAAGGCCTAGCAAATTAGATACATACAGATGAGAGCCCAGGTTTCAGCCATCAATATTTTGTATACCAACCCCTGGCTTTCTTAACCGCAGCCACGCTTAGGCATAGAGTCGATCAGCTGGTCAATCTGAGTCTGGACGATTCGTCGGTGAAGATAGACAAGAGGGACGTTAGTAAATTCAGGGGTGAACTTCAGAGTCACTGACTCGGATCAACACCTCGATATTCCCCAACCAAAAGCAAGCAAACTTATATCTATCCATTGCTACAACCTTCGTCAGTGGGATTCTCTTCTGTGCACGCCATTTCCGCATGCGATGATGGCGGAGAACCCGGCGGACCGTTGATCGAGAGATCCGAGCATCAGCTGTGTCTATGAGCATTTGTATTGACAGGCGAGGGTTCCGCTTTGTCAACTGGATGATATACCGTTTCTCCCGACGTGTGAGGACCTCTGGCCGACCTGATCTAGGTCTAGATCCGACAGTGGTTGAAGATTCGAACCGTTGAAGTGTAAGTTGGACTGCGGCCCGGCTGACGCCAAACGCGCGAGCGACGGCCGACTGGCTTGCCCCAGCTCCAACGGCGCCAACAATGGCTGCACGTGCAAAAGGTGATAGTTCCTGCCCAGATTGACGGCCGATCGTCAATCTGGCACCGATTTCGTTCAAATTGAGCATGGTGGGTTGGAGTTCTGTTTGTTGGAAGATTGAAGATGCTGAGCATCGCGTCGCGTCGCGCGTTCAATTGATGTGGGGTGCCGCAGACTTTTGGACCCCCACTGTATAAGGACCTCCGGACCGCACCGTCATGATCTTGCCGAGTACAACTTCTCTAAAAGTTTTCGTCTCAACGCTCACAGCGTATTCCGCTCTCGCCATGGCCATCGCAGCTTCAGCGAACACAACCAAACTTTCGCATATTGTATCTTATTATATTGTTCTGGAGCGAGTGGATAAGGGTTGAGTGTTCGGACGGTAGACAGAATGGTTATCGATGAGATGACCTAGTGTCCTCTCAGAATCTCCCGCCTACTCGGATACCGGATGTGCCCACACATTCACCACAGCGTCTACAGAGAGTGAAGTCGTCCCAAACTGCAAGGCCTCACGCAACACCTCTAACGCCCGCTTGCCTAGGAACAGGGGCACCTTGATTCGCTCAGCTTCCTCCACGGCCCGTTGCAGCTTCTCGGCAACATCCCCAAGACTTGGTGAGCCCTCTGTGCCCTCCCACGATTTGGAAGCAACTCCCGCCCGAAGGGCCTTAATAAACGATGGGCCGTGCTGTTTCAGCATCGTGCTTGCTCCCGCCGCGTTAGCGCACAGGTCAAGTACCTGGTCGAGGTCCAGGCCCACCGCGTCAGCAAACGCCAGCGACTCCGCAGCTGCGCAGAGATTGATGGCCTTGAGGAGGTCAATCACCAGCGCCAGCTTCGCGTCCTCCGTCTCCAGTGACGTCTCAACCTGCCCCGTTTCGGTATACAGCCTTAGCAGGCTACTATCATCATCCGGGCCGTACCCCTTGGCAACCGCCTGGCGGTATCCCTCCTCCGCAATCCCTGTCATCGGCACTTTGAATCCGCTCCTCCTCGCCTCGGCCGTGATAATTCCCGTATCCTTGACGATAATATTGACCGCGCTCGCCAGGGGCTTGAACCCGGTCAGCATCCTCGGAGTGCGGTGCTCAAACATCCAGTTCCACGCCTCCGATGCCAACACCGCCCTCTGCGCCGTTGCCAAATCCAACCCCAACCTCTTCGCGAAGCCCATGACTTCGCTTGCCGCAAGGATTTGACATGCCGCGAGCACCTGGTGCACCATCTTCATGTTACTCCCCGCGCCGACTCCGCCCTGGACAATGTACAACTTCGCCGGATCCGCCATCTCGGCCAATAACGGCTGCGCCTTCGTCAGCGCTTCCTCCGACATGCCCGCCATGATGGACAGCGTGCCTTCTGCCGCCCGCGCCGCCCCGCCCGACACGGGGCAGTCGACCAGCAGGATATCCCCACGCCCGATGTCGCGCAGCTGCCTCTCGAGCGACTGGACGTAGTCGCAAGGCACCGTGGAGCAGAGGAGCAGGGCGGCGCCGCGCGGGAGGGACGGCACGGCGGCGTCGGGCCCCTCGAGGAGCACCGACTGGGCTTGTTGGGCGGTGGCCACCATGCAAACGCAGAAATGCTTGTCCGAGACGGCGGCGGAGGGCGTGGCTGCTGTGAGCCCGCCGGTGGACTGGAAGCGCTCGAGGGTTGGCGGCCAGACGTCGAAGCCTGTTACGGCGTAGCCTTGCTTGAGGAGGTGCGTGGCCATGCCGAAGCCCATGGCGCCGAGGCCGATGAAGGCGACGGGGGGTTTGTCAGTGGCCATGGTGGACAGTGATCGATCTGTGTGGTTGTGTGGGTGACGTTTTGAGCTGCAGGCCGTCCCTCGGTGATGGCTGGCTCAAGAAGTGGTACTTGGAGTCCCCTCAATGTCAACAGACGACAGTCAATGGCAAAAGGTAGGTATGATTCTAATGGATAATGCTGAGCTATGCCTTGAGCAACTTGGACCTTGAACAACCCGTACGAAATTCCAAAGCCGGCGATGACCGAGTCATCCCAACCAAGCTTCCGACTCGCCACAGCTAATGCCGAACACCGGCCGGTTGAAGTCGAGAAGGTGCTCCGCATCTCGGACTCCCAAATACGAAGCCATCATCCCCGCTTCCCATTCCCATGTGTCTCGAGTGCTTGATGCCGCTTTGAGAGGGGCCAATGATGGTGTTGAGTGAGCTCTCCATCAACGCAGACAGTACATAACTCCCGCTTTCAGGCTAATATCCCATGCATACCCGTACTGGCTTGGCTCTTGGCGCCTCAAGTGGGTGAAGCCCAATTGGGAAACCCGAAGCATCTTTCGCCTTGGTTGACGAGGTACCTGTCAAGGCGCCTTCGACTCTTTGTGTGTGGTCATGAGCCTCGAGCAATTAACTTGGAGTGGCAGATCGGAGAATATCTAATCCATGGACTTCAACATCATTAGCAAGCACCAAACAACACCGTCAAATACAGCATACAACTGCTTCACTTTCAAACAACCACCACTCTTCTGAGTCTTCCCACAACCAGCTTCACCACACAGCCCACAACGAAACAGCCATCATGCCCCGCCCACCCCTCGCCCAGAATCGCACCATGACGATTCTCAACGCCGCCAAAGCCGGCGGCTACGCGGTCCCCGGCATGTGCTGCTACAACATCGAGTCCATCATTGCGACCGTCCGCGCTGCCGAGGCGGCCCACTCGCCGGCCATGGTGTTGCTCTTCCCCTGGGCGATACAGTACGCGGGCGACGCGCTGGTCAAGGCAGCCGCCGAGGCGGCGCACTCGGCGTCAGTACCCGTCTCGCTACACCTCGACCATTGCCAGACGCCCGAGCTGGTGCGCCGCGCCGCCGACATTGAGGACGGGTTCGACAGCATCATGTGCGACATGAGCCACTACGAGAAGGAGGAAAACCTGCGGTTGACGGCCGAGTTAGTTGCATATTGTCACGAGCGGGGCATCGCGGCCGAGGCGGAGCCCGGGCGGATCGAGGGCGGCGAGGACGGGGTGGCGGAGACGGCCGATTTGGAGGGGTTGTTGACGACGCCTGAGGAGGCTGAGGAGTTTGTGGCGACGGGGATCGATATGCTGGCGCCCGCGTTTGGGAATGTGCATGGCGAGTATGGACCGCGGGGCATCCAGCTCGAGTATGACCGGCTACAGGCCATTAATGAGAGGGTCGGGGAGAAGGTCAGGCTGGTGCTGCATGGCGCGGACCCGTTTGATGAGGGCATCTTTCGGAAGTGCATGGCCGGCGGGGTGACGAAGGTGAATATCAACAAGGGCATGAACAAGCACTATGCGAGGGTGCAGGAGGTGATGAAGGGAAAGCCCTTGACCAGCGTCATTGAGGCCGGCACCAACGAGATGCAGAAGGCCATTGAGCAGTACATGCACTGGCTTGGGAGTGCCGGGAAGGCGTAGGCGCAGCAGGTCTTGGGATGCCCTAAAAGATGTTTGCATTCAGATGTAGATGGAAAGTTGTTAAAAAGGATGGTTTCAGGAACTGGTTCGCAATCTGCTTGATTTGAACAATTTAGGAAGCAAAACAGACAGTCGAGAAGTACCGAAACTGCCCGCAGCGCAACGCAGAGAAACAGATTGGAGTTTGAACTTGTTCCGATTTTCAAGCTTTCAACTTCCAACACGACATCATGAACCAAAACTTCACTAAATCGGGAAATTACGATTCAGATTATCTAAATCATCGCGCGCCAATGCAGCAAAATGCATGGCCGAGTTGATTACATTGCTGTCCTCAATCCCCGAATGGCAACCATGGCACCCCAGGCGCCAGGATCCGGTGGGAGTTCCTTCCCTTCAGCACCGGCACCGACGTAGGTGGCTCTTCCCAGTCTCGGCTTCATCGTTTTGGTCGCTTCTGACCCCTTCACCGCAGCCGCAACACCGTCCTCGAAGCTCTTCGTTGCTGCCATGGCTTCGGCAAACGGTATCAGCGTGTCCATGACGGTGCGGTCGCCGACTTTCGCGGGCGTGTACTGCTTCAGGTGTTGCAGCGCGCTTGACAACGCCTTGGACCACACCGATACCGCTCCTTCAGCCTGAGCCAGGGCACTGTTCTCTTCGACGGCTGTCCGCAGGGACACAAAGAAAATGCCCAGGATTCCGCCCAGCGTGCCGCCCATCTTGCTTTCAACAATGTCCTCCAGCTCGGTGAGCACCTCGACCGCGGACCCTCGGGATGCGATCTTCTTTGAGTCAATAGCGTCTAGAAGAGCCGTTGCGCCAGTCTTGAGCGTGAGACCGCAATCTCCGTCCCCCATGACCGTGTCCCATCTCGTCAAGTCCGGCTCTGCTGTGATCAGCGCATCGCATGCACTACGCAGCATTCTCTCCAACAGCGCTGGATCAAGTGTGAGATCCCTGGAGCCGTCCACCTTCTTCTTGATCTCAGCTGGCGGCTGGACGAGTTGCTCTGTGCGTGGACGCCGTTGCGAAGTATTCTGACAACCGGCAACCGCTTCCCACGCGGTATCGGTCTTGAGGTCAAGGAACGCCTTGATCTGGTCGAGGGAATAGGCGCTGTTCGCGGCAATGCCTGAAAGATTCATAACCGAAACCGAGAAGGCGGGCGCGTTGAGCGACGTCTCCAAGCACCCCGCATAAACTCGGACGGGTGCAATGTTCCAGTCGGCCAACAGCTGCTGCAGAAGCTCGTCGACGAGGCCGCCAAGTTCGAGATTCGACATGCCGCCAAAGTTGCTGACCAGCAGCGCTGTCTCGTCCCCGGGCTTGAAGTGGACGTAGCCCCTCTCGGGGTCCGTCTCATCCAGGCAGTACGTCAGGATCTGCTTTACCAACCCCTCCGCTGTGGGCGCCGGGGAAAGCTTTTTATATCCCGGCTCGTTATGGGGCCCGGTGCCAATTTCGACTTCGTCTTCGTTGAGGGCTCCGTGTTCGGTGCGGCCTGGGACGTGGCAGTGGTCGAGAGTGGCGGCGATGCTGACGATCTGGCCATTGATGGCCGCGCCGAGGTCGTAGAGCTCGTCTAGTGACCCACCCTCCGCGGCCGCAGCACCGAGTATCTTGAGAACCCCGATTTGTCCGGCCAGGCCACGGCGTCCAACCAACGACCCGCTCTTCTTCCCGATCGAGACATCATCACCGCAGATCAGCATGCGACATGCCCGCCCTTTGGCCTTCGTCTTCTCGGCAGCGAGACCAAAGTGGAGGCAATCGCCGGTGTAGTTGGTGATGACCAGCAGCGTACCCTTGTCTGAGGGGACGGCATTGACGGCAGCCAGGATTTGCTTTGTGCTCGGCGACGCAAACACGTCGCCTTGCACGGCGGCAGCGAGCATGTTGCTGCCAACGTAGCCCGCCCATGCTGGCTCGTGGCCGGAACCGCCTCCGCTGATGATGCTGACCTTCGAGCGGGGTGTCGCTGAGTCAAACACTACCCTGTTAGTCTCGTCGAGGTTGAGGCGGGGGTTGCTGGCGACAATACCCCGGAGGGCTTTGGGGACGAGCCCCTCCAGGGAGGAGAAGAGATGCTTGTTGGACATGTTGGGGTTGAATTAGACGTGGTGATCAAGCTTGGGTAAGAGAAAGAAGTCGGGGAGGCAGCTCGAGAAGGGTCGGACCACGGCACACGCACGCGAGCTTGGGTTCGAGAATGAGAGTGAGCTTTTGGACCCCTGGCCTGTGACGCAGCCAGCTATAAGCAACGCCAATGAAACACTTGCCGGGAGGCGGGGCCGGCGTGAGGTTGCACGAAGGAGGGGGCCGAGGGGCCATGCACGATGAATCCGATTCGTATCGCACTTAACCCGGCTGGCAGGCTGATGAATCTTGGTTCTGCCGGAATGCCAGGAACGGAATGGCGCCTTGGATAAATGCGATCTTTCCACAATGCCTTTTAAGTTTGGGTTCGTGGCGTCTTGACTTGTTTGGTTGAACAAAGCGGCCCGCTCCTCGATACCACAGTCTGCCGGCTACGGAATACAACGACAAAGCATCATGAGCTCCCCAAGGTGGCGGATTGTCATCGGCTGCGATGTCAGTTACAGTTCCCCGTTACGTCCTCTGTTTCCCAACTAAGCATTTGCGCTTTCAGGACGCTGGCGTCAACTACAAGAACAAGATCAAAGCCGACTTCGAAGCCGACCCCCGCGTCATCTCGGTCGTCGACGTGGGCACGGACGACAAGACGGCTTACCCGCACATCGGGGCTGCGGCGGCCAAGCTGGTCGCGTCTGGGGAGTGCGACAGGGCGCTGCTGATCTGCGGGACGGGGCTCGGCGTCGCCATCGCAGCCAACAAGATCAAGGGCATCCGGGCCGTCACGGCGCACGACAGCTTCTCGGTCGAGAGGGCCGTGCTCAGCAATAACGCGCAAGTGCTGTGCATGGGGGAGAGGGTGGTAGGGTTGGAGCTCGCGAGGAGGCTGGCCAAGGAGTGGTTGGGGTATGTGTTTGACGAGAGCAGTCCAAGTGCCGCCAAGGTGGCGGCTATTCATCAGTATGAGGAGGGGGAAGGGGGTTTGTCGGGGCAAGAAGAGGTCAAGGGGTGTTGAGATGAAGGGCAATACGAAAGGACTTGGGGTGCCTGTCTCTCCAGCGCTGATTGTGCTGCTGTTTTGTTTGACCAGTTGTCACGAAGCAAGATGGGACGATGGCTGGTTGTGTGAGTCTGCCCCTTATTTCCCAAAAGGGCAACCCGAGCCTCGCAATCCAGTGAATCCACATCGGACTCGTTTCCCCAAGCGAATCAGCCCTTTTGCATCCTTTGACTTTTTGACAGGTATCCACATCATACGGAGAAATCCACTTGCCTCTGCATCCGTGCCGTTGACGGGCCCGTGTTGTGGTTACTTCGCTGGTGTCGGGCCGAGCGGGGCCCACATCACAAAAACAGCCGGGACTAGAACCCGCGACCGACAGCAGCAAAGGATCACGCTAGCGGTTAAATTGCATTAGCATCCAGGTAATCTGTATTGGCACATTTGCCTCCTATCACATGCTACCGACTTAGGTGTGTACATCTACCACAGTAATCACAGGGACCTTGGCCAGCGGAAACGGTATTGTGACCGCCGAGTCAAGAGGCGGCCAAACACGCAACGGGGCCAGCGAGCAGCAACCCGTGTTTTAACCCCTTTTTCACGAACAAACGCACCCTTCTTCTGTCCCCAAATCAAACAAAACAATCAATATGCCACCGCCAGCATCACCTCAAGCAACAATAACGCCAACCTCGGGCAACCGCCCCTTCATCGCAGTCTCAACAAAAATGTACTTTTCCCATTCCCGCACAACATCCTTCACCGCCTCCCTCCTGTCCGTCCTCACCTCAACTCCCTCTTCCCAACTCGCCTCGGCAATAGACGTCTTCATCATACCCGATTTTGTCTCGCTCCTGCCCACCTTCTCCGCCATCGCCGCCGCCCCAGTCCCGTTGAACAAGCTACTTGCTGTTGGCGCACAGGATTGCGCGACGGAGGATTTCGGGTCGTTCACGGGCGAGGTGTCGGCGGCTGTGCTCAGCGAGGTGGGGTGTGCTATTGTCGAGGTCGGGCATGCCGAGCGGCGGAGGTTGTTTGGGGAAACGGATGCGGTTGTGAGGGATAAAGTGCAAGCGGTGGTCAGGAATGGGATGGTGCCGCTTGTTTGTGTTGGTGAGGAGGCCCAGGCGGAGGGGGATGGGGTGGACGGTGCGGCGAGGGAGGTGGTGAGGCAGGTTGAGGCTGCTTTGGAGGGGGTGGATGGGGAGAAGGAGGTGGTGTTGGCGTATGAGCCTGTCTGGGCGATTGGTGCTGCGGAGCCGGCTGGGGCGGAGTATGTGAGGAGCGTGGTGAGGCGGGTTAGGGAGAGTGAGGTTGTGAAGAGCAGGGCAGGGACAACAAGGATTGTGTACGGCGGTGCGGCCGGGCCGGGGTTGTGGGAGAGGTTGGGCGGCGAGGTAGATGGTTTGTTCCTGGGGAGGTTTGCGCATGACCCGGAGCAGTTCGTCAAGATGGTTTATGACGTTGCTGGGGTGAGGGTGGACGGGTGTTGGCGCTATCCCTCGCGGTGATCGGGGAGGGTTCCATTGGAATGACATCAGAACTGCATTACCGTAGACTCTTCGTCTTACCATTGACCTTCACCTAGCAGCTCGGAGTTTCTGGTTTTGAAACCCAATAGGTCTCCGGGCTTCTCATCAAAGGTTGTCTTGACCTGAAAAGAGTCTGCTCATAACTGGAAGGTAATGGTACCTAAGAACACATGGATGAATGCATTAGATACCAACACCTGTTCCACTACCATTCCGACAGCTCCAGCCCAGGCAGATCGTAACCAGTGTCTGCCATAAAGTTTCGGATTTCTTAGGGATACATGAACACCAGAGTTCGCGTGTCCGGCTCGGCACTCAGTGGCTGCGCAGCTTCTTCTTAGGTCGCAGCTCCCCCGCATAATTCCGGAAGAATTCATCGGGCTCAGTCGGGTGCTGGCCAGTAACGTCATGGAACGCCGTGGTCGAGATGTAGTTCGTCTTACCCTCACGCACCAGGCTGTAGTACTCGAGGATGTACTCCTTCTCTGACTCGTCAAGGTCGGATTGGGCCTTGAGGACTCGCTTCGCCTCGCGCCTGAACTGGTTAGCACGGCGGAAGGAGGGCCATCGACGGAGAAGGGACGTACTCAGAGATGTTCTCGAATTCCAAGGTTTGGCCCAGGGCCTTGCTGGCTGACGCCGCCAACTCCGAGCCAGTGCAGAGCATGGGACCGGTGAGGACCATCATTTGGCCGCGGTGCTTATCGTCGAAGCCATGCTTGCCCTTACCAGTGAGCACATGGGCTGCCACCAAGGAGATGTCCTAACATGGTCAGTTAGAATCTGACAATACCTCAAAGCTGCAATCACTGGATAAACTTACACCAAGGGCCACAGGAGCAAACTTGTGGTTCTCGCCGACCGGAAGCGGCAGCAGGCCCTCGTTGCGGACCTGTTCCGTGTAGAGGAGGAGGTTCTCAGCGTAGAAGCCAGCGCTGCGGACGCTAATCAACACTTTGCACTCCTTAATACTCTGGGGCAAGACTCACCGAATAACGCAAGGTGAGTGTCCGAGAGGAGAGTTCGGATCGCCCTTGGAGGCCAGCACGAGGCTCTCCAGATCAATAAATTCCCTCAGCCGCGGCTGCTTCTCGCGCTCGGCATAGTCGCAACCCACTGAGCTAATCAACAGCACGTTCTGTACGCCGGCCTTTTTGGCCGCGTGGGTCAGCTCGACAGCGATGTCGAACTTGTCCTTGTGCGCGGGCGGGATCAGGCAGATGGTGTCACAGCCCGTCTTCTTGAGCGTGTTGACCACCTCGCGCTCGCGGCCCGGCTTGTGCGGCACAACGACGGCGCCGAGCGACTGCAGCTCCTTGGCTTTGGCCGAGGACGGGTCCATGACGAGACAAGTGAGGCTGTCGATTTTCTTCTTAAAGTCCTGGTCCGTGAGGAGGAGTTCGGCGATGAGGAAGCCAGTTTGGCCCTCGGCTGCCGTGATACAGACGTTGCGAGTCATCTTCAGTTGTTTCGTGATCCTGTTGGTAAAGTGATTTTGCGTGTGAGTTGTTGTAGTGGGGTTGAAGGTTCAGTTGGGAAATGGTATGGAGTTGGGAAGCTTCACGATGGCCCAGTCAGTTGGTAGAGGTGGTTTCTAAGGAGCTCTCATGCGCACAGACTCCCTGCATGTTCAATATCGACGAGGCTTCCATGAAGTCATGATGTCGAATTCGTTTGCGGTTTGGCCCAGACTCACAACATTACGTCATGAGATCCAGGTATTATTGTCTGACATGGCCGAATTTGGTCCCCTGGCAAGCCGACTTCCCCGCTCAAAACATCGTCATTATCCGCAAACAGGCTCTCGGCGCGTCTAATGGTTACTGCCTGGACAAAGGAGAACTGCTCTTACATCTCTCTCGACTCGGTCAATTTACGAGTTTACATGGCGAGTCGAAACAATTGCAGGGGTCTCGTCATACTAACTCTCCCTTGATCTGCAGATGGCGTTGCCTGGGCAACTATCGGGTACTGTACACGATGGGGACTGCCAAGATCACGGCTAAAGAGCAACCAACCCCTTAAGTCCTCGCCTTCGTGAATAACAGTGTGAAAAGAGAAAGCCAGAAACCGACGCCGAAGGAAATCGCTGTTTTCTAGATATAGTCCGGGAACCCTTCAACCATCTTCCCTCTGGATAGTTCAATTTTTAGGTGAGACCCGGGTGGACAACGTCCCTTTCTTTTTGGGCGCTTCAGAACAAAATCAATGTATGCGCACAGTTCCCAGGAGAGAACTCCCATGTCATGTTGAGCGGCTCTTTCAGCCTCTCAGCTGACGCGGTACTCATTCGCCCTGGTGGAGCCCCTTCTGTTCCACAAATCCGCAGAATTGTGTTAGCACGGTGTGAAGGTTGCAGAGCGCCTGCAGTCTGATCAGGACACGCTCTGAGCCGTAGTTTTGTCCCTCTGAGTTGCTGGCCTTGAAGATGCCGGGGGAACGGCCCGGTCGACGCTTGGCGTGGAGTCTTTCGAATTGACTCGCGGGACCTCTTTGACGTGTTCCATCGTCTCGTTGTCGAAAGGAAAGCCGCAGCTTGGAGGGTTGACCAGCGGCGCACTGATTCGGGTGATGAAGACATGGAAGTCTGCCTTCGACATTCGAAAAATGCTGGCCAGCTGAGCAGCTTTCTGTATGATACCCACCGCGTGCTTATGCATGTCGGAACTAATTTGAGTTGCTTGGTCTTCTGATGAGTACAGAGGGCTGAGCAGATGTAGCATCAGTTGCGCGCACTGGATGATTTAAATAGGCTCGTCGCGGATCCAAGTCTGGAAATGAAATCAACCGATCCGACTCGCCATTCATGGAATTCGGCGGCGACATCATGTATTGCACGTGGGGTGCGAGTCTCGGCCATGATGTGTGTTGAAATGGAAGAGTTAGCAAGCGAACTTGAACCTGGAAGAAGGTCAAGGACTAGGGATAATCGCCACCATCTTACCTCGAATCTGGTCACACTTGTGGCGAAAAATGCTGTTATCAGCTTCGAGTTTCTAGACGTGCTTCTTGTACTCGGCGATATCCGATCGCACGGCGTTGATCGTGGCATCCGACGGTCTCTGGTCGTCCCTCACGGCCGGGAATAAATTGGCGATCCCCCAACTCGGGCCTCTGTTATTGCTCAGAGACGCTTGACGCAATTCCTCGAGCTGCTTCTTCAGTTTTCTGCATTTTGACGATTTGTCGTCGATTACCTGCCGATAGCTTAGCAAGTCGTCATGAAGCGATTTATTCTCCTGTTTCAGCGCCTCTTTTCGAGCTGTCTGCCTGTCGGGCTGCTCCGCCCATTTGTCGTTCTCTTTGTTTAGAGCCTTGTTCTCATGGAGAGCTCCAGCAAGTCTGGTGAAGAGCTCTTGCTTAGTCTGCCTGTCTGGGTGATTTCGTCGTCCCGGAAACCTGCACCTGACGGCAACTGAGGGCCACTGCTGTTCCGAAAGACAGATATGGGCTCAGCTTTCCGTAGACCGCCATAGCGGCGCAGACTCTGCACAAGCTTCTCTTCATGGCCTTCCATTCTGATGGTCGCGACTGATGAGCTTCGCTTTCTCTGCCTACAACTAGTTCTCGATCTACCCCGGCGGGAAGGATTGCTGGTTCGGAACTCAAGTGGATCGGAAGGCATTTGGCAAACTGCCGCGGATTGCTTGTGCAATGTTAGGGATGGTTTTTAAAGAAGCGGCTCCGTGCAGAGATAGGGATAGAAATTGAACTTGTGTTGGAAATAAGAAAACCTTGGAATCTGCTTCAGCAGATCTGCACCAGTTTCTGCAGGCGGCTTAAGTTCTCCAAAGAAACTTGGAGAGAATCATTAGAATCAAACAGGCCGCGAGATGTATTGCTGAAAGCGGGCAAAAGAAACTCCTGGATGTAGGCCGAGGGAGCAGAACTGACCACAGGACAACGCTTCCTGCCAGCTGCAGAGTGATTGTGTTTGTGTGCCGTTGTAAGTAAGGTACCTGTTGGTGGAGAATGCAGAACGCCATGATGATTGATGAGGTTTCTGGACAAACTGTCACCAGAGCAGGTAGCAGTCGTCAAAAAACCGGCAAATCTGGATGGGGTTCGTCAAAACAGTGAACTTAAAAGAAACAAAGGTAGATGACTTGGAATTGGTGAAGGTGCCCACAAACTGAGGTTATGCAGCGATTTGAACTCGAAACCTAGAAGGGTTGAAGTGAAAATAGGTAGTTAATCACAAACAATCGATACCTTAGTTCAGTAGCTGATTATATCATTGTCAAACTCCCTAGATAGTTACTTTCCATTGGCCTGGACTGCTACGGGAGAAAGCCTTCTCTAGGAGGCCCCGCTCACTTGCTCAACTTCTCCCTCCTTAGGCCGTAAGATCAGTAGCTACCCAGGAACGCCTAGCCCAAAACCTCAGCCACTCGCGGATTCCAGTGGAAGAATCAAGCTTGACCTGGTCGCATTATTCACAGCGGCGTTCTTGGAGCCCTGCCTCTTGTCGTTGTGATACACAGCAAAGTCAGTGGACCCCCGGCACAGATCATCTCCGAACCGATACTCAAGCTTGCAAAAAACCTTCCCCAAGCAGTTGGTAGAAGTCGGCAAGGAGGAAATGTCGGCCTTCGCGTACCAACTGAGGATACACAATTCTTCGACATCACTGGCGCCCATCTCTTTGGCGAGGGGCTGCCATAAGAAATGTAGATGTGCGAGACCGTTCTCTTGGTGGCGTTCTCGGCTGCGTACAGGCTCTCGATCGAATATTTCACGGTTTCCTTGTAGGCATGTCGTTGCCCTGTCCATTGTGCAATATGTCAGCAGGTGCTCTTCTTCCCAATACCTTGATCAGTTTCGAGTCAGTTATACAATCTCAATAAGCCACTTCATCTGGTTCTTGGCCTGCCACTCCTGCCGATCTTCACTTCATACTTTGTCTCTTGGATCGCGGATCTCCGGGCACCATTCTTCGTAGCACATGACGCCGTAGTTAACGCGGGCGACTCGCGCTTGCACGTCAACCGAGAAGGATGAAAGGCCTTGCATGTTCGCCGCGTGCATCACCGCACCACGGCAAATTGCTGTCCACCTGTCACAGGTAACCGTCAACAGAAGCCATTGAATAGAGGTAGATCTTGGGTGTGGGCTTAACTCACGGGTTGGCGCACGAGGCTGAAGGACTTCGATGCTGCCTCCTAAGTGCTCTTTGAGAGTGGCAAAGAGATATCGGCAATGGCCAAAGCCTCCAACCATGATCACGTACTATAAAAGTAATTCATTGTTAGTTACTGGGGGCAGCAGTGTCAATCAGACAATTCTTACCTTCGGGTGCTCATTTTTCTTGACTCGCACCCCGGCCACTTGCTGGTCCACCATGGAGCAAATCCGCTCGATAGTAGGGTCAAAGGCGCTTCGAGTATCGCCAGCTGCAAACGTGACTTTCGGCGGCAAAAAGCGTCCTGTCTTCATCGCTTCTTCCATGTTCATGACTTCGATGGGCATGTTGAGAGTCCATGTCATGTACTGGCCCTCATACGTCTGCTTGATACCGTGATCCCAGTCGCCGTGCAAATGTCGGTGGCGATTCTCGGCCTCCATCTTGCCCATGCCTGGTTGCCGAACTTTCTCTTCAGTACTTGAAGAAACGTCTCGACGAAAACCGCGCCGCAAAGGGCCCTGCACCATGGGTAAGTCTAATATCCAATGGTGGTATGATTGCCCCGTGAAGAATCGCAGTAACTCACCCTGACCCTTGACACACTCCTTTACCACCATCGGTGCGATGCTAATCACTTCATAGCTGATGAGGTTCGCGGTGCCTCCGCCGCAGTCGACGACACGGAACTGTCCTCAGCCTAGAGGTGTTGAATATCCGGTCAGCTAGATCTCAAACAGAGTTGCTAGGGTTCATCTTGGCTTGATATCGCAACGTCCTTCCATCTCCGAGCCCGTAGTCAGAGCAGCAGCCTCTGGTTCGGAGATGAAAGCCAGGGTGGTCTCGCCAGCAGTGCAGTCCGCGAGCATACCTGCCTGCCGAACAGCATCCCGCATCCGCTCGCGGGCATAATTGGGCCAGATTGGCAGGCAGAGTAATGACGACATGGAACTTGGAGCAGTTGATCAAGTTACGACTGACAGTCTCGGCGATGCGGTGGGTGCAGTAGTTCCAGAGGAGACGCAGGAGCTCGGCAACTACTCCGACCCTCATCTTGTTGTGCTTTTTCAGATACGCGCGTGGCCCCTTGACCTTAGCCGACTTTCGCACATCGGCCGGCAAGTCCTTGTCAGCGACGAGCACGAGCTTAAACCATCTCGCCTGCTCGGCATCGAAAGGAATACTGTAGCCCCAGCCGACTTTGTCTTTGAGCCAAACGAGATGGCCGTCGAAGCCTTCGCTTCGTCGCAGCTGGAATGCAGATCTGGGTCCCAGCTTGAGATGACTTCCACGCGATCGATTTTCTTGAACCATGTAAATGCGAGACCGGAATACGTCGTCCGGAAATCGATTCCGACGATTATCGTGTTTCTGGCCTCGTCGTCGGTTAAGGCCTTGTGCGGTATTCAAGAGGGCGAGAATCGTCTCAATGGTGCATCGAACAGACGTCAGGCAGGAGGGTTTGAAGTGCTCTGGGACCGGTGTTAGAAAAGGGTTCAGTTGAATCGGTGTTAAGTGAGGGAGAAGAAAGGGATTTTTGGTTAGGCAGAGGGACTATATGAACCCAGAAGCTGCAGAAAATCAAAGCAACCCACTAATCCAGAAGTTACAGAAGATGTTGGATTCCGATGTTGCGTGCGAGTTGATCCTGGAAAGTCAATGAGATGTGCATGTTAATTCTCAAAGCAACAGGCGGAATAAAGCAAGCCCAACAAAGCTTCACCACACCTCGGAGTGAACATAAGATTTGAAATAAACACACGGCTGCCTTCACATGCATCTCTCATCCCATGTCCTGAGACTGTGTCAACACTTACCTCTTCGTTGTGAGTTGGTCAGATTGAAAAAACTCAGGCTATATGCACCCATATAAGGTCCAACTTTGAGGTATTGGAATCTCCAATGTGCATGTATTAAAAGCCCTTCAGATTGCATCATATTCAGTTTTGGGCGGCAGCTAGCTCAATCTTCACCTGGTCTAACTTGTCCTCGCGGGTGGCCTCGTACCAGCACGACAATCGTCACCTTGAACCTGAGTTCTTCCTGCAGTGTGGCAGGCATTCTAAGGGTAAAGTCGAACTGCGGAAGGGAAACAGCTCAACGACGACTGTGGCTCTAGGAGGGCGCAGTTTGTCAGGTGAATTAGAGCCATACTCGGAGGCAGAGTGTCAGGGGCGAGAACCCTTGATCTCCAGGGCCGATGTGGACTTAGGAGCAATCTGAGGTAACCAATGACTCCAAACTGACTTTGATAAGGCATGTAAGGCCCATTTGAGTCACCTGAATAAGCTGGTTTTTATCCATGGTGTCAATACAACGGTTTTACTTTCTTAACCTAACCTGGTAACGTTAGCTTTCTTTGGCCATCACCTCTTCTTTACCGACAGCACTGGCTCACTGAAGTGTAACAAACCGACTCGGAACAACCTGGGTTAGATCTGAGGGGTGCGGAGCAACGACGCAGATCCTGATTTTCAAGATTTGGTTGCTCCTCGCCAGGTTCCTTTCCAACTTAAAGCGTTCTGCCAATGCACGCCTCAACTCGGCGCAGCCGTAAGCAGGTCATCGATGTACGGCAGACATACATCGGGCTTCAATCTCCAGAAATTCCTTGAACTAATCATGGATACCACAGCCAGCTATGAAAGGTTCAAGAGCATGGCCATTGTGCTCCATTACCATTGTGTCTTGCTGCTACCATGAAGGTGTCAGTAAGGTAGCGTCATGTTGGCTGGTTTGAATCAAGGACGTCTACTCGTCGTGGTGCATTGCTCAACTGCCGGATCGGCCACTGGTTACGTGCTATGACACTGATTTGGGTTGAAGCAGCGTGGAAAAAGTATGAGCTCCGGTTCGAGTCTTGGCCGCAGCAGCAAGTTCAGATCCCCTTATGCTTTGCCACAATGAGCGTCCGCCAAGCCTCTGCCACAGTTGGTCTGGGATTGTGGAAGAAGTCGAGTGCGTCTTAGACACCTAGGCTGACTGTTGACAAGAAGTCCAACCACTCCGTATCAAATTCACAATAAACTCACTAAAAACCTCGTTTTTGCTTCTTTGCCGGAGTAAATTGATTTTCTGTCGTTTAACGTTATAACTTGACCAGAGTGATTCATAACACCTCTCTTTAGCATCTCATAGTTGCAGGGCCAACTGCTTCCTATGTGATATTTGGTAACGTTAACGTTAGGTCCTTTAGTATAAAAGCAGCCTGAAACCTAAGCATGGGAGGCACTTGATGCTCCAATTTACTGCACTTGTGATTATGTTGGATGCTAGATTGTGATAATATAGTTGCCATTGTGTTAATGGATCATCACCATGGTAGGCGCGGCGCAATGTCGGCATGTTGGGACAAAATGATTTCCAGGGCAGTTTGAGAAAGGAAAAAGCCGTACGTAGCTGGGAATAAGGCCATGAGTCAATGATGATATGTTCGGAGGGAAAGAAACGATGTCTATTAGCATCATGCCACCTGCAGACCTGGACGTAATGGCTCCGATCCTCTGTTCCACAAGTGACTTCCCGTCCAAGGTCGGGGACAGAGGAAGGAGGAGCGCACAAGATACCAACTCTGTTCTTTTACGGCGTCCATTCTGCTTCTCTTTTTCTTAAAGCTCTGCCACAACACCCAACCGCTAGGCAACTGAACCTCAATAGCCCGACCATAGCCCTACAAACCACAACTACGGATCCGTATTTCAATCATCATTTAATTATTCCCACAGCTTTAGCGCAACACTGTTACCATGGATGACGCAGTGCAAATCAGCGAACAAGCGTTCCGGAACGTCTACGAGGACAGCTTCACGTCGTGGTACAGAACCTACGAGGCCGCCATCCGGAACCCAGACTTGGAGCTTCTGGCCCCGTACCTCTGGCTCGACACGGCCTTCCGGCACTTCCCACCATTACTGAACGGGTTGCGCATTCAGCACAGCCTCGACAGAATACACAACCAAGCATACGCGACCGGGATCACGACATGGTACTCAACGAGGGCATGCGCTCATGGGTTTGAACCATTTGTACTGCACCCCCGCTTCGAGATTGGCACCCGGCATCCCTTCCCGCTACGTGTGTCCATCGCCGAGGAGCCCGACTACGCCTACAACTAGGGGTCATGGTTTGCTCGGGGTGACCAGAATTACATTTCCGTCCTTATTCTGGCCTGGTCGTATCTCTTGTCCAATCGATGGTGCGAACTCATGGGGCAGCCACATTCCCGTCGGCGGCCGTGGGGATGGGAGGCGATGCACCAGAGGCCGTGCTGCACCCTCCGCTACCTTGGGTGCAGGGCGCCCGAAGATGTCAAAGAGACTCCGGGAGCGCCAAGGGGGGTAACGGTTGATATTGGCGATGCAAGCGCAAAAGAAGCCCGATGGTGGGCCGCCATTCTCGCACCGGGCCGCGGTTGGCAGGCAGGCATGACTTTGGGAGAAGACTCGACGTTTTGGTCTCCCTGGTCTTTTCGCCTGCAAGCCGGTCCTCGATTCACCATATCACTCCAGGAGAAGCCACCACGCCAGCCGGTGTTATTACAGCAGCGGAAGCCTCGAAGCCGCTCGAGGCGCCTGGAGAGTGCTCCCACGTTTTCCGAAGCCCTCGGTTACCTCAACAACTTCTGCGTCCGCCACGGAATCTTGGACCAGAGCCATGCCGCGCTTGCTGCCGTCCTCCTCCTGCCAGCCATGAAGGACCTGGTTAGCGAAATAAAACTGCCAGCTGTCGTGGTCAATAACCAGCCACCGCCGCCAGTCTCTTGGGTACCAGCTCTCTCTTCCGCCGAGCCGCGTTGGCCATTGGCATCATGCGAACATCTCGACGAACTTATGGCCGTGAGTTGCTACTCTGCGGGCATAATTCCCATGCTCCTCAACGTCTTCTACAACCCAGAGATAAAGAGCAACGCAGTCACGCCTTGGCTCCAAGGCGCTCTGGCAGTAATCAAGACCCATGCGGCCAATGCGCCCCTCGTCGTCTGCCGCATGCTCATGGAGCGACAGCCGGGGGTTGCCTTCCTTTGGTTTGGGGTCACTGTCCTGGGGCTACAGGAATGGCTTCTGCACCATGCTCGACTTGGCTGGATACCCATTGATCTCGTGTCTGCAGGATGGTCCAGGACACTGCAGTCTTTCGTCCAGCAGCCTGTATCGACGCCGCTTGACGTGAATGAGGAGATCAGCCGCGCAGACCAGGGTCGGCTGCTGTTCATGTCGACTTCTCCAAAATATCAGTCGGCACCCAGCTGCCCTTGGAAGCCCTTTGGCGAGAATCCAGGCGTCGAGACAGATATGCACGTACAGCATCATGGTCAGTGCAACGGCCATGAACTACAGTGTCGCTCGTTCCAGTGGGACACTGACCGCGGCAAGCTCATGTTCTGGACCGGCGACCTTGCAGATTGTAGCTACGCCATCCCCGGTCGTGCGCTGTTGGATGACGCGGCAGTTCCGACACAGGTTCCCGTCGATTATCGGGGGATGCGCCGCGAAGACGAACTTGCTTCTCAGGTTGCAACCAGAAGCATCTTTGATTGGCTGCGCATGCACGGGAATACACCCGGAGAATCGGCGATTTGGCGGCATAAGTGGTTCAGGAACGACGATGATTCTGACGACGACTGGACCGTTTTGAAATCGGACAGCGGGGATGACGAGAACGGCGACGGCTGGGGGGAGATGCCGAAACTGGGTGAATATGGGCCGTCTACTGGAAACGGCGGGTCTTAGCTGTTCTTTTTTGAAAGACACCTTGGCACGCATCACTTACCTTGGGGTCACACGTTCCTTGCATGTTCTTTTCCCGGAGACTCAGCACTGCCCACAAACACCACCAGCACAGCTGCATATCTATTTCCTTACGAATCAGCAAAACTACCTCGACAGACGGGAGTACACGGGAGGGGACATCTAGAGACTTACGCCGCGGTCGCGGCAAACAGTTCAACCCGCCTAGAGTTGGTCATGAGGGCGACTGACACCGCGGAGATGGTGGGTGGCGAACAAATGTATCATGACAAGTTTTAGTGCTGCATCCTCAACATAATACAAGGCAAAGATTACTCCAACCAAGAGATTGGTGGCCGTGAGAACGGTAAGGATCCTGGCAACAGCCGAGGCTCTCTTCTCGTCGAAGCGTCCGATGCGGAGTGCTCCGTCCCGCGCGGGCTCTCTCTGAAGAGTTTCGCCCCAGAGTCAGGCCATGTGTTCGTGATGAAAGCGTCTTTGCTCACCTTTGCAGGCCAGTACCTTCTCAGCAGTTGGGACACCGGGGAGGAGTCTTCCTGAGCCGTGAGAGCAACGAGGTCGTCCTGGGCGTCGAGAAAGTGTTTGGATTGGCCGCCGAGTACCGGGAATGGTGTGTTGAACCAGTGACTGAAGGCATCGACCGTCCTCTCGCTCAGCTTGTGTAGATTTGCGACCTGGCTTTGCATGACGAGCGTTCCATCTATCCCAGTCAGCACGCCCCGACGTGAGAAAGGAAACCAGAGCACACAGTATTCTCTTAGAGCCTGCTGGATATCGGCAACCAGTATCATGTACCGTTGGGCGTGCTCCTGTCCTTGAGCGTTTTATTCCACGAGCACTTCCCAGGTTCGGGCTGCATCTTTCAGCGTCATGTCGGTGCTGTAAGAGATCTCAAGGTCTCATTGTGGGCGTCCCGAGAGATCCATTCCGCGAAAGCTGCGAAGCCGTCGCTTGGGGATCCATAATTGCGTTTGGAAATTGGGATCGGAATACAGTGTTTGCATGGGCAGGACTGGACGATGTGGATGGTGTCAGCTCAGCCATTCTGCCCAAGTGAATGAATGCCTTGCCGGTCTTTGACGGGAGCAGCCGCTGCTGTCACCCGCAGTGAGTTAGACAGTTGAGCGTTTGCCCAATAGCGCGGTGAGAGATGCAGCTCAGCCACAACCACGGCGCCACCGGAGGAACTGGACATCAGCGGGTTTAAACCGATTCTTGTTTCATGGACGATTCGGGACAGCTTTTTCCTGGATTTCCACGCCCCAACCCTGGGAACCTCGATCCCGGCTCGATTGTTTGGCAACAAAAAGTCAAAATCCAGCACAGCGCAACTCCAGAGTTAGCTTTACTTTTGGTGCTCTCCTCCGGAATTTTAGTTTGTACAACATGGACTGCGCATTGGTGGAGGATAAATCTTGAGATGAATTCTGGGATTCTCAGATCGTGGAGCGGGATATGAGGTGTTTATCCGAGGGCTCGGAGCTGGAGGTGAGATTTCCATTCTCTACCTTACGAGAGACGTTAAGGAGCGAGTTCGCCCGGACTCGCAGCCAGCTCATGGGATTTCTAACGGCCGGGAAGACAACCCCTCCACCAGACAGGAGATCCATCCGGCAGGCTGCCTTCCAAAAGCTTATGGCAGAAGACGACGAGCTTGGTAGGCGGATCGCTAAACACCTGGAGGATTCATTACGGACTTCTCAACATGAACGATCGCTCTCGATTTGCTTTCACTATCACAGACCCATACACAATCCGCGAGCGCAGAGTGCACGGCAGGATCAGCAGCCACAGAATCGAAGCCATCCCAGACACCGGCGCCGATGAATGCTTCATCTCGCCAACCTTCCTGAAAAAAGACTCAGATGCCTACGCCGCGAATATGAAGGCGAATGGCAGCCGATCAGAGAGTTCATGTTCAAGTCCTCCGTGCGGCTCGCCTCAGGCAGAACAATCAGCACCAAACGCGCGGCCATAATCCCATGGCAATTCGAGGGCGAGAGTAGTCTCTCTTGGGTAAATTGCCTGGTTCTGCAGCAGGGCGCGCATGGCCTCTTCCTTGGGGGCAACTTCCTTCGGGCAACCGAGACCCTGACGACGTCAAGCATCGCATCAAGACGACGGTACGGGTCTTCAAGAAGAGTATGTTGTCTCCAATAAGGTTGAACCTCAAATTACATGGGTTTTGACATGCTGCGCTCATTTGGGTATCTCGATGAAGAGGTCGTCTCGGCGCTGCCGGTTTCCGGATCAAATATCATGGCCATGTCGGCCGATTATGCGAGAAAAAGGGAATCTGTCGTGGATAGGAGACATGAAAGGCAAGTGGGAGTGCAGTTCGCAGATGTGTCGACTGCGTGGACGGATGGTATTGTGAGTCAACTTCAGCGGAAATTCGGGAACACGGGTGAGAAAGTGCGATCGGACTTTTACGTGTTGGAGCATCTACCTGTGGATGTTCTCTTGAGCAGTGACTTTGTGTTTGGCCATGATGTGTTTGTGGAGCACGAGAGGGCGTTCTTCGACTATGGTTATGCGTTGGACTTACTGCACCTGTGCAACATCCGATTGATTGGGAGGTATAGCAGCGACCTGAAGAAGCTGGAGGAAGAAGGTTTGATTGATGGTGAGTTCAACATTGCTTATCATGTTACTTCTCCGCTGACACCAGATCAGTCACGTCGCCAGATGCCTTCAGCCCCCTGATGGTTGAGAGGGAGCTTGCCCGCCGCGACGCCATCCGAAACCTGATCTCGGGACGCACCGTTTCTGACCAGATATCGGCACAGCAAGCCGAAGTCGAAAGACAACGGCAGTGGGAACATTGGAGAGCGGAACACGCGCTCAGATGGGCAAACGTACCTCCTCCTGACCCCATACCCGGATCAAACATGGGGGCTTCCGAGTCGGATTCTGGGACGAGTGCTGGAGGGACGTTGAGGTTCTTGCAGCCCGGCAGGTGAGCTCAGAGAAACTTCAGGGTGATTGGAACTCCCCTGGTGCCCTTACGGAGGCGGGTTCCCATGCATGTGTCGGCTGAGGATCAAGTGTAAGCAGCCGTCCCGGTTCACATCATCCATCCGTTTCATTGTGTTTCTCTCCTTCATCTGTCAAGATAATTAGCTCGATGGTTCACCTGATTTGTGGTCTTTTGCCACTTATGTAGGCGGATCAGAATGATCAGCTTCAAGTTTCGAGAAGTCTTATCTCAGAAGGGCGGAAAATCCAAATTGTCACATCCAAATCACAACTACAGCCTCTTAGCCCGCTCGTGCCATCCTATCATAGTGTCTCACACCTCTTTTGACCCAATCCACTTCTGTATATAGTTAGTCACTGAATCAGGATGAAGAGAAGACCCAGTTGGGTAGCTGGTAAAGCATAGGATCCATCGTATATGGTATAAATTCAATGCAGTGTCAGGAGACATAGAAACCTGACCCCTCTAGCAAGAACAGTGGCGTTCTAGCACCCAACGAGCATGGAAGATCCTGGAGGCGACCAAGCATGCGGGGGAAAAGAGATCGGTCAGAAGGTCGTCACCCCACCACTACTACCTATTCAGACGGAATTGTCCGCAGGGCGTTTCGATATCTATGTAGTGGCTGGCCAGATGGATGTCATCACTCGGCCAGACCTGCCAGTTCACTTCCCTAAAACGTCATTCGATCCTTCCGAGAACAAAGTGGCAAACACCCAGAGTTCACCACCATCCGATGCACCCCATATGAGCGTTGACGATGGCGGCTTCACTGCGGTTCGCAACCATCAACACTTCCAAGGTCAGCATCATCGGTGGTTCATCTCGGCTGACCCTGCGGAAGTTCCCTGCAGCGAGTAGTCCAGCGATTCCAAGCACTTCACCGATTTGCACCTCGAGCTCTCGAGTCCCAACCAGATCCCGACTGATCTCGCGCCGAGCATCTCTCATCCCTTACCAGTTCCTATCTGGAATCCAATACTCACCTTTTACCACCTCAATTTGTCGCTTTGACGGGGCCAGTAAGGAATCTCACTTGCCCAGGTGGCGCCCACCCTCCGAAGAGAGCCTCAATGAACGCCCCGTCCTCGTTGTCGGCGCCGGCAACATAGGGCGCCGCGTCGCCCTCGTCTGGGCTTCCATGGGCCGCCCAGTAACCATCTACGACATCTCCCCCGACGCTCTGCATTCAGCAACTCTGTACATCACCGACAACCTCGGCGCCTACTGCACCGAGCGCGGCACCCATCCAGGGCATGTCTGCACCACAACCGACCTCCGCACCGCCACCAGCACATCCGGCCACCCAGAGCGCGATTCGGGCGGCAACATCACGCCCAAAGAGCTCACCAAAGCCCCCTGGCAGGCCATTGAATGTCTTCCCGAGTCCCTCCCGCTCAAGACCTCGGTCCTGGCCCTCCTGGAGCGCTCCTTGCCCTCAGACTGCATCCTGGCGTCCAACAGCAGCAGCCTCACCACGGCCGAGATGGCCGCCGAGGGCCCGCTCAACCACCCACACCGGTTGCTCAACACGCACTACTTCATCCCGCCGCGCAACCGCATGGTGGAGCTCATGTCGTCGGGCACCACCTCGGGCGCCATCTTCCCTTTCCTGGCGGCGCAGATGCGCCGCGTGGGCTTCACGCCCGTCGTCGTGCCGCGAAATATCCAGTCACACGGGTTCGTGTTCAACCGGATCTGGGCGGCGACCAAGCGCGAGACGCTTGCGGTGCTGAGCGAGGGCGTGGCTAAACCGGGAGATGTGGACGCGTTGTTTAGGGATTTCTTTCATGCGGAGAAGGGTCCCTGTGAGAGGATGGATGAGGTCGGGTTGGATACCGTTGCGAGCGTGGAGCAGCATGATCTGGAGAGGCAGCCGGGGCTGGGGAGCGAGGCGTCGTTGAGGTGGTTAAGGGAGAACTATGTTGATGTGGGAAAGCTGGGCGAGAAGAGCGGGGATGGCTTGTTCACGGGCGAGGAAAGGGATGCGCTGAGGGAGAAGCATCATCTGGAAAAGTACAAAGATGTGGAGGAGACTTCTGGTGCATGAGTTAATTTCTGGATGGGATGGATGGTACCTTATCTGCAAAGGGCGTCATGGGCATTTTATTTTCAGGGGACAAAGGACGAAAAAAAGGCTACTTGAAGATGAAAAACGAGTTCTCACCTGCAGGTTGAACTGAAGATCAAGCTGAGGCAGCACAGCTGCAGAGAACTTGTTCCAGGCTTGATGATAGGGCGCGCTTGTTGCTTGATTTGACGTCTGCCAAGGCGGTGTTCCTAGACCGGAGTGGGAAAGAGCTCTCTCCGCCATGTCAACCAAAGGCGCGCCGTCTGGAAGTGGCAGGAGCAAGGAGGGCGGCCTGTTGTGATTTGGGCAGGTTGCGGTGAGCTTAAAAGTCGCAAGTGGAATGCATTGCGAGTTTAGTCTCACTTTCAAGTTCCAGCGTTCAATTCCATCGTCCACACCTTCCACTTCTCCCCAGTTTCGCCTTCTATCATCACAAACTTGAACCCTTAGCAAGGAGCCACCAAATCAAGAGCAGACAGTTCGACCATTAACCAGCACCATGTCCGCCTCCTTCCCCAAGCCCAAGTTCATCACTGGCGGCTGCCTCTGCAACAGCCTACGCTACCGCGTCAATTTCCCCGACGATCACGACTTTGAAGCTTCAGTATTGTCATCCCATTCCTCTCCCGCAATCTCGTCGCACCCAATTCTGTTTCATCTCTTGCTAACCCCAATCCACTCCGGACACAGTTCGGCACCTGCCAATGCACCCAATGCCGCAAGCAGTCCGGGTCGCTCTTCTTCACCTGCCACATCATCAAGCCCGCCAGCACCCAGTTCAAGTTCACCTCGCCGACTACCACCCTCAAGACCTTCCGCGCCAGTCCAGAGGCGGAGCGTGTCTTTTGCGGTGAGTGCGGCTCGTGGATTTACTGGAAGCACTCAGACAAGGACTATCTGTGCTTCACCATCGGCACCGTTGATCCCCTGTATCTGTTTGGGGAAGGGGCGGATGGTGTTGAGGTGCCCAAGGGGGGATTTGGGCTTGCATTGGCGAGCGGAGCCGGGGAGCATGTTTGGGTTGGGAATGAGATCAAGGGGGTGACGGACACGATTGAGTTGCTTGGGCGGAATGGGGGTAAAAGGATCGTTGATAGCGGTGAGTGAGTGGTCACTTGACGGGTGAATGTTGTGAATTTGATTAACTGCTTGATTGGGGAGCTGAAAGCTCATTACTCGCCTGAAACATGTGTTCATCCAACACTTGTCCGACTCCAACACCGAAATCCAGCATAGCTACAACCAAACATAGCTGGCTGGTCCTCCAATCATTGTTGTCTACCACATTAACGTTCCCTTTCGGCTTAGCGCTATGGGCTCGACGACCGATGATGAAGAGGCGGACTTGCTGATCCTTGAGATATCGGCCTGCCATTCTGGTCCGTCTCTGGCAGACGGACATAGTTCTCCGGGAGATTGCTCTCTTCGCACTGCTTTGCCGCGTTGTACTTCTTGAACGCCATTTGAACCAGGACACCCACCTCTTTCCGGTCCCGGCCTATGACCCCAACGGCAAGCAACGCCTCGGTTTGTTCAATCCTGCCGACAAGATCAGTCGTCATTTCTCCTGAGCAGGAAAATAAGTGGAGACAGGGGCAATACTCACCAATCTTGCAGCCTGCGATACTCGGACTGGTCATGGTAAATCCGGTCTGGCAGCCCTTGACCCTTAATCAATGCCAGCACACCGGCAAGAACAGTATTGATGGCGCCGAGGATGGTGATGACAATCACATGGTCTCCAGCAGTCGGGCCCCTAATTGACGAATCCCACGTCAGCATCAAAGAAGACACTTGCCTTTACCCGCCAGGCAGTAACGCCACTCACAGTGCCGTCAACGAAGCGCCAATAATGATCTGCGCAAAATGGCTCGCATTGATGAGAAAGGAAAGAAACCGATACGCGACTTTCTTGCGCCGCACCTCGGTCAGCGCGGACCGGTAGATGCCCACGGCCTTCTTGCGCCCTTCTTCGAGAGACTCCGGGTCGGTCGAGCCGGCCAGCGTGCTGTTGATGCCCACGGCCCGGCGGAAGATGACGAGGTTCTCGTCGTTGAGCCGCCGGATTGGCAGACCCGCGGGCGCGCCCCACGACAGGTCTGTGTCGGATTTCAGGGGCCCGTCGAATCCCAGCCCGATTCTGGCGCCGGAGTCAGCGGGATGGCTGGGCTCAGGCGCGGTACCGCCGACGGTGACATCGGGGCCCGCGAGGGGAGGCAGCAACTCGGCCGTCTGGACTTGGAATGGGATCTTTGAATTGGAAGTTGCTGGGGCCGATGACATTGTTGTTGGTACTGCTGCGTTTTGCTAATATTGATCCGTAGTCAGCTGCTAGTCGAGTAAGAAGGGGTGAGTTCTCGTCTTTGGCTCTCCTTGGGCCCCGGTATGACACGGTGAAGAAAGCCAACCACACCTTCTGCCGCAAGAGTCTTGAGGGGAAAAGGGGTCCTTATAACCGTGTTGTATGTTGGTTATTGGTTGTCGTACCCCTGTCTGTTGCTCAACCTGGGCCGCAGGCGTGCAGCTAGGTCCGAAGATGTCCGTCAGGCACACGTATAAGCGTGAAGGATCGTGGCGGAACTCCGAGGCTTGGGCATCTACGGAACCATAGATCTTTGAAATTTTGTCAACATCAGCCGCTGGGCCACGTCCTTGTCCAGATGGTCAGCGAAGTCTTCGTGGAGGTCAGCAGCCACCACCTCGGTGGCACAGTCAACACCGCACGTCGCCTCGCTCGGAGACACCCATATATAAGTGTACAGTATGCGTCAAGGACAGTAACGTCATCAATCAGATGTTCTGACAGCGAGACTTGACTGTCTAGGGCATTAACTTTCACTTGAACGCGAAAACGTTGTGTTGTTAGCGCTTAGTGGACTGCTGCGTTAGTGCTTACATGTGTCGAATTCTTCAATGGTCCAGTGGGTCAGGTACGGTGTTGACAAACTTGACATCTCAGCTCAACTCGGCGTTTCGCGTAAGATGCAGAATTCAGATCGAATGACATCTCAATGGTAGATATCCGAGTCCCGGTACGGTAGCAAATTTGGCGCAGATCACAGCTGGTGCCTTAGGGGCGTAGCTCCGTCCTCACTGCTCTTAACTGAACTGGAACCTGGCCTTATTCAGCTCCCTAGCACATCCTCCAGGACGCGCTGACGGTTTATTGGGTCCGCATCCATTCTGGATTAGAATGCTGTTGCAGACACCTCAATCTAGCAACAGCCATACCCAGCCCAAGTCACATGGGCACGCAAGAATCACGCCCACCCTCGCCATCCAGCTCCATCGCCTGCTCCCTTTTCTCCGTATACTCCTCCTGGTTCTCCTAACCATCTCAGTAATATGCGTCAAAATCGCCTCCCTCCCCTTCTCGAACGCCTCCGCCATGACCCTCAAATACTCTTCGTCCTCCTCCGTTCATCACCAATAACGCCAGCCCCAATTTCTCCGTCTGCCGGCATCCCATGTCCTTCTCGTAGGCGCGCACATATAGCCTGTGACAACGCCCCGCCAGCTGCTCCTCGATTCTGACGAATTGGTCATCATGGAGGTTGTGGCGGTGGTATAAATTCAGACTTGAGAATGGGCGAATTGTGCCGGAGATGTCGTTGAAGAGGTCGTGTTTTGCGTTTGCGAAGGTCTCTAGGCCCGGAATTGCGGATTTCGATTGTTTTCGCTGCGGCGCTTGTTGCCGGTGGTGATTTTTGGATGGCCTGAAGGGTGAAGTTGCTTGTATTTGTAGCTCCCTCCTTCTGGCAGAGCGGTAAGTAGGGGTGGGGGAAGCCGCAGGGGGACCCGGGGCGGCGCGGGCTTCGACATGGCATGGAGGTGGCGAGGCGGTTGCCCAGCGAGACCATCTCCATGATGGCGTCGTCAGTACGACCTCGGACCTTGCACGTTTGACTATGACGGTGACTTCCAACCGGACTTTGTGGGTGATGGGGTCGACGATTTGCTTCGTTTTTGCGATGCGGAGGAAAAAGAAGGAGGATGTAAGCGGAAGCTCGGCGTCGGGGACCGCGTCGATGTTCCAACTGAACTGCCGGCGCAGCACTAGGTTGGACTTGATAATTTTGAAAAGATGTTGGCGTCGACCGTCAGCATGCGGTGGATGTCGTCTTTGGCAGCAGATATGAGCGCTGAGAGCCGCGCCTTGCGTGCTGCGGCTACCGGTTGGGCGCGGATAAGGAGGGCGTCAGAGAAATTGGATCAAGGGATTTTCCTGCCGACGAAAAAAAGCCGGGCCAAAGAATCTCTCGAGAGCCGGAAACAATCCCAGGGGTTTTTTTGAGATAGCCCTTTTTGACGAGCAGGTTGTGTAAACGCATGAGCACCATAGGCTCGGGGCGGCGCTCCCGAAACCCACATGCCGGCGTTGTAAGCGAGCTCCAGACTCTCCATGAGGCCAACGCCACACAGGGAAGGGCGAGTACTCCCAGAGGCCATTCGCATTGGCGTTGGAGAAGCGAGACGGCGGGATTTTGGCGAGACCTAATTTGTACCTCGACTCGCCGAGCCAGTTGGCAAAATCATCCTGCAAGTCTTCCAACAGCGCATGGACGTCTCGATGTCGGTTGGGATCTCAGAAGAGCGTGGCGTTTCTGGCGCAGATCTGTTTAAGAACATGGGCAGCTTGAAGGAATCTATGGCCCTACCTCTCTCATTTTTGCGGTCGAGGAAGAGGTCGACATCACGCCTAGGTCGGAAGCTCCAGGGTGGTAGGATGACCTTGTGGCCCTTGAAGGAGCTGATCGTCCAACCGCGATAGACACCCAAAGAATTTACGATACACTGGAGTTGAAATATGTGATGTGGCAGGATACGTTTGCGGATGTCCGTCCCTTGCTTCTGCATCACCAGGGAAGTGACGAAGTTCGCAATTTCGTTCAAGCCGTATAGCCTCCGGTGCATGCTCCAAGGCCCAATCGGCGACCAATCGACCTATTCCGGAGCTTGAGCCTCGCCCTTCATGGCGTTGCTCTGCACCACAACAGGGGAGAAGATGTTGACCAAATCGTAGAGGAAGTTGATGGTATAGGAAGGGCGCCCACCGAATCCTGTCTTCATTCATGGCTCTCTGGAGGTCGAATTTAGGATCCCAGTCGTGAATATCGGCGAGCGTGCGCTTCGTCGGTTTACCCGAGCGTGCCTTTTTTTCTTTTTTTTTTGAGTCCTCGAGAAAGTCGATCAAGTGGCGATAGGCATGAATCATGAACTGCTTCTTGACACCAATGGCAGTGGTCTGAACCTTCTCGACCTCGCCGTTACGCCACGTTCAGACGGGACAGTTTGAGAATGCCCTGTGCCTTCTCCGGGTCACCCTCAGTCATGGTTTGTATAACGGTCTCATAAGCGTCGTCGCCAGGGAAGCCGACAAACGTCTCCGCTGCAGATCGCTGGATCATGGCGATGGCCAAGTTGGAAACAGCGCCGGCAACCGCAGTGTTCAAGCCATCGTAGGCACACTCGCCCCATACGCCCTGCAAGTACGCCTGATAGCAACACCACTGTCGAATGAGGGCGTAGCTAGCCACCAAGTAGTCGATAGAAACGTCTTCGGTATCCTGGAGGATGCGGCAGCTCTCCAGCGGAAGGTCATTCAGGCGCGTTTCCTTGGCGGGTTGGGGCTGCTGCTGTTTCTTGGGCTTCGTTTCTCACTTGCACTTCTTTCCCTTGCCGGTTCTCGCCTGCTTGCGCCTCCTCGGGTCATGGCTAGGACCTCTCGCGGGCTGATGATCACTGGTGGCCTCATCTTCGGAATCTCTCCAGAGTCAAGGGCACCAAACTTGTTGAGCAGAACAAGGCGATCGAGGTTGTCCTTGATGTGGGAATTGTCGGTGTCAACATCATCGCTGTCTGTCGTGACATCGGGCTACCAGTTGTTCCCTCCTAGAGTGTGGAAGCCTCAATCAAATCATCCATGAACTAGAGTACCAACATTGTCAGCATGGAATCGGGGATTCCAAACTTGAAACATGTCGGGAGGGTCCAATTGGGGATAATTGTCCACACACAAATAATATTGTTGCTTACATGCTTATGGGTCAGATTGCTTTTCTCGATGGCCGGGTCTGGATTTTCGGCCACGATCTGGTGAACGCTCGGTAGGTTTGAGTGCGGGCGTCAATGACGGCGCGGAACAAACGAAAGATGGCGGGCGGCACGGCGGTGACGTGCTTCGCGATGAGGCGGCACAGAGACACCAGGCTCGCGACAGTAATCTCTCCCGTTGTGTTCACCTGCACAGCTCCATCGTCAGGTATAGCCAACGCCTTGAAAATGCCGTTAGACGTGGGGATGAACCAGTACAGCAGATGGCTAGTGTCGCGCGCTTGTACGCGACGTAATTGTTGGGAGTGGCCATGCTCGCAAAAGTGTAGGACTGCACCGTCCACTGTTGAGTAAAAGTGAAAATCAGAGTGAGAGATAGTAATGGTATGTGTGAGATGGTGCGAAAAACAAACAACGCCGTGTTAAATAATCGATGCTTGTCGAATACCCATTGAACATACACGCTGATTGCGTAGGCACTTCGGACCGGAGCCGTGTGCTAGGTTGAAATGCAGAAGCATTGTTTCCAGTTGTGTCTATTATCACCGCGCCTATACCTCCCGGCTTCGTTGAAGCTGTTGGATAGTACACCGTCGATACCTCTCCTATTAGTTACACCTTCATGCCATTCTCCTCAATCTTCCTCCCCCGTTCATCATAGACAATGACACTGAACGCCTCAAAGTCCCCCACATCCACCAGCCGCCCATCATCCTCCATGTCCGGCGGCAGGCGGGCGTACATGCCCATCCCGGCCCGCGGCCACAGCGCAGCAAGCGGATCACTCTCCTCATCCTCCTCGTTCATCCTCTCCTGGCTCTCCTCTTTCTGACTTCCCTTCCCACCAGACGCCGACCTCCTTTTCCCTCCCTTGCCCGCTCCGTTCCCCACAACCTTCCTCACGTAGTTGATCTGGCCCGTAGGATGCGTCTCGGCGCGTGAGAACAAGCCTTCGGTCGTAGTCCCCGCGAAAAGCGACCCGGGCTCCGTACTCGCTTGGTGGTGTTCACCGCCCAGCGAAACCGGGAAGATGGGCAGGTCCGGATGCGCCTCCAAACACGCCATCAGCAACCCGACCAGCTCCCGCTGCGGCAGCGTCGACAGATAAGCCCGTTTTGCCGCCGCCGGCCTCCCCGCCCAGCTCTCTTTCTGGTTCTCCCTCTCCCCTTTTCCGACCCTCCCACTCCCACTCCCACCACCACCGTTGGTATTAGTGTTACCACCACCCTGCTGCTCGCCCTTCCCCCTCCGCTCCCGCTTCAACGCACAGGTCTTACAGAACCACGCCCGCCCCTCATCCCGCACGGCATCGTCCCCGACCCAGGGGTCATGACACCGTTGGTGCCAGCCGTCGTTGCACCCGTCGCAAAACACAATCTGGTTGGCCGCAGGGCTGTGCATGCGGCTGCACTTGCGGCACAGCGCTTGCTCGGCGGTGCGCTTGCCGTAGTGGTGGGCGGGCACGCGGGCCCGCTTGCTGGCGGCGTCCATGGCGGCCGGGTTGTAGGCGGCTGGCTTGAGGACCTGGCGGCCGGATTTGGTCATTGTCAGCGGGATTGGGGGGGTGGAAAACGTGGTTGAGTTGCTATCGAAGTGGGTTGAGGTAGGGGGTTCAGGGGTGGATGAATTGCTGGAGGAGGAGGTGGTGGGGGATGAGGCTGCTTCGTCGGCAGAGTCGTCGTCGACGGCTTGAGACTTGGTGCGTTTGCGTTTGGGGCCACGCGGGCCGGTGGAGGGTTTTGTCTTCTTGATCTTGCTTTCTGAGGAAAGAGTCTTTATCTTGGAGATGGCGGGCTTGATAGGCAACGGCTTGGAGGAGGCTGTCAGGCCAGCCGTAACCTTCCTGATGGCGCTCATGCCGACTGTGCTGCTCGGTGGTCTTGCAGCGGCTGTTCTGGGCGCTGGAAGAGCAGATGACGGGACCCGGATAGGGGGTGCGGCGGGCATTTGTATCGTCATCTGGGTCGAGGTGGTCATGCCCATGACTAGGCGCCTCTTGACATCTTCATAAGTTGCCGAGGGAATGCCGGCTGTGAGGGACGGGGAACGAGCGGCTTGTGACAAGGCCGCACTAAGACTGCTGGGCTCGCCCTTCATCCGTTTGAGAATCATCTGGGTAGCTGCGGTAAACTGCGGAATGTACAGGGGCCGGGTAGGTTGGAAGGAAACGGCGGATGTTGCTGCAGGTTCGGTGGGTGCCGGAGCTGGACCCGCAGCCAGCTGTGACGTGTTCTTCTCCATCTCATCTTTCTGAGCTTCCGAGTCCGATGATTCTGTCATGGTGAAGGCGAGGAGGATGTTGAAGAGAGACAACGCCAAATTGGTGTATGGGCAGGTGATTGTGATGTTTAAGGAGAAGATGCGCGGCACCGCGGTAGGAGATGTATTGTACGAGTAGCTCGATATCTGCTGAGTATGGTATTCTCACAATATTGACGAGGTAACCGATTGGGAGTCTGATGGTTTTTGCTCAAAAACGGTGTCGCTGCTGCAGATAAAATGAGGCGGAAGTCGTGAGGTTGACGATTTATCTACTTTCACGTGACTTTCACGTGCTTAACTCCCAACCCCTGTGGACGTCCATTCTGGATTTCAGGGGCTGGAGTCAACAACCAAGCAGCTTGCTTCCAATAGAAGAGTGATTAAGGGATTGTGTTGTCACTACCTAATAACACCCTTCTTCCTCAATTCGGTAATCCGAGCTTCATCCATCCCGAGGTGCTCCCGCAGGATCTCGTCTGTGTGCTGACCGAGGGTTGGTGGCGGGCTCCGGATCTTGGGCTCGCTCTCCGAGAACTTGATGGGCGTGTTGACCATCTTAATGGGCCCGCAGTCCGCATGCTCTACCGAAACCACCATGTTCCTGGCCTTGGTATGCTCATGCGTCAGTGTCCCCATAACATCGTTGACCGCCGCATACGGCATCCCCTTGCCCTCAAACACGTTCAGCCAGTCTTGGGTTGTCCTGGTCACGGTAATCGCCTCAATCTCAGCCTCGAGCTCATCACGGTTGGCGACTCGAGATGCGTTGATCTTGTACTTTGGGTCCTCCTTCCATTCCGGTCGGCCAAGTCCGTCGCAGAGAATTCCGAAAAGACGATCATTTCCGCCGCCAAAGAGGATGTCGCCATCCTTGGTCTTGAAGGACCTATATGGAACGATGGAAGCTGCGTCTGTTAGTGAGTTCAGTGGTTGGAAGGACTGTCCTACTTACGATGAGCTGTCCCCCACCGCCCACTGTCTTTCTCCCCACTGATGAGGCAGCTGCTGGCGATATTGGCCAGCGTGACCGTCTGGCAGTCGCTCAAAGCCGCGTCAATGTGCTGGCCCTTGCCGGTCTTGGCGCGCGCAAGCAAGGCGGCCATGATACTGTTGCTGGTGTACAAACCGGTCGTCAAATCCGTGACTGCCACGCCCACCTTGACCGGCGGCCCATCTCTGCTGCCAGTGATGTGCATCAAGCCAAACTCAGCCTCCACCATGACATCGTATCCGGCCCGCTGCGAGTACGGGCCCGTCTGGCCGTACCCTGTAATGGACGCATAAATGAGAGCCGGACTGATCTTGTGGATCGTCTCAAAATCGAGGGCGTACTTCTTGAGCGAGCCAGGAATGTAGTTCTCGACGAGGATATCGCATTTGGCGGCCAGTTTGTGGAGAATCTCGATGCCAGCCGGGTCCTGGAAAGATAGAGCCAGAGATTTCTTGTTTCGGTTGACCTATGCAGGGGTTAGTGTGTACCCAAGACTGATACACTTCACAAGTGGCTTACGCCGAGGAAATAGGCCGACTCGCCAGGGCCGTCCTGTAGTGAACTGGACTTGTACGAGGCATACGGCGGCCCCCAAGCACGGGTATCATCGCCCCTGATCGGATGCTCTATTTTGATCACCTCTGCTCTCAGGGGATGTCAACACTCGGCGGCCCATCAGGACATGTACGAGGCTTACCCGAGATCCCCCAGGATCTGAGTACAGTACGGCTAGTCGCAATGCGTCAGCCGGTCCTTAGGCGCGTCGAAAGTCATGGTAGGTCTTACTCCTGCAAGGACTCTTGTCATGTCTAGCACGCGGTAACCCTCGAGCGGAAGTGACCCCTGGGCCGAGGCCGCGACCGAGACGGAGAACAGACGACGGCTGGACGCGCTGGACCCCGGGATCCGCCTTGAGCCGAGCCGGAGTGCACGGCGACAAAAGTTCAATGGCCGAGTCATGGCAGAAGATGTCAATTGATGAGCTATTCAGATCGCAGGGGAAATGATGCGGGCTAATCCGGACAAGAAAGATTATCTCATCCTGGGCATTGGGAATGGGGGCAGAACAGCTGAAGCCTCAGAACCTTGGGCCGAAAGTCTGTTACCGCCGGTTTCCGCCCGGACTTGTGCTTGAAAAGCCGAGGTAACAAGGCGGATCGGCGAGACCCCTGATTTTACCCGTCTCTCGCTCATCATTTATCATCGGGGGCGACGGACTGTATCAATGCTAAGTTGCGGCCAAACAGATGGGATAAGAAGTGTGACTATCCAACCGATCAAGGTGTGTCAATGTTAATAGGGGTCCGAGGAGTGCGGCAGCCAAAAAGTGGGGATTCTTGGTGTTTGAGAAAGAGCAGAGACAGCATGGGGCCGGTATTCGTACAATTGCGTAACTGACAGAACAAGGCACAGATGGCAGCATCAAACATAGAGGGGTTGTACGGAGTGTGCTCATTCAACACACAGGCCAGCCAAGTTTCAGATTCATCTTTCCATATACTCTGGCTAGCACATAACACGCCGCTCCTTCTTTGTCCCATCTACATTTCTGCGACCCTCTGGCGGCTCATTCACCGGCATTGACTGGTCCTGGCGTCATGATGATGACATAGTCTGTCTCGGAACACGGCGTCTCAAAGTAACGACCACCACACGCCCTTCTCATAGCTCTGCCTGGGACATAATGGACAGTCCATCCGACGGCCTCGACAAGTTTCTTCCCAAGTCAATTGCAGCGAAACGGCGGCGCAAGAAGGCCTTGTCGGCGACGGATCTAGTCAGCACCAGCGACGATGGTGCGCCACAGAGCTCCAACGGCACCCCCGGCAGTGACGCCAACTCGCTCCATAGCAGCCTCAAGAGCAGCAACACCGACGGTGCTGTCTCCGAATTGCTTTCGGAACCGTGAGTTAAAATTCATTCTGCAATTGACCTTTTACCCTTTTTCCGATTAGTTCCTAGCATCAGGACGTCGAGCAGGTGCTGGTCAGCTTAGGTGTGGAACGCATACGCGTATTTCCTCCCAATGCACGTATTCGCTGTAGTTGGGAGCTTGGTCCCACCTCCACCTTGGCTCTCGATGCTCTGCGCCTCCTCCGGGCGGCGTTTCCGCCAGGCGTTGGCCCCTCGTCGTCAGTCTCACTCCCTCTTATTAGAACTTTCTCGTTCTCTTCAAATTCCGGGTCAAGCCGCATTCGTCCTTCTTGAACAACGTTTCCTTTGTGTATCTCTAGGGGCTTGTCCTGGTGTGTCGCAGAAGCACACAACAACTGACATCACATCCGATCGCTTACAGTCCCGACCGTCGCTCCACCGCCATCTCGGCCCATTCATCCCGAGTCGGCCACTCGACGACATCGTCGCTCCTTGCACAGCCAGAGCCGCCGGTGACGGACGGCAACGACTCCGCCCGGGCATCAACATTACCTCGCGAGAGCTCCAATAGCCTCGAATCCGCTGCGCCACTCGAACGAAGCCGGACCAGCTTCGGGCCACCCGAACTTCGGTCGAAGCGGTCCTCGTCGAGCAACCGCTTAAGAGACGCGTTCAAGCTAAAGAAGATTTCGGGCGACGAAAAAAGCCCAGCCACCGACCGTAAACCTGGAGCTGTGCCCGTCCAGAGTTCCGAAGCTGCGCCCAAACCGTCTGCTGGCCGCAGCCGTCGCCTCTCACGAGGCCAGAAGCTCGAGCCGTTGCAAGCGCCACCTCGAACACCGCCGCAAGACGCACCGCCTCCCGTGATCGTCAATACTCCGCCTACGCCGACCGATCCTCATCAGGATCTTGCGACATCCGAGATTCCGCGCCGCCCGGCTGATGCAGTCGTTCCGGGGAACATGAGCACCCAACGACGGAGGGCAGGCTCCAATGCTGGCCCGTCCAAGCTCTCCACCAGCGCTGTTCCGCCCCTGACGCCGACCCCCGAGAATGTTCCAGCATCGCCGAACAATGCTGCTGCCACCTTTTTCTCCTCCATGTTTTCTGCCGTGCAAAACACTGCCAACCAACTCAGTACCACAATACCAGCCCTTGCCCAGGGTCCCAGCAGGAACAAAGAACCATCCCAGGGAAGGGACGGGGCTGACAGGGCACAAGACACAGTTGAGGTGGAGTCGGTAGCATCCCAGCAAGCCTCTTCTACTGAGCCCAAGGAGCCGGCCGTGAAGACCCTGGGCACGGGTGACCTCAGCCTCAGCCATCTGGGCATCGTCGACACCCCCAGTGCAGCACCGAGTCCTGTTGCTGCACGCTTCGCCGACACTGAACCGCGAGCGCGGTCCGAATCCGCACCGGCAGAAGCCCATGCTGTCGACACTGAACACCCGGATGAAGTCCATGACTCCCGGCCTCGATCTGCTTACGAACCTGCGGGCGGGGATCGGACACCGCCGGCCGGGAGCGTATATGAGGGTAAGACCGGCATTCATCGCAGCGGCAGTATCCGCAGCGCCATCGGTCATCGTAGAAAGCGTGGCAGCAGTGTTGCAACCTACGGTACCACCGCCACAAGCACGATTGGCGCCGCCGTTGCTGCTGCTAATTCATCACTCATCAACCCTACAGCCGGCGGCCCGAAGCTGACAGGGTTCGCCGTTGCCAACAAGAAGCGCAACCGCGACTTCCACGCCCTGTTCAAGAGCGTGCCAGATGACGACTACTTGATCGAAGACTACAGTTGTGCGCTGCAGCGCGAGATTCTCGCACATGGACGCTTGTACATATCCGAAGGCCACCTGTGCTTCAGCAGCAACATCCTCGGATGGGTTACGACGCTCGTCATGAGCTTCGACGAGATTGTGGCCGTCGAGAAACGCAGCACTGCCCTCGTGTTCAAGAACGGCCTCGAGATCTCCACGCTGCACGCGAAGCACATCTTTGCCTCGTTTGCCAGCCGGGACACTACCTACGACCTCATCATCAAAATCTGGAAGCTTGGGCACCCTCACCTTCAAAGCTCACTTAACGGCGTCCGGCTAGAGGAGCCAGGCGGCGATCGCACCGAGAAAGTGGAGGATGCCGAGTCCGTGTCTGCAGTAGGAACGCATAGTGTATCAGGCTCCGACGATGAGGGCGACGACGGCGAAGACATCTATGACGAGGATGAGGACGAAGGTGGCGTTGAAGCCGCTGCACCACCGCCCGACGGCCCCGTTTCAGACGTAGCCGACAAGAATGGTTCTCGGAAGGTATCGGGCGGGATGGCGCCCCCCGAGAAGGCCGAAGATGGCGTACCAACAGGCGGCGCCGACTTCCCAGGACCTGCGACCCATGCGCCCACCGATTGCGGTGATGTAGCCGCGCATTTCGAGAAGGTTCTGGGCGACGACGTTATCCCCGCGCCCCTGGGCAAAGTGTACAACATGCTGTTCGGCCCGGCATCCGCAGCCTGGATGGGCCGCTGGCTCACAACGGACCAGAAGTGCACTGATTTTCAGATGGAGGACAAGCGCGGTTTGACTGACGAGATCAGGACGCGCAACTTAACTTACATCAAACCGCTGTCAGGCTCGATAGGGCCAAAACAGACAAAGTGCATTGTCACGGAGCAACTCGATCAGTTCGATCTCGAGAAGTCGGTTCATATCCTCGTCACCACCCAGAATCCCGATGTCCCGAGCGGCAACATATTCGTCGTGAAGACCAGGTATTGCCTCACCTGGGCCGAGAAGAATGGTACCCGCGTCCAGATCAGCAACCTCATTGAATGGTCTGGCAAGAGCTGGATTAAGGGTAAGCTACCCGCCCCAACTTTGCATTGACTTCTGTTGACTGCTCAGGCCCCATTGAACGCGGCGCAAACGACGGCCAAGCCCAGTACTGCAAGGACCTCTTTGCCACACTCAGAGCCGCCGTCTCGTCCCGCGCGCGGTCCGGCAGCGCGCTGAACGGGGCAGCCGTCCGCGGTAAGAAGCGCAGCCGAAAGAGCAAGTCCGCCCTGGCCTCCACCCCGGCTAGCGACGCCGAGAGCGTAGTCAATGTCTCGGCCAAGCAGAGTTGGGGGCTCTTTGAGCCCGTGCGCCCCATCCTCAGCCCCGTTGTCGACACGATCAGGTCCATCCTCACGGGCAATGTCGTCTACGGCTTGCTTGTCGGCCTGCTGGTGGCGTCGTGGTTCGGCTTCGGCACCCGCCAGGGCGCCCCGCTGTATACTCACGATCCGGCGTACGCCAACGCCCCACAGCGGTTGGCGGCGTACGAGGAGATGTGGAGGCGGGAGGAGAGCGATCTGTGGCGGTGGATCGAAGAGCGGGCGGGGTTAGAGAGGCTGGGCACGGATCCGCCGCTGAGAAAGCGTAGCGTTGACCCGAGGACGGTGGAGGAAAGGCTCAGGGAAGAGAGGATGGATGAGCGGGAGCTGAGGGAGGCGATCCGCGTTACCGAGGAGCATCTTGAGGTTTTGAAAGCGGTAGTGGATAAGAAGGGGGCGGAGGGGTGAGGCGGTACCTCTTATGTATACACACACTCATTGCCGATGGCGACGTCGTCTCTTTTTTCCTTGTTTCTGTTCTGAGGGCGGGCCTTGGTTATTAGCTGTGCATAAGCGGGCGAATATGGACGTTCACTTGGGCTGGTTTCCTCCTTCATAGCAGCCTCCCTCGACTTGGATACCGTAGCTGGTGTTCTAAGGTAGCAGATGTTTTCAATTGGCTTGAACTCAACAACCTATTGCTCTGAGTGTGGGTTCCTAGCCAGGAACAATGTGAACGGCGGTTTAGCTCATCCCAATCCCTCACCTATACATACAATTTCAGTGATCCAGGAACCTTCTACATTGTTGAACCATGTGTTCCGTCTTGTCTCGCGAGTCATTTGTGTACCTTCTCTACGACCGATATCTTCTTCATGGTATACAGACTCTTCCTTGAGCTAACATTGGAACCGTCCAATGCATATCTTGTCCCTGGTTTGCATCGTGAAGTAACGCCATACAACGCATCGCACACTGATATATCTTGGAAATGCCTGCGCCTCCCTTTTCTCTCTCACCCCCTTTCCATCGCCACCCTCACCAGTTTCCCCCTTCACCACAGTTTCCCCCTTCACCACAGTTTCCCCCTTCACCACAGTTTCCCCCTTCACCACAGTTTCCCCCTTCACCACAGTTTCCCCCTTTCCTTGTCCCAAGCCCTACTACCAAACATCCGGCCCGAACCTGCCCCGCTCTGGCACACTCCTATACGCACACGCCTGCCAGTCACACCCGCGCTTATACACCTCCGTGCCCCACCACGAGAACCCGTTCATGACGCCCGAATAGACAAACCCAAAGAACACCACGACAATGCCAAACGCCAGGCCGGAATCCAGCGCCGCGCTCAGCGTCATGGTGTATTTGGCCCACCACGCCGGCGCGCGCCTCTTGACCAGGTAATTAAACACGTAACAGACCAGAGCCCAGACGGAAAAATTCAATCCTGTCGCGGGCGGGATCCAGCCGAGCGAGCCGAACAAGACGGGTAGGTTGACTTTTCGGAGGAGCGAGTGCCTGCGGTTGCGGGCGTACAGCCACAGGGGAAGGGGCAGGACGGCGCCGACGGCAAAGGCCCACACCAGGGGCCGGTAGGTGGCGCCGGGGCCGAAGAACTCGGCCGGGCCGACGACACCCCAGAGGATGGAGCCGTTGAAGTGGACCCGTGCAATGGGGCAGGTAAAGCCGTTCAAAGCTTGCGGGGTGCAAATGTTCGGAATGTTGATGAACATCCAGTTGAGGACGGCGATTTGGGTGAGTGAGGAGATGATGGTGGCGACGATCTGGACAGTGAAGAGAATCCGCGGGGGGATCTTCATATAGTGGCCGAGCTTGAGGTCGGCGGCGAACTTGATGCCCTGGGCGGACGAGATGTAGCCGTACGTGACAAAGACCATGTTGGCGACGGGGCGACCGGGGAAGATGATCCCAGCAATGAGCTGGCAGATGAGGTAGATGGATGAATGCTGGTTGGTGACGGCCATGACAATGCCAATGGGAATGAAGAGAACAGTGCAAATGGCGAGGGCGAGGAGGAGGCCGTACCACGGGAGGTGGATCGGGTAACTGGGATGTCAGCAATGGTTCAACAGTTCGTTTACACGGGGGAACTCACTATTCAACGACAAAGATGCCGATTGCCGTCATTGAGATGAACGTCGTCAGATACCACAGCATCGGTGCGTCCTTGTATCTCTTCATCAGACGATTGTGGACATCCTCGCGGCTCATGAGGTTGTCGATACTCGTTGAGGATCTGTTTGCCCGTCGGTCATGTCCGTTGGATGCGCTGGCTGACGATTCGCCTGAATTGGTTACTGGCTGGTAACCCCATTTTGGCTCTCCAGACGGCTCCTCCAGTGACCTTTTCCACTGCGTCCATATGTCCTTGCCATGCCAGCAGATGGTGTGCGTAAGAAGCGAGGCCAGTCCGGCAAACTGCACCCCGTAGCTCAGGACGTACGTGATGGGGAGGAACACACGGCTGTACTTGGAGTACGCCTCCCGATCAAACAAAAAGTCCTCGGTAAGAACCTTACTGACGTCGTACACATTCCCGGTGTTATCGAAGACGGCTGACGACAGAATCGGCATGTACGCCGAGTACAGCCAGTTGCTGTAGTATGCGATGGGCGCAACGATCCACATGACCAGGACGAGACCGCCGACCACATTCATGGCTGCCCAAAAAGGGGTTAACAGCGGTGAGCCAATGTAGGCTACCTGTGCCCAGTCAAAAGTCAGGGGAAACAATCCCAGGCCGGAGACAACGCCGAACAGGTTGGCAATGACGACGTTCTCAGGGGCGAACCAGGTGATGACGTTGAAATAGCTGAGGGCGGGCATCAAGAGGCCCGGCAGAAAATAAAAGAGGAAGGCGCCTAGCCAGACAACGTAGAAAAACTTCCACCGGCTGATTTTCCAGCCGTCGGCCTCCTTGTTCTCCTCCTTATGGAGGGTGGTAAACATGGCCGCCGACATGAGGGTCCCAGGCCAAATCATGCCACTCGGCCGGACCAGGAAGCGCCGCGTGAGGCCAGCGAAGGCGTAGCCTAGAATCTGCGTGGATAGGGTGAGCAGGAGCTGGTAGGTAATGCTGGCTTCCTGCTTGTAAAACTGCGTCTGCTCGACGATGACATCGGTGGCAAAGGCGAAGCCGAACGACACATTGCTGCTGACATAAACGCAGCTATGCTCCTTTTCGTTCCAGCGGCCCTGTGCCAACCACAGCCGCACGCGATCGAGTCTGCTCCTGCGCTCCCAGGGGACGAAATGAGGTTGGTCCTCTGTGCTGGCTGTCGACGCATTGTCGCTACGGAAACCGTCAACATACTCTTCAGGCGGATCATCGGAGCGTTTCAATAGATAGTCCCATAAAAGACCAAGCGGGTGTACCATTAACAACGCTATAACGGGAGTGATTGCAACACTGGGGTATCTCAGGGAGAAGAACAAATTGGTCGAGGATCCGAGAATGGAGAAAAGGATAGAAAGAGCCCACATCCGGGGCGTGTTGATTGAGAGGCTTGTGTTGTCGGTGGGCGAGACGGAAGCGCGGACTTGGGCATAGGGAGAGTTGTCGGGCGGATCGTCCTCATCGTCGATGTCCGAGTCGGGCACCGAAAAGAACTGCTCCTCGTCTTCGTCTGCGGATTCGCGCTGTTTGTCCAAGTCGTTCAGAAGGGGTGTATCTGTGGTGCCGAAGCGGCCCTCAAGTCCACCAATGGTGGTAGATCCCCCGAGCTCCTCAGACCGTCTCGGCGTCTTTCTCAAGGTAGACGACCTGGAATGGGAGCCATCCCCGCGTCTTCTTATTCGGAATTCCCTAATCGAATCTCGGCTTGCATCGGAGGGCTTCCGGGACGGCACCGGGGAGGGGGCGGTGCTCTCATCACCAGTGCTGTCATATGAATTCTGCGGGTCGATGGAGCCATACGACGGACCGGTGAAGCCCGCGGCCGCGCGCAGCGTAGTGGGGTCTTTGGTCATGAGTTCGCGTGTCGGCTCCGGGTCGGCCGGGCAGTCGGTCTCGGTCTCGTCCGCCGTTGCCGCTGTCGAGTCGGGTCCGCGGCCATAGGGATCGGCACTTCGAAGCTCGGCGCGGTCGTGCGATGATAGCAGCGGCTCGTTGTTGTGGAGATGAGGGGAAGCAAGCCCGGGGGTGAGCAGCGTGGGTCCTTGTCCGAGTGCGGATCCCGAGGCCAAGGATTCCAGAGGAATTCCTTGGACAACCTCGAGATGCCTGTTCGGCCCAGTGGTGTTGCCGTCGGGAAGTGTCATAGGCCTGCCTGCGCCGGAGCTTTGTATAAATGCAGGCGTGACTGGTCGGAAGCCCCATGTGCAGCCGCAATGCGAGACATGGGCCTAGAACCTGGGTATGACGTCGATAGGAGAGTGCCAAAGGCAGCGGTAGGATGGCATTGAATGGAAGGATTCGCACAATTGTGTCTCAACTCCAGTTCGAGCTTGGCCGTGCAGCTCAGGTACCTATATGTAAGGCATCAAGCTGCGCTGTCAGCAGCTGGATGACACTGGATGAGACGATCGCTTCTTGTCGTCACAATTGAGTCCCAGTCTTTGGAATACCTACCAAGCCGGGACCCCGGAAGTGGCGCCCTTGGCATTGATGGAACTGTAAATACACGCTTTGCAGACCCACACCCGGCAGGCTGGAGGAACACTGGGGTAAAGCGAGGCCAGTATTGTGTATCGCGGTTTGATGTCTGCTAGAAACCTTTCCTCGTCTGGGAACTAGGCATTCTTAAGTGGCGTCTGTTGACAATGCATGTTGGCGCCATGCAGCGTCGTGGTGCCGCCGACTTTGGAGAAAAAGGCAGGGACGTAAGAGTACTCCGTAGATTACAGCAATAATCCGTATGGCACGGATTCTTGTACTTGTAATTGTAACATACACAGTGCGTTGCAGCAGCCCACGCATTTCACTTTCTGCCGATCAACACCAGTCACAGCACCACTCAAAACTCGCATACAAGTCGCACAACTTTGGAAAGCTGGCACGAGTTGCTTCAACAACCAAGGCAACAACTCAGTCACTTCCAAATGTCACAAACGGCAGAGATGAACGCAACCGCGCCGCTGAACGTCGCCAAGCGCAACCTCCGAGCTGCCCTGAAGCTGAAGCTCAAGGATGTCTCACACAACTCAATACTATCACAAAGTACCGGCATCCGTTACCCCATGCTGGCCTCAGCTAAGCATCGTCAGGCTCAACCGTGTTCAAGACGCTCAAAACACTAGACGCTTATCGCAGCGCTAAGCGCATCAGCGTCTTTCTCTCCATGCCCACCGGTGAAATTCAAACCGATGCCATTGTGAGGGACGCGCTTCGGGCCGGCAAAGACGTCTTCATCCCCTATCTCTACAAAAACCCGGCCGCGGGCCCCGGTCTTCCCGCGCGCATCATGGACATGGTTCGTCTGAGAGACGTCGCCGACTACGAATCGCTGCAGCCAGACAAGTGGGGGATCCCGAGCATCGATCCGGCGACCATTCCTGAGAGGCAGCGAGTACTAGGCGACCCCGACATCCAGCACTCTGACAGCACTCTGCTGGACCTCGTCCTGATGCCTGGGGTTGCCTTCGACATCGAGCCCGACAACGGCGCCGTCCGGCGGCTCGGACACGGCAAAGGCTTCTATGACTACTTCCTCTTTCGGCACAGGCTAAAGGCGACTTCGCTTGGGCAGCAAGAGTTCCCTGCATTACTTCTTGGCTTAGCCCTGTCTGAGCAGTTCCTATCTCCATCCGAGGGGCCCGTACCTGTTGGTCCCCTAGATCAACCACTGAACGGCCTCGTCCTCGGCAACGGCGACATCAAGGGCCCGCTGGCCGCTGCTCCTTTGAATGAAACAGATTGATTCCACACCGTCTTGCCGTGCGCCTGCCCCGTCTCCCCTGGTATCCCATTTTGTAGTATGTGCCAGATTTGACACGGTGTAGATCAAGTCGTCATATCATGCTCCTGTCTGGCCTTGGAAGCACCCTGTTGCCAGCCCCTCACCCAGACAAGCTCTGGATGAGGGAGACGTTGTCGCCTTTCAGCAGAATTTGCTGCGCTCAATCAGCATTTTGTCGCAATAAGCCTACGATAACAACGTACCCCCAACGGCCTCCTCGTCTCGGTATCGTTCGTCTTGGTGATCTGCTTAACCTCGACGGCATCGTCGATCTAGAGTCTGGTCAGATAGGGTCATCTCGGCTAGGATGATGCGCAACTCACAACAAGGTTCATGAACTCGTCGAAGCCCTGAATAGTGCGTCAGTACCGCTGTCAGTCCCAATGACGGCTGAGCCACTCACCCGAATAGTGCCAACAATACGGATGGATAGCTGCTCGTAGAGCCAAATCTGGACCGTCTGGCGCTGTTGCAGGAGGCGGAAAAGAAAGTTGATTGGCGGCAACAGAACCCGGCGACCGCCGCCACCACCTCTACCAGTCATTGTGTGCTGTTGATGATGTTCCGGGAGGTGAGACGCTATGGTGGATTCGTTTGCTGGATGCTTGTCGCGGCAGGTGTGTCGTGAAATCAGAGCCTGGAGATTTAGCGGAGTTTGGCGGCTGCGAAACGGAGGCCGAAAACTAAACCATCTGGTCCGTGCGCCTGCCCCTCCAATCTTTAAGCTTCCCGTCACGTTGGTGGGGCAATGATTACCAGGCAGCCTGACATCTCCGTTTTGCTGTTGCGGTTGCAACCTGCCAAACATCGCCAGAAATTACCTGACTCTGAGGTCTAAGTGTTGACCGCGCCAGGCCATCCCGCTTTACTCCAACTCCACGGCCACCCCTTTTGCTTGAGCGAAAAACGTGGCGACACAGAACCCGCCGTTTCATCACCACCTCCCTTTCCAGCGGTTTCTCGAGCTTCGTCTTTCAGAGTCGGTGGGGAGTTGAGCAGGAGGGAGGGGCACGTTGTTCTTGCAGCTCACAGCAGCCGTCGCAAACAACACTTTCGATACCCGCGACCCGGCAGCAAATTCTATCTTTCCACGACTACCATATCCTTCACGATGGCGTCGAATGGACCTCAGGAAACGTTTTCCGTCCCCAACGTGCTGGCAGCCATGCTGACCATGCGAAGTGGGGACGCTGAGAAGAAGAAGGTCGCCGTCGATTACTTGGGCAGGTTTCAGAAATCGGTCAGTATGCGTCGTCCGGCTATTAAAGGAAGAAGACTTGCTAATCGTCATAGAACGATGCTTGGACCACGACGATATCGATACTTCAAAACTCCACCGAGGCGGAGGCGCAGCTCTTCGCCGCGACCACCCTGAAGGGCAAGGTACATGGAAATCGAGCGATTGGCAAGCATGGGAGGCGGATGCTGACGTTGTAAGATCACATACGACCTCGGGACCCAAATTTCCGAGTCCGACCTGCCTGCTCTGCGCAGCCAGATCCTTCTGCTCCTGAAGAACTTCGCGCCGGGTCCCAAGCCGGTCCGGGTTCAGCTATGCGTGTGCCTCGCGATCCTTGCCATCCAGATGCAGACATGGAAGGACGTCCTGCCCACCGTTGTCTCAACGCTCGGGGACGACGTCGCGAGCCACGCCTGCATCCTGGACTTCCTGCGAGTGCTTCCCGAAGAAGTCACGGAAGGCCGAAAGATCACCTTGTCTGTATGTGGATCGAGATATCACGACTCGCCTTTAACCACCTCGACATCCCATGTCCGCGGATCGACATAGAATTAGTGTCTAATTCTCTCATGATAGGAAGAAGACCTTGCCCAACGGACATCGGAGCTGTTGGCGGACAACGCCAAACAGGTTGTGCAGTTGCTCGTCAACTATGCCCAGTCGTCGCGTGAGTGCCCCTTCCCGCTAAACTAACCTAATGCCGCTAACGTTTCCAGCCGCTGCTGCGACCAACCCCCAGCTCTTTGACTGCATCAGCTCGTGGCTTCGGGAGGTCCCCGTCAGTGTTATCGTTAACTCGCCTCTGATGAATGCGGTGCTGCATGGCGTGACAGACGACAAGTCATTGTTGGCTGCGGCCGACTGCCTCGGCATCATCTGCAGGGAAACCAAGGATGTCGACGATAACCTCGAAACGATCCAGGCCCTGCTCCCAAGGGTGCTCGAGCTCAGGCCGCGCATCCAAGCATTGGTGGACGACGACGATACGGAGGGGTTCAAGGCTATCACCAGGGTGTTTGCCGATGCTGGCGAATCCTGGGTCTTGATCATCGCTCGCCAGCCTCAGCATTTCCGTCCCCTGGTCGATTGCTTGCTTGAGTGCTGCGCGAGGGACAAGGAGAGAGACGCCATTGGTTATACCTTTTCGTTCTGGTACGAACTTAAGCAGTATCTGACCCTGGACCACTACATGGAGGCTCGGGTGCAGCTTATCGATGTGTACGCCCAGCTTGTCGACATCATGCTCAGACAGCTCGAGTACCCGTACTCCGACAACCCGAACGACCTTGATCTTTTCGACGGCGACCGAGAGCAGGAGGAGAAGTTCCGCGAATTCCGGCACCACATGGGCGACACCCTCAAGGACGCCTGCGAGGTCATGGGCGTTACCGCCTGCCTTACTAAGGTGCACAACGCGATTAAGCTGTGGCAGGAGAAATACGGCAGCCAGGCGACGCAGACGTCGGTGCCCCATTGGCAGTCGCTCGAGGCGCCTCTCTTTGCAATGCGGGCGATGGGCCGGATGGTGGAGCCGGACGACAGCAGCGTCCTGCCTCAGATTTTCCCGCTTCTGGTTCAAATCCCCATCAGCAATGAGAAGCTGCGGTTCGCCGCCATCATGGTGTTCGGCCGCTACACCGAGTGGACTGCAGCGCACCCCGACTTCCTGGAGCCCCAGTTCCAGTACATTGTCTCGAGCTTCCAAACCGACTCACTAGAAATCCTACGTGCGGCGGCTCAAGCATTCATGTACTTCTGTGTCGACTGCAAGCAGCTCCTCGGTTCGCAGGTTATCCAACTGCAGGCATTCTACGACCAGATTCTAGACAAGCTCCCAGTCTCAAGCAAGGAGGAAGTCACCGAGGGTGTGGCCTACGTTGTTGGCGTCCAGAAGACTGAGGACTTGTACAAGCTCCTCAAGCTCTACTGCGATCCGTTGGTGCAGCGGTTGATGGTCAAGGCAAACACCGCCACCGATCAAAAGGGGAAGCTCGATCTTGCCGGTAAGTTACCTGCCCCATCAATATGACGTGGTATTGACATGTTAGATCACATAAACCTCCTTACTTTCTTCGTCCAACATGTGGTACCCTACATTCCCGCCAACGCCGAAAATCCGGCGGTCAAGTACTGGCAAGAAGTTTTTCCCATCTTGTCAACGATCCTCGACAATCTCAGCGACTTTGTCCCCATCTGCGAGCGCGTCTGCCGGTGCTGGCGGTTTATGGTTATCTCATATCGGACAGCCATAACGCCTCTCTTAGGGCCTCTTGCCAACAAACTGGCTGAGGGGTTCGCACGGTCAAAACAGGGCTGCTTCCTCTGGGCCACGAGCGCTATTCTTCGCGAGTTCTCCGAGGACAGGGAGCACGTGGATGAGAGCATCACCGAGAACATCTATGTATTCTTTGAGGCCCAGGCGACAAGCGTGCTGCGGATTATGAGCGACCTGCCGCCTGTCGACCTTCCCGACGTCATTGAGGATTTTTACCGTCTCCTCATTGACGCCCTCCTTTACTACCCGACCAGGCTCATTCCCTCCGCTCTGTTCACCCCCATCTTCCAAGCAGCCATCTCTTCCCTGGCCCTGGAGAAACAGGAGCCGGTCTCGGCGGCGCTCCACTATATCCGCGATCTCCTCACCTACGGAGGGCCGAACCCTGCCGCATCCGGCAGCGATTTCGGCCCCGCCGGCCAACAGCTGCGCCACGTTGTCAAGCAGCTTCTGCTTTCGCAGGGCGAAGCCCTTGTCAAGCAGACGCTCGCCGGCATGATGATTACTTTTCCGCGCGACTGCTTCGCCGACGGCAGCGGCGTGCTGCTGGGCATGTTTGAGCTGCTCCCCGCCGAGACGGCGACATGGATCGACCGCACGGTGCGGATGCTCCCCCAGGGCACCATGACGGCCGCCGAGGCGGACCGCCTGCAGGCCAAGATCAAGGAGAAGCTGCAGGGGTCGGACCCGGCTAATGTCAGGCAGATCCGCGTGCTGTTGCAGGACTTTACGAATACGTACCGGAGGCGGTATGTGGCGCCCCGCGACGGGCTGGGCCAGCTTGAGGCGGCGAGGTTTCACTTTGAGGGTTAGGATCCATTGAGGGGTTGATGCAGATGCATGTCTTCGGTGGCGTGCGGTCTTGCCAATGCGATGCACTGAGCGCATGGCGATGTCCGTGTCTCTCTCATTCAAGGCGAGACGAGAATACTGTGTAGGTGAGTGGTAGGTTGGAAGGGGCCCCGAAGACACGCATTAGACAGGAACGGAATGGATGGGATGGAATGGACTGCGCGCCCCGACATTTGGGCGATTCTTGCTTCGGGAAGAAGCAGTGATGTAGACGTGTTATGTACGTAGGTGAAGTATCAGCCATGGACGGATGGGACAATGTGCGGTGGACCAGGTTGTGGTAAGGGGGATGTCCAAAAGCAGATGGAGAAAGGTTGGAGGATTTAGGAAGCTTACAATGAGCGCTGCATACTAACCATGCATAAGTATTTGCCTGTAGAGGTATCTTCGCTGTTGAGTTTGATATCCAAACTTAAAGGACATGGCGGCAGCCTGTCATTAGGTGGTTGGCGACGAGCAATCAAGACGAGTAACTTGAATTTAGCAGCTGGCTAAAGATTCTATAATACGGATCCGTGATTGCCGGCGATTTTATGGGTTTTGGCATGTGTTTCTTCTGTTCTCATATGACGAGCTCGGCTCATTAATTTCCCGTTCCACTAAAAGCTGATAAAGCTCCCACCAGATGAAATGGAGGCTCTGACAACCCGCATCTAGACATGTCCAGTAATAATCCTCCTAAATGTGATATGCCCGATTGGAGGAGCTAATGGCTCATACGTTTAATACCCATCCCTTTCTCTCGGTTCGTCGTCCTGTCCCGCGTTGGCTCGCTGCTGTCTTTATTTGCGGTCTTGGTGAGCACGTACAAGTATGGATGGGTGGGGGAAGACCATGACGTTATTGTTTCCAGGAGTCGCAGAACTGTTGTACACCTCGGGCTTGTTGCATAGCACCGTCGCCCTGGCTTTTTGGAACCGGGTGAAGCACTCGTTGAGAACGTCCTCTACCTTCTGCTGAGCCTCGACAACGCCCGTGTCCAGCACTTCCTGTATCCGGTCAGTCGCAATGTGCGGGCCAAACAAGACATCGAGAAAAGAGCGCACCCTGATGTAATCCTCAACCTGGATATACTGAGCCTTGTCCATGCGGTACCGGTCTGGCAGGCCGCTGTTGTGCATCAAGCCGATCAGGCCAGCACCAAGCGTGTTGACGGCCGCCAGCAGGGTGATGGGGGTCGAATGGCGCGTAGACAGTGAGCCGAGCGCGGTGAGCGCGGCGCCGACCATGACTTGAAGGATCATCAGGAACCAGTGGAGCGAACTGAGCAACTGGAAGCCAATGCAGTATTTTGTCCGCTGCTTCACCACGTCCCGGTACAACCCGTCCGGAAGGCCCTTGGGCGGCCAGTACCAAGAAGTTGGGTGTACGACCTGGTGCTCCTCGCCCTCGCGGATGGCGCCGATTCCGTGGGCGACGCGGGCCCACTCGGTCGGGGAGAGGAAGCGGTGCTGGACGGACGGGCCGGCACTGGGCACGGGCAAGGGGGGCTCACCCGGTGACTGCTTCGGTTCCGGTGCATTTCCGGGGTTGGGCGGCGGCATGGGATTGCTGGGCTGTTTCTCGGAGTCTGGAAGCCGGTTGCCGTTGGCAGGAGGGGTCCCTAGCTGCCTCTGGTTATTGCTCGAGGAGGCCATGCTCATGGTATGGGTTGAAACGAGGGGAAGTGGCAGCTACCACGTCGAAGACCCGTTGTACAATACTTAGAAAATCTCGGACGTCGGATCAGCGAGACGAAGCCGTGGATGGTTTAGAAAAGGTGAGAAACATCTTCAGACTGAGTTGAGGACGACTCCGCTCTGGCATGGAGATGTCCTTCGCCGAGAACTGGAAAGTGCAAGCCGCCGAGAGGCAGGTTTTGAAAAGGAGGAGGAAGGAGCGAGCTGGATTGAATGTTCATCTTGCCAACTTGAACTCATCAGCGACGGTCATCTACAAGGGAAGATAAGGCTCATTGTGCCAACCTGGAAGCTGCCCAAGTGATCCGGACCAACTTCCTGCGCCGATTCTGCAGAGCGAGGCAGAGGGGGTTCATGTTCTTTGAGACAGCAGATTTGTTCGCCTATTCCTATTGTTTGGTCTCCGTTTGGTATTGGATTGGAAGAATCCAGACTTGAAAGCGAAACGGGCTGGAGATGATGATGAGATCAAGAGACATCATGGAGGATCAGAGTCAAATGAGTGCAAGAACCCTGAGGGTTGAGTATAGTTGCCTCACCGCCTGGCAGAACTCCAGAAATATTCAGGAACCGGCAATGGGTTGGTCCCGGACAATTGACGATCAACACTGCGACCGCTCAGTACCGCTGCTCGGATGCGCCTGAGCCCGCTGGCCGCTTCCCTCTGGTGCATCCCCAGATATGTAACAAGAAAGTCACTGCCACGACTCTATTACGCACCAATTGCTTCAATCCACACCATGTCCGACACGATCGCCGACCTCAGCGCGACGCCCGCCGAGGGCCAGCGCATCAAGCACAACAATGTCGCTTACACGACTGTCAAGGAGGGCCTCGCCCACATTCTAATTCCCGAGGACTCGGCGAAGAAAGGCCAGACTGTGCAGCAGGTCTTCTACAACCCCATCCAGCAGTTCAACCGCGACTTGACTGTCCTCGCCATGAAGGCCTACGGAAAGGAGCGCATCCAGCAGAAGCAAGCCGCCAGCAGAGCCCGCGCTGGCAAGCTTGCCGACAAAAAGAGGAAGCGGAAAGAGCACACTCAGACCGGCCGGCCGGCAAAATCTCCAAAGCTGGGCGAAAACGCCGTCGAGTCGGCTGAAGCACAGGTGGATATTGAGATACGAGATGACGCACCCGGAGAGCAAACCGAGCAGTATGGCGAAGGGGAAACGACGGCGGAGACTGAGTTGGGGACGCATGCGATTGACGATACCGAGGCGAAGAAGGAGCAACCCATCACATTCACCATCCTCGATGCGCTCTCCGCCAGCGGCCTTCGAGCCCTGCGCTATGCCCACGAAATACCCTTCGTCACGAGCGTGACGGCAAACGATATCCTCAAGGCTGCCGCCCAGGCGATTGAGCGCAACGCTATTCACAATGGGCTCCGTGACAAGATCAACATATCGGTTGACGATGCACTTGCCCACATGTACGACATTATCGTTCGTGAACTTCGCCGAGTCACGTTGTCCAAGAATAAGCCCGGGCCGAGTGAGAAGTACGACATCATCGACCTCGATCCCTATGGAAGCGCAGCACCTTTTCTGGATGCCGCTGTTCAGGCAGTGCGCGACGACGGAGGACTGCTGTGCGTAACTTGTACTGATTCAGGCATTTGGGCTTCTAATGGCTACCCGGAAAAATGCTATTCTCTGTATGGTGGTATCCCTGTGAAGGGCTGGTATTCACATGAGGTCGGCTTACGGCTTATTCTGCACGCCATCGAGACCTCGGCCGCAAGATACGGCCTGGCCATGGAGCCCTTGCTGTCGCTGTCGGTCGACTTCTACAGCAGAGTATTTGTCCGAATTCGCAAGTCTCCGTCGATGGTAAAGTTCCAGGGCGGCAAGAACATGATCGTCTACAGCTGCGGCGGCGGCTGCGGCGCCTGGACGACGCAACTTCTTATGAAAAACAAGCCGGCGCCCAACAAGAAGGGCAGCGGCATCTTCTACAAGCACGGCTTCACCAGGGCTCCGACGACGGGCACGTCATGCGAGCACTGCGGGTCGACGATGCATCTCGCAGGGCCGATGTATGCGGGCCGCATCCACTCGCCTGAATTCGTCAAGAGTGTCATCGCGGAAGCAGAAGAAGCGTCCCCCGAAATCTACGGCACAAAGGAAAGAATCAGGGGTATGCTGCAGACGGCGCTCGAAGAGTTCCTCCCTTCCCCCGAAGAGATGGCGGCCCAGTTGAGCGAGAACGGCGACGGCACGAAGAAGTTGAAGAAGAGCTTGACTGAAGCCCAATTAGCGGCGATCGATCCGTACCCCTTTTTCTTCCACCCCGCGCAAGTGTCAGGCGTTCTGCATTGTGCTAGTCCTCCAGAGGCCGCTCTACGCGGCGCCCTGCTCGGCCTCGGCTATCGTGTTACTCGGAGTCACTGTAAGCCCGGAAGCATGAAGACGGATGCGCCCTGGTCTGTCATCTGGCACGTCTTCAGGGAATGGATCCGCCAAAAGGCGCCAGTCAAAGAGGAAAACATCAAGCCGGGCAGCGTCGCTTACCGGCTCCTGGGTCTGGGAACGAAAGCTGAGGGTCCGAAGCCTGATGCGACAAAAAATGACAAGAATGAAGACAAGGAAACGGACAGCCCTGCTTCCCCCAAGTCTGATGCGAAGCCGGCAGATGATGCCAACAAACCCAAAGAAATTGTTTTTGACGAGCGACTCGGACGATACCAGGACAAGGGCAAATATGTCCGGTACCAGGAGAACCCAAGGGAGAACTGGGGTCCAATGAACCGGGCCAAGGGGAAGTGACGGCTGGGGTCTCGTGAAAATGCTTGCAGCCAGGCAGTCATGATTTCCCCGATGAATCCGGCCGCTGCCGCTGAGTGATACAAACACACGCAGACGGAAGGAACACCCGGCGAGACAGGTCAGTGACTGCGCTGTTCCTTGCTCCACCTCATTGTAGTCCACTGCCTCGGCCCACCCACCCAACTCGACGGAGCCCCGCGGCGGCGATAACGCAATCCCACCCTCTCCAGAATTGACTCAACGGCACGGGGCTAGGCGGCAGCCGCTGCGCCGTTGGCCTGGGAATTAGAAATTTAAAGAATTCACTTCCAAGTTTGAAAGACTATTTCCCTCTTTTCTGTAGTTGTGTCCCTTCCATGCAATTTTTGCAGACTTCTGCTTCGCTTCATTCCGCTCGGATTGTCACCAGTCATATCTCTCGGCCAGAACAAAGACGCTCGAATGGCGGTCCAGAGTCCAGCGGGAAACGCTAAGTCGAGCAATGACGAGGCTCAACATGTCAGCCCCAACCCCTTGACAAATCAGAATGGAAACGCCGCGTCGAGTTTGACCCGCGAACAGATCATCTGTGCTCTGCAGGCATCGGAGGCGGCTGGTGACGGATATCTGATCTATTCACTCTCTGAGGGCTCAACATCAGACGGGGACAAGCCATTTAGCCTCGAGGTTGCCCAACAGAAACACCTGCCAAAGGATTTCACCGAGTTCTTGGTGGACCGAGTCAATTTCCCGCCACCACACTTGGGGCTGCCGCACAATGTGCACGTCGTGATATCGACCCGCTCAGGGCTCCGGCTGGCGCCGGATTTCTACCAGACTGTGTTACGCCCGCTGTTGGCTGCTGTCGGACTAAAGCCGGCAGAATCTGGAGCTGAAGGATACCAGGTCACCGTGACCAAGAACCCAAACACCATTCGGGATTTTGCCCGCGAGTTGGGGAGAGATAGAGACGCTGGGGACAAGACAGTCATCCTCCTGAGTGGTGACGGCGGCGTGGTAGATATTCTAAATGGGCTAGACCACTCCACACCCCCATCAAGCGTGCCATTGGCGCCCACGATCGCCCTACTTCCTCTCGGAACAGGAAACGCACTCTTCCACTCCCTCCACAAGCCTCACTACTCCGGCACCCCTTCCCATCCCTCACCCCTCGTCCTGGGCCTCCGCACCCTGCTCAACGGTACCCCTGCCCAGCTCCCGACCTTCAGAGCTTCCTTCTCACCCGGCGCGAGGCTGATCTCCGCTCCGCTCGAGCCGGAACAAGTTGATGCGACGGCAACAACCAAGGACCACGAAAGGGAAACACCCGTTACACACTTGCTCGGCGCCATCGTCGCGTCTTACGGCTTTCATGCCAGCCTGGTCTGGGAGAGCGACACCCCATCCTACCGTGTGCACGGCGACAAGCGGTTTGGCATGGCGGCCGCCGAGTTGCTCAAGGTGTCGCATGCGTATGACGCCACGGTGGACGTCCGGCGGAGTGGTGAGGGGGCGTTTACTCGTCTTAGGGCGGCCCGTACTGCCCACGACAATGATGCAGGCGGAGAAGGAGGCGGGAGGTTTAACTATGTCCTTACGACGCTCGTGTCCAACTTGGAGAAGACGTTTGCCATCTCTCCTGCCGGCCGGCCGTTGGATGGGCAGTTGAGGCTGGTCCACTTTGGGGATGTGGGCGGCGACAAAACGATGGAGATCATGATGGCTGCGTATCGGGAAGGGGAGCATGTGGGTATGCCAGAGGTCGGGTATGAGAAGGTGGAAGAGGTGAGGGTGACGATCGCGGAGGAGGATGCGAGGTGGCGGAAGGTCTGTATTGATGGGAGCATTGTCGAGATGGGGAAAGGCGGGTGGATGCGGGTAAGCAGAGAGGAAAGGGAGCGATTGAAGATCTTGATTTGATGGATTTCGAGGGTGAAGGAAGCCTCATCAGGGTACCACGGTCAGCTTCGATTGTTCACTACCTACAACTACTCACCCATCAGCTTCCTCACCCTCCGCTCCATCCCCTCCTCGAACTGCTGCACGCCTCTTTCCAAGACGGTCAACTTCCCGTCCGCCAGTTTATACACTATTCGCCTTCTTACCCCTTCCTCCTTCTCGTGCTCCTTCCCCTCAGCATCACTCTCCTCGGCGTCATCCACGACCCCCTCCACAACACCCCTGACAAACCACCTGTCATGCGAAACAAGCACCACCGCGCCTCCCCAGCCCCTCAGCGCCTCCCGCAGCGCAGACACGGTCTCGTAATCCAAATGGGTCGTCACCTCGTCCAGCACCAACAGCCCCGGCCGCCGCCACAGCAACCTCGCGAGCTCGCACCGTACGAGCTGCCCGCCCGAGAGCTTCCTCAACGGCACGTCGGATGCTGTGCGGCCTGGCAGCCCCAGAGAGCCGAGCAAACCGCGCAGCTCGCCCTCGTCGAGCGCGCTGTCGACCTCGCTGGTGAGAAGGGATAAGGCCGTGAGGGACGGGTTGGCGTGGCCTAGGGATTGGAGTGCGTCGACGGCGTGCTGCGAGTAGTAGGAGAGCTTGAGGCGCGGGTGGGTTGTTACCGTGCCGGTTTGCTGGGAACCCAAGGGGGGTGGGTCGTTGACGAGGAGGCGGATTAGCGTCGACTTGCCTGCGCCGTTAAGGCCCAGGATGCCGATGCGGTCACCGGGGCTGACGGTCAGGTTTATGTCTTGCAGTGTCGGGGCGGGCTTTGCGGTGGTGGTGCCCTTGACGGGTGGTGGATAGCGGAAGGTGACGTTCTCGAGCGATATCAGAGCTCCTGGAAAGCGCAGGTCGGGCGGGTCGGGCAGGGTGATGGAGACGCCGCGGTCGTCTTGCGGGATGGCGATCTCGGCGCGCGACGAGAAGTGAAAGCCGGCCAGGTCGCGGCTGAGCTTGAAGCGCCCGCCCTTGCTGTTGACTTGCATGCCCATGCGGTCCTCGAGGCGTTTCTGGCGGGACTTGGCTTGGCGGATCTTGTTCTGGTCGTCGTTTTTGCGGCCCTGGGCGAGGTTCTGCTGGATGGACTCCTGCATGTGCGCTTTTTGCTTGTCCTGGGCTTCTTTCATCTTGGTGAGGTGGAGCTTCTTCTCGGCTTGGGCGGATTCCCATGTCGCGAGGTCGCCGTGGAAGTAGGTCAAGTCCTTGTCTTTGAGGATGAGCAAGTCGGTGCACACGGAGCTGACGAAGCTGCGGTCGTGCGAGACGAGGATCAGGGTTGGGGGAGCGGGTAGGTCTTCGAGGTTCTGGAGGTGGCGTTGCAGCCATATGATGCCTAGGAGGTCGAGGAAGTTGGTCGGCTCGTCGAGAATGAGGATGTCTGTCTCTTGGAGCAGGGCTGTCACGAGGGCGCTGCGCATGCGCCAGCCTCCGGAGAGACTGCCGGCGGGCTTGGCCATGTAAGCGTCGGTAAAGCCGAGACCGGCCAGGATCTTCTTGGCGCGCGACTCAATGTCGGCCATCCGTGATGGCTCGACTTGGAGCTGGAGATCCGCCAGCATCTCAGCTGCCTCTTGCGTCTCGGCTTGGAGCGTCTCAGGGGAGATGTCGTCTGCGGATTGCTCGTTTCTGTGGGGATGGTCAGCAGGGTGTGTGAAGGGGTGGTGAGGGATTGCCAGGGGCACGTACAACGCAGCGGACTGGGCTACCGCTTTCTCGTACTCAACCAGCGCTTTGCGTGCCTGCAGCCCCCTTGCGCCGCTCCTCAGCCTCGCGTCTTTGTCGAGGACAAAGAGACGCTTTTCCATGCGCTCATGACGGAGTCTCCGCAGCGCCCGAAGCGCGCCATATGGATCTGTGCTGTTCACTCCGGCGGAGAGTGCTGCTAGGCGTCAGATTGGACCTCTCTGTTGCAGTCGGAATACACATACTACTGATCTCCCGCTCCAGGTCACTCTTTGCCGTGGCCTTGTCAACCACATCTTCGAGTACTGTCGGGCCCTCCGTGCCTCCTGAGCTCCTTGACTGCACCGGCTCCCCTGCGTTTGCAGGGCCGATACCAGTCTGCTGCAGGAGAGATACGCGGGTCGCTTCCGGAATACCAGGAATCAGTTTCTCGGCGATAGCACGCAGCAGCGCTTGAGGTCACGATCAGCCACGAGCGAACCTCCAACAACAGATCTCCGCTTATCCTTACTCGACTTGCCCGAGCCATTCCTTCCAACCAATGCATACCGGCTTCCAGCCTTCAAGCGGAGCTTTGCGTTGCTCAGGATTTCTGTGCCCTCGGCAGCGGCTTTCCCTTTGCCCTTGCCTTTCGCCGCCTTCTCGCCAGCAGCGTGGGAGGTGACGGTGATGTTGAGACCTTCAACGTCAAGCTATGCCAGTGAGCTGCAAGAGTTTTTGAAAGGAGAGAAAAGGGCTGGGGTTACCTCGCGGTAGTTGGGGCTCTCGATGTGGAAACGAGTCTGCTTGCACGACGCCAAGATGGTCGAGACAGACTCGGCGGCAATGGATGTCATTGTGCTGTTCGGCCCGTCAGGGCTCTTGAATGATGAAGCTGGCAAATGGCCGCTAAAGCTCCTGAAAATTTTGTTCGTGATTGAGAGGTTGTAGGTTCGGGATGCCTTATTATAATAACTATGGCCGCTGGTTGGTTTTGTAAGGGGATGGAAAATTAACCGTACGAACGAAAATAGAAGAAAGCAGGAGAGGAACAGAGAAGCATGAACTAAAACGGAAAAAGGAAATTAAAATGGTCAAACGTCTCTCCTGTGTTGTTCACGCATCTCAAATCACGGCTAGCACCACTACCTGTTGGAGTGCAGTCCGCGGGTCAAGTTATACCTTGTATTGTACTTGTACCATACCCCTGTGTTACCTCAGACCCTGATCCGGCGAGTGTGTGGGGCTCAGGCCGGCCATGAGTCACTCCGGGCCGAGCGGTTTCCGTGCTTGTCCCCGACTGGAGTACCGCAGCGTGGCTCTGCCCGGCGTCACCCGCTGCGTGTGGCATCATCGACGAGATGCAGCTTTTGATGCCTTTTTCCACTCAACCATGATATTTTAGAGTTTGTTAATTTCTGTGTTTACTAGCCATGCAACAGCTCTGGGCCCAGGGAGCAAGACACACAGCCGGTGTTGGTGTCCTGGATAAATGTTGTTATTTCCATTCCCAGTGAGAAGGAACATCCCAACACGGTACAATACAAACCATCTCCCAACCGAAAACGCCAACCATCATTCCTATCTCAAACGAGTGAAACCAAATGAATGAGCCGGATTCCCATTACACAGCCCTCATGGCCTGCTTCTCGTGCCTCGGACTCCCCTCCTGTCTCACCCGCCCCATCTGCGCCGCAAACGTCGTCGTCGGCTTCCACGCACCCGACTTGCGCGGCGCCGTCTCCTCCATCATGCCGTCAATCTGCTCCAGCGTGAGGCCCTTCATCTCGGGCACCAAGAAATACGCAAATGCCAGCGATAGGAAGCACAGCGAGCCCCAGATGTAAAACACCTTCGGCCCCAGGTTGGCCGACCCGGGCTCGTTGCCGACCATGTACGGCGTGATGACGCCAATGATGCAGTTCCAGAACCAATTGGACGCCGTCGAGACGCCCACCCCGCGCGACCGGATCGGAAGGGGGAAACACTCGCCCACGATGACCAACCAACGGGGGCCCAGGTGGACGCGAAGAAAAAGATGTAGATGCAGATGAGTGCGATCATGGCCCGCACGGCGTCGTAGTTGGCCACCTCGGCCCGACCCGCCGTGACGCCGACGGTCGCGACGATGAACTGCGAGACGATCATACGGATCGCGCCGCAGATCAGCAGCGGGCGCCGGCCCAGCTTCTCGATCGCCCAGAAGGAGAGCGGGGTCGAGAGCGCGTTGACGAGCGTGGCAACGAGCGAGATGAGGAACGGGTTGTGCATCGTGCCGAGTTGCTGGAAGAAGGTCGTGCCGAAGTAGAAGATGAAGTTCTGGCTTTCAGGGTACGCATATGGGTAGCACTTACACAAGATAGACAGGCCGATTCCCAGGATCAGAGCCCACAGGAACTGAATGCCAACGGGGATGCGGTACGAGCCGGTATCGTTTCGGTTGGCGGTAGCGTACGTGACACAGTTCGCCAGCAGAATTCCCAGCGTGATACAGAACTGGTAGCCCGACACCAAGGCTCCACGGACTCTTCGGGGTGCGACCTCGGACATGTAGAGCAGGATAATCGCAGAGATGAATCCCACTCCGAGGCCCGAGAGAAGACGGCCCATGACGAAGAGGACGACCTGGTTTGCCGAGGCGATCTCAAGGATGCAGCCGACGCAGAACACGACGCAGCCGATAATGATGGTCGGACGGCGGCCGATGAAATCGCCAACGTCGCCGGCGATCAGGGCGCCGAAGAAGGTGCCGCAGGACAGGATCGATGTCATGAGAGACTTGGTTGACGACGGCAGGCCAAACTGGATCGGGTCGACGCCGATCGGCTTTCCCAACGCATAGTCGAATTCGATACCCGCGTACTGAGTAATGAAGAAAGGCATGGCGAGGACACCCGACATCCACCCCGTGTCATATCCAAAGACTGTTCCAGGTGTCAGTGTCAACCACGACATAGAGATCAACGTGGACTTGGACTTACATATCCCGCCAAAGGCGGCAAAGGCACACAGCAGGTAGGCTTTGAGAGTTACGGGGGCTTCGACCCTCGACAGATCGGCCGTGCCCGATATAGGGAATGTCGCAACGCCGACCATATTGTCTAGGCTGAGCTATGGGTCATCTCTTGCGGTTAAGGCGAGCAGGAAGCCAGCAGGAAAATGAACAAGGAAACAAGCAGGATGGGACAGGTTGATGGATATAGCAGGGGCTTTTGGTCCCGCGGAGAGGGCTGGCCTTCATATGCCGGGAGCCGAACAAACGGCTTTGGCGATCTGGAACACACTGGGTGTAGGATCATTGTCGCGAAGTGCCTCGACGAGCTGAGCGAGACAGAAAGCCACAAAGAGGCAGACATGGCGGAGGAAACAGTGTAGGGGTGGGTAGGCGGGAATGCCCATCCGCCATGTGCACTGTAGGACAAAGACGCCTACGGCGCAGTTGCTGAAGAGGCGCTGTCGAGGCCCATCTCCATTCCATAGCCACCTGCAGACCGAGAACTTGCGGCTGGCAGTCGCATAAATGTTTCTGTCGACATCAGTCATGGAACGTCGCTGGCAAATGGCAAGCCCCTGCTTCTGACCGTCATCAAGATCTCATCAAGTTCGGCCCAGCCGGAAAGGATGCCGAATTGTATCAACTCGCTCGTCAAAGAAGTACCTGCCGAAGAGCGGGCATCAGTGCTGCGTGGTGCCAAAGCAAACGCCACACACTGGGTATCTTGTTTGCTTCCCAAAGCGTCCAGGAGGGGCCAGCTCAACTGAGAAATCGCTCTGTTTGTCGAGAAGAAGCCAAGCCAATGTTTACCGTTGGATCCTGCCTGGCTGCGTCTTGCACAGTGTTAGGGATAGACAAGCGGAAAGGTCGCAAGTTTTGCTGCACATCATCCAGGACCGTTAGGATGACGCCAGTTCCGATGGTTGTTTTGATACGTGATGCCGTGGCATGCACGGCAACCATCTCCATCGCGGGCCACAGCCGGGCCACATACAGAAAGAAACGGATTGGGATACCTTGTGGCAGTTGCCATCATCCAAGACGGCCCCCATCTTTCCAGAATTCGACCACCCTTTGTCCACGGGAACGAAGCACGTGGCTGCCGCCGTCTCCTCTCACATGGTCTATCCAGTTACGTCGTTGAAAGAAGTGCCGACATCAAAATGCTACCGCAGCACTTGACCCGGCCCGCGCCCGAACATGAAGCCGCAAGCCGATGCCCGGGCTTCGGCACGACATAATAATGCAAGCTGAGGATGGTTGCAACCAAGCAGGCCAACGCCAGCTCCTGTGTGTTTCGAGTGGTATGTAACAATTCATCTCGATAGCGACACTGAAGAGGTGCTAACAAACACATCGGCAGTTCCATGTGCTGATCTAACCTAATATACGGACTAAGGCTGCTTGTTTACTAAGAACAGCTGTGAAACCCAGGTAAAAGGGACGAAAGGGGAGTGCCCCGCCTCGAATTGATGCTCCTGGGGAGTTTCTCAGCCTGAATCCCCCCCTAAATGCCTTGTGTCTTACCCTTTGGCAGTTTCTCATCATGTTATCTCTGGGGCAACAGTGTCTCAGTCACTGGTTGGCGTGGACTATTCCTCCCTCGCCATATACTTCATTCCATTCCACTGCCAGGGAGCTGAGGAGTCGAGGAAGGGAATATCTACAATTTCAGGTCAGGTTGGGCTTGCTCGGCTGTGTCCATTGAACAAGTATCGTGGGTAATGTATCTCAAGCTCTAACCCAGCAGCATGGAGAAACACAGATCGCTCATCCTCGTCCAGGCGTCACTGGTATACGTCTGCATTCTCTACCTCATATCCAAGCGTCACCAGTGTCCATCTTTTACTCCCTCGGGTCAGTCCTTGACCACTCCAGCAACTTGCATAGAGCACACTGACGGGATAAACGAGGCCAACTCATAACAAATGTTGTCGTACACAATGAAATCCTATCTCCCGACGCAGCCCACGATCGGTCCGCGATAATACCCTCTCCGCGCACCATTGAGGCACAACAGCCTGAAAAGTTCAGATACGTCGACGACGAGCAGACAGGAACCCCAAGTCGGGCCCCACCTGACGAGTACGCCCGTCTCGCCAAAGCCACCTCCCACATGGCCTGCATCCTCAACCCCTCCAACCCCTCAGCCAACCGCATGTCATGCGCGCCCATCAACACTCGATACGGCTACTTGACAGCAGGGAAGGGCCTTTCCGCTCCCGAGAAGAAGCAACACTTCTTCGCCTGGAACCTACGGCAGTGCGTTTACCTGCTGCTGCGCCTGTTGGGCTCGCTGGTAGGGGCCATCCGCTTCCTCGGTCTCGAGCATTGCGCCGTCAGCATCGTCGCGGGCAACTCCAACGACGGCACGCTCGAGGTGCTGAAGCTTCGCGAAGGCGAGCTGAAGGCGCTGGGGGTCGAGTACTGGCTTGCTTCGAGCAGCTGAACCCCTCGGGTGGCTTGTGGATCAGGAAGCTGTCCAAGCTGCAGGCGATGGCGCTCGAGCCGGTGATGGGGTCAACAGCGATTCTCGAGGGGCAGCCGACGGAGGGGGAGGACGAGATAGGGATGACGACTTACTTTGTCACACCGGCCATTCCCGCCGGGCTTCCACCGACGCGAAATGCAATGATAACCTTCATCAACGACGTGTCTGCGTGCGCCGAGGATATCATGGAACGGATACACCAAAGGTCCTTCCAATTAGCCAACATGGTGTGGTAAGTCTGGACCCCTCCATCTCACTCACCTTTCCCCCTCTGTCCCCTCTTCTTTTTCCCCTATTCCGCCCCGCTTCTTTCCGTTAACAATTACAGCGCGATGGACTGGAACAACCCCTACCCCTTCCTCCCAGCCAACCGCACAATCCAGATGGCCCCCCATCTTCTACCACGTCTGGATCGCCTGCTCCCTGACTGGCGACCTCCTCTTCGACATATCCGCCGCCACGGGGTCATGGGAGCGCTCCATGACCCTCTTCTTCGACCACCCGCCCTCCCAGGCCCGCTTCAACGCCGACTGCCCACCCAGGTTCTCTCCCGCTGGAACGGCACCGTCGCCATGGCCGCGGCGCCCCTTGTGAGTGGCGAGGGCGGGTTCCGCTGGCCGCGGATGCGCGAGTGCTACCAGGGCGGATCTGTGGTGGGCGGGACACGGCAAGATTGTGGTTGTGCCCGGGGTGAATCTGGAATATACCGATCACAGGGGGACGGTGGGTGAAGCAGGAGCGGGGGTATGCGAGTGACTTTGTGGCAGGGGTCATGGATGCGCGGCGGGAGAGGATCGTCTGGGAGTAGAAGCCGCCCGAGATGGTCAAATGCGTGCCCGAGTTTACGCAGCGGCGGTGGTTGCCTTGGAACTGGAAGGTGCCTTAGCGTTTTGGACCCAGATAGAAGCAAGCTGAGATAAGCCGTAATCTGTTTAGATGAGAATGGCAGTAACTGTGCGGTTAATTTGGCCTTTTCAGACAAATGCCGTTACCCTGGACTTGCGATGTGTTGCCGTCCCCGGATCCGTTGGGCACAGCGACCTGCAGCGACGTTGCCTCTGACAGTGCCCCAGCAAGGGAGGCTTTGTTAATACGAAAGGCCCCGGAAACCCGCATGTAAGAGTAACGAAGGGATGTGGCTCTACCTTGTTGGAGACGGTAATTGGATGATGCCGTATGACGAGGTAATGCCATCGGATCGGGGCTGTGTGAAAGGGGTTGGGGTGGCACAAACGAGGCCGAACTCCCGACATGGCAGAGCAAGTACGCACTCGAGCAGACCCCTCTCTGTAGCCAGGCACTTGGCGAGATTTCGGGCTACTGAGCGTCGATGGTGCATTGGATCATCGTCTGTGATTTTCTAGAATGCTCCGTAAGCCAAAGTCAGCATGCGAACGGTGAGCATCACTTTTTCTGCAGAACTGGGATGTTATTGTCTCCGGCAACTAGGAACAAGAAGGTACAGCACACAAAGCATAAAAAACACAAAAGCCCGAGAACACAGCTCGGCAGAATATCAAGTAGAAGGTTACACAGCGCATCAAATGGCCGCGGAAAAGCAAATTACACCTTCACAGTCATCCATCCAAGGCCACACCTAAAAACCCCAATCCTCTTGCATCACAAACTCGGCCCGGAGACACACAGCATCCCAACTCTGCACATCTCAGACGGCTTGTCGTATCTCATGTCTCGTAAAGCAGTGTCCTCAAGCCCAGTACCGTTGCCGAGGATGGTGCCATTATGAGCTTAGAGAAGGGCAGCAAGACCGGCCGCCAAGAGTGCAAAGCCGTTGGCGGCACCAACGACGTTGCCGGCGCCCTCGGCGATCGACGAGGTGCTCGGCGTAGGAGTCCGGACAGACGAAATGCTGGTTGTGTTGGTCGGCACGAAGCTCGAGGTAGGCAAGAACGAGGTAGGCAAGAAGGAGCCGACAGAGGTCGTGGTGCTCTTCTCAGTGCTGGACGAAGAGCTGGTGGTTGTCGTGCTAGGCGCGGAGGTGGTGCTGCTCGAGGTCGATGTCGACGTGGAGGTGGAAGTCGCGGGGGCAGTCTGCGAGACCAAGCCGTCGGTGATGCTGTACGCGGCAGCGCAAGCAGCCACGTCCATGCCGTCGGGGCAGCACCAAGTCTCGCCCTTGCTATCGGCGGTGCAGTAGTAACCCTTCTCGCAGGAATCTAGGAAGGGGGTCAGTACCGGTCGCATAGTCAATTCCAGCGGGATTACTTACTGCCAGACTTGTCAGGGCAGCACACCTCGCCGACGGTGGGATTGAAGCAGTGGACTTGGTTATCGGTAGAAGCGCAGGTTGTGTAGCCAGCGCCGCAAGCTTCCTCGCAAGTGGCCCCAGCGCCGCACATGGCCTGGCCCGGCTGGTATCCCGGGGTGTCCTGACGACGGACGACGCCAAACAGCTCGCGTTCCGACGTCTTCATCATGCTCGGCTTGTAAGGCTTCATGGCGGCGACATTGGCGGCGAAGGTGAGCGCCGCGATCGCGGCGAGGGACTTGATAAGCATTGTGGAGGTGGATTGAAGTCGTCAAATCGGATTAGGGGCGCGAGTCGGTCGATGTGACGATGAAATGGGGCTGTAGGTTATGGCGATAGGGCCGCGGGTTGTGTAGAACGAATGTGATCGAGCGCGAGACTCTGTAATGAGCGACGGTTTCTTCGTGTGAAAGAGAGGACGGGGGAGTGCAGGCAAGCGGAGGACTGGGAGAAATGAGGGTGATAAAAAACGGAGCGACGATCTGGGGCGGCGGGTCTTGGGGTTGCCCCGGCTTTGGGTCATCTCATGCTGCAAGTACCCGGCCAGCTGTATGTCGCGCCTGCGGTACCTCCACTCATTGGCGCCAAGCCTTCATCTCCTTAATTTTGGCTTCGGCGCAGTGGTCCGTGCATAGGGCGGGCGGTACCTGCGTTGTGCCTGAGGGCTTGAGATGGAGGCACCAATCATCACCAAGCTCAGTCATTTCGCAACTTTGGAACCCAATCCGGCGGGTTTTCTTGCTGCAGACAACACCTTGTCGGCCAAATCACAGTTGCACTCTGACGTGTCTCGCAACACCTGGGTGAAGGACTGGGAGCCAAGCAAGCGTCGATTTGCTTGGATTGGTCCAGACAAGAAGCCATCCCCAACCAGCTTGCCATCCCAGGGCAACTCCCGCAGATCTGCGAAACCTTGGAACAAACCAAACAGTCAAAAACAACCGGGCAAGTGAACTTCGTCGTGGAAAAATCGACTTGGAACAAATGGCCTGGGCTTGCCTTGCGAAACCCGTCCCGAAACCTGTGTCATTTGAGGAACGCCGATGGCCAAACAATCCGGTTGGTACGGAGTAAGCGCCTTCATCAACTCAGCCCACTGACTGACTGGCCCAGGGTTTCGCGTGCGTCACTTTGTGGCTGGTTTCAGGCTTTCAGCACGAGAGCTGGTCCGTGCCCTGTCCCCGGACTTTCAGAACTTACAACGGCGCCGACAACCCACGGCAACCTCCGGCTCCGCAGCAGATCCGGCCCCAGAGTTGGAGGCGGAGAGAGGCGACATCGGGTTCCAGAGTCCAAACAAGCGGAATCGGCCGTAAGAGACACCAAGTCACGGTCCCGAAACACCTCGTTCCCACCCGTCATTCATGCTTCTACAGGATAAGGAGCCCTCCTCAACAGATCCGATATTACTGCCAGATTTTCAGGCACGCAGGTTCTCCTTTTAGTAGCCGCCCATCATACATGATTCTTCCAGGTCTCATCATGGAGTGTCCCTGCACCAAACTCTTCATTGCTGTCTTTTGGTCCGAGCAGCAACCTCCCGAAGACCCCGGCTAAGCCCAGACATCAGACTAACGACCTTAAGTTTCTTGGACATCTCACCCTTCTGCGATGTCTCGCCGCCCTCCAACTCCGATGCAGCACGTTTCTTCGCCGTCGTACCGTGCCTGAGCCAGGAGCCGGGGCCAGAGGCCGAGGGCAGCAACTTCAATGGCAGCGGTTGCAGATGCTTCTGCACTGGACTGAGATCCCGGCGTCGATGACGGCTCCGCGCCCGAGGCTAAGCAAGAGGATGATTCGTCCGACCGGCGACGCGAGAGATAATCCGTCGGCGACGTCATCTGAGTATCCTGGCCATCTGAGTTCACCCAGTCCGTGTTGGCCCTGACGCTGTCGTCAGAGTTATTGCTGCACCCGTCTACTGGATGCATTTGCACGTCTTCCGGACGCCCAGTCAAAGGAACAACCGCAGGTTCGTCGATAGCGACCGGCCGCCATTGTCGGGCCAGGCAAACCTAGGTGACTTGAGGTGGACAAAGATTACAGCCCCGTGCTGGCAGCTGTCGATGTACACTGTTTCCGATCCCTTTATTTGCGAGAGCAGCCCTCGAAACTTAGAGTCCGCAGGCAACAACTCCTGAATTGGATTCCACTCTTCGGGATCCATGCTCTTGCCGTCGGCGGCAAACGGGCTATGCTGGGATGGGCTATGCCAAAAGACGCCTGCAGTAAACGTCAGCGGCATGGTCGTCCTGTCTCTTTCGTTATCGACAATGTCCTGAGCTCGGCCACGCACGCTCCGAGGAACCCTTGCCCTGTCGGCATTGCCTGCCAGAGAACCTGCCGTGCCGCCGGTGATGATCCCCTAGCCGGTCTTAACAGCTGCCCGAAACCACGGCCGAAGAGTGTAACGACACGGATCGACGCGACAAATTTCAGCCAAGTACGTCCAGAGCTTGGTGGAGTCGTGAGCCTCAGGTAGAGCGGGCCACGGTTTGTCGCGACATCCCGAAAGTCCCAGCCCTGCAGATGGCTGCGGGTCCACGGCTTCATACTGACACCTTTTGCAGAAGCCTCGCAGTGTGCCTCGTGATCGATAAGCTTCTCGAGGCTCTCAAATATCCCTACCACCCTGTCCTCGACGGTTGCGTACGAGTTGCGTGTCTTTGTCACCGTCTCCTGCCGCCCATCTGGCCACGTCACGGTCTCGTCAAACTCTTCCCCCTGAGTTTGTAGAGTCTGAGCTCTCTGTTGTGCGCGTTTATGAGCGCATCAATGGCTGAGAAGTTACGGAAGCGTACATTCGGTTCTTGGAAGAACTTCTCGTCAAACAGAAACTCGGAGCTGAACTTGTCGTTCCGACAGTGCTTGAGCGAGGCGCGCAGGAGGTGGAGCAACGCACTCGTCCCCTTGACGAGCCAGCCGCACTTGTCCTCCTCGTCCCACAGTACAACATAGCGCTGCTCAATCCACTGCAACTTGGCCAGGTATCCGTGATCTTGTTTTGAGATATTGACAGGTAAGTCCTTCCTCCCGATGGCGAACTGACAGCCACCTGCGACGATGTTGCCAACCGAGAAGGATACTTTCTCGAGATTAAACTCCCGTCCCGGGAAAGAGAGCCTGGACCGTCGAATGTCATGGTTTGCGGAAGCGTCCCCTAAACATGCCGAGAGTCAACAGTGCACAAGGGCGAAATGCCAGGACTGATCACAAACTTACCAGCCAGGTAATCCACCTCAGAGCACCACCCGATTACGTGCCGAGATGACCTCAAGACGTTGACATCGACGTCTTCCAAGTGCTGGTCTTGGTTCGCCTCGAGATTACGAGACTCTTCCCCCAGTCGCGTTGCAGTAAAGGTGCCAAAGGAAAATACCACGGACAGCCTTCACCGCAACGAGCATCGCAGAGAATCCCTTAAGACAGAACCGGCCCAGAAAGTCATGCAAGCGCTTAGCGTCCGTCAGGTGCGCCGCCATTTGTAGCGAAATCTCGAGCCCAATGTTTGGCGCGGCCGACGAGGAATGGGAAAGCCCCTGACAACAGCCGGGTTGCGGAACAGGCCATGCCAGCATCGCCCTGCAATATCCGTTTGGGTATCGGTACTCATATCCAATTCGATCTCGCTGAGGTACGTTTCAGATGTCCAGAATTTGCTTGAAGCTGCGAGGCGTGGCGTGCAATATGCCATAGCACCTTCGTCAGGGAAGCACTGCAGGGCAGCGGCGAGCCATGCGACTATCTCCCCGGCCTCTGCTATGAAGTCTGCTGTGCCTTTGGCCAGCGCTTGGAACTGTCCTGGGAGGCCCCATAGGACGGTAACTTCGGACCTGTCAGGAAAAATCCCTACAATAACCGCTTAGCCATACACGAGAAGTTGAAAGTAACCGATCCCATGCTGACTTACTCAAAGCTTTCTTCCTAGTCTCTCACGGTTCGGCAATCGCGGTCAATATGTGCGGACCAGTCGTCGGCCATGTTTGACTCAGATACTCGGAGCATGGCAGAGCTTTGTGCGTCGTTGATCGAGCCTGTCAGAGTTATCACGCGTCCTAGGAGCTCTCCTGGGTTTTGTGGCCTCTCGTGTTGGCTCCTCAGGAAAGCGACCGGGTCCCACGCCGCGCACAGAACCATTGTGAACGTCTCTAATTTAGTATGACGGCTAATATGCCGTCTCTGCCGAAGTTGTTCGAGGATGCTCTGCCGAACAGTCATCATAGCGTCTGCTTCCGTTAGGGGAGTGAGTAGGGCTTCTCGCTCCAAACGCGCCACGAGAGTCTTGTACGCTGCTGAATCGAATACGACTTGGCGGTACCCATGCTTGTCCGGCAGGCGTATCTCGTCGTCCTCTGGAAGCGCCGCAGCTGCTTGCGGCTCGGGAGCTGGCGCCGATTCGTCAGCCCCAGGAGCCCCCAAGCTAACGAGCCATTCGATAATGCGAGACGACCTCTCTTCGCTGTCGATGGGGTCGCGTTCCCGGTCCGGCGTCGTGTCGTCCTCGCAAAACCCCAGCATTGACTCCTTAAACCGGCAGGACAACTCGCTATCGGATGTCAGGCACTATGAGTCAACCAAAGAAAGAAGAAAACCGGACGGCCAAGAGACTCACAGCCTGTACTTGTGGACAAAATACATCACGTCTCTCTGGGCCTGTGTAGAGCCGAATTGGCCGAGTGCCAAAGCGAAGGGCTTCAACAGCGGCGGCATCGCGTCGAATACTTTTTCTAGAGCCTCGGGCTCCGCCTCCAGCCGCCGGGCTTCATTAACCAGGTCGTCAACTAGCTCGCGCTTGTAGGCGTCCAACTCAGCACCGTCTATACTCCCCTCATCTGAGTAGACCGTCCGGGCATCACCGTTTCCTTCTCTGACGGACTCTTTCTGTCGCCCTGCTGACGCAAATGCAGAAGGGTAGCCGGAGTCCATGGACTCACCATGGACAGTGAACGCATCCTGGTGATAGTGGAACTCGACCTTCACCTTATCAAGGTCACTGAGTGCATCCTGCAAGGGACTATGTCAGCGGTTGATGGCGCATCAACTTGGTTATAGGCCACCTACGGAGAAAGTCGGCTCATCTTGCTGTTGAAGTGGCGGCAAAGGGAGGGGGAGGTCGTCCCAGGCTGATGTGTCTCTAGGCCTGGTACGTATTGGTGAGAGGGGGTCAAGTCATGCATCGTAACTTTGTAGCCGACACCGTTGATGACTTTATCATCACTTCTGTACGCATCGTTCTGGTTCTCTAGGTCGTCAGCCGTCTTCATCCAGTCTTTCAAGACAAGGTATAGCCGCCAGTCTTCGGCATGCTCCCCTTCGCGCTGAGTGAAGTGGGCGCTCCTTAGGTGTGCCGCGGCGTCACGGTAGCCATCGTACGGCTTCCGCTTGAGACAAGCCGCGCACTGCGTCAAGGGAACCTGGGGCAGCAGCGCGTTTGGTGGCTGGTCGCGCGGCTCGATACAGAACCATCTGGAACGCACAGCCGCACCCCAACTAGCTGGTGTCGCGAAGACTGGCGTTACGAAGGAAGCATATTTTGATTCAGGCGCTATACAGCCCGCTTAGCGTATCCGCACTACGAGACGAGGGATATCACTTGGCGAGGTGGCCTTACTGAATTGTTGGCCACCAAATTTCTTACGAACCTCTTCCCAGGTCATGTTATAGTGGTTGGGATGGCACTGGAAGTTCGTTAGATCTCTCTTACGGCGACTCTCCTCCGTCGGCAGTCTGTACAGGCGCCCATTTTCCTTATCAAATGCCCTTTTTTTCGCTGCTCGGCAGTCAATGGGCCAGTCTGTCGGCGAGTTGTCCGTTGGACGGGGTGCGGATTGCTGGAGCCGTCCTCAGCGCTGAACACCGGGTCCATGAACGCTTTGGTAGCTGAGTTATGTCGGCTCTTGGCGATATGGTTTTCTTCCTCGTCGCCGGAAGAAGCGACGGCGGCGGAGTAAGCGACTGTAGTGACGTATGTTCCGACTGTGGAAACACTACGGCTCCTCCCACGCTTCGCTGCCGCGACAAAGCCATTTTCCAGCCTCATGACGAGCATTGCGTGGTGTAGCAACCGCAGAAAGTTTCAGGAGCAACGCCCTCCTCCCCATTGTGCGCCGTTGTACGGCCCGGCCATCGGATGGCACGGCAGTCAATGCGCCAGTCATCAAGATAAAGTAGTAAGAGTCTCTTGACTTTGGTTGTGCGTGACCTCAGAACCGGCATATCCAGACACCTCTACTCGTTGGGAGGATCCAGTCCAGGATGGAGGTAAGGTGACGGGGAGACAGCCACCTCACTGCGGACAGGTCTTCCTATGTGATCCTCGACAACCGTTGAGTTACAAATCTTCAAGACCATGCCACCGTCATTCCTCGCTACGTTGAGCAGGGGAAATCGGGTGTAGAAAGTTAAGGTAATTGATTCCCCCACTAGGGACTGACAATTCGTGGGTCAAGTCCGTCTCCTATCTCAGTCGAACTGCTACTTTTTACCATTATTTATCGTCATCTGAAGTTTTCGTATTGGTAGATCGAGGAGTGTAGCAACCTGACAATGAGCCTGATGCTCTCGTTCATCAACCGCGTTATCCACAGCACAAGGGATAACTCAAGCCCGCCCAGTGATCCAGGGGTCCCTAAGCCGTAATGGGATGCCTCAGTGACAGTAATTGAACGCCAGATATACGTACTGTAGTGTGCTTCTTCTTTACGAAGATGATCCGCTTTGGTCGAGGGTATGTTGGCTTCAGGCTGGAGCAGGAGAGCATCACATCATGAAGAGCCCAGCCACAGCGATGCTTCAACTATGTAAGGCAGTCATTTCACTGTTGGTGGACAACGCTCCAGGGAAAGTGAGCGAGCATCCCAGGGGTCAAGTCAAAGCGCCCGAGGGCTTCGTCAGGGAGTATGCACTGGACTGTTCAGTCGACAATAGAGAGAGTTTACAGAAGTCGTCTACTATGATCCAGGGCTCACTTCTCAAAAAGTGACCACAGACTCTTCAAAGCGGCTCTTCAGGATGATTTTTCCGGCAACATTAGGCTCGGCATTCACAGTTTGCCAGTGTACCTCTTGCTTAACTGTCAAGCCCGGCCTTTCCATCGTCATTCGTAGGGGGCGAAAGTTCAACACCCCTTATTGACAAGGACAGTCTGCTACCAACGCTGTCCGCCGCCTCACGAGAGGAAGACGACGAGGCAGCAACTCGCAGCAAACAAACTGTTGATCCGAGCTCCCTCATTATGCAAGCTTCATTACAGGCCGAGTGGACACTCCCCGGCGGCCCGACTGACGGGTGGTGTTGCTCTAGTATGTATGTAATGAATCATAAAAAACCCGTCGTCGCCGTTGTCGAGTATCGTAAGTAACCACCGTACCGTGATAACATCCGAGTACTCTCTCCAAACAGTGACTTCTCAAGCAAGTCTCTGTGACAAAAAGAACTGGTGCACGAGATCTTCGCCCAGGGGTAGGATATCGACCGCCGTGGAACCGGCCTCCGCGGAAAGAGATGGACCTCGCCACGTCCCGTACTTTGATCCATCTTCATGGCCCTGTTCGCCTAGCATCACGGCAAAACCATAGATAGATCCGGTCAGGCAAACACGTAGGCGTAAGGTGGAAAGGGACGAAGGAAATGAGCGAGTTGAGCTGAGCACAACAGCGGGCCGAAGGAGGCGAGTCTGAACAGGATGGTGATACAGAGAGGGGAAAACGAGAAAAACCCCTGGTCCTCCAAGAAGCCGCAGAAATGTGTTCTGGAATGTGATGGAATGCTCCCAGTTGTTCCGCGTCCATGGGGGATGAAGAGGTTGTCTCTTTTCCCGATTCTGCAGGCAACCATCTCGGCAGCCAGCCAGCCACTTTCCGGGGCAATCAAGGGGCAATTGGTGCTTGCCGCCTCCCTTCGAGCGAACCGGCACGGCAGCCACCTCACCGAGACGGCAGGGCGCCTCTCGGTGTAAGGAGTGGAGACCATGCAGTGCAAGGACAGACCTAAAGTTTGCCAGGGTCGTCAAGGGTCTCCGAATCAGAGGCCCGCAGCCCGGAAGTCCTTTCCGCCTCGCTAGACAGCGCCAGGAGGCGCAGAAAGCCAATAGAGATACACCAGATGTTGTCATGCAGCGGTATCCGTACGGAAGGGGTATCGGGAGGGTAGGCGGCAGGCACCGGTAAGGTGTGGGACCGCCGTCGGGAAGCAATCAAGATTCCGACACGGGGAGCCCACTTACGACACGACACCATCAACTTCAATGTCATGACGGATGTAAGCTCCTAATAAGCGTCGGGCATGTGCGTGGTTGAGATAGTGTCGTGGTGGTGGCCAGCGTCGAGTAGAACAGGTAGGGGATGGGTCGGAACGCAGGTTCCAGCTCGCTTTCAGCGCTCACAGTACTGTGTGGGGTGCTCTCGCAGACGCGTGCTTCTGCTCTGTCCTCGAGGAGGTCAGAAGCAAATCGATCCTTGCATGCAACGGTATCTCGCGGAAGGGCTCCTCCTTGATCCCGGGGCGAATGATCCAAAGGGTGAGGAGAATACGGTGCCTACGTCGCCGGCCGAGTAGCTACCTCTCGGCCCGAGATTCCCAACTCAAGTAGGGACCGGATTGAGTTCGCCCGCTAGCTGTTCTATTCGCCGGCTGCATCCTTCGACGGGATCTCCTCTCCAACTGGACCCCGGGATTGGCCCCGTCTATTCGATATCTGGCCCCTGTGAAAGGAGAGCATGTCTGGTAGCATAATAGACAAGGTCATGGATCACGGCTCATTGTGCGAAGGAGCGGGTTGATCCGAATGGAGCCATTCACCGGTGTATGCACGTCGTCTGAAAGGGGGCGGCAGCCGCCTCGCCTATGCGGGTCCAAGACCAATCCCCTGTCTTGGCCGCCATTCAAAACCGCTTAGGCGTCTGCTAGGACAGAGTCCTTTCCATCGCGCGTCGTGGTGCGATATTGGGGTTGATAACCGCTGAAAGCCGGAGGAGCCGCACAGGCAAGCTTCCGCTGGTGTGTGGGTATTGGCATGCAGCACTCAACCAAACGCTGGTGCAGTCCTCCGTTCGCATCGCCACCTGCGCACCTCCATCGCCAATACCATCTAGGGTTATTGTCCGAGAAAGCTTTCTGACGAGTATGGAAGCGGTTGTGCCCAGATGTTGAACCAAACAATCCAAGCACATTGCGGGTGATGGACGGGCCGGCAACTCTCTGCAGGGTAAATAGAAGAGATGCGCCGTGAATTGAGCCGCAATATAAGACCATTAGAACCGCAAACAACAAGCGCAATAGAAGCGCGGCAAGCCCGAGCGGGTTCACGCCACAGCGGCTCACACTGAAGCGTACACCCTCCTGGTTCCGATGATCCTGGCCGCTGCCCCTGAAAGCGACGGGCCTAGACCGACCACATGCAAGACAGGGTCGTTTAAGAGCTGGACAATCTATGACGACTGCGGGGAAACACCCAAGGGGAGGCACTCACATACGCGGTGGGCCGCTGCAGCAGGTTTCCCCGGACGGCAGGTGAATGTTCGGGAGCGGCGAGGTGTCGGTCCGGGGAGGTCCTAGGTTGGTAGTTGGGGGGCATTTCCGGGGAGAAGGGATTGACGGAACCGAACCTCTTGAACTGGAGGTTGCTATGCACCCTGTGCGTCCCTCATTCACGAAGGAGCTCAAGGGGCCAAAGGTGAGCCAACAATGAATGGTAAGCCCAATCATCCCGTTGATCATGTAGACTGGGATATTGGGGGAGCAAAACAACTGTATCCGCGCACGTGTAGTATTTGAGGCCAGGGGTGCTTTCATCTGGGGATTTTATCCGTGAGCTCAGCCAAGTACAAGGAAAGTCTTGCGAGGGATCCTTACCGCTGAAGACATCTCAACTGAACCTCGTGAAAAGAGCTGTCGGGTGTAGGTGCAGACCGGATGTTGCCCTGGGCGTACTGCAGAGGCACACCAGATGGATAGCTAGCTGAAGGAGGCTTCCGCAAGAGTTTGCGGGCGGCGCTTGCATGTGTACGTGGCCCGCGACAGAGCAGAGCCCCTGACAGTTGTCAGTTATCGTATATCATGCCCGCTGTCCCCAAGTCAGCCAAGAGGCTGGGCAGTGGAGCGTGGTGGTGGATTGTTGAGAATACTGTAGTATCTTCTTGACAGTGATCGGGGTGAGAGCGCTCTGCCATGCTTTTTAGATGGAGCTCTGCGGAGGAGCAGCCAAGTTTGGTTGTTAAAAGAAGTCAATAGCTGCATGATTATAGCCTGAACCGCTGGTCCTGGGTCCGCAGTGCCACCCTGATCTGCAGCAAAGTTTATCAGCCCGAAAGGTTCCCGGTGCTGGGTAATCAAGCAATCAATATCAAACGGAAGGCAGCGATATCCCCGCTTTCGATGTGATTTGTGAAGAATAGTTTGGTGATTGGGTCAACAGCAGAACTTGTGGTTCTCTCTGTTGACAGAGCGGCGTGTCGATGGGAGAAGGAATGAGTGACGCCAACAATGCCGTGCTTTGACTCGGAGGCCACGACTGGTCCAATAAAGAACGATCGTCCGGGTGCCTGAGAAATGAACCGATGTCCAATCTACGCTATCTGGGATAATAGAGTGCCTCGACACCATCTTCTTTCGGGCTGTCGGATGTCGTTATCTTGATGACGACTTGGAACCCGCAATGGCACTGGAGTGGCCCCGACTCGAGGGTTATTGGCCATATCCGATGCATCAACTTTCGACGCATGATGGCGACTTCTCTGCAGGGCTCGACGGCGTCGCTGCGAGTTTCGGACCAAATCAGCGGCAGCTGGGGAAGCGGATTGTCGTGATAGTGAGAGCGCCATTCGCGGCAGGAGGGTGTGCGAGACAGTGACCTTGTCTCTGTTAGGCAACGCCACGGGGGGAAAAGGGGGGGCGGATCGCAGAAGAATGGGTGGTGACCAGGCTGGCGAAGTCTGGATCTGCCAAGTCGGGAACCGACAAGGTGAAAAAATGGTTGCCGCTCGGGTGAATTACGAGGATTGAGACCGAGACATGCCCAGCCTGCCAAGTATGGGCGTGGACTTGTCTTGAGGCTTCCTCATTGAAGAGCACCGCAAGTGATTTCAAGTAAAATCCTCAGACTAGGTAAGGATTGTGTAGCTTCTATCCGTAGGCAACTTCCCCAATGCGGGTCAAAGAAATTCCGTGCGGAAACAACGGTTGATGGTGAACCTGGTGCAGGTCGAGATCGTACTTGGTTGGATCGCCTGATTGCTTTTCCGTCGTTGTCTTCAGTTGCCAGGCAAGGTAGCCTTGGAGCCCTCTTGTAAAGGTCATAAGTGTCTTATGTCCTTCCCTCGCTCCTGACCAATGCGTGATTCTTGATGGAAATATGGGTTGTCGAAAGCTGAGTTGTGGGGTAGCAGTCTTGGCTCCGGGGTCAGGTCCGCCTTGGCAGCTTCCGGGTGGGCGTGGGGGTCATCCGTCCGACAAGACGACAATCCTCTTCCGTTGCCATCAAGCCGGCCTGATCAAGTTTGTCGAATTCCAAGAGTAGCATCATTATTCAAAGTAGTGATAAGCCTGCTTTTCCCTCAAGTGGCACCGAAAATACCTACGGTACCAGAATCTTCCGCAAATGTCGGTGCTTCGCAGTCAACCCTGTCGGGAGCTTCCAGGTTGGGAGCGCATCATTATCTTCCCCAAGAAAAGCCTGAGATGAACCTTGAAGCTATTGTCTCGTCTAAACTCGGTCCCGGTATCGAAGAGGCATATACAGACCTCCTCTGATAAGCTCCCGTGTTACCGACCGAGCTGCCAGGCTGCTCTTCAGCAGCGCTTGGCGACCCCGGGCGACAAGGCGATTTGCGGGGAAGTTCAGATTGCGCCATTCAGGGATCTGGAGGGACCAGGGTGCTTTTCCGGGGAACCCCTCACCCATCGATTGGGATCATTCTCACCTTTCGCTTACAGCCATTCAAATGCCCGGTGAGCTGGGTCGGAAACCCCGGAGAACACCTGTTTCGGCTTGATTTTCAGGAGCTCCTAGCACGAGGGCGCGGCCTGTCAAACAAGCCAGTACTCCGGCCGTAGTACCCAGAGCTCGATTCTGTACACACACACGGAGAGCATCACAGCCGTGACGAGCCAAGGCCGGCTTGGCTCTCCAACCATCAACCAAAATACCAATGTTCCCTCTTCTCCGGCACACAAAGTTGCGGTGAAGGGCCGTCCTTGGGCCTCGGCAGCCCCGCGATGTCCGCATGGAATCCAGCCGCCTCAGGAAATCCTGAAGCGTCGTTCCGGGCCAGCAAAGCTTGTCAAAACCGTGACTGAGTTAGAGAAGGGCTCGAATCTGCCAGGGTTGGGGGTTTTCCGAACAGTCGTTGCGCCCGAAGGCTTCGTAGCCCAAAGTCCCAGTCTTTTGGAAAGGTCACCTGCCTCAAAACCAGCTCAAAACTCGACCGACGTTGCGCATCTGACGCTGGTATCTCCGTACCAATCCAAGCTTGGCTGAATGGCACGGCACTATCGTCGATCCAACGACACCGAAGCGGTGCGTCGGCACCGCAACCCCGGACTTTCTGCGAGGCTCCTTGTCACCCCCACGATTTCCAGACCCGGGCTCTGGTTGGTTTCCCTACCGGATAATTTTTCCTGGGGTCGCCGGGGTTCGAAAAGGGGGAAGGGGCTGACGTGACGACGACACGACGTCGGCTGTCAACCTATGGCACGTTGCCCGACTCCTGCGTGCCAGCATCGGACGCTACCGTGACGCCATTCGTCAGCATACTTGCGTTGGGGGAGGCTGAGCCAACAGGAAACCATGGGCCAATCATCAATGTGCAAGATGGGGTTTCGGTGAGGCACGAGGGGAGGGTAGGATGCCCTGACACGGCGGGAGGCCGCTCCACTTTGGAAAAGTATCCCACTCGACATCATCCTCGCCATCGCTGGCGCCATAGGTGTGTTCCGTCGGACACAGGAGACCGCTCAGCCAAGCCCTAGCCCAGGTTACCTTACACACATTGTCTGTACGTTACATCAAGTGTCACTCGGCGGACGGACCTCAAAAATAACCTTCAGCCCAGTGTAGTACGCGGCTAGGGTGAGCCATAACGTAAGGTCAGTGTTGCATCCCCCACAAACCCGCCGCACGGCGATTCCGCTCGTCTAACCAAGCGCACTTACTTGCACGACCCAGTGGGTTCAACATCATAGAGAGTTTTCCCCTGTCAACCGCCGCTGAACATGGACAAAAAGCGACGAGCGGATAGAGATGTAGCTTACTTGTAGAAGTACACATATATCGACAGCCTGGAGCCCGGAATAGAGCGAGCAGCAAGGCGGCACAGACAAGAAGACGTGTACTAACTCCAAGCAGACCTCGCTTGTGCCCCAGACACGCCATCTGTGGGAACGATCCCGTAAAATTTTGCCTTCCCCGCGGCCCAGCCCCAGAAACGCCAACGATGCTGAAACGTGGAGTATCCCGGGTGGTCTTGGGGGTAAAACCTGCGAGCCCAAAGGTGGCACAAGTGTGTTGGGTGACTGCCGTGGTCACACGCTCTGTGGATCAAACAAAGCCCGAGGGTGCAAAGTACCAGAATTGTATCCTGCCAGACGCGCTGGTACGTATTACCAAGGCGGCATCAAAGATAAATACGACAAAGATACAATACAAATGCAGGAAGATCCTCGCTGCCAAATCCGGTTCCCCGCTGGTTGGCCGTCTATTTACCTGTTTTTCCCAAGCCACACAAGAAAGAGTTTGATGATGTTGTCGCGGTCTCCTGAACCCCAGCAAGCCTGTCGTCCAGAGAAGCCTGATTGAAAACGAAGGAAACAAATGTGTTTTTTCGTTGCTCCATGATGGAGGAACCGAGCACAGCAGAGAGCCCAAGTCTATCCGTCCAAAGAGGAAGAGGTGAAGTGGTGATGTCTAACCGTCCCGAATCCCAGATACCGACACTGAAACAATCCGCTGTGTTGATGTCCAAGGCTTCCAAGCCAGTATTAAGAGTAGAGTTGCTTCCTGCTAAGAGCAATTCAAACAGAAAAAAAAACCAACGAACGCCAAAGTGGTTATATATCCTCTATAGTTTGCCCAGGGTAGTCGTGAGTCATGTCGTCGGAGGCTGTCGAACTCAAATGTCGCGCGCGGTGATCCCCCTCGCAATCAAAGCCTGTCGTAGAGATCGCCACCCGCAATGCTGTTGGAAGACGAACTCCTGCCGCTAGGGGGAAACCCGTCGGTCGGGCCTAGAAGGTCATGGACCGCCACTTTGGGCACTGGAAGTTTCCGCTGGTTGCCGTCAGGCCGACTGATGATGTCGGTCAGCGAAATGCCGCTACTCCTGGGCGCTGGCTGGGGAGGCGGGGCAAGACCCTCGGGGGCGGGCTCGAGCGGGGCCAAGGCAGGGGTGTGGTGCAGGCTCAAGTTGCGGAACGGGGGCAGCTCGATGCCGCTGTAGGGACGGAGACGGGGCGAGTGGGCTGGCGTGGCAAGTGGTGTGTGGTCCGGTGTGGGAGAGAGCGAGTTGTGAGAGAACGTGGGGGACGAGGGGGCCGTCGAGTTGGGCGAGTTAGGCCTCGATTTCTTGGCCTGCCTGTAGCCGTGCCCGTAGTGGTCGTCGTGGTCGTCGTGCGAGTGCGAGCGGGACATGTGGTACGCCCCGAGACCGGGCAACGGGTTCCGCGCCGAGTGCAGACCGCTGCCGTAGTAGGGATGCTGCCTCGAGGGCGGATAGTGGTGCGGACCGGGGGCATTGTCCCGCTCGATCTGGCCGGCGGCCCTGGCCAACATGGCCATGTCCGGGCCGCTCCGGCTGCCCAGAGCATCGCGGTTGTACGGGCTTAGGTTCAGCGGCGGGGGCATGTTGAGGTGGTAGGAGCTGTAATGCGGAGGCGAGACGTTGGGCGACGGCAGGGCTGTGGGAGGCGCCGAGCGGATCATCTTTGGCCCAGGGGGGGGTGCCATGGCCTCGGGCTGCATCCTATGGATCATGCTGGCGTGTTGGGCATGGCCCTTGTGTCCTCTCCGCGAGTTGGGGTTGTTGTGTATCCTCGAGTGGCGCGTCAGCTCGTCAGACCGAGAGAAGCGCTTACTGCAGCCGGGGAACTGGCAGGCATGCGGCTTCTCTCCAGTGTGGGTGCGGATGTGCCGGGTCTGGTGCTCCAGCCGGTGGAACGCCTTGTCGCACATAGTGCACTTGTAAGGGCGCGGGAGCTCGGTGGGCTGCTCGGCGGGCGGCGCCCCCGCCGGAAGGGGCCCGTTGGGACGGATAAGGCCAGCGGTAGCCATGTCCGATTCAGCCTGTTGGTCCTGTATTTGCGCCTGTTGCTGGTGTGACGCCAGGATGGGATTCGTCTCCGCCGCGACCTCTGGGTTCAGCAGGCTGGAGAAATCCACTGCAGACTTTGCCCGTTGCATGTGACCTTTCTCCCTAACGGGTCCCTCAAGTACCCAGAATCTGCCTATGCTGCCTTTGTACTCTCCAATCGAGCTGCACACACTGCAGGCAGCCGGGGAAGACAAGTTTCGGGGCGATAATGTATTGTTATTTCACTGTGCTGGGTCGGGCACGTCGTCCTTGAAGCAGGATTTTATGGGCTTTTCGGAATTGATCTGACACGGTGTGCGTACCGTGCGATGTCTGAGCCGGGTGAATATTGCGGACTCGGCGTATGGGGTTGCTGACGTTGTGAGAGTCTCAAGCTGTATAGGGAAAGCAACAGAAACTGGAAGGGCTTGTTTGGGGGCAGCGGCACTTTTTAATGGCGCGGGCGGGCCGACATTGGGGGGGTGTTGGCAAGCCCTGGATGTGGGGTGAGAAAAACAGCGGCCGGGGATACGGGGGAGGAGACAGGGCAGAGGGCCTGGGTGCCAAGGGGAAATCTCGGGGAAAAAGAAAAAAACAGATGTCAGCGGTACCTGGCTGAAAATGTACCGTACTTGACCCGGTTTACAGTACAGCGTACAGTACCTCGCCTGCCGTCTGGGAGACTTTACGATCTGTCCCGCAGCATCTGCAACTCTACGCCCGGCCCCTCCACGGCCAGGTGGTGTGATATATGTCAAGACTTGGCCGCTGCGGGAGCAGAAGGTCGGAGAGGTACGGCGAGTGGTAGGGAGGTACCGATACTGCGAAATTTACGTTGCAGCCCCTCGGTGGTGTGAACTCCTACACGTGTTGGCGGGGTGGGGTGGCTCTTCCAAAGAGAAAACGAGAGGCCAAGCGTGGGGTTTTTCGCGATACAGGCCGTCCCGAAGTCGCAGGTCAGACTAGGTGGGCAGACTGCAGAACTCTGAGCAACTGCCAGTGTGATTTGGATCAGCGGGACACGATCATCTGGTAAACATGGTTACCTTAGGCCCCACGAGTTGTTGATCTCTGTGGCGCCCTTTCCTTGGTCAGTTATCTCACAGCCAAGAAGGTTCTCAAACTGCACCTAAGTACGCAGCCGCGGCGCACATATCCTGTCCTCTCCCCATCCTGTGTTGCTGGCCGGAATGCGCTGGTGAAAAGTTTTGCCGTCATACAAGAACCGACGAGCGCCTTCCAACTCAGGCTGCGAAAGGCAGGTTTCTTGACGGGAAGGAACAACGCTCCATACCATACACGAAAGGAAGGCACGAAATTGTAGAGCACCGCCCCCATCCCCTCCTTTCTTCTCGACTTCCAGGTTCTCTTCCTCCTCCCTTCGACAATCCATAACTCAGCTACCGGGTAACAACAGAGTGCGTCCATCCTCAGAGAGCCAACTGTCGTCATGTGCGGCAGACCAGTCCAGGGCGAGGCCAGGTATCCATTGCCTCTCCAGAACAACGCATTTGCGCAATCCGGGGCGGTGTGGGCGGTGGCTGAGCTGTGGAACAGTTGGTTGGGCTCAGATGCGTCTTGGCTTTGAGTTGATCTATCTGATTTCTCTTCTGAGTCTTTGTTAGGGAGCTGAACGGCCAATTTGCATACAGCCAAGATGTCAGGCTTCCTGTGGTGAACCCATCTGTGATACCGACTTGCCAGTGTGTGTGATAGATTGAAGAATCCGGTACGCTAGGAAGGCTAGACAGTTGCACATCCGGGGATGGGGATGGAAAGCTCGTACGAGATTCCCTGGTTCTTTCATCAGCATTCCACAGCCAGCCGCGGTCATCGAGCGCCGGACCGACAGATCTTGGCTAAAGAAGGCCGCCCATGTCTGCGGAGAGCGCTCATATACGGAGTACCCAATCGACAAAAGTTGGGTCCGGTTTGGTTGCTCCGCACAGAGGATGAACGGTAACGCTAAAATATTGCAGGATCCGGGATCGGATCCGGGGCAGCAGATAGGATCTTCTTCGTCTCCTCCGATTTTCTATCCTCCTTCCGATATCAATCTAGCACGAAGGGTGATGTGTCTGGAGCAGTGTCGGGGGTGGTTCGAGAATGAGATAAGAATCGTCGACGCAATCTGTGGAGTGTGGGGAAGTGTCAGCACGGCTCGGCCGCTCTTCGATAACTATCCTACAAACCAGGACCGCAGACATCATGAGATACATCCATCGACTTGTCGTTTCTCACACAAAGCCGGCAATGAGCCATTGCAGCGGTCCTGCTGGTCTCATACCCTTCGGCCGAGGATGGTTTGGGGAGGCACTTGGCAAATCCAGGTCGTCCCATTCATTTCGTCACTGTTACCCTGAAATGGCCAAGCCAAAATCCGGGGTACGGAAGCTCGGCCTCTGCACCTTAGGCACGATTTCATCAGAGATAAAGCGCGCCACATTCAGGGCAGGCTTTCGGGAACCAGCGGCCAGAGTCGGTGCTGATGAAGCTTACCGAGGACGCCATTTTCTCAGGGGCTGCTTCAGGACGGTTGTATCAACAATAGCGCCGTCCAATGTCGACATTGCTCATGTCGTGGCTCAAACCCCAAACTGCGTGGGGGTTACCGTCGGGGTTGCAATGGGTTGCACAGGCCGCTTGACGTCGAAACTTGCCCGTATCGAATCTGAAGGTTGTATCACGCCTCAACTTTCAAACCAGGACATCGTCCATTGTCTTTGGGCAGCCAAAAGGGCCGATGAGTCCTTGGAAGGCTTTCCACCTGGTTTCGCTTCCATCCGTCTGCATCGGAATCACGGTGTACGGGTCATCTTCTGTCTCATCGGTCCACAACAGAAATGGGCTTCGGGATCGCGGACTGCCGTCTCTCATCAACCTAACGTTAACCGGAATCGGTAATTGCTTGCAACTCGCAAAATTCTTGCTGTTCGTTCTGAGAAAGCTTCTCTATGCGTGAAACCAGCGCAGTGTCCTGAGTTGTGCCAAGTTGTGCAGCAGGAAAAAATCGGTATCTGATCCGAAGAATTCTCTTGGCCTCCCCCACGTGTCAAAAACCAGGGCCCGGGGACCGTCTTCCTTCCGACCCCAGATATGACGAGGGCGCCTGGCCGAGACCTCTCCAAAGCGCACGGGACAAAGAAAAGCTCTCGCGCTTGCTTCTGACTCAGCCGGACGTGACAGCCCAGCATTGTGCAGGGTATGGGTGTTGGGCCTTCGGCCCGGCTTTGCCGTATCGTTCTCATCCGGTGAGGAGGAGGGAAAACTTATCAGAAGCGTGTCGGATGAACACAAGCAACGTGCACCTCGCAGGCCAGCTAAAAGGATACAGTACAATTTTCATATTTCGGTCGCCAGCCCAGCTCACAAGCCCGAAAGCGCGAGCAGCACGGCCAGGATGAATCTGACGAGTCAGAATTTCGAGAAGGCTGCAACTGCCGTGGCCCACAGAAAGACCGAGGATCCGCCAGGACGACGAAACGACACAGGAAACGCAGCAAGTGGCATACAAATACGTGTGCCTCATCTGAGAACGCCAACGGCCGTACGGATACAAGATAACCTTTGACACTTCAATGCCGCTCGCTAATGTTTGTCGCCGGGTGTCCTGACACTTGGCCTGAGCCAGCATTCATGGCGCGGCGGCTAACATGCAGCGGAGATCGATCCACCAGTCTACTGCGGTAGATATTCGCAATTCTCCGGCGGCTGTGCTCCACTGCGAGAGATTTTCCCTAGCGCCGGCGTAGCGCCGCAATCAGATCCCGGTGCATCTGGTGCAGCTCGGTTGTTGTCCACAGTGGATTGTGCAAAGGTGAAAGTTGCAGAAGTGTGGGCCCCCAAAACCTGAAGCCATGCCCAGAAACTCCGTGACAGACTTCCAGGTTGATGAAGCCAGGAATTGGAAAGAAAAATACATCGCACCTTCCGCATTACGGATACGGACGTATACACGAGGAGGATGTTCGCGGACCTGTGGCCCTCAAATTCCGACACAGTATGTAGGGCGTCGCAGGCAAGTAGCCAAGGCGAATCAATCCCTGAGGCGGGACCTTCGCGTTGTATTTCCCGTGCTCCTGGGACGAGAGACGGGCAGTCTGCGAAGTCAGCGAAAGGCCAAAGTTTCGGATTCCTGGGCACATTCTTGGAAGATTTTGGATTGGGGCGGTTCTCACAAACCGGGCCCGCTACGGGCAGGGAACTCCGGCTTTTCGTGGTCGGAGTGGGCTTTCAGCAACCCCACAGGATCCCCAGCTTTTCGCGGCTCAACCGCGAGATTGACATGTGCGGGCGAACCAGCAGCTGCCCCTGCGATCACATGGCAGAGGTCCAAATCCGGAGTGGATGAGTGTCGCAGCATGGTGAAAAAGGAAATTGCCCTTTGGATCCTATCAGCCGTCCACCTTCATCCGAGATAGGGCGAAATACATTGCTCACCTGTAATCTCCGCGCCAGCCCCGTGTGATATTGATGTCCGGCTATTGAGACTTTTTGAGCCTCGCCTCACAATGCCCAGCGATAACGTTATCTACTCCCAAGGGATTTGAGTCAAAGCCAATGCCAGAGCTGCGGTGCCGACAGCTTAAAGCTGGCTCTGAAATTTGAGACTCTCTTTTGTTCTTTCGGCTTGACATAGAGGAACATCTGATCTGATGGCGTCAAACTATAGCTGGCGACGTTTTCCCACAAGAACGCGATCATAGTCGGCTGGAAGGAAGCTCTACCGTATCCGTACCCTCGGCAAAGCAAGGGGCCATCGATCCTGGGGTTCGGCATGCTACCGTACTCTACCAAAAGCGTCAGCGGTTCATCCGCCCGCTCCTTGATCCGGAATGAGACCGGGGAAGATTTGCATGTGAGGGTCTCCAACCTTGCCATTTCCGTCGTTATTGGTGGCCTGCGGAAAGCCCATAGCGTCATAGTCGATGTGGGCTTCGAGTATATTGGTTGCCTGTTCAGGGGGGAATGCAGACCCTATTGCAGACCTCATTGCCGACTCCATTGTGATGAATCATCTGACGATCAGGAGATCTCACGTGGTCTTGTTCTGATGAGAAGTGGATTCTCGGCGAGCATTGTTTGCCGGTGAAGACTCGATGGACTGTTCAGGTTCCTCGGGGACCGTCATCGCCAGAGTGTGGTTTGGCTTCGTCCTCAAGTGAATTGGACGGACAGTCAAGGTAGAGCCCGAATTCGGTATTCTCACAATCTGGCTGCTGGTAGGTAGTTGAGAGAGCGTCAGACCCGTAGTACTGTGTAGGCGCAAGTACCGAGCAAGGCATACAGGTGACAGGTTAGCTTGTGACTAGAGGTGTAGCGTTATATTCAGGTACTTAGCACCTGATTAGACACTCGAGGTCTTACTTGAACTTCACGTATTACCGTCTCTTTTCATTATTTCTTCCATTAGTATATTGGGGACCAGTCTTGATTTGCACTTTCATATTTGCTAACACCGCTCGCACCTTTCTGAGGCAGCGTACAATATAGCACTTGACAAGTCGATATCTTTCCGCCTTCTAGGGCATTTCTCTATAACTTAATAAATCAAAGCTAGAAAGTACTGGCGGGTTTAGCTCAGTTGGGAGAGCGTCAGACTGAAGTCGAAACTTCCGTAACTCAATCTGAAGGTCGTGTGTTCGATCCACACAAACCGCACACTTAACTTTTGCCATCGCACCTGTCATGTGACCGGCTTTGATACTTGTGAAGTAAACCCAGAGCTCAGTTTGAATGTTTAGTTGCGAAGCTGTGACCCTACCACAGTACTCCTTCCTATCTGTAGATAAGTTGATGTAGTAGTATGGAGAACTGGTATCCCAATGTGAACTGAACTTCCGGGAATCAATGTAGAGGTCGTATTGTCTTTTGTTCTACAGAAATCTTGTGTTCTGCCTTCTTAGCTGTCCATCTACTTCGGTATGCGGTGATTACATTTTGGGCCTTCGCATATCTCGGTTTTGCTGTTGCAGCCAAGACACAGCAAACCCTAACCCTTTTGCTATTCAATAGAAGCTGTAGCTGTTATGATTAGATAGCCAGCAGTGCATTATGTTCCGAGATGCACGTGAAGTCTCTCAAGCGACAACTTCCATAAAAGCCAAACCGACTATTGACGGCGCAGGTCATCATTGAACCTGGGAACCGCCCGGCACTTTGGCAATCATTCCCGTATGCAGACGTAAGTATAGAAGGAGAACGATGATGGATTATCACGCAATCCACGGCCACGACATTTCAAACCTCGATCTGCCATCAATGCGTATGTCTCTGCCCTCCTCTTAATCCGACCCTCACATTAGAAAATACTGACACACCGCCAGATCGGCTTCCTACCGTGTCGGCTGCGCAGGCGTTGCAAGAGTTGGAAGGGAGCGACAGCAACTTCATCGCAACTGGCCTTCCGTCCCTTGATGCCGCCCTCGGCTCTGCCCTGGAAGACGCGGCCCATCCAACGGGAGTGCAGAAGGGCCATGTGACAGAGATCTGGGGTCCGCCAGGTGTCGGAAAAACGGCGTTCGGGTACGCTGCAAACCTCAGGCTCAATACCGTTCCTCTGCTGATCTGCTTCAGTGTTCAGCTGGCTTCAAACTGTCTCGGTGAAGGCCGACGGGTTGTCTGGGTAGGTCTGTTCAGCCTGTGTTCCCTGCATCCTTGGCCAGCAGATTGCTCACTCCTCATCCAGACGGATTCCATCGCTTGCCCATCGAGCGCCTGCGTACTGTTGTCGCCACCGGGGCCACAGGGGACGAAGATGCGGGCCTCGATCGCTTAGACGGCTTCACTCACTACACATGCCCGAGCCTGCCGCACCTGATTGCGCTACTCTGCAGACCTACCGCCGCCCTCATTCCACAAGGGGCCGCTCTCATAGTGGTCGACTCAGTCTCTGCCCTGGTCAACCATGCTTTCCCAAAGCTACCTGAAACACGCCCGGCCACCGATGCAAAGGGCAGCAGAGGTATGCCGCAGCCTGAATTAATCGCGCTGGTGAGACTGACGTCGACGGCAAGGACCTTCGGCCACGGCAAGGCGCCTGCAGGTACTTCAGTACATTGTCAGCAGCCTCCAGAAGCTTGCGGCAACGCGAGACTTGGCCGTTGTGATTCTCACGCAGTGTGCCACCAAGATGCAGGCCGAACGTGGTGCGACCCTGATCCCGGCCCTCAATGCCAATGTGTGGGAGCAGGGGATGTCGACCAGGCTCGTCTTATTCCGCAACTGGCTTTGCACAGATTCCGAGTTACGCGGGCTTCACTTGGTGGCGATCCAGAAGTTGAATGGCAAGGGGGTAACGCACTCTTTCAATAAAGTCTACGCCTTTAGGGTGGAAAAGGTGAGCGCAACAAGGCTTGGTCGAATTGCCCGGTTATTGACCGACGCAGCGCGGCCTGGTTCCGGTCGAGTACGATAATACCCAGCAGTCAACCACGCTTACTACTAACCCGGCGCCGAAGCGGAAGCTTGGGGATACCGACTTTGAGATCGCCGACAGCGACGATGAGTCCTACGGCTGGGACGATGACGAGGAGCTGCCACCCATGCCGTCACAGTGGCAGGGAAGCGAGGACCTCTTGCTCGTCCGAGAGCCGGGAAGTGAAGACGAAGACAAGATAACTGATGACCAGCCTCTGGATGCCCTTGGAGACAAAGGTCAATGGCCAGAGAACGGCGAGGACCTAACCGATGGGGAGAGCCGGCCAGGCCGCGGACCAAGCCCCTGAAGCGCCGCTGGGCTCATTCCCGAGTCTTCCATATCATACCAACTGCAGCAACATCCCCGTACAATGTCGGCGGGTTAGCCTCCATATGGAACTCGACAATCTGCTGATGGTCGCCTGGAAGCCGTCAGCGAACAGGTATGATCGGCTTCAGATGCTCGGCTGCTCGTCGGATGCGGCCGCGTAAATGGAGAGGGCCAATTGTGTGGCTTCAGTGCAACCGCCCGGCAACCTTGTGGGTTTCCAGCGCACATGCCTGGCGCTCGGATGCGTTCACACCTGCTCAGACAGCCCGAGCGGTTTCACACCGACCTCTCCAGAACTGTGAGATTCCAATCAGTTTCGCTGTCTTGGTGCTTGCATCATCATTGTGCTTCTCGCACAAATGAGAAATGTTCGGTATGTCGCAGCATCAAGGGGCCGTTAGGAGGGGTGGGTAGCAGTGCAGATAGTTGTTCCAGAAGCAACCTCAAGCGGCGCCAAAGTGGTGCCGGGTCCACCGGTATGGCCTAGCTTCCGCCGGCTGGCGGATGCAATGGCAATCAATCGGAAGTTTTAGATGAAGTTGTGGAAGGATTCGTCAAGACCGCAACTGCGACGCCCAGAACGTACGGTGCTGGATGGCAGGACCGCCGAACAAGCGAAGAGAGGGGAGCTGCAGCCGGTGAAGGTCAAACCGATTCAGGCTGTCAGGAGTGCTGCAAGTCGATCGCTAGCGGGACTTGAGTGTCGTGTTGTGCCATACCTTAATTGCTCAAGATCGATCTCGTTTGTCAAGATAGGGGGTTCATGGACCCGTTCAAGCAGCGTGTTAGGCGGGGACCACCAGACTGACTTCTTGCTCCAAGGCTCTGCGCCCTGTTCGGCAAATTAGCCCGTCAGTCTGAAAAAGATGGTTCGTCTCATGAAAGAGCACAACCAACCCGGCCAAGTCTTCCGACATGTCAAGGCGGTTGCCGTTGAAACGTTTTGACCCCAATGGTTCGCCTGCATACTACAGTAAATGATATACAGCGGATATGCAGGCTCTGCTTCCCCGGCAGCACCCTGAAAATCGCTGGCCCCGTCTCCCCATCTGTCACCGTGCAGATGCACACTATTTCAACCTCGGTCTTGGGATCCGGCTCGGCCGCCAATTGCACCCCATATCTGCGCTTCGTTACCGCTGCCTGGCGTATGGTACCGCCATGTACAATACAATACACGCCATGACACAGCCCATTTTGGATACCACCTCGCCTCTCAGCGTAACATTCTGCTGACTGTCTCCATCCGTACCGAACAACGGCCTGGTATGGTAATTCCAGGGTGTGGTTACGTACAGGTTGGCCGGTCGGTGTCGAGATCCGGGAAGGGTGTGGTTACAAAGTTGGTTTACCTTACCGTATCGCAACAACGCAACTGTGATCGGGGAGTCGGTGGTCGAACGATTCACCCCACGTGTGGGCGACGAGACCGAATGATGGATAGCCTCATCCTGACCAAGAAGAACAGCTGCAGTAGGTGCATTTCTGTTGGCGGAGGGGTTCTGCCGAACAGTCTTTTTCTGCCGGGCCTGTGGAGATGTCCCGGTGTTGATTGTGTTCGGTTGTGCTCGTCTTCCCCATTCACCAAGCAATGTGGACGACTCCGTATGCCCATGTTGTGCGGAGCTTGATGGGCGGTGTTTTATCCCGAGACCCGCTCCTCCACCGGCGTCCTGCAACCGCCGATCGGGTCGGGTGAGGTGCGGGGCCGTGCGGTTCGGCAGGGACGGGAGTCGTTAGCATGGAAAGGTGAGGAGTAGGGGAATGAAATGGACCGGGGCATGGTTCAAAACTCCCATCTCGTGTGCAGGCGTGAATTCGGTGAGCATGATTGTTTGAGAGTGGGGGCAGGAAAGTGAGAGGGGAACGGGACGGCCAGTGTAATGCGGGCTATAACAGCATCCCAGCCATAGCCGGGCTCGAGGAGAGCTTCATGGCTTGCTTTTTGAATTATCACGGTGCTCTGCTCCGACGCTCAGAACTCCCAGCCATGCCCGCATTTGCCCACTGGCGTCAAATCGATATCCCGTGTCTACAATAAAGGATTGATCAACAGGTCAGAAGCAGCCTCCGGCTTTAGCTACCATTATATGCTAGTTGTTGACAGCCTGCTCTAATAAGTCCACGGTGACAACAGTGATAAAGAACAAAGGCCAGGACATGACAACGACGGGGGAACGAAGCCCCGAGTGGCCAAAACACACTACGCCTCGTACAGCGGAGGATTCGCATCAGGGTAAAATGTGGTCGCCCTCAGAAACGCGAGAACCTCATAAACGGCTTTGGTAATGTCGAGACCCTTCTTCTTCCAGTCGCTCTCCGACCACAAGCCCTTCAGCATGTTATCCTGGATGACGGTGACGATAAAGCGGACGTGGTGATCCTCGGCGGACCAAGCGCCCTTGTCCGGGTGATATATCAGGAACTGGGTGCTTCGCGAGTTGACGGCGTCCTTGGCTTTTTGCGTCGTTTTATTCTTGTCGAGTTCGGGTGCCCGAGGATTGTGGGCAAGGAAGTCGGTGACGAACTCGTTCCAGGAGCCGCGGACGTAGACGCTGCTCAGCCACCTGACAGTCCGCAATCAGCCTGAGGCCTCGTAGGATTTGAGCATTTGTGGCAGACACTCACTCGTGGAACTGACGGAGCTCCTTGAAGGGCAGCAGCTCGAGAATCAGGCGCTCATGCTGTGCGGACAAGTGGGCCGCACCAGCGAGGGGCTGCTGCGCAGGCTGAGGTTGACCCATCCCGGGCGGCATAAAATTCAGGTCGTTGTCCGGATTGAATGTTGAGAGGAGTGGCTGAGAGCTCGACGCCTCTTTTGAATCAGCACAACCCATGAGGTACGATGAAGTTGTCCCTCATCACATATATCCGCTCCCGACGAGGGTAATAATGGGATATAAGGCTTTTATAAGTCATTACTTCGAGCAATTCCAAGTCCCTCATTAGCTTGAGAGCTGGGTGCGCCTTGGATGCCTCTCAGGCCGACCACAAGGCTAGCCAATGCAGCACCGCCTCGTTGCGTCGTCACCCTCTCGAACCTCATTTCTCTCTGGCAGCCACTCAACTAAGGAGTAGCAAACTCACTTGCCCAAAATGGCCCTTATTTGCACCTGGCTTCCCCCCCTCCATTCTTCGTTGAATTGATGCGCAACCACCCGCAAAAGTCTATGTCGACATGTTTGATGATGCGAGTATGGATTGCGTGGACAATGGAGGAATGAGAAGAGGGAACTGAGACAAATGCGCACTGTATTTCGATATAAACTTTGCTGAGGGCATGTGCGCCTCACACTGCTGCAGTGGTGGGGCCGCTTTCAAACATGCAACAACCCTTTGCCAATTGCCAGAATGTCATTTCACACACCTCACATCCTTTCACTCACCACATGAAGACACGAGACTAGACGCTGAGATATTAGGGCTTCTCTCATTGAGACCTCTTTTCTGGTTTGCAGACTTTCATTTCTTACCGCTTCCAGCGGTTGGTCCGTCGAGTTTTTCCACCTTTTGGTGAAGTGGGAACCCAGACACTCGGTTCTTGCGTCCAGAGCACGAGCCCAGTCTCACGACACCGGGCCATCATCCGCACACTGCTGTCTCCGCCGCAGATATAATCCATACATGTAACTATACTCAGTTGGTCAGTGTCCTGCTTTTTACTCCATCGATAATGAATCCCTATTCAGTTGAGAGTGTAGATGTTAGGGGCGGATTGACACTGCACTCAATGCTCCTCATACCCGCTTCTTCACCGCCATCAGCAAAGCTCATACCTCGTAACTAGAATATATCAGAACTTCCTTGCTGATAACTCAACAGGCACCATGTCTGACGACGCAGCTGCTCAGCACAACGGAACAACCGAGGTCGAGGACACGGTCAAGGATGCTGTGGTGGACACCAGCGCCTCCACTGAAACCCAGCCCTTCTCCTGGCTGTAAGTCGCCGTGAACAGCTCATGAGACCAAAGCTCACAACAACCCCAGCCAGCCTCATCCGATCTTCGTCATTGCATTGGTCGGCCCCGAGGAGACGCCCTTCGGCATTCAAAAGGATTTCTTGTGCTCGAAGTCCTCATATTACAGAAAGTTCTTTGACGAGTCCCCCAATGAGAGCCTCGAGAACCTCGTGAGACTGCCCGACACCCCGGTCGAGGTCTTTGCCTATGCCCAGAATTTCCTTTACACCGGGAACGTCTTCCCCAATTTTGACAATCTCCCGACCTATGAGGTGCTTATCGGCGTCTGGAAACTGGGCCACGACCTGGGCATCGACGGCCTCTGCGACGCCACGCTCGACGCCATGGCTGAGTGTCGCCGCATCACGCAGCACATACCCGCCACTCCCCTTCTCGTTCAGGTGTGGAAGGACACTCCGGAGGGTTCCTCGATCCGCAAGCTTCTCCTTTCGTGGGCCGCCGAGTATATGAGATCGAGCGAGTCCCGAGCCGAGTTCGCCCGGTCACTCCCGCAGGAGGTGTTGAGCGAGCTGGTGGTGACTATGAGTTCGCTGGAGAGCCCACCCCTCCAACTCGATGCTACACCCGCATCGTCCGGCTCTGCTGGTCAGCGTCGCTCGGCGCCAGAGGCCGAGCTGGAGGAGGCAGACGGGCGCCCCGCCAAGAAGCGCCGCGCCTCGGATGCTGGAGTCAATGGCACGTTGACAGCGGCTGCGGCTCAAGGCACCGGTCGGAAGCTTGGCCCGAAGGCGTCTCTGCCGGGATCTAAGCCAGGGCCGAAACCCGGGTCTAAGCGCCGGACTAGCGCCGCCGTCGCTGGAGCCCAGCAGTTCTCAGCCAACCAAAAGCTTAACTTCTGCGCCGACCTTCTTGCGAGAATGCTGTCCGGTCCTGGTAAGACATTCGCTCTCTTCTTCACCTCTGAACGTCCCTGCACCACGATACTCATCAGGTAAACAGGATTTTGGACGCGCGTGGTCGGCCCCTTCAAGGACCCCGTCGACCCCGAGCGCGACGGCGTGCCCGACTACTTCGAGGTGGTCAAGAAGCCGATGGACCTGAGCACCATGAAGGCCAAGATGGACCGGCGCGAGTACGCCGACGAGAACGAGTTCCTCGCCGACATGAACCAGATCTTCACCAACTGCTACACGTATTGGCGGGAGTCTGACCCCATGTGGGCAGCGTGCGAGAAGCTGCAGAAGTCGTTTGAGGACAAGTTTAGCCAGATGAACAAGTGGATTGCCAAGATGGAAGGGAACGAAGAGAATTAGGTCATGTGAGCTGGGTTGTCTATTTGTTTGCAGGAGTTCCGGGGCCGGCGTATGCCCACCGGATTCGATTCGGGAGTGTGTCGAGAAACGCTTTGGGGTTTATACGCTTTCTATTTTCCAGACGCCGAGGCACCCGCCCTGGAGCAGGATGGTGAGAGGGCCCCAGGGACCAGACTGTATGATCAGCGTTGTATATTAGTAACCTTAGCACCATCGTAATACCCAACGAACGCTTAAGCGAATAGATGATCTCGACAAGCTGCCATGGACAGTAGCTCGTCTTGTTCCAACTTCCTACCTCCTATACTCGTTGGAGTCACAAACTCGGTCATTACCACTGCGAGAAAACAAGCCCAAATGAAATGGTACGTATACTGTACAGGCGATCAAGCCCACTTCACGCCAAATAGCTTGAATCCCCCCTTGGCCGTTCCCTCCTTGGCTCTTGAAGCATCGGCATTCTCCAGGTATATCCTCTGATGGCCCTTGACGTCGACAAAGAAATACTTGTACTCGTGCTCGCTGTGACCGGCACGCTTGACGAGATGCATACCCACCCGCCCCGCGCCTTTTGGCCCTTGAACCTGATGGGGTTGTCAGCTGTGTTTCTCTTCAACCGAACCCAAAACTGCGAGTCCACCTAGTCACTCACGTTAAACTGGATCATGAGGTGCTCATTACCCTGAGCATCCTTGGTCGCAGTCGAGCTGGAGATGTTTTCTGTCAGTGAGCGTCCCTCCGGCCCATGGTTCACCTGAACAAGGGCACGGAAACCCACGCAATCGGCCTCGCCCGGCGCCACTTGTTGTACGTCTCCTCGCCAAACGCAGTAATTTTCTTGCCCTCGCCCAGTAGCTCCACACAGCGCGGGTCCGTCCGGATGCGGTCAACGGCGCGGTTGAAGTAGGTCGTCTTACTGTCGGGCGAGAAGACTTCCGAGTAGAGCACGTAGCCCACACCGCCCTGTTTCCCCCGCCAATCAAATTGTGTGTTGGTTGGTGCTTCTAATGCATGTGGATTCGTTGGGCTAAAGGGGGCCATACCGTCAACAGCAAGCCGACAATGACCATGCCGAAATTGAAGGTCTGCTGGGCGGCCCTGGCGGTTTTCTCCCCTGCTGAGAGCTCGGTCCAGGGCACGTGGCCGTCGTCGTTGAAAGGGGTTACTGCTCGGCGGCGGGATTCGGATGTAGACCCGGCTTGTTGATGCTGCGTGGCATATCGGCGACTCGGGTAGACAAAGGCGGATGGGATCGCTGCGAGGGCAGAGGTGTTGGGCTGGAATGCCGCAGAACGGAGGAGCCGCAACCCCGAGACCGTGACTCGATTCATCATGGAGGCTTGGCGGTGCCCATTGCTGACGGCTTTCGTCAAGCCGGCGTCGATGATGGGAGCGCGGTTGTCCGACTGCGTGTCTAGAGTTTTGAGAAGTTCCACACAAGAAGCTTCAATGCGCAGCATCGGCTTGCCGGGGCGGCAATAACTGGTGGAGACGTCCAGTTCAAAGTGGGGCATTTAAGCTAGCCCATATTGGACTTAGCGGCACGTTTTGATGCCACTTGGAGGATTGGCACCTTCTCCTGAAGCGGCCGATTTCACGATCGCAACATCACCTCGTTCAACTTTCCGCTCGCATTGTGGCGCGAGCGACACGTACTCGGCCAGCAAGGCGCATTTGAACTCCGCCCTAGCGAGAACGAAGAAACCGCTGCAAAGATGAGCGGCCTCGCCTCCAAGCAGCAGTCGCTCAAAATCTTTGAGAAGTTGAAGTCAAAGCCAGCCAACAAGGCGAGCAGCCCCGTATCCCTGCCATCGGGCTCGGAGTACCCGTACTGACTTGCGCGCCCCAGGTTTGCTTCGACTGCGGTCAGAAGAACCCGACTTGGACCTCGGTACCCTTTGGAATCTACCTGTGCCTCGACTGCTCCGCCAACCATCGCAACCTCGGCGTCCACATTTCCTTTGTCCGGTCTACCAACCTCGACCGTGCGTGACCACAACCCCAGCCGCTTGAGTGCGGGCTAACTCTCAGCAGAATGGCAATGGGACCAGCTGCGCATCATGAAGGTGGGCGGAAATGAGTCGGCCACCAAGTTCTTCCAGTCCAACGGCGGCTCTGCCGCGCTGAACAGCAAGGACCCCAAGACAAAGTACACGTCGGCCGCCGCGACCAAGTACAAGGAAGAGCTAAAGAAGAGAGCTGCCCGAGATGCCAAGGAGTATGCGCGCCATCTGCTGGGTTACCGAGATGCATGCGCTGACACCTGCCAGGTACCCGGAGGAAGTGGTCATCACGGACGAAGCGGGCGCTGAGGGCGGAGATACCCCTGCCGAGGAGGAAGACGATTTCTTCTCGTCTTGGAGCAGGCCCGCTGTTAAGAAGCTGAGCCCGCCAATTTCACGGACCGCCACGCCGCCGATTGCCGGACGCACTCCGTCTCCCTTTCTCAACGCGCAGAACGGCAAAGACACTGCTCGCTCCACTTCGCCCCTCGCCAAGGCCGAAGAGGCCGAACCGAAGCCCGCGGCGAGCCGCATCACCACCTCGGCCGCGCTACGATCTAGCACGACCGGTCCGCGTAAGGCGAACATCCTTGGCGCCAAGAAGGTGACGTCGAAGCTCGGCGCGAAGAAGCTCGGCGGCGACGTGGCCATCGACTTTGACGAGGCCGAGAAAAAGGCCAAGGAGGAGGCCGAGCGCATTGAGAAGCTCGGGTACGACCCCAACGCTGAGGAGGAAGCGCCTGCCAAGGCTGCGGCCGCCAAGCCCGAGTCTTGCGCCGCCCTCATCTCTCCCACCCCGGTCAGCCCAGCCAGGGGTAGCTACGGTTCTTCAAAAACGCGCGAGAAGTCTGCGGCCGAGGTGGAGCGTCTCGGCATGGGCGTGACCCGGCTGGGCTTTGGGCAGGTGGGCAGGCCGGCTGCGGCGCAGAAGAGCGCCGGCGGGTTCGGCTCGGTGGGGCCGATCAAGGCGACTGCCGAGGGTAAGTCTCAATTCTTAGCTGCTTCTTCCACACTATGCTCATCTCGGCCCAGACGACGAGGAGACGTACGCCCGCAAGAAGTTCGGCACGCAAAAGGCCATTTCGTCCGACGAGTTCTTCGGCAAGGGTATGTTCGAGGCTGGCGCCCAGGCTGAGGCCAAGTCGCGCCTGCACAACTTTGATGGAGCCCAGGCCATCTCGAGCAACGCCTACTTTGGCCGTCCCGAGAGGGAGGAGGGAGCCGGCGTAGAGGATTATGGTGATTTGGAAAGCGCGGCTAAGGACATGGTTAGGCGCTTTGGCATTACGGCTGCGGATGATTTAGAAAAACTAACAGAATTGCTTGGAGACGGTGCTGGGAGGCTGCAGGGCGCTATTCGGGCATATCTGGGGAGTTGAGGGGTGACTTGTGAAGGGCGGGAGAACTGTTGGACGGCGGCGAGTGCTTGTAATGAACAGTGCAGGCCGGTGTGCATGTTGGTTATGAGACTATTCGAAACATGAGATCAGTAAGGTTAAAGGGGCCAGAGGTGGTGGTAGAAGAAACAGATTATAGGTGAGCCACTGCAACATCGGTTTTTCCCTCAGGACCTCGTTTGGAAGCCCCTCTTTGGAGTGTGCATGGAGATTGTAGTGCATGCCGAGTTCCTTATTTACTGGGCCATGGTGCCTTGCTGCCCTCACTTGTCTCTTGATCTGAGCGGTGTCTACGCCTCAAATTCTGTTCCAGTTACGGTTGGCCTTTGTGCACCCAGTTCCTCCGAGTCATGACACTGCTGCTCATCTATTGCTTGCAAGTTTCCTTCTCATATTCATCCAAGAACTACTTCCTCGTAGGGACTCAAAACTCACCGGTCCAACTGGCCTTCAATGTCGTCTCGTCTGGGACATTTTACTCAAACCAGTGACCGCCACAAGGCGTGGATAGTTCACTTGACGATGTTTTTGAAGGAGGCATCATTGGCGTGCAAGGTGATGTACAATCTAACCCTGGTTTGTGTGTTAGCGCGGAACTTACTTAGTAAGAGAACCTTGAACAAGACAAGAAATTGTCCGGTATTCACCTTCTTCCTCTTGTTCTCCCTCTTTATCCTCTTCTCTCTCTTTCTTTCATTCTTTCCCTTCTTCTTAATTTTATTCTCCTTCCTTCTTCCTGTCATTCTCCTCTGTATCCTCTTTCTGTCTTCCCATGTCCTACATTTCTTGCCTTCTCCCTTGCAATCCCAAACTTTCCTTTGTTGACCAGGGCCTGCCATGTGTTCATCATGATGCTAACAAACAAACCAGGGTTAAATTGTAGGTGCAACCAGCGATGAGTAGGCCATATACAGGTGTACAATGCACCACCTCCTTCCAACGAGCTCACGCCAGTTGACATAACACAATGAGGGCAGCTCTGGAACTTGAACTTCAGCTACCAGATGGCAAGAGTTCGTTTACCCTCCAGAAGATTGGACATTCCCTATGAGAATCTCGCGTAGCTAACCACCTCTATTGGACCGGCGTGGGAATAGGCCTGGCTGACCTTTCCGCTTCTCCTTCTGACGCGGACACAGAGTCTAACTCGAGCCCACCGCCTTCCACAACACAAGTGGTAAAGGGAGGAAGCTGTGTTCAGCCAGTCAGGGTGATCACTCGGCCAAGGGGCTGCGAGGTTGGTGAATTGTTATGATACGGACTGTTCTTTGCCAGAGGCGTGCACCCTTGGTCACGACCTCTTCAATCTGAATCCTCAGCCCACGTGCAAAGTAGCCGATTCCTTTCTCGCCGTAACAATTCAACTGCCAAGGTGGTCCCCGCCACCCGCTCCATGATTCTCCCATGAGTTTGCAAGAGATCAGAGACGGCTCGGGGTAGCCCATTGTTGTCGAGCTTTGTATGGTGTATCTTCCTCCATCTAATCTGAGTTCGGAGACTCGGACCTTCAATGAAATCCCTGCACCAGCAACGTCGACTCAAAACGGCAGGCAGGTGCAAGCCGCCGGCTCGATGCGGCAGTTTGTGGAATTCGTTAGAGCGGGCCAAAATAATGTATGTAAATCCATCCTTTCGACTACGCCTCTTGAAAGATGGTTCAGGACCAACTGCTCTGCGCAGGCTTCCTGCCTTCTGTGGGATGGAGTCGGATAGGCCACAGAATGGTCCCGGCATCCGTCGTGCATGTTCAATGCTCCAATGTCTCGCGTTGAAGAGTCGGCAGTCATTATTCCATGGCCAAACGCTCAACCATGCGAACCTGTGTAGGTTTCAATTCTGGCCGACCATGCTCGCAGTGTGGCCTGTAGTCTCATTGGTTGGTGACAGTCTACTATTTCCGCAGTGCGATCTGTCATCTCTTGCAACAATCACGATCAACAATGCGTGCTTGTACGAGTATGAAACCATGCGATCTACGATCCTCAAGTCCAACAGATCTATCTATTCCGGTCATAGTTACATCTTGAACAAACACGACACATACTAGGAAACCGAGCGAAATGTAGGTGAGTTCCTCCTAATGCCCTTCTCGCAGAATTGCGTCTTAGATCCTGGCGTTTGGTGTTTGCTCGGCATTCTCCTCTGCTCGAATGCGGGTTGCTGCACCATGCGTGCAGCAAGAGACAATGGGCCGACTGAATCGCCCGCATCTAACCGGGTTTTTTTTGCGGGAGAACATCGAGGTTTCGTGAAATGGAGGCAGGAGGAGCCGTAAAGAAGAACCCCAAGTACTGTCCGAGCATCTGGCCCCAAGGGCGCGACCTTCGCTCCATTCTGAAACCAACAGCCAATAAAGAGGAAGAGGAAAGAAAGAAGAGAAAGGAAGAAGAATGAAAGAAGAAAGAAAGAAAGAAAGAAAGAAAGAAAGTAAGAAAGAAAGAAAGAAAGAAAGAAAGAAAGAAAGATAGAAAGAAAGAAAGAAAGAAAGAAAGAAAGAAAGAAAGAAAGAAAGAAAGAAAGAAAGAAAGAAAGAAAGAAAGAAAGAAGAAAGAATGAAGAAAGAAGAAGAAGGAAGGACAGAGGGGGAATGAATAAACGAATGAATGAAGGAGGAAAGAAGGTTAAATTGAAAGGAGATGAGAGTGTACCTGATAACACCTAAGTTCCACACTCACGAACGACCCAGGGTTGAATGGTATGACAGTGGTCTGGATTTCGAACAACGCCGGACCGGCCACAAGCTTGCCCGCGTTTACATATCCATGGGAAGCGAGCCGATCCGGTAGCTTAACTCAGGGGCTTTCAACTTCGAGAATATCCACTCAGAAATGGCCATGGCGACGAGTACCTCAGTCTTTCAGCACCGTGCAAAACTCCGAATATAGGACGCAAACAGGTGCCGTTGCTGGCTGACCTATTACGGCATTGAGTCACGCTGGGGAGCTACTGTAGTCAGTACCACCCTTCGGGAGTCGATGCTCAATTTGCTGTAATCGCCCCAACACAGGGCCATACTCTGAAAAAGGGCCCAATCTCAAAGTAACCAAATGGAATGCACCGAGAACCATCAATCGCAAACACGGAGTCGAAGAAGCAGCGCGGCTCCCATCTCCCTCCGCCAAAAAAGCCGGTGTGAAAGCGCGCATAGGATTATTTCCATGTATCAAGCATTGAAAGAACAGAAAGCACTACCAGGCCAAAGGACGGTATGAAATCAGGGGGCCCGGCCAGGGTGTGTCTCTTGACATGTGCAAGTCTGGGAAGGAGCAGCGCGCCCGTCCTTACCTAAGTTTGTCTCACACAGAATGTACGAAGTAGCGCTCCACACACGCTGTTAGTGTGGCCCAAAATAATGTGAGTAAAAAATCATCCTCTCCACTACCCCTTTAACAGGTTGTCGATTGAGGTACATCATCTGCAGCAGCGCCGTGCACGCAGTTGCCTGGAGGCAGACAGGCGCGGCGAATGCCGAGAAACGCTGATGACCTAACAACTTAGGGGAATGCTGAGGAACCCTTGACCCTTTCATATTTGGTTTTACGGACAGAATGGCCAAACACGAGATGTTCATGAAAACAGGGAGTGAAGAAGGGGGGAAGAGAGGAAATGGGAATGGAACCAACTTGAAGATGGAAGAAGGGACGAATGCGCAACGATTGCAACAACATCCCAGATACATGTGCCAATGTGCAACAAGACCATGGGGGAATTTCATGCTCATGGCCGATCCGAAGGAGGAATTCGAGGTGCGATGGGACCGAACGGAAGATACAAGGCTTTAATCGCTGTTGTATGCTGTCTTTTCGCACGACGGTGAATGCTCCCTTTGCTCCTTGCCGCAAGAGAAAGTAACCGATCAAAGCAGATATCCGCAGCATAGTACGGCACATCGCCTCGCTGCGGCTAGGAGCAGAGAGTGCTGCGTAAGACCGCCGTAGTCGACTTGTGTGGCCGGCGTATCAGCGGCTGGGTCGTTAGAGTAGCAATTCGAATACAGTTCCTTCCCACGAACCGACTCGGAAGGGCCTGTGATATCGAAGAAGAAATATAACCACTTAGCCGGCTGACACGCAACAGTTCCTGACTCTGCACGGTACTGACGTCCCCAACCCGAAAGACTGGGTGTGGTTTCGTGGCAAAAAAGGGGCGAGGGGAAGGCAAGGAGCCTTGCGCATATAGCCCGGCAAACAGACGCCTTAAGCCTTTCAGGCCGGGTCCGCATGACCGTAGCGGTGTCAATCGGAAACCTCCATAGTCCCCCGATTGTCCACCCTGCTCCACATTCGCCGAGCCTGCAGTAACTTCGAAGTCGAAGAGGGTGCGCTAACCGACGTTAGCGTATGACCAAACTGTGGATGCTAAGGTTGTGCAACGGCGGGAGAAACGATCATACCTCACAGGGTTGGTCTTGGCGGTGGTAAGCGAAAACTGTCCTGACTAACACTAACCGTACAATCCAGTCCTGATTGTTAGCGTGGTACAGGGCGGGGCATGATTGACGTAAAAGAAAACCAAGGAACGTATGTGAACCGAGAAGAAGAGAGAAAAAAAAAAACAGAATGTAAAGATATTGAAAAAAAAAAAAAAGGGGGGGGGGGGGGGGTGGGGAGGAGGAAGGGAGAGATGGAGATGAAGCGGAAGAGGAAGAGGAAATAAAGAGAACGAATATACATGAGAAGGGTCAAAGCGAAAGATGAGGAGTAATGCGTAAGTTCCGCGCTAACATAAGTTCCACGCTAACAAACACACCAGGACTATTGTAGTGTTTTTTTTTCTGTTTGAGTGGGGTTCTCAAGCAAAGGTGATGGCGATCACTTCGTCAGAATTGTTTTAGTCCCGAAACCTTATTTGGACAACAGCCAAACACAGAGGGATGTGCCGCACGACTGTAACCCGAGCGCCCCAAGTGTGCCAGTTGCTGCTTGGCTTTGCAGCGAATTTGCTCGCGTAGGTGCGGCGCGGGGAGATTGAGCCCGGACATGGCTGCTCGTTCCAGTCTCGCTTGTTGTCTGGGTATCGGGCTGGTTTCAGGGAAGCCCACGAAGACCCCACACTCGCACAAACGAACATGGTTTGGGCGGCAGACGGCTGTTGTGTCTCCCCAACTCTATGACGATGCTCTGGGAAACTCGAGCGAAGCCCGTCTACCATTCTCTCGGGACTGCTTGGTTGCGCATGCAGCAGTGAGTGGCTTGTCCCCTGCGTCCCTGACGTGGGGGCTTTTCCGGCACCGGAACGAGAACCGGTGGACGGGGCAGAGACCCATCACACCAGGACTTCCGGGTCTAACTTTCTTGATGAATGCGCTGCGCCCTTCGCCTGGGCCATGCCGTCAGCTAAGAATGGATCCCGTTCCAATCGCGCTCAGTTGGCAGCCCTCCCGTAGCATTGGCCCTCGTACTCGAGTTCAACCCGAAATACGCACCTTAATATCGAGGGGTAGTGGCGGCGCCCCTGTCTTCGCCGTGCCACTTCTACCCATCTGCACGGTTCTTGACCAAGCCCCGCTGATTTTCGGCTGCCTGGAGCTGAGGTGCGGTTCGCTGGGGAACAGCGAACTCGGGCAGGGACGTAAGGAAACGAGAGGTATTCCATTGTAAATTGCAATGAAAGACGGTGTGCTGTGCGATGGGCACACCGGTTGCTGCACGTCATCTCGCGCCCGCCCGGGGGCTTCGGCAGTGGAGAAGCGGTGTGACACAGCCGGGGCACCACGCTAGGTGCCGGGTCCGAACCAAAACAAAATAGGCAAGAAACAAAGGGTGTGGCAGAGCTGCTGACAAGCGTTCAGGGGTCCTGTCTCTGCTCCCGCCAGTGGGCGCCACGCTGCTATCTCCGCCCAGATAAATTACTGCTCTGCAGCTTACCACCCAATTCACACACGGAGGAGCTAAGCGCCAGCAACTGCCTTGAACTCCTGTCGTCTTGACATTCATTTGATGCATCGTTGTGTCCGCGATTGGTTAGGTCCTAAGGCTGTTTCCCCCTTCCGTCTGCCAAAGAACTGAAGCTGCTCGATCGGGCAGATGCCGTCTCCGAGTCTTCTCCTTCACACTAGCAAACAGTACAGGGCAAAAGACGGCATGTTCCGCGGAATCAGGTGGAAGGGATGACTACTCTGTACAACAAGATACATGCCGAGGACTAGAAATAGAGTTGTCTATCTGCACTTACCCCCTGCATCTATCTACACTTACTTACACCTTTCGGCAAAGAGGTCCCACCTACCCCCGCACCAAGATTGGCAAGTAGATCAATCACCGTCCCTTTATATTAAGGGACTCAAATTAATTGAATCAATAATATTGTAATGTGAATTAACGTTATAGATCTAGCGAATTTGCATTAAAATGATATTATTAGCTGACTGAGCCACCGAAACTGCTATCACTTTATAGAGGCCAGGCTAACTAGACCATACGACCTATAGCCAGAAGGCCAAGGCGAGGCCCTTGCAGCCAGGCTCTTCACAAACCCACTGGCTAACCTTAGCGATATCCTTAGTACTACCTTTGACTAAGACTTTGACCAACTACAGTTCGAGGTCCGGAAAGGCGTTACTATTAGGGATATAGCTAGAGCTCTCTCAGGGACCCATCCTTGGAAGGCTCCAGGGGAAGACCTTATACTTATAGGCCTAACAAAGGCCTGTGGAAGGCCACTGTTCCAGATCCTGGCAGTGCTCTACACTAGGTGCCTAGAACTACAGTGGTATCTGTCACGGCGATTGCGCCGTGCCTGCTAGGACCCACGGGTGGAACCCGGCATGTGGAAAGCACGGGCCCCTGTGGGTTAAATATTCTGCACCTCGCTGCCGCGAGATCTGTTCGTAGCTCCTCGAGCTACGTCTTGACAATCAAGCCTGCCCGTACCTGACGGAATAGAGCTTAGACTGTAGTTTAGCCCGAATACAATTGTCATTGGATTGTCCGCCTGTCCCGCCGTGACAGTATCTCCTAAGATTCAAGAGGTGTCACAAATGAACCAACGAGAGTCAACAACGGCGGCTTACTTGCAGAAGCCAGTGGGGAACGTAGGACGTTCCGAGCCAATCACTTAGGACCAATAGGAACGAGTACTAGAGGTGCTCCAGAGAGCTCTCAGGAGCATGAGAGAGCACCAGTGCAAGGCCAATCAGAGGACGCTCTAAGAGGCTCTCGAGAGCACCATAGAGCATTGGCTCTAGGTGGCTCTAGAGAGCACGAGAGAACAACCAAATGCATCTAGTATATAGTCACTCGTTCTGGAGGACTCTGGGAGTTCTCCAGTAAGCAACTCAAGTGCAAGATTGTCAGTACCCTTGGACATTGCTTGTTGTGAACCCTTTGGCTTCACCGAACCTCACCCCGTTGTCAAGTATAACCTTCAGGAGTCCCTTTCAGAAGTTGGGGCTTTGAGATTCGTCACAAGAGGGCCAGAAAACTGTAACGGTCACAGGAGTATATTGCAACTAGCTGGTGACGACTCTACGAGTTTGTCTCGAATGGAGAGAGAAGAAGAAAAAGAGTGAAAGACTATGCAAGATACCTGCCGTATTATACCTCTACATCCTTGGCTTGTGCGCCGATATCGAATAAGATAAAGTCCACCGAATCTCGACTCTTAGCCGAGAGTTTGCCGAGGCCTTTACGGGCTTAGCCCATTACAAAAACAGTATTTCTAATGAAGCCAGGGAAGTCCCCAGCTACGTACAGAACTGCTAAGGTTATAGGCCTATAGCCCTCCTACCTACCTTAGGGAAGGTACTAAAGGCTATAATGGCTAGGAAGGTAGCAGAGGCTGCAGAGTGGAACGGCCTACTACCTGATGAGCAGATGAGTAAGAGGGCTAGTGTGATGAATCTCGAAGCCCCAACTTCTGAAAAGAACTTTTAGATGTTATGACTTGACAACGAGGTGAGGTTCGGTGAAGCCAAATGGTTTATAACAAGCAGTGTCCAAAGGTACTGATAATCTTGCACTAGAATTGCTTACTGAGGAAGCTACCATGATGCCCGTAGGCCCTAAGGATCGTAGATTATATACACCTCCTTCTCCTATTATCTTGGGGAGCGCTGGGAGCGAAGGTCGCTCCCTAATGGAGTGAAGGCAAGACTTCGCGCTCCCTTCATGACTAGCTATACCCATGTCTTAAATGATTGGCTCGGGACGCTCCTTCTGCGCCCCACTGGGTCGCTGCATACGGCTATATCCGTGACAGCTAGCCGATCCACTGAACTAGCTATATAGCTAGTGGTTGCTCAGATCTAGGGAGCTTGCAGACAGAGAGCAACCAAATCCCTACCATAGCTAGATATACCTGGAGCCTTCGATACAGTCAACTATTCAAGGCTACTAGATACCTCCCCGGTCTGCGGCTTCCCTAGGTAGCTAGTGCGGTAGACCAAGGCCTGGCTTGAAGATAGGACGACTACACTCTACTTTGACGGCTAAGTCACAGAGCCTATACCAGTTAAAGCTGGGGTCCCACAGGAGCTCCCCTCTATCTCCGATCCTCTTTATACTTTATATTGCTTCCTTATATAGAGCGTTAAAGGAGAAGCATCTAGGGATAGCTATGGTGAGCTTTGCAGACGATACTAACTTCTTAGCCTTTGGCCGAGGGCCCCAAGCCAAGAGGCCTGGAAGACTTGTCTATAGTGGGCCGAGTGTAGAGGGGTGGTCTTTGCTGAGAAGAAGAGCGAGCTGATCCACTTCAACAAAGGCCGAAGGCAATGGCCAAACCCAGTCAACTTGACCCACCCATAGGGCCAAGGCTTCGACGCTATATAGCCTACACCTTCTAGCTGGTTCCTTAGAGTCTAGCTAGATTGGAGGTTAGTGTGACGGGCACCACCCAAGGTCTGGTCAGCTCGCACATACAAGATCGATATTGCTACAACGAGAGCAAGAGCTAAATGACAGGAATGGGCGTGCAACCAGACCTTAAGTACTGGAGCAGAGGCCTATGCGTAAGCATGACCATAGACGTATGATCAGACCCCATGACGTATGCATGACCGCAAGCGTATGACATAACCATGAGAACATGAACGGGGAATCCCGTGACAGGTGGGCCCAGGAGGCTACCAACTGACTATAATGGTATAGGGCCTGGAACTAGGCCCCACCCACCGTACAACCGGCCGACTACAAGCCAAAACTTAACAAAAGGGCACTAGAAAGACATTAGGGCCTTACCGAGGCCGAGAGTCCCCTACTAACCTAGGCTCGAACTGGGGCTATAGGCCTTAAGTACTTCCTGTCAGGACCCGAAGTCCCGTTGGGAGTTAATGTCAGAGTGAAGAAGTACGAGCAATGGGCGACAGCACTGAGCAGCGTGGTAGCGGTCTGTGAGCAACCAGTCGATTGGGAACCACACTGAACTCTGGCCCGCTCTTCTACCTAGATTCTTCCCTCCCTTCTTATTTTCCGCCCTAGAACCGCAGCCCTCCTCCTGAACCCCTCCCGCATACTAAAACATATCAGACTAACTGCTTGCACTCTGCTCTTACATTGCTGAGACATAGTTGAGACATCCCCTAGCGCTACTGCCCTGCTTCCACTCCACTTGACGGCAGCACTGGAGATGGAAGTCGCCAAACCTAAGCCATCCCTGGTCCTGACACTTCCTCTTCCGGGCCAGAGTCTCTCGAATACCTACCCCCTACTGCGAATGCGGCCAAGGCAGGGAAACAGTGAAATACTTGCTATATAGTGCCGCTAACTACTGAAGCCAAGAACCTAGCTGGCTACAGAGATACGCTCGCAGAGAAATCTGTACAGGGCTCTCGACGGGGTGAGGAAACAGAGAGAGAAGGCTTAAAAGAAAGGTGATTAGGTAGCTACTATGCTCTGAGAGGTTCCTGGAGTATAGGCTAGCTGCATGGCTAGAACTAGGCTAGTTTGAGCCTAGTTGGCCATCTGCGCCTTTCTTTTTGCTGTAGCAGGTATATTTAATAGGACTTCAGACTGTTATAGAGTAGACAGAGGATTTTAGTTTAGCCTCACAGGCATGGTTTTCCTTTGTGATTAGTGGTAGAGAGTCTGGCGAGCCCTGAGGCATAGCGGTATAGGAATAATAATAATAAACATTATTAGCGAGTGAATCACTCTAGCAAATTTTGGTGGAGAATATACCATAGGACATTAAGAAATTATTAAATCGCGCTAATAACTTTTTAACGTCTTATTGCATATACTGCTACCAAAATTTGCTAGAGTGATCCGTTTGCTGATATGATCCGCTCGCTGATAATATACGTTAGGCCTTAGGGACTTTCTCTCCTGAGTTAAGATTCTCTAATTATTGTGACGGGCACCACCTAAGGTCTGGTCAGCTCGCACATACAAGATCGATATTGCTATAACGAGAGCAAGAGATAGATAACAGGATAGGCGTGCAACCAGACCTTAAGTACTGGAGCAGAGGCCTATGCGTAGGCGTGACCACAGACGTATGCATCAGAATTATGACGTATGCATGACCGCAGGCATATGACATAACCATGAGAACAGGAACGGCGTATCCCGTGACAATTGTCTAACCACTATTGCGAATATAGCCGGCGTGAAAAAATAATCAAATATTTAGTCATATGTATCTCTAACTACTAAGACTATGAACTTAGCTAGCTATAGAGATACGCTCGTAGAGAAATCTCTATAGAGCCTTCAACGAGTGGGAAAATGAAGAGAGATAGCATATAAGGAAGATAATTAGATAGCTACTTATCTCTAGAAGACTCTTAGAGTATAGGCTAATTATACGACTAGGGCTGAACTAGTTCATTAGCTTGATGAGCCATTCATTTTCTTCTTTTTACTAAAGCAGGAATATTCAGAGTTGCAGACTGGCATAGGGTAGGTAGAAGTATTTAGTCCAGCCTTGCGGCATAGTTTGTCTTTATGATTAGCTATAGATAGTCTAGCGAGCCCTAAAGCATAGTGGAGTAGGAAAAATAATAATAAATTAAAGAATTAAATCTCTTGACGCAAAGAGGCAGTAATAGACCTGCCTGCTAAACTCTAGTATAGGGGTAGGTAGGACCTCTTTGCCGAACGGGGTTTGAAATAAGTGTAGATCAATATAAATGGTAAGTGTAGATAAACAACTCGCAGAAATAACACTGACGTAGGAAATGAGCAATTCAGGCCAGCATCCGACACGGCCGTCATGTAGATTCCTCTGCGCTTTTCTCCAGGTCTCCAGATCCGTTTCAAATGGACTGTCCACGGCCACCGAAACTAAGCGGAACGATCCGTCTTCCCGTAACGACTCCAATCTCAAGCCTCCTTGTATTGTACCATCTTACCGAAGCGTCAAACACACACCGAATAGGAGGGGATTACAGGTTCGCCAAGTGCCGCTGCATCATCACAAACTCCAATCAAGGTGTCCATCTACGACTCTTGTAAGTATCAAGGACATGGGCGCTCTCCGGAGGAAGCCAGCAAAGTATGGTAACTAAATGGGTCCTTGTAACGAAGACCCAAGAGTCTACGGCAAAAACATACAGGCTTGTGAAAAGAATAACACGGCCGTAAAGAATAGACATTCCCAAAAGCGGTCAGAGGCCTCAGCTCCGTGTCCCCCTGCTGAAGTTGACTTTCCTCCCGAGTTAGATCCAGTTCATCGCTCCTGATAGTTCCTGTAGCCTGGCCCGCCTTCTTCCGAAGGCCAGGGACACATACCTCCTTGACGAGGGTTAGTTCAGCGTGAGTCGACGACCCTTTCCTCAAAGTAAGGGTGAAACATAAAAAACTAGGGTCAAGGCACCGCTGGAGGGAGTGGAGAGAGAGTAAGTAAAGAAAAAGTAATGCACCGGGTATCCCTGCAAATGCCATATCTCGTTGCGTTTGACCCATCGATTCCACGATTCCCTCGAGTGAATTCGCCTTTGCTATTCCTCAAGAGGAAGACAAAATAAAAAAAGAAGAAAGCACCGCAGAACCGACAAACCTCGCCCGACCATTTTCCCTTTTCCCAATGCCGCCCTCAGTGCCGACCCAGCCCTTTGGGCCCGAGTCTCGCCTATGCCGTAAGCGCAACATAGCGAATGTTATAAGCCCAGAACAGAAGAAAGTGTCAGCACGACTTCAGGTGTCCCTGCAGAGGAAACCCCCAACCATTGCTCGATCAGATTACTCAGGTGTCTCACAGAAATACTCATTTCCCCGTACTTGCGCCAACCTATCCCATCGCGCACAAGTCAGCCAAGACAAGACGAGAGGCGTAAATCAAGACTTGTGTGTGCCATATTCCCTTCCCGTCGCATGCTGAATCATAACTTCTTCTGTTCTCCCAATGGCTTTTGCAGTCCCTGCCTGTATCCCGTCGGCTCGTTAGGCCGCAAATGCATCGCAGATATGAAAGACGGTTGTAGGGATTCGTTGTGGCCGTAATGTGACAATGTATGTAATGACCGAATTGCGCGAATGAGTCTTCATCCCCCTTCGTCGCATCAGGTCATGCTCATCGTCGAGGGCGGTGGAATCAGTGTCGGGTACTGGCCGTTAGACGTCGCCTTCCCTTCGAAGCGCCCGCACCGCTGCGAGTAGTACGGCCCTCCATGGTAGAACAGGCTTGGCAGCCCGTTCTCCATCTCGGACTTGACCTTGGTTGGGTCAAAAACTGCGCTCATCGAGTTTGTCGCGCCACTCGCGGTGACGTCGTGCCGCGGGTGCGAGAACAGCTCGACTTGCTGGTGGTGTCTCGGGTCCTGCTCACCTTCGTAGAGGGTCGCCGGGTAGTATTGGTATGCCTTGGTGTCTGTGATGGCCTTGACTTCCTCGGCCGACATCATACCGTCCATGGTCAGCTGCTCGTGATGGTGCCTCGTTCCGCCGTAGCCGCCGGAGCGTGAGTCGTAGTGCTGCCCGTAGCCTCCACCTCCCATCATGGACGAGCTTGGCGCGTACTCGCCGGGCCCGAGCATGCCCGTAGAGTAGACGCCGCCGCCGATGCTACCACCGCCTGAGCCGCCGGGCCCGCTGCTCGTGCTCCCCCTCCTTTCTGACTGGTAGTGACCCGGGGAGCGCCCGCGCACGATCATCTTGGCGGATTTCCGGTATGCCACCTTAACCCACGGGTCGGAGCCTCCTTGCTGGCCGACGTCGGCCCACAGCTCGACAATGAGGTGGTAGTACTGCTGTGCCGCCCTTCTCTTGCCGTTGTTGGCCGTCGCCTGCTTGAACTGGATGCGCTCAAACGTGTACTCGGTCGGCGCCGAGCTCTGCTGGGGCTGTCCGAAGCCGCCCTGCTCGTATCTTGAGGATGCCAGACTGCCGTCCGGGCCCGCGTAGAGGCTGCTAAGAGGGTGATGAGTGGCCTGCGGCGGTTTCGGCGACAGACGCTGCTTCTCGGGCTTGGCAATCGGTCCCTTGTCCCGCTTTGGCGTATGCTGAACCAGTTCGATGGTGTGGCTGTCGTTGTCGGACACGACAGCCGAGATGCACATGGCGAAACCATAGACGCTGTACGCTTGCGTAGATCCCGTCGGCTGAAAATGGATGGGTGTGTTGTGCAGCATGGGCGCCAGCGAGAAGGAGCAGACGCACGAGAAGTAATTGCGCCGGTAACATGTCCACTCGCCATCGGCGACGAAGAAACCCTTGTCGATGACGCCGCTTATATCCACTTTGATGGGGGTGGCCGACGCGTCGGCGTACGAGAGATGGCCGAGCGAGGTCATGGAAACCAGAGGCGGGATGCTTGGCTGGGTCTTGGTCCCAGAGTACCCCGTATCCATCTTGACGGATCCGTACGCGGCCGGTGTGCTGGTTGGTGAGAGAGGGTTATGGCGTCGTATGCCGGAGAAGGATGGAGAGCGTTGGATGTGATGGTCCGGCCTCCTAAAGGCGGGCGTAGCCGATGTGTAAACGTCTCGCACACTCAGATGTGCCCCTGGATGCGGCAATGTTGTGGACCGATGGGCATGTGCCATGCCCCGGCTGGTCGTGCTACTGCTACCGCTGTAAGCGACGTGGGGGAAAGGGTGCGCCATGGGACAGGGAGATCATAACGACGATGGAGTTGTTGGTGTGTGCTACCTACTTGGAGCCCAGTCGAGGCCTGACGTCCAGACCGCGGAAGACGGGGGGAGCGGAGGTATAAAAGTGGCCGCCTTCAGTAGAGTACGGCGTGACGGGCGGCTGGGGTACCGGTTGGATTAGACTCAGATATGAGGAAGGCTGAGTGGGCGTTTCTATTGTTGACAGGGACGTAGTGGAGCCCTGGCTAAAGCTATAGGCGAATTCGAGTTAGTAACCGGCCACACTCCAGCGTCATGCGAGACGAAGGGGGGGGGGGAAGTGGGGAGGGGGCCGCGCCGCGGGGCGAGAAGAAAGGATGAGGGGGCGGGTGTGGGACATCGTTCGTTGTGCCACGCCCGGGTGGCTTGACGCTGTGCTGCCATTGCTGGCCCTGTGCAACTCGGAATGCTGGCGGGTAGGACGGAAGAGACCGTCATACCATTGCACAACGCTGTGTTTTGCAGGGGTGTCGCAGCAGCAGCCTTAGCAGCAATCGGAAGAGCGAGCTTGACGCATGCGGCAACGGCGCGGGAGCAGGGCTCACAGCGATCGATCCCAGGTAACACGCCCGGAGCGAGCACCCATTTCTAACTCGCGCGGTGATCGACGCAAAGAAATTCGGCAACAGCAACGGCAGCAGCGATGCTGACAAGGCCACCACCAAAACGCAGAAGGGTGGGCCCAGCAGTATGATATGCCGCGAACGCCAGCTAGCGAGGAGAAAAGGAGCCAGTGGACGACTAAAGCATGGTGCAAGGGGCCTTATACTTGCACTTGCAACCAGATCTCGGATCTTGAAGGATGAGGTGGGTGATGTGCCCCGAGGTGGAGATAAGTGCGGAGGGCCGTTAAAGGGCTCATGGTAGGGTACCAAGGGTGTAAGTGCGGATGGAGGGTTCCTGTTCTTGAGAAGGTCGGGTCCTCCCCACCGTACAGAATTGAATGGTACAAGGAAGGCCGTCCAGATGGAAATAAGGGGCAATTTACGCACCACATGTCAGTTGGCGCCGGTATATCGAGGTAGTCCAGCCCGGAGCCAGAGGGAGGCGAGGGCTCGATGAAATCCTGCTATAAATCGCACCTGTTAGATCAGTCTTGCCATGTTCTGCCCAACTTCCGCCGTCCTTCTGCCTCGCCCTTGGACGTATGTTGCAGAGTTCGTAGTGAGAAAACCTGAAGAAAGATGATGATGCTGCGGCAGACTGGAAATGCCTCTGAGCTGGAGGAGCACATATTCTGGATGTGTCTTCAAGGGAACCGGCGAGTGAATGCGGCGCCGGAAATGGAACTGTGGCGCAATTAGCAACAGGCTGCAGACCGCCGACCGGCCTCAATGGCAGAGCGGTCGAGAGACGGGACCGAAGGCGAAGAGAAGGCGTGGTGGGGGCGAGACGAATGAAAAAAAAGATAGGGGTCCTTGAATGGGACGGAAACCAAGTGACTGGGGAGTAGGAAATAATAACAAAAGCTGTTTGCTTTGCTGATGCCGTTTAGCTGCTTCTTCTGATCAGACAGACAGAAATGTATGATAGGGATATTCACCCCAGCCTACCAGCCAGTGCCTCGAGCAGGGCTGCCCTAACGTCGGGGCCAGCATCTCATGTACATCCAGTACAACGAGGTACTGCTGCACCTGCAGGGGTACATTGCGCTGTGAGTCGGCCATCATAGGGTGTGGCCAGAAGCAAGCATCCACAGCAACAGCAACCTCAGCAGGGTTCTGCAGACGCACTTCAACATCGGGATGCGACCATGGCTTATGTAGGTCCACCCCAATCTTGCACGCGTGCCTCGGGGCATGCCGCCTGGTCCCGTTCTCTGAGCATGAACGGTTCAGCCGACATTTGTTGCTAGGCCGGGGATGAGGACGGCAGCAAACGGCGAACAAGATTCTCGGCGTCCCGTGCTGCTGAGCGCAATCGCAGGGAGCGAGGGGCATTGAAATGCAAGCCCTGGCCCGTCAGATCATGTCCAGCGAAAGTGCATGCAGGAGTCAGGCCCTGGCGCGAGGATCGGGAAGGGCGGGGCATTGGATTCGACTGATCAAAGAAGGACGGCTGCCTTAAACGGCGCAGCGTTGAGGCGCTAAATCTAGAGGGCTGCGTGTCCGCAGCCTCGTCGACAGCAGAGACAAAGAATGGATGACAAGGCATTGTGCAGTAGTGGTGTTTGTGCTTTTTTGGTTGTCACTGACCTTGCGATCCACAAAATGTGCAGCAGCCCGGCTTCGTTTGTCGCTTCCTGTTGCCGCGCTTTTCGTTCTGGGTGAGAATCGGCAGTTGGAGCGTTTTTCATCGCGATCAAATGGTCGTCATCTGAAAAGGCGAGGGCTGGCCGGGGTTGCTTGCACCGGTCATGACGGCGATGGCACAGGCAAGAAAGGGGAACTGGGGCAGTATGTACCTTGGGGAGTTGTTGATTCATCCGCCAATCCTCTGCTCCAGCGCGGAGCGAGGAGTCGCTGCAGGTGACCAGAGACTCTCTGAGCGTTTGCGGTGCCTATGGAAAGAGCACAGGGCGATGGTTAGCTGAAGTGTTTGGGAAGCCATGGTGTTGATTTCCGTTTGCCGCCCTCTCTCTAGTGTCCAGAGCTGGGCAACCTGGAACTTGGAAGCCGCCTTAGAAGTGTCGGGTCCGAGTCCAGTGCTGAGGGAAGTGACGGCGCAGGCACTGACTGCCTGGGGAAAGGGCGGCCTGCCAGGCGAACGACGGCCAACAAGGGTCGACCGGGGAGCGAGTAGCCTGGCAGGACCCGTGGAAAGCCGTCCACTTGCTCCTTCCCAAACTGCCCGGGGTTGCATACCCGGGCGGAGCGTGTCTCGGGAACGGGGATTGGCTGCCTGAACCCCGGTCGTGCCAAGGGCATCATTAACAACACCCTGCACCTCAAAGCCCAAGTGGGTGCGCGTCCTGTTCGGCTCGCGAAGCAAGTTGGTCTGACATCAGTCCATAAGATTCCGTGAAGGCTCCAACAAGCCGCCTGGCCGATACTTGGTGCAAAGAAACAATCGTGGTCGTTGCATCAACTGCCGCAATGCCGCTCCAGCCAAGTTAAGAGGTCATATGTCGCGGCGTCGCCAACCTCGTGAAGCTCACGATGAAAAGACGTTCTTGTGCATCCCACACTCACTCCGCCTTCACCCAACAATCCTGGATTTGGATGCCGTCTCCCTTGCCCATGTCCGTATTCAGAATTGGAGACCACTGTAACTTATAACGTTGTCACCGGGCCCGTATCCGTCTCCACGGCGCTCAAGATCGTTGTTGGTCCGATTTTTCTGGAGCACGTCGCTGCCGCAGGGGGCTGGACCTGCCGGCGTCTCGAGAGTGGTCCTGTCCTGACGCGTTTGGCTTGGGGAAGTTGGTCCATACGGAAAAGAGCTGCAACGGCACATGCAGAAGAGCAAGTCAAATCAGAGATACCGCTTACCTAGAGGCGACCCTCTGGGCCGATAGAGATGGCCCGAGCTGCCAGTTGCTAGCGGCAATCTCGGACAGAAAGGACCGCAGTCGTGGTCTTCGATTGGTCTTATGGTGACCAGTCGTTAGTGGTTCGCTGATTTCCGAGTGTCGGTGGCCCGGGCTATCATGGAAAGTACGGGCCTATTCGAGTTTGTTGTCTTCTGACCCAAGCGTGCCGTGCTTGTTGTGGCCCAGGTTTTGAGAAGAGTGTTGCTGTCGGTGGGTGGCGTCTCTGGAGTAGTGAAGCAAGTTCGCGCAGGAGTGATGGGAAAAGTTAGGAGTCCTGATAAAGATTTAAAGGTGGTACAAGGAGCTTGTGGTGTGCCTTGAGTCTAGCCTTTCCGGCAACCTCAACGAACGGATGGGTGGGAGAAGACACCAGAGTCAGTAGGAGAGTTGTGCGAGTTGGGGTTGCTGTCTCTTCTTTAACCTCTCGCCGAGCGGGTGACGTTGCGCAGGGTTCTGAGACAACAGTCAGAGAACAGCAGTGAGGCGGGGAGGTGAATCTCCAGTCGTATTAAGTAAGGGAGTGAAGCCAGAGAAGTTTAATACACTCCAGCCGGATCAGAGCCGATGGGGATTTAGATTGCGTCCCTCCCGCTGGCATCGTCCCAAGTACCTATCCTGGGCCCACCAGCAAGTGCGCCTCGGCCAACTCAGCAGTAGGAAAAGGACCGCACCTAGCAGTCAAAGCAAGGAGCCGCTGAAGTCGTAGGCCCATTGGCTTTGTGTTGTCGAGGTGGTCAGTGCCTCGGCCAAACAATCCTGGAGACTCGCCACAACTACCTCTGGCCCCAGCTAGTAGCCGCTCTCTGGACAGGACTAAGCAGGGTTGTGGTCTATTCTCCATGACAGGGTATGCCGAGTACCGCTACCATCTTGCTAAGTATGGTAATTGGGTTTCGAAACGGCACGGGGACGTTTCCCGGGTAATGGTTCTTAACTGGCTCCGAGTCAGTGTTTGCGGGTGAGGCTCTACCTGGTCAGGAACCTGCGCTGACTTACAGAGCTCACTTACACTCATTGTCGGACTTTTTCCTTGTGCTTTCCCCTTTCCTTTGCCTTTTTCTCTCTTTTGTTCTGATACTTTCTCTCTCCTTTAGTTCTGACCTTTCCTTTACCTCCACCGTTTCTCTGGTTTTTCTCCCTTCAGTTCTAGCTGCATGGAAGAAAATTTATCCCCGGCGAGGGGGGACTTCATTATCGGGTAGGTGCAGGCAGATGGCAGACTTTGCAAGGAAGAACCACGCAAACGCCTTTCTTTCCTATACACACTGAGTGTTCCCCCCCTTGACAACGGCGTGGGGTGTGAAGGAAGGGATGAGACGATGGGCCAATACTTTCCAACCCCAGGGACAAAGCTTTCAGAGACGGAGAATGCCGGTTCAAACCCCGTTTTCGATCGCGGCGATCTCAGGAGGCGCGGAGCTGCACGTCTTTCGCTGCGCTCCTCCAGCTTTTCGGCCCTATAGACCTGAGATTTTCGGCAACGGCCGACAACCATGCAGCGGAACCAAAGATGAAGCCACCCGGGGGTTTGTCCCACTCGAGGGAGCGGGTTCTTCACCCGACACGTGAGGGAGTGTATGGTTTGCCTTTTCGAGCAGTGCACCTGAATCTCCTGATCCTACAATACCCGTTTCGGAACATAACCAGGCGAGAAAACAATCAGAATTGGCGGATAGAGAAAGGGGTGAACAGCAGTTGCAGAGGCGCGGATAAAGCGAGATGGATCTCGCCAACGGCGCTCTGCTCACCTGGCGTAGGCACGAAACAAGCTGGGACCGTAGTCCTGCATCCGAGTCTCGTTGCCATAGTAATGAGAAGAAGGGCATTTGGACGGGACGGGACCAGAACAACCCTGCGACGCCTGCCTTCTCAACAAGTAAGGTGTGGAGGTGAGGGTCATCGTGTTGCCTTGATGCATGCGGATAAGAGCTGTTAGGGGCATATGGTCGGGAAATTCGGGAGAGGTCGCTTGTGCAGGTTCCCGTCAGCTGCGAATCGATGCATCTGCCACTGACCAATCCCACAGGCTAACAAGACATGGCAAAGCGCCCCCATGGCTTGAATGAGGTGACCAACCCCACTGTTTCAGATCCAAGATTCTTTCGGCCGTTACGCGCAGTGGGCTTGCTGGAGATTAGGCGAGTTTCGGAGTACTTCGAGGGCTTGGGCAGACCAGGTCGGCCCAGCAAGGCGGTGCGAAAAGAGAAAAAAGAAAAAAAAGAGAAAAACCTGGACTAGATCAGTCCGGAGCTGCCAACAGCGGAGGCCTACGCTGCTTTTGTCTACTCAGCCATGGAAACCCCATCTCTCAGTCATCATGTCCATGCTCGTTGTCGGATGTCTGTCAACGCCGCGGATGCAGGGAGGACATAGACAGGTTGGGTTCAACCGGCACATCAGCTCGGATCGGGCCGTTGCCGTCAGTACCTTCAGTCGTCCAGCCGGTGAGGATGGCGAGCACTGACGGTGATCCGTCTCTTCGACCGGTCGGTGAGCTTAGTATCGTGTAGTATCTTGCACTGTCTATCGTGCTGTCTGGTCATGCAACCCTTGGTGGGTTGCCGGACCGTTGCCGCGGTCGCTGAGGCGCGAGTTGACGGCAACACAGCGGGCGCCTCGCATCTTCTCCCATACATGACCACATCTTGCTGCACCTCTCAGATCTTGTGCCATGTGACACCTCATCCAGCCCGCCATTTTGCGCCGCGCTGAGCAACGCCAGCAGACGAACCATGGCGGCGGCTTGCACGAGCCATGACGAGGCGCTGGTCAACAACCTCTATCGACGCTAGCGAGCACTCAGAGGAGTCACAGTCTGCGATCGATGTCTGTGCATCAAGCCACGAAAAAGATAGCCGCTCGGGCGAGGGGGGGAGCGGATCTGGCCTTCGAGCAGGTTTCAGATAAACTAGTTCTGATAACTGCAGGCAGCTCTTCAATACTCAAAGACCCAATATGATGGCTGTATTTCCCCGGGAATGTCGCTTATTTCCACATGGTAATAGACGTTGTCGATGCCCGGGCTGCAACTCTCCACGTTCAGATGTTTGTCTGCAGTCGTGAAGCCGGTGGAGTCGGTGGAACCCAGGTTCCTTCAAGATTCCATGCAGGAGCTAGATTAGCCCCATCGGCGTTCCCCACTTTCCGATCAATGTGGGGTCCAACTCAACAGGGTTGCAACAGCTGCCAGGCGAGCCAGGGTACGGTAGTGCAGTACTAAACTTGAACACCAGGTTTATGAGAAATGCAGATTTTTCTTGTTTTCAGGACGTTGATGGTTCTTCAATTTTATTCTTCATCTAACCCTTCATCTTAGTTATGACCAAGGTCCGTTGACAAGAAAAGCCAATATTACGGGTTGAGTCAAGTTAGGTAATGGATCCGCTCAGAATGTGCAGCGGGAACCTTCCGGCAGACGTCTCGCAGCGAATGCAATACCAGGCGGCTTCTGAAGCATTTAAGGCATTGTTACGGTGGATACCAGGGCAATCACGGAATGCTACGCCCCTACGCTAGGGATGTACCAAACGCGAGGAAGCTAACCGATTTGAGCGACTCATCCAGCGCACATGCATGCGTTCAACAACTGCATCGCCGCCTTGCAACCGTGTTGGTTGCCTCTTGCTCGCCATTCGTGCCCCATGCCTCCTGGTCTCGAGGTCTCTAATCCATCTACCTTAAACTTGCGGTTGATCATATTCTTCTTCTCTCTCTTCGCTAGGGCCTTGGCTGGTTTGGAGACGACCACGAGCGACAAACACACGCGTCGGATGTCTTCGATCCGAGAATTCCATGTCCGAGTGGTCTTGATGTGCATACACCCAGCCGTCCTCCAGCTCACCGGTCAGAGTAGAGGCAGTCATGGCAGTGCTTCCGAGGGAGACGATTGGTGGGCTGCCCGCGCGGACCAAGAATTCTCTGCAGCTCGATTAATTCTCTCTTTCTTTCTTTCCTTCTCTAATTTTGCTCCGTCTTTGCCGGCCTCTAGGCCATTAGGGTCGCCGGTGGAGATTCAAATTCGCTGCGGCCTGCTGCCTTGCAAGCCTCGTCGACAGCACGGATGTACTGCTGCTCCTCCGCCCCCGGCCTTCGCGCCCTCGTCGACACGTACGAAGTGATCACGCCCCGTCTCGTCAAGGCTGCCGCCGCCAGAAACACTTAGTGTCGCTCACCGACTTCTGTCAGGCATAAAGCATGCCTAACCAGGCTGGATACTGGCAGCCTTCCCCTCTTCATCCGTGGCAGAGTCTCAGTTGAGCGCCTCCGACTCACTCGGCCCACGCGTCGCATCGGCGTGGTGGTTTTCTCCCTCCTCCGTAATCCGATGGGTCGAACTCGACGCCCTCGGGTGCCCCTTTTGCTGCCCGACGAACGCAGCTTCATTCCTCTGATAAGTTCTGATCCGCGCGTGACGACTGCCCTGATTAGCATGGGATACCTTGCTGTCGCCGGATTCTTTCTGCAGCCGCTGATGGTGTGCACGCGCGACCTCCCTAATCGAGTCAGGCAGCAGGTGGCGCCAGCAGTATCCGTAGCATTAGAAAGGCCCCGAGACAGGCCGGTACGTGCAGGTACTTGCCAGTGGCGGCAGATACCGATCGCCCTCATGCGCCGTGAGATGGACTCATGACTAAGATACCCAAGTACCATAGCCAACAGCCGCAATCTGCAGTTCTGACCGGCTGTGGAAGGGATAGGCAAGGGTTCTGAATCTGTGGCTCTGCCGGCTATAGTGCCTGAAGGCAAGGAACCCTCTTTCTGGCCGTCTTTGTGCTCAGACTTGAACCATAGCAGAACATTTCCCGGTCTCCTTGTAAGATCCGAGCGGCACTTCTCCGGCCAATGCCTATTTAGATGTTGGCATGAGCCTGGCGTCTTCAAGACGATAGGCATTCAGACCAAGAGTGCCCGAGTATTGGGCTTTCCTGTCCCTTTCTCAGACCAACAAGGCCTTAGAGCTGGCTTCTACAAGACCCGATGGTGCTGCTGAAGTTGTCGGCGTTCTGACTCCGCCTTGAGCCAACATTGGATCACATGAGCACTGCTTTCTCGAGCTAGAGTCTTCGATTATGCTGTTGAACGCTGATTCCCAACGGGAGGTTCAGAGGAGACGGCGTTTCACGGTTCTCAGTGGCTCTTTGAGTCGACGGCCAGCATCTATCACCTTCCAATTCCGCAGATGTTGTAGAATGCTATTGTAAATCTTGAACCCGGCACATACACTGCGCGGGGTAGTCTCTTTCTTTTTTTTCCTTTTTTTGGTTCAACAAAGACAGTCTCTTACCCGCCCGCAAAGCAACATGCCCTTCGGTTAAGTCCCGAAGAATGAGACCGCGGCCAATCAAACTTTTGGTGTAACAATGTTGCACTTGCACCAAGCAGCCCTCACTAAGACCATCGAGTCCCCCTCACCCGTGTGCTGGTCTCAGAGACGATGGCAATCTGCGCATTCAAAACCACCAGCTGACGCTTCGAGGTTGAATCGACGATTCCAACATTTGTCGACATTCCGGACGGCCGGTCTGGGGAAGAAGCGCGTATGCAGTCCGTCTCGTGGCAGAGTGCCTGGCGTCGCACCGGCAACAAGCAGCGCAGGCTAGCGGGCAACTCAGGCACTGCAGCCTGCAGTGGGCCGGCCCCCTGAGTTACTGTTGGGGTATCAAGAAGATGAAGGTTTACACAAGAACCGCTCCCCTGGGAGCAACCACAGCAGAAACGAACGAGCAAGGGCGTCTCGAACTGGTGTGACAAGCCCAAAGTCTCGCTGAACGGCGAACAACCCCTTCAGGTATGTCTTGTCCGACCCACGTTGCTCAACGGCAGTCACCACCCCCGATGTAGAGCTCTGTTCGATATGACTTGCCGGATTTGCTTGCTAATCCTTTCTAATCTGGGACCTCCACGCTTCTTCTCGGTCGAAATCCCGTCACAAACCGCTCGCTCTGGTCACAGAGCCTTCTGTCCCCGCGAGGAAAACGATCCACGACATCGCTGCACTTATCGTGTGACACCCGAAGGGCAAGAGGTCCAGCACATACAACCCCGCTCCAGGCTGATCGGGCGGAATACTCTGGAAAGGGATTCCGTCGGAGAGGACTCTGCCATGCATCGCCCGCCGTCATGTCGCGGTTATCACCTTGTCTGGCTACGTGGCCGGTGCTGCTTGTCGGAAGGGATCAAAAATGCGGATTTGGTGGCAACGTTAACGGGGCCTGTGACCATGGCAAATCCAGGCATGCATTTCCTGTCCTACAACCCGACATGCAACCTGCGGATGCCATCTCGGCCGCACCAGAGAGAGCACCGAAAAGAGGGTTAGCTTCTCCCTGCGTCTGCCTCATGATGTCGTGCCACAACCCCGGAGGAGCTTGCGTTCCGACTCTCTATACCGCAGAGAAGCTGCTGGTTTGATACGAGGCAGTGAGCGGATGCGGTTGTCACCAAAGGCGTTGCTGTTTTCAACATCGTCAACAGCCGACACCAAACGTTGACGGCGCCAGGGCTGGGAACCACAGCCGTCTCCGTGTCAGCGCCACCTCAACGGTCGCGTGGCCGCGGTTGGACAAGATGCAGCGGACTGCTTCATGCCTCCCTTAAGCCACCGTTGTACACACAAGTGTCTCGATCTGCGGAGGCCTCGCCGCAAGGATCGCAAAATCATAGTTGGAAAATGTGTTGCAGCCGTCGACCGCACGGGGGATGAGGAATCCCACACATCCGCAAGCATCCTATAGCCCAAACGCCCCAAGGCCCGGGGCCATGAGACGATCAGTTCCTGACGGGCAACAAGACGCCGAAACGTCGGAGACGGCAATCAAAACAAGACGCTTCGGTACCGAGAAGGCAGAAAGACAAGCAGCGCAGTCCGAGAGACGGCATCCGATTCGACAAACGGATAGTTCCCTCCTCGGAGCGGCACCCGTTTGCCGGGGGAAGGGCCAAGAATAGCAGCCATGACAGATCAGATGGGCAGAAGCTCGTGTCCGACAGACGCGCAACACGGCGTCGGATGTTTCCGCTCTCTGCGCATCCATGTTGCCTGATTCATGACGGCCAGACCGTTCTACCATGTGTGATAGGAAAAAAACACAACACCGATTATGTCACGGGTACTGTGGCCACTGTCTCATCAACACATGTGCCAAGCTCCAAACAGAACTGCCGTCTCCCAACTCTGTTTGGCTTGATCAGGGTGTCTGGTCGATGCATGCACGTCATGCCCTCACCTGCGCGGAATGTCGGACCCATTTCGGACATGAGCAGGGCATCCTCACGGGGCGAGTGGGTAGGACTAGGTGCTTTGACCGAGATGCCTACTTCAAGGAGAGAGCATAGGATCCAATGAGATGGTCGCTTCAGACACACTTCTCGCCGGCATCTCTTCGGTCTTGTGTTCGGGTAGTCTCATGCGCTCCTGAACTCGGCATCCTCCGCAGAGGCCATCGTCTCCCGCTCCGTGATGCGCAAGAACTGGGCTGCTGGGCAAAGCCGGAGGCGGATTGGAGAAATGGCTCCTGTATGTCGTACCTCTGTCAAATCTCATCAATTGTCGAAAGGAGCTGATAGGTAGTTTGGAACAGCCAGGGACCGAAGTCATCTCCAACGTGAGGCCAGTGGAGATGAAGGTGCCAAGTCACTCCGATGTTAGCATGGAACTTGCAGACCGGACACTGAGGCAACGCCTTTAAGCTGAAACCCGGACGTTAATCTTGATTGCATTACAGTGAGGGCGAGAATCAAAAATACGGAGTTCGGAAGATAGCCTTATCTTTTCATTGATTATTCTTTCTTCCTTTCTTGCCTCCCTGGTGAGTTTCAGTTTGCTACCCGTAGCTGGTTATAAACTGGTCACAAGGAGTCTCACGTTAGCAGGACTCTAAATAGGGGCACAGACCAACAGTTTCTGAATTCGCTGTAGGATCCACTCCGCCACCAGGGCTTTCCACCACTTATGGGCAATGCGAGACGTGGTACCCGCTGATGTCTTCTCTGTGTGACGGTCTTGTTCGGGGCCGCAGCGGAACCTGGAAGTTGCCTCTTGCCCCGAATCGCCGTAGAGCATGACGTGTGGTGGGACACAAACCTGAAGTGGATCCACAGGCATTGCTGCTAGCCAACAGGAAGCTGCGAATCGCGCTTCCTCAGTTGAATCGCAGACAGTCAGAAATAGGCAACGCCCCTTCAGCCTCCTTTACTTGCGACTTTCTACCGAACCTGTACCCAGTAGAGAGCCCGACCGAATTCGAGGCGAGCATCGGACACCCGGGGTGATGCCGAAAAAGAGACACCTCAACAAGTACTCCAAACCGCAATCGACCGCCCCAGCGTTGCTCAGCAGCACGGCTGCTCGCAGAAACAACACCCATCATGGTGCGTCACCCGGTGTTCCCGCAGCACCGACCCGTCTCCCTCGTGTACCCAGCCGTTTGAGTGGTTTCGGCTCGTGAGCACAAGCATCCATGTTTCCCTTCGCATTCTAGAGCCTTGAGGCCAGCGTTACTGATGCATGCTGTAGATGACTCATCCCGAAGCCGCGGCGTCAATGAACTGCTGGCCGACCTCCGCCGCACCGGCCTGAGCGGCCCTCCGGCTCCGGATGTGGTCCAGCCAACCATTCATCCCTCGCTCCGCCATATTCTCCAGATCCCGGAGACGCCACCTCCTCGCCCCCGGCGGCCGCCTATCCGGGGTGGGACTGCTGGTGCGAGGCTCCCTCCTGGTCCGCCTCCGCCCCGTAGTTGGTTATCAAGACCGGAGCGCGCGGAAAACGCTCTCCGGCGGTCGGCAATCGAGTCCGCCGCAGCGTGGAGGTCTGTTCAGCGGCCATTGCCGGGGCTGAGCCTGCCGGCGCGTGGAAGTCTGATCGATGTGGTTCTGCGCCGCATGGTTCTCGACTGGGAGTGGCAGAGGTCGTATTGCCGCTATCACCTTTATGAGCTCCCAACACATCTGCGGGTTGCTTTGATCACCTACCTAGCCGCGTACACCGACGAGGGTGTCTCTGTGCGTGATCTTCAGGCCGTTCTCCAGCCTCCTCCAGACGTCCCTGATTACTATGAGGACCCGGCGCCCCCAAGCATCATAAACGAGTCTTTTAGTTATCTCGACCTATTTGGCTCGATTGGGCGGTCCTTGAGACTCCGCGAGTTGTCGGATCTCCTCTTTCCCCGTGAACCTGAGTCCAACAACTTGCAGGAATCCTGGGACACAGCCGATGCGTCCTCGGCCGATATCCCCCGCCCGCTGCTTCCCAATCTAACTCACCTCTCGCTTGCGCTAGACCCCTCGTTTTGTCGCGATGTCTCGTGGCGACATCTCTTGGCCTTCGCGGCCCGTCTGCCGGGGCTGACCCATCTCAGTCTGGCCTTCTGGCCCGAGCCGACGCTCACTCCCAACGCCAAACTGGCCACGGTCATCTCTCCGCAGACGGGGCGGACGTTACAGTACGGCGGAACCGGGCCCTACAGCCATTCCCTAGACGACGACTGGGCCGAGCAGGTCCTAGTCCTGCGCCGTCTCAGCAGGTGTCTGTACGGGCTCGAGTACCTCGACCTGACGGGGTGCGGCGCATGGTTCCCCGCGCTGTGGGCCAGTGCCGGGGAGGGCGACACGGTCGACTGGACGGGCGCATGGGGCAAAATCTCTACGGTGGTCATGTACCCCGGCTATCGGCTGGGCAATGATGCTGGGCTGGCGGAGACGGCGCGGTATTGGGAGTTTGTGGACTATGCGAGGCGGGTGGAAAGGCACGTGAGGAGTTGCCGGGCTGGGAGGGGCAGGTTCTTTAGTGTTGAGACGTGTAAGCGGCCGGGAGAGCTGTAGCTTTACAGGTAAAAAAAAAAAAAAAAAAAATCAACCCGAGGCTGTCCGGTTTTTGCTTCTATGTCCTCTCCTCACTCTGCAGTGTATGAGGCCACTTCTTACATATTTGGCTAATTTTCACAATGGGGGACCTCACTTTGTATTCATTTGGTCTCCCCTGCCAGGCAATGAACTACAAGGCGAGGGTAAGAACATCAAAAAGCTCACCACCCAGCTCCCTAAGGAGGTGGATGGCTACGAAATCCTGGGACTACGGATTTTCCTTCGCACAGGGGGGGGGGGGGGCCGGCTTGGCGTTGGGGCGGCGAGTCGAACTAGTGGCTTCCCCAGAGGGAAGGGCACCTGTCCCATGGGGATAATTGGGTCCCCGAGCCCCTTCCAAGTAGGCCATTGACCTGTTGGAAGGGCCACTGAGATTATTGAACGTGGACCTAATAGATATAGGACGGGCGGCCTGGAAGGTGCGGCAGTTCTTGAACGCTGGAGTTGGTGGAGTTAGAATGGAAGTTGGTGGTCAGCAACCTGATGTCCTTCCGAAACCTTGAACAACTATCCAAATTGCCTAAGGCGCCGTCAGACTAACTAGGTCGTATAAAGTAGACCATGTCTAGCATCTCACTTAGATTGGTATCGGGCGAGTTACGATGAACACTTGGCATGACGACGGCATGTAGTTCAAGCATGTCCATCTAACAATGGCTCGGAGAGAACAAACAGGCGAATACCTAACAAGTGGTTGTCTGGAAGCCCTGACGGTCTTTTTCCCAATACAAACCAACACCCCTACTTCTTCCTGTGTACTGTTGAATCCAATATGTACAATGAATGTACAGTGCCATATCGTATGTTGAATATCCGCTCGACCTCTTAATACCGCCAGATAGCGTCCGCCATGGCCACCACCTGCGCCATCTCCTTCACATCATGAACCCTCACCACATCCGCGCCGCCCTGCACGGCAGCCGCAACCGTCGCCGCGGTGCCCCAGATCCTCTCCTTTGGCGTCGGCACCCCGGTCACCCGCCCGATAAAGCTCTTCCTGCTCGACCCAACCAGCCACGGAAGGCCTTGCAGGCCAGGCCAGCTCCTCAACTCCTCGAGATGCCGCAGCACGTGCACGTTCTGCGGCCCGATCTTTGCGAATCCCAGCCCGGGATCCAGCACGATCCGCCACCGCCTCACCCCGGCCTCCTCGGCCGCCCGCACCCGCGCCACCAGCTCCCTCGCGATCCCGCCGATCAGGCCCCCCTCGCTGGCGGGGTACTCGGCGAGGGAGTTCATGGTGGCCGGCGTGCCGCGCATGTGCATCAGGCAGATGGTGGCGCCGAGCCGCGCGACGGCGGGGAGCATTTCAGGGTCCATGGACCCGCCCGACACGTCGTTGACAATGTCTGCGCCGGCTGCGACGGCTGCCTCGGCCACCTTCGCGCGATACGTGTCGACTGAGATGAGGACGGGCCGCGAGGCGAACTCGGAGCGGATGAGCCGGATCGCGGGGAGCACCCGCGCCAGCTCCTCCTCGAGCGGGACCTCGGGTGCGCCAGGGGCAGTGGACTGGCCGCCGATGTCGATCATGGTCGCGCCTGCGTCGAGGAAGGTGGTTATTGTCTGGTGGAGAGAGGATCGGTCGGCGGGCGTGTTTTGGCCGCCGTCTGAGAATGAGTCGGGAGTCATGTTGAGGATGGCCATGACGTGCGTTTTGCGGGACGGGTTGAGGGCTTGGATCGGTGGGTGGTGCGACGAGAGGGGGGTCATGGTTGTGAGCGGGGTTCTAGAAGGTGGCAGGGCGTCGAGGTAGTCTGCTGTTAGACGCCAAGGGCGGGCGCGATCGATTGGTTTGTCTGGAATGAGTCTGGCAAGGAAGTTAGTTACGACGAGCGTTGTAAGAGATGGGGTGATGGTTTACTCGGATAGGGGTCGAAGAACGAATTCGCGTTCCGGGATGCCAATGTGAGGGATTTTGAGGCGTTCATGGTTGAATGTGATGTTCTCATAGAGAAGAATATCGAGATCTATGTTCCGAGGGCCTTTGTCAATGATCTTCTTGCGGCCCAGCGTCCTTTCAATGTCTTGGAGCGCGTCGAGCAATTCAAGGGGTTCCAGGGTCGTCTCAACCTGCCCTCCGGCTTAGTGCTGCGACATGGATTATGATGGACAAGCTGACAAACCTCACAGGCGCCGTTGACGAATCTATCCTGATCTAGCACGTACATGGGCTCCGTCTCCCACAAGCTGCTTGTCCGCTTCACGCTGATCCCCCTCGCGTCCATCTCGTTGCAGGCTCTCTCGATCCAGCCAATGCGATCACCCAAGTTGCTGCCCAGAGCAATGTACGCCGTCCGCTTGCGCGGACGCTGTTGAACAGCGTTCATTTTTGCCGGAAGATCGATGCCAGCGGCTGGTTTGTAGTTCTGTGGCAGCGTGTACTTCTTGTAGGTGAATGAGTCGGAGACACGCCGCGCCGACTGCGAAAATTGCCTGGTGTCAATCTTGCTTACACGCGGAGCCCAGCCGCAGTAGCAGACATGCCTAACATGGCGAGGGAGTGTTTTCGGTGGTTTGAGGGGTCCCGGGGCGATAAGAGCGAACTTAGCGAGGCGCTTCATCTTGTGCCGCATTCTGAGATCATCAAGTTGAGAATCTCGTCGCGAGGGACATGGGATCCACTGCTGCAAGCAGGGTTAGGGTTGACAAATCTTCAGCTCGTTCCCCTTAATGATGAACGGAAGCATTGGATTGCTGACTTTTCCATTCCGGCGGCGGGCCACCATCCAGGAATGTTGTTGACGGCCGGCTGACGGTGTAGGAACTCTGGTAAGGTAGCAGGGTCGGTAGCCGCAAACAGCATACCGCGATGTCGTACAACTCCACCACAGCTAAGGTTGCAGAACGAACAGGAGAGAAGACGACACTTCAAAACGGACCGCCGATGCAGTGTGGCCCATTGAAAATTCGGCGGTGTGCCTTGCACAAGCCAAGGGTTCAGCCTTTGATGTTTCGACGAGTTTTCAATTGTATAGACTTGAGAGCATCGCAATGCTTGCTTGCATCGGACTCGGCCTGAGTCAAAGGTTACTTACACAGTACGTTACGCATGGCCCTGGCAGGTGACAGGCGATGCCTCGGCTCCGTTGTCAGCTCCGCACTTTCCGGTGGGCGAAACTGCCGAAAGTGCGTACACGGAGCCTGATTGGGTTTAGCGTCCATCGACGGGCAACCTCGGTACAGAGCGCATGGCGGGCTTGGCAGGCTCTCAATCCCCAGTTTCCTGGGGTTCAAGACGGCGGCTGCTTCCCCCAGACCTTGGGACCGTCAACCTCCTTCCCCAGTCGAACTACCTTTGACCGTTGCATTCCAAGCTGCTTTTTTGGCTTTGCATTCTTTCTTCATTCTTGGTACCATTCAGTTCTCAGACAAACCGACACCATGGCTTCTCCCCGTGAGTTGTGCCTTGCATCTCGTCTCGCCCTTGCGGTGTCACGACGCAGCCCCTGCGCACACGCAAAAGCGCATCGCTAACCAGATGCTGAACTTCGCAGAGCGAATTCGCACCGAGATCACGGATCTCTTCAAGATCAATCATCCCATTCTCCTCGCTGGCATGAACGTCGCGGCCGGTCCCAAGCTGGCTGCGGCCGTTACCAATGCTGGCGGTCTTGGTGTTTTGGGCGGCATCAACTACACCCCCGACATGCTTCGGGATCAGATTGAGGAGCTCAAGTCGCACCTAGTCGACAAGAATGCGCCCTTTGGTGTTGACCTCCTGCTGCCCCAGGTTGGCGGTAATGCCCGGAAAACCAAGTAGGTCTACGGTCAGCGATGCAGTGACTGGCAATCCCGCTAACCACGTTATGCCTCGCAGCTACGACTACACCAAAGGCAAGCTCAATGAGCTGATCGACATCATCATTGAGTCCGGCGCCAAGCTCTTCGTTTCGGCCGTCGGTGTTCCCCCCAGGCACGTTGTTGAGAAGTTGCACAAGCACGGCATCGTCTATATGAACATGATTGGTCACCCCAAGCATGTCAAGAAGTGCCTGGATCTCGGCGTCGACATTATCTGCGCACAGGGTGGTGAGGGCGGCGGCCACACTGGCGACATTGCCACCACCGTCCTTATCCCGGCCGTCGTCCAGGCCTGCAAGGGCCACAAGTCGCCCCTGACCGGCAAGCCGGTGCAGGTGATTGCCGCCGGCGGCATCCACAATGGTCAGCTGCTGGCGGCTGCGCTGATGATGGGCGCCAGCGCCGTCTGGGTTGGCACTCGCTTCGTCCTGTCTGAGGAGGCCGGCGCCCCCGAGTCGCACAAGGAGGCTGTCCGCACCGCGAGCTTCGATGATACCATCCGCACGCTCATCTTCACAGGCCGCCCGCTGCGCGTGCGCAAGAACCCATACATTATGAACTGGGAGGAGGAGCGCCAGGCCGAGATCAAGGAGCTCACGTCCAAGGGCAAGCTCCCCTACGAGGCCGATCTTGATAGGGTGATGAACGGCGAGCTCGATGCGACAGCTATCAAGACTTCTACTGGCACGACGTCCCAAGAAGATGTTGATCCTGAGGACCTTCTCGATCAGTTCCGGCCCCACCTCATGGGACAATGCGCCGCTGTCGTCAACGAAAAGAAGCCGGCCAAGGAGATTGTTGACGAGTTCATTAACGACGCTGTTGCCTCCCTGAAGAGGGGCCAAGCGTACACGGCGAAGCTGTAGGGGCCAGAATCATTTGTGTTTTGTAGCGTTAGTATATATGATTCCAATACCATGTCTCATGCCATTCTGTCATTGCATCAACTTTTCATCTGCTGCAGAAAGTTGATTCTTCCTCCTGGGGGTTTCCGCATATACCATCTTCACGAACCACCTCGATAGCGACTGAAGCCGCGCCCAAAGGCATTGGTCCCAGAATCAGCCGTCTCATTGTTTGAAACGCCAAGAGCCGTTCTCCAGAGGCCCGGGCCGCATGGAACTGGCCCCGATCGGTTTATGACCCGGAAAAGTGGGGCCGACCGGTACTCGACCGGGCCGGAGGCCGACTACAAGCCCGGCAAGCCGCACAATTAGAAACGGGCCATCACCTCCACGCATTCGTACCACAAATCCTAGGTACCATGGGATCGCCCAGGGTTTGCGCTCATCGGCCGGTCCTGGTTCAACCCTGACCAAGCTGGGCAGGCCGACGGTGGCGGCATGTCTGGGGGCGGCCAACACCGAAACACCATCCTGTTTCTGTATTGCAAAGCCGGACGATGGACATCTGAACAACCCCAATTTCGGCTGGTCGAATCAAAGCACTGGGCAACATATTTCCCAGCCTTTCTCTTCCTCCCCAAATCCCCGACCGGCCAGAGGCCACCCCTGACGCCCTCGGTCTCGAGGCGGTTACGCATCAGACTCACAGCAACATGGTCATACCATGCCGCCGGCTCAGTTTCTTCCTTCTCTACCCGTCGTTTTGGGGCTCCGGCACCTGGTCGAGTCGTCCCAAAATGTGCAATCCCCCAGCCTGAGACACGGCCCATCGTGGCCAGCGAGCTGGTTTCTGTCTGTTTCGCCTGCTCTATGGTTCAACACTTCACACGCGCATCAAAGAGCAGTATTGATACTCTATTGGATATATAGTTGGGCCAGCCCCTGGCGTATCGTTGTGTCTCCTTCGCTCACCAACGATTCGGACAGGAATCCATTTCCGCTTCATTCCTTTTTCGTGTTGTAAGGACTGCTACTGTGGCTTACACTCCTTCTACACATCATTCCTTTGCTTTTGAACCTTATTTCAGTCTCTCCTTTTTCATCAGAAGTCAGCGGCTGGGCCTTTGACCTGGTATAGTCATTCCTGTTAGCCCTCAAGATGAGAGGAATTAGCACCGGTGGCGCCGGGGAAAAGGCTAGCATGATCCTCATGATCGCCACCTTTGCCTTCTCTTTCCTCGCTGTTCTGTTCATGGCCACCGCCCTGTCGTCGGGCTCCGAGCCGAACTTCCTCGAGGATGTCAGTATTATCAAGGTGAGTTCCAGAAAGCAACCCCCCTTCCGCCTTTCAAACTGCACAACTGGGCTTCGGCTAACAGATAGCGGCTAGTTCAACACGTCCGGGCTCGGCAAGGATCTCATCAACGTCCCTAACCTCTCAGATGTCTGCGACAAGCTCGCCAATAAGGTTGAAGAAATCAAGAACGAAGTCCAAAACACCGCCGAGGAATTCAAGGACAAAGCCCAAAACACCGCCGAAAAATTTAAGGACAAAGCCCAAAACGGCGCCCAAATCGTTGGAGGCATAACCGGCCGCCGCGACATTGACGATATTGCCAAGAACCTGTGCAGCAAGGGAGCCGGGTTCGTCCAGGAGGCGGCGAAAAGAGTCAACGACTTCCTGAGCAGCGCCGCACAAGAAATCGGCATCAAGGAGTACTACTCGATTCACATTGGCACGCTCTGCGAGGGCTACTACGCGCCGAAGTTCAGCGAGACGAACGCCAAGCCCGATGTCGAACGGTGCTCACAGAAGTTCTTCGTGGGCCAGACGGACCTCAGCAAGAAGCTCGACGAGGGGCTCCAACTCGGGCCGTTCCAATTCAATCTGACCCAACTGGAGCTCGTCCAGGGTATTCAAGATGCCTTTGACGACATCCCAGAGAAGCTGGCGGCCATGGCCTTCTTCTTCTTGTTTGCCACTCTGGCCATGGTGGTCAGCTTCCTCCTGTGCGGCGCCTCGCTGGCATTCAAGGACACGGTGCGCTTGCGGAAGCTTGCCCTGCTCGGCGCGCTTGGGTTCATGGGCTTCGGGTGGCTCACCTCGCTCGTCGGCGCTATGGGTGTGACGGTGGCGGCAGAGACGATAAAGTCGAAGGTAAACGAGCACGGCAAGAAAGTTAACATCTCGGCCTCGACGAGCCCCGCTCTGTACGGCCTCGTCTGGACCAGCGTTGTCTTCTCCACCATCACGCTTGCGCTGTTGGGGGTAGCCTGGTGGCGCAATCGGAGCGGCAGGGGGTTGGTGGCGCAGCAGCAGTATGCCGAGAAGAACCAGTCGGGCAGCACTATGCAGATGGAGGACTCGCACGGGTGGGCCCAGATGCCGCCGGCCGGGGGCCAGGGGCCGATGACGGATGTTCGTTTGTAGTTGGAAGCAGATATGGTTGAAGCTTATCTGTACGATGAGTGCGTTCATTGGGAAAGGCGGGACTCTGCGTTTGGCGACCCGTAGCCTCATAAAGTTCTGGGAATAGAAACTCTGGCACATCCGTGATTCCGAGTGCAATGATAATAGCTTTTGCGGACTTTGGAAGAAGAAACTAGGGTGAAACCTGCAACACTCAAATCGGACCTGTCGTCCCGTGAAGCCTGAGTCTGATGAAGCAACCCCAGCACAACCCATAGCTCCCAGCGCAGGAATCCTAAACCTCGGAAAACCTGTGAAAAAGAAATGGAATCGTCCGTCATAAACACCTGGTGAGGAAACCAAGCATACTACTGCGAGGCAGCTAATACTGCTGATAGTAGTCTTGCTCGCCCTCCCGCGTTCTCATATCTGCCGACCTGAGCAGCGACTCGTCCATCTCTTATAGAGCCCTCGCAACAGCGCGGGTTTTGAAAGCAGTCATATCCGAAGCGAGCTCGATGTAACTTGGAATAATACGAGCCATGCTCTGATCGTCGAGATACTCGCTGTCCAGCCACCCTATATCAACCAGCATCTCGTATCCGCTGGTCATAATCCTTTCAACAAGACGTGCTGCAGACGCGGTAGATCATCGTCCTCTTAGAGCACGATGGGTAGACCGTTTTCTACAACGTAATCCTACAGTCAGAATAAAAAGCGGTATATTGCTAGACTCAGCGTGAACTCGCGGTTCTACTCGTGCTAACTACGAGGACTTCTTTTACCTTCTGCGTAAGCGATGATGACTTACCAAGTATCCGCAGTTGAAGCAGCAGGCACTGCGTGAGCAACGTTATTGCGGGCGAACGTGGTTGGGGAGATGACTTCGTGTGGATCAAGGAAGGTGGCGGGCTTGAGTTTGCAGAGTTTGGTTAATGGAAATGGAATGCAGAATATGGCCAGTGAAATGTATTTTGAGATCAAGTCCTTGGAGAATGGAAGGCATATTGTTTCAGATAGGAAGCAGTGCAGAGACGTCGCCGCTCATCCATTGGCACTGCCGGACAATGTCAATTCGATCGACTTCTGACGGCCGGCTTAGATAGTCAGTCTATGCTTGGAATTCTCCATTTGACCTAGGTCTATCCTCGCTTTCAGTTTGAGATACCTTTCTGAGCAGTAACCGTGCCTGAGTATTAATATGAATTTGGACGTCAGGAGCTCTAGGCGCGTTGGGGGGATGCCAGGCTTGTTTTTACTCGTTTCCCTAGATGCAGCAGAATAGAGAGTATATCGAGTCTTGCTCCTGACATAATATTCATAGGAAGGAAGATACTAAGGTAAGGTCAGGAGGCTAATAAAGAGGAGCCAAGATATATCTGAGTCCAAAGTATCCTGGTTTTTTTCTCACCCCCTTTTACTGATATTTTCTTTTGCCTTTTCCTTTTTAAATAACGTTAACGTTAACGTTAGTTAAGTTATATTTTTTAATTTCTATTCTTCACCATTTCGGTACTTGCCTTTTTGATCCAGCATTTCTCTATTCCGTTTCTTCTTTGTGTTTTTTTTTCATCACTTCTCTCTCGCCTTTGTTTAGTTTTCTACCTTTCCCTGGTTTTGAAGTTCTATTATGTCTCTTTGCTCGTTTTCTATCACCCGGGCAACTCTTAATCTGACAGCTGACGCCATCCGTGTGCTACCGGTAGCGTGGTGCCGAGATGCGGCTGCTGCCAAGAAGTGACGTCGTTTTGCCGCGCAATTTTGGGCTAAAAGCAGGCCTAACGTTACTTGTTTTAGAGGAGAATTGTGAATGAGTTGGAAACCGGCCAATTCTCGACATCATCCTGTACTCAAAACCTGTAAATCTCAATTCGCCTAGCATCTGGCTCCAGCAAGCATGCCGCGCCTCCGTGAGGACGACGACCACGACTTGCTGGATGAATCGCGGGAGAGGGCCAGGCGCTTCCTGAATGGCTTCTTCGACTTTGCGTTCCAGGGCAATGTCCTCGAAATCGCCTTCGGTCTGATCATCGCCTCCATGTTCACCGCGCTCGTGACCAGCTTCGTCACCGACATCCTGCTGCCGCCGCTGTCGGTGCTGCTGCCGCTGAACAAGAACCTCGAGGAGAAGTTTGCCGTCCTGCGCCCGGGGCCGAATAAGCCCGACGATGGAGGTTATAACACGCTGAAGCAGGCCCAGGAAGATGGTGCTGTTGTCATGGCGTACGGCTTCTTCCTGAACCGGCTGCTCAACTTCTTGGGCGTTGGCTTCTCTCTCTACGGGCTGGCCGCGTTGTACCAGTACTTCTCCCAAGACCCCATCATCAAGCACACGGTCAAGTGCAAGTACTGCAGGAAAAGGATCAACGAGAAGGTGAGTGGCATGGCTGTTGGCTAAGAAACTCATAGCTGACGCAGCGAAGGCTTTGCGATGTGTCAACTGCTCAAGTTGGCAGGACGGCAGGGAGGACCAGTACAGCAACAGAGCTGCGTTGGTACAGTTGGCGGACTGAGCTGGGACTCCGCGCCCGACGATCCTGGGGCCAACAACCCTTGACCGCCTGTCAACTCCCCCCAAGCGTATCACACAGGACCATACCTACTGGAATTGAATCGGTGACCACCAGCGAACCCCTGATGTTGTATGTATTTTGCATCTCACTTCGGCGACGAAGTCTGTCGGGGAGCGTTGGCACAAACTGCGGGTATCTGTCTACTCTGTGTAATACCTGTTGAAGTTTATACATGCCTAAACCAAATGTCTCAACCGCGGCCAGTTCCCCTCCCTACAGCCCCTCCCTACAGCAGCATGGCGCCGCCAACCAGAGCAGCGGCTCCCACCATGACGGCATTCTGAGTGATCTGCGGCATGCCACCTGTGCTTGAACTCGAGACCGGGTTCGCGGATGTGGCAGCGGACGTGGCGCTACCAACCGAGTTTGTCGGAGTCGCAGCAGTCGTCGGCGGGATCAAAGTGGCGGTGGTCTTACCCGCAGAGGTGCCGGCGGTAGCCTCACCATTGCCCGAGAGATGTTTGAGACCAGCGGTCACCGTGACGGGAATAATGAAAGTGCTATAGTCGGACAGAATTGTCTGGGCGAGAGTCGAAGTCGTCGCGTCCGAGATCATCATGCCACTGCAGACGCCGACATTTTCCGTCGGCTGAAGCTTGCAGTCGGCGCTTTAGGTGCTGTAACGTTTGTGGTTTAGCATCGGTCATGTCCGCCGAAAGGCAGCAGGACCGGGAGGGAGACTGACTAGGACTCTGACTCAGTCATCGTATAGGTCATCGTCGAGGGGCCATTGAGTATCTCCAAGCCATCCGCAAAGCCGCATTCATCGGAGTGAGTCCCGCTGGGGAAGGTGACAAAGTAAGAAGTAGCGGTGGCATCGGCTGAGATGACTCATGCGACAAGGGTCTGAGGATTGGCCATGGGCATCAAGATGTTGACCACAGTGCTAGACTGCGCAGCGGCGATGCCCGCCGCCAGGAGCAGGAAGCGTGCTTCACGATGAATGAAAGTAGCGATGGTCTGGTGAACGAAACGAGCGACTGGGGAGAAAGAGAGGTTGCAAGGTAACTGTAAGAGAGTTTCAACGAACTAAGTAAAGGGAGGATGAAGGGTAAGCTCAGTGCTACGGAGTATATGGATGAGCGCGGCTGGCTTTATCTTAATAAGTCTCTGACAGCATGGTCCACTTTGGTTCGCCTGAAGGATGAGGTCCCGAAAATTGTGGATTGATGTCCGATGGAATACTAGTATAAGAACCCAGGATGTTTTTAACGAAATTCGCTGGGATTCGAAGGATCTCGCAAGGGCCAGAAGTCACATTTCAACTCTCTTGCAAGAGTCTTGTCCTCATTAATGATGTGAGCGGACAGCTTCTGTGGTCTTGGGCTGAGCAGACACTATGGGGGTTAGCACTATACAATACAAGTACGAGTACGTGGCTTCCACGGTCTTAAATCGCCGAGAATGCCCCTAATATAGGATAATACCTTACTCGGGCAGGTAGCAGTTGCGGTCCCTGAAACCTGTCGCTCGGTTTCTGTCTTGGACCCGCGGTGCCCCGTGATATTGGAGGAAGCGATTTGACATTCGATGCTTGGCATCCGTCGAAGAGCTGCCAATCAACCAAGCATCGCCAAGAGATACCTTGCCTGGGATTCAATCACATCGCAACAAGAAACAGTGTCATCTCCCCTACAAACACGTATATCTCCCTCGCTTCCGTCAGCCGTGAATACGTTACTGGGAACTGTGGGCCACGACGTGGGGTTTAGGAGACCGTTGTGCCTGCTACCGCTCGCCTGGCGCCACAGCTGCCGGCAACGGATCCTCTTCGTTCGGCTCCAACTACCGGCCCGCCAAGGCAGCATCCTGGGGTCAACTCAGACATAGTGGGTAAAGGAGTTTGCGGCGACCGAGGCGACTTTGAAAGTGCTAGCGCTCCTGAATCCCGGGCCATTCCCTGGCACGACGGACAATGAGAGCACTGCGGTGAAATCCAGGACACCCACCGCCGCGCTCAGCTTCGGCGGAATCGTTTGCTGGAGGATAAGGTAGACAGCTTGTGATGGACCCGCTCCGGCCTGTCTTGCTGGATTTTCTGCTCGAATGATAGATTTGTGAATTTAAAGGATAAGAGAAAATTGGAGAATAAAAGAAAAGAAAAGAAGGGACGAAGGCAAGGCTAGAGGTAGACGAGGATAGGAAAATTGAGTCTCCTATGAAAGGTTCGAATACAATGAAATGGAAGAAGGTCTTCCCCTGGTTGTGAACGCCTTTTGTTGATTTGTGTCGATCCCTCTGTTTTCTGGCCGTCAAGTGAAGGCCAGCACAAGATCTGTCAGCAGCTGCCTGCTTCCACCTGTGTCGCAGCAAGGGCTGTAACGCGCGGTTGTTGTAACTTGGCAAGCAGCGTGCGGAAATGTCCTGGCCTGTCATATCTGTGTTGTCTTCAGAGCTCTGTTGTGGCAGTCGAATGCGCAGTCCCAGTCTTTATTTCACAGTAGCTCATGTTTCAGAGTTTGAGAAAACGGACTGTCAAGGCGGCGTGGCTTGGCTCCCCGCCAATCGCCTGCTCCAAGCCCCTGACGACCGCTTTCCGCAATGGAGAACCAGATGTGACCCTGGTTCTGGATTGCTACAAACTGGTCCTTCAGCGATCTGGGCGCCAGAACTTTCACCTGGCGGAACAGCATGCCCAATTGCAACCCTCTGCTTGTCAAATGTGCGGGGTTCGTACAGCGTGGGCTGCAAAGAAACGAAACGCCCGAGAAAAGGCAGCGAGCTGGAGCTTACCCCCAGAAATATGGAAATCGCCCATTGGCCCGCCCATTGCCCACGCCTCGCCGAATGGTGGACCCTCGTAACGTTAATGGCCCGAGAGTCTCTCCTTCTTGCGGACCGACAAGGAGACGCAGCTGCGAGGCAGTGACAGCTGATCATTGCAGGTTGCATTCGACATCGCCTTTAAGAGGGCTGGAAGCCCCCTTTCAGGCCAACGAGGCCCTCAGCCGCCCCAGCAGCTGGCCTTTCATTGCCATTGTCCGTCTATTGTCCCTATTCTCGTCTCCTTCCGCGTGTTGACCACCAAACGATCGGTTTCCCTTCATTGTGTCTTTTTCTTCTTTGCTACCCTTTGTGACATTGGCTTGTTTTCTGTATACCTATTTTCATCCTTGTGCCAAACTGACTACTCGACGACCGAGTCTTGCAACATCGTACAGGATCCTGGAGACACGTCACCACATCCTACTTTACCTTCGTTTTCTGCTCGCTGGCGGCAACTAGACCACATTACCTCTTTACTACAACCTGCTGGATAAGGAACACACACAACATCACTCGACATGCATTTCTTCAAGTCCGTCAAGCCGGCAGCTGCCGGCACAGCCCTCATCGCTGCCTTGGCCCCCAAGGAGTTGAATATCAACGACCCATGTAAGCATCTGCTTTTCGCCGTGCTCATTAAGCACTGCTGACCTTCAACAGCATCGATCCGTGGAGTGGCCAAGACCATTGCAGCTGGGGCGATGAGCTATTATTCCGGCACCGCCGAGAAGTTCGTCGACCTCCCCAAGCCGCACTACTGGTGGCAAGCCGGTGCGCTCATGGGCTCCATGCTAGATTACAGTCACTACACGAATGATAGGTCCTACGACAAGCTCATCTCCACGGCCCTGCTGGCTCAAGTAGGGCCCAACTTCGATTACATGCTTCCGTCCCATTTTGGACAAGAAGGCAACGACGATCAGGCGTTCTGGGGTTTCGCTGTCATGTCGGCGGCCGAGAGGAACTTCCCGCACCCGGACGAGAACGTCCCGTCCTGGCTGCAGCTCGGCTCCAACATCTGGAACTCACTATCTTCGAGGTGGAACACGACGGCATGCGGCGGCGGTCTTTTGTGGCAGATCTTCGCCTCAAACCCCAACGGGCTGGACTACAAAAACACGGTCAGCAACGGCGGTCTCTTCCAGATCTCGGCCCGGCTCGCTCGGGCAACCGGCAACAACACCTACTTGGAATGGGCGGAGAAAGTGTGGGATTGGACAGAAGCTGTCGGCTTGATCGATGCGGATGGCAACGTCTATGATGGTGCCCATGCGAGCCGCGACTGCAAGGACACCAATCCCGTGACCTTCTCCTACAGTGCCGCCATCTACCTGTACGGCGCAGCCGTCCTGGCCGACTACACAAAGGACCAAAAGTGGGTAGAGCGCACGGAGCGCATCCTCGGGGCCGCACGCTCGTTCTTCAGCCCCTTCGACAACGCCACCAACATCATGTACGAGCACGCCTGCGAGCAGGTCTTTACGTGCAACCAAGACATGCGCAGCTTCAAGGGCTATTTCTCGCGCTTCGTCTACGCGGCCAGCCTGTTCGTTCCGTCCATCCAGCCGGCGATCGAGGAGTTGTGGCATACCTCGGCGTTGGCTGCTGCCAAGGCTTGCTCGGGCGGCGCGAGTGGTACGCAGTGTGGACAGAAGTGGTACGTCGGCGGGTTTGACGGCATGACAGGGCTGGGCGAGGAGATGTGTGCTTTGGAGACCATTCAGGGGCTGCTCGTTGGCCAGTCGAAGCCGCCTTTCAGGGGTGACGAGATCACGACCGTCCGCACTTTTGCGGGGTCGTCTCCTGCCAAGCGGGGGAGATTCGATATGCAGTTGGTGTGAGTGCCGATATATGGGGGATTGGATACCGACAGCAAGTCCGGGTTACCTTCTTTCTGTGTATATACATTTTTGGGCAATTCGGTCCGATAGACGTGGACTGGCACTTTGGCATGCCATGGCAGGCTGATAAAATAGACGGTCATGACAATTCCTGTCCCTGCATGAGCGCGGCACCAGATCGACTTACAATATGGACAACAACCGCGACAACCAGTAGAACGATAGGGAATATCATTGACCTAAGTGCCCCATAAAATGTAGGTTCCTGACTACCTCGTATCTTAAGCAGTGTCTATTTGTTTCTCTATCTGCCCTTAAGCAACGATGCTGCTCGCCGCTACCTCCTTTTGCTCCTCATCAGCAGCCGGGGCGGTCCCCCTGACTTCAGCCAACGTCCGCTCCAGTGAAGCCAAAAATCTCGTCACCTCGTCTTCGGTGCCGACCGTGATCCTCAAGCAGCCCAAACAGCCATGCTCCTTACCCCTGAAGCGGACGACCACACCCTTCGTCTCAGCCAACTTCTCATACACAGCCAGCGCCGTAACGTTATCCGGCTTCCCCTCCTTATCCAGCATCTCATACAACAGGAAATTACTATCCTCCCCGCCCCTCAACCTGCCGATCCCGGGGATCATGGGCATCTCCCTGACCAACCTCTCCCGCTGGGCAATCAGCTTTGCCCGGTTCTCCCTCATCTTGGCCAGCCCTCCGCCCTCAGAAAGCGCAAACTCGGCGATGCCCGCCGTCAGGCTCGAGATGTTGTACGGCGCCTTCAGGCTGTTGAGCAGCCGCGCGATGGCGGGCGAGGTAAACGCCGCGCCCAGCCGGATGCCCGCCAGCCCGAACGCCTTGCTCAGCGTCTGTATCACCACCAGGTTCGGCCACTCGGCGACCCACTCGGCCAGGCTCGCCTCAGCGGGCGAGAAGTCAATGTAGGCCTCGTCCACCACCACGACGCCGTTCCAGGTCGAGTGCTCCAGAACGGCGCGGATGTCGTCCTTGCGCAGCAGCGAGCCGGTCGGGTTGCCGGGCGAGCAGAGGTAAACCAGCTTGACGCGGTCGGATTCGGGCGAGGAGAGCGCCGCCGTCACGGCGGGGACGTCGATCCCAAACTCGGGCGCCGGGAGCAGAGGCACTTTGACTAGCCCCACGTCGTTGACCTGTGCTGAGACAGAGTACATGCCGTAGGTGGGCGGGCAGACGAGGATCTTGTCGCGGCCCGGCACGCAGAAGCAGCGCAGGAGGGCGTCGATGGCCTCGTCGGAGCCGACGCCGACGAACAGGTTGGCGGGGGTGAGGGTCTTTGGCGTGTGGGCGTGGGTGGTGCGAAGGGTGCAGAGGAGCTGTTTGAGGGGCTCCTGGTGGGGGTCTGGGTAGCGGTGCAGGGTGGTAAGGTCGAGGGAGGGCCCTTGGTTGGCGGGGATGGCGGTGCTGTTCAAGAGGGATGGACCGTAGGCATTTTCATTTGCGTCGAGAAGGATGTTGGTGCCGTCATCTTTGTAGTCGCTGTGAAGTTGTGTTAGTGCTGAGAAGTGCGTGCAAGGGATGAGTGAGTGGCTTACTCCCGAGCACAGCGATAAGGCTCCAAGGCAAGGATGTTGGGCCGCGCACAGGTGTCGAGGTTGAAGGCCGGCATGGCGGGCAATGTGGTGGACAACTCAGGGGATTAGGTTGTTTGTTGATTGTGTGGGCCGATTGAATTCTGTTTAATACGTCCCGCTGTGGTGTTGAAGAGTCACCCAAGGAGTCATCAAGGTGTGTGGAACATGAAAGTTGGGTTGGGTTTGCAAACGCCGACTCCGGAGCGGGTCCTGCTGAAGACACTTAAAAGACGGGACTGAATTGCCCCGTGATGCTGGCTAAGAAACTTATGAGTTGATATCGAGAGCACCTGCAATGTCTCTTGTCAGGACATGGTTCTTTCTCTATGATTGACCCCTGATCTGTGTTTATGGGGATATCTGTTGATGGAAGGGTGTCTCTGGGGTTGAGCCCTAACCCTGATCTGATATGCACAGAGACCAGATACCTCGTTGTTTAGGGTTATCTCCAGGTCCTTCACTTCGACAAAGGGATCCACATCCCAGTCCAGCGCAATCCGAGACGCGCAGCAATTCAGGCTGTTGCAGCGTTCGCTTTTCTAGAAGCATGCCGGAACTGCGAGGTGCCTGACCCGGGAACGTGCTCGGCCGGACGGGAGCAATGGAACGACATGCGGGCAAGTGCACACGATGTAACACCACGACGATTTGTATTTCCGCATACCGCCCCCATCCCCCCTCCCCACCTCACAAGCACCCACCTCCCTCATTCCACATTCGAATCGTCACACTTTCCACCACCTCCCGCCGCCCGCTTCCAGTCCCACATTGCGCCAACTATCGTCTGGCAGTTCACAGCCCGCGAATGCACGTTGGCGCTACGCGAACTGCCTGCCACCTACGGATACGGCAACCAGCGCCGCCATGGGACCCCTCCCGCCCTGGTATATTTCCAGGTTCCCGGCGTGGAGACGCAATATAGCCTGCGGCTGGTTGCCAGTCCCTTGTTCCCGGTTGAATGGACGACCGATTACCCAGCAGAAGCTTGTGTGTATAAAGTCGTCGATCGCCCCGCGAGGTTGTCCCTAGCCCGGGACCGCGCTTCTCACCATTGTGTCAAACCGTGGAATCCTTCTGACGACACTTCACGATGCGTCTCTCCTGGATCCTCGCGGGGGCCTCGCTTGCCCTGGCCAAGCCTAACAAGGGCGCTTTTGAGACACTGGTCACTTTCGGCGACAGCTACACCGACAACGGCCGTCTGGGCTACTACATCAACAATGGCGGAAAGGCGCCCCCGGCCGGCACCATGCACCCCGAGTCGACCACCACGGCCAGCGGCGGACTGTCCTGGGCGCAGTATGCTGCCAGACTCGGAGGCAATGCCACGCTGATGGACTACGCCGTGTCCGGAGCTGTCTGCAGCAACCAGATTGTCTCCCGGTACTTCTCCTACATCAACCGCACATTCCCGGCCATATTGGACGACGAAGTGCCCAGCTTTCAGGCAGATGTCAAGTTCAAGTCGCTCTATCCAAGCCGTACCGCCGACAACACCGTGTACGCTGTGTGGATCGGCACCAACGACTTGGGCTTTGACGCCTTCCTCTCGGACTCGCAGACCCCTGGCAAGACCATCAGCGACTTTGTGGGCTGCGTCTTCTCCGTCTTTGACAGCATCTACAAGACGGGAGGCCGTCGCTTCGTGGTGCTCAACACAGGGCCGCTGGAGCTGACCCCGCTGTACGCCCATCCTGACAACGGTGGCACCCTTGACTCGCAGTTCTGGAAGACCAAGACCCAGTACAACATCACCGAGTATAGCCAGAAAATCAGGGAGTACTCGACCAGCGTCAACACCATGTACGAATACGGCTTGCCCGTCATGGTGGACCTCAAGCAGCGCTGGCCCAAGGCGACGGTCGACCTCTTCGACGTCCATAGCCTGTTGCTGGATATCCACAACGAGCCGGCCAAGTTCCTTGCGGCTCCACACAACGCCACCGGGTACTATCACCACTGCCCTCCAGCGGGCAGCCCCTGCGTGGATCAGCCCGGGACCCTCGACGGCTACATGTGGTACGACGAGCTGCATCCCTCGAACAAGACCAGTAAGGGCGCCTCAGCCGTTGCGTAGTCAACATGAAGACTGACACAAAGTCTAGGCTCTATAATCGCCCAGAACTTTCTCGACGTGGTCGCGGGCAAGTCCAAGTATGGAACTAGATATCAATGAGCTCTTGGACGGTGCTGCCAAGGAAGTCCGCCATGATTCAAGCATTCTGAAGCCCCTTTCATGCAAGCCAGAGAGACAGCTATGCTTGTAAATATGGATGACATATAAGGCCATCTCATGAGGAATTCCACCTTCTCTGCGCCTTCGGTTGCCAGCCCACAATGGCCCACCGACCTCGAGCCCTCAGAGGCGGGGACGAAGATGCAAGTTTGATGCGGGAAGAGCCAGACGAACCACATCCCTGTCCCTTGCCTGCAGATACCCCACTTTGGGACAGTGGGGGCTCTCAATCAGGTTAGCTCTTGGTCCTCCCCACCCAGGACGTCCCGCTCTTCCCTGCCTTCCGCAATTTGCATTTGGCCCTCGTGGCATTCTCGCGACACGCAAACCCTTTCGCTCGCTGTGGCACGCCGCCGCCTGCCGACCGACAAAGCAGCAGAGCCGAGTTGATTCCCACTCACACCCTCTGTACTGGCTAGGGCTGTCCTACCTTATTGCTTAAGCTCTCTCATACTTCCCCTAGGTATCCGTGGTCTCCTGGCTTGGCCCATCCCCGGCAATTGTGTCTCCCACTGTCCCGTCTCGGACACTCATCAGGCAGGCCGCGAAACACAAGCGGCAATTCCGTGGGTCTGCCCGGCCCGGACGATCGATAGCCTGTTGTTCCCTGTGTGTCTCTGCCTTGCCAACGCCCGCCGTAAGGTTCCGTAGCCCGCTGCTGGCTGCTGATTCTGGGAGGCATCGGTGAGGCTTGTCGGGCAACCGAACAGACCTGCCGCCGGATTGACCCAATCCGTCATTCCATCCGCCCAACCATCAATCAGCCCTGCGTCACGACAGCCATACCGTATCTCGTCATATCCCGGCCGAACTCAGGTCGACTGGACTGGGGCCCCAGGTACCTGTCTGGCTTCTCTCGTCCAGCGCCAGAGACATCCTTCTTCGGGAGTTTCCCGCCAATCCCCAGATTGGGAGCCCTGCCGTCTTCCCCCACCCCGGCAACCGCAATTCTTGATCTAATCCACGCCGGCCACGCCGTTCCATCCGCCCGCACCCCTTCACCCCTGGGCGCCGCCTCCCGCTCGGTTCTTGGCTTGAGCAGCCTGCTGCCCAGACTTTCTCAGCCATGTATTCGGCTCCCTATGGTTACCCAAATACCGCCGCAGGCCCTATCTTCAACGGCGCTGCCCCAACCCCACAAGGGCCTCACTTGCAACCTGGCCCAGCTCCGAACCAGCCACAGCAGATGATGTTCAACACACAGCAGTTCCCCATGCCGGGCCAGCCAGGTGCCTTCTCCGCCGGCCCTAACCCAGCACTCATGGGGGGAGCTGTTGGGCCTGCAGGGATGATGCAGAATGCCGGCATGCCGCACATGACTGCCAATGGCCAGAGTAAGCTCTCCAATTCTGCCTCCCAGCGAAGGCCTCAGACGAGTGTCTTCGCCCTGTCCCGGCCTTGTCTTACACAATCCTCTTTCCGTCACATATCATGGGCTTCATGATGTCGAGACGGGACTGCCACGCCCATTCGCTGTCATGGTTGCCTCCTTTTCTGCCCTTAGTTCGCCTATTGGTAATGAAGGCTGACAGACGTTTGGACAGTGGGATTTCAGGGCGCCTTTACAACGGCGCCGTATGTGGCGGCCATTCCTTCGTCTGCGGGTCCCCAGCCGCAGCTACCTGCCAACTTTATGATGGCCAGCCAAATGGCACCCTATCAGATGAACACGGGCTTGCCAAGCCAGCAGTCCATGATGCAGCGCATGCTCCCCGGGCAGCAGAACTCAGCTGGTATCCCTGTTTCTAGCCCTCAACGGCAATTCAACTCGTCTCAAGGCACGCCCACCGGCTCGATGCCAGCCCAGCAGCAGCAGTTCTCGACTCCCCAGACCCAGGGCCCGCCTCAGAGCCAAACGCCCACAACCGCGCAGCCGCCATCGGCCTCAGTAGCAACACCACAGACTCCAACCTTCCCTGCAGACCCGGGGCAATCTTTGGGGAGTGGGACATTGACCGCCTCAGCCCCTCAAAGCCCGGCCACCGAGTCTCGGGACAAGGAGAGAATGGCCGTTCTACTGGAGATTAACCAAGAGCTGCTGTATGAATCGATACAGCTCGTCAACAGCCGGAACGAGCTCAAAAAGGAACAGGCGGCTGTCGAGGCAGGAGGGGCAAAAAACAGCGACATAGATTATGCCGAGGAGGAGAAACTGGCGAATCTGGACTATAATCAGTAGGTCTCATCCGCAGCCCAAGCACCTCAACGTCGCGCTCTAACTTTGACAACAGGTGCATGAGGAGGCTACAAGCCAACCTCACGTACATGTTCGCCCTGGCTGACCGCAAGAAGGGGGTACCGCCATCGCCCGCCTATCTGACGCCGCCGCCGCTCAACCTGCAGCTCAAGCTAAAGCTACCACCTAGCACGCCGGACGACCCAATGGAAAGACCCGAAGACCCCATCGCGGACCGCGTGGAGCGCGACCAGCTGCTCAAGAGCCTGTACAAGAAGCTCCAGTCGCTGTATCCGGGCATCGACCCGAACAAGGAACCACCTGCTCAACCGCCCGCTGGCGCCCGACCCAGCGTTGGGAATGCCAACGCCGCTGGTGCCAAGGGGCTGAACGGCACCGAGCCGAACCACCTCGGTGGCGGTGGACAGCAGGGATCGAATCAGAACAGTCCTGCTCCGACGCCAGGGCAGACTCAGGGGACGCCGCTGATGGGGAACGTGACCGTGTCGGGTTTGCAGCAGTAGCTGCCGCCGGGTAAAGGGCTTGAATGAGGAGTGGCGGGGGCAGCTGTACGATGAGTTGGGAGGTATGCTGTGGTGCGAGAGATAATTTGGAGCACTTAGAGCAGGGGAGGATTGTTGAGTGAAGAGTATTGGGTGGATCTGGCGTCTGTTTCTGGGTTGTGCCGTGGTGCTGTGGTGTTGGTGTTGTGTTACATGGCGGAACTTGTCGTTTCCTTGTTGCGGAGAAAGCGGCGTGCTCAGTTCAGGCGCTGGCGTTTGGTCTTGATGGGAGGGTTGTTGGGATTCAGTTTGTAATGGATACCGGGGGGAAGAAGGTTCAAGTTCTGGAGATTATAAAAGGGAGGGGCGTAGCGAATCGATTTTCATTCTAGCAGCTGCGAGAGCGTTGATACAGGCAGATTCATGTTAGTGTGACTACCTCTCTAAACATGTTTGCTCGACTGCCATCGGGGTACACCTCCGCTAGGTTATAGTGAGAAGTGTACCAGGGAGGGATGGCGGAAGAACCTAAAGGGCTAAGTATATACATCCTCAGGATAGTTCAAACGGGGGTGGGTATGTGGTCGGGTATGTGGTTCATCAAAAGCACGTGAATGACAGTCTCGTGGTGAAAGCGCCTGTTGAGATGCGGCTCTTTCTAAATTGTTCTCTCCCTTCGTCCTCTTGCTCTTCCTATATCATTCTCCGAGTCGAGGTTAATCTTAGGACTACCAGACGACTTCCACATGCTCGTACATTTACAATTCACATTGGCTGCGTGGTGTAATATGACAGGCAGGATCAGGCAGGATTAACAAGGGTTACGTTAACACATCTCTGGCCAACATCCCGAGACACCCGTGTAGCGGGCCGCGTTTGTAGGCCCGACTAGGCCGGGCCAAGAGTGAAACTCAAGCAACTGGAGTTCTGGTTTTGTTTTCCCTCGTGTACTGGACCCGATTGATGTTCCGGGTTTGGGGGGGGGAAGGCCGCCCGGGCTGGCCAAATGTGACGTTTGGTGCGGTGGAGCTTGCTTGCTCGGCTGTGATCATGGGGAATAGGATTTTTGGCAGTTGGCGACCTGTGGAAATACATAACTAACGTACCTTTTCGTGTGGAGTGGAGTACACGTTATCTGCTCAGGAGATGCTCGTGCGTTGCTTTTCTCGTTGGTTGGCGATGACCAATTGCGGTGAAATGCTCGGTTTCATTGTTGTACTCCCTAAGGCGGTTACAGGATAAGGGGAAAGGATGATAACCGAACTGTGATTGGCAGAAAAGTTTTGCCCCATATTTCTGTGCTGATGTCGACATCGAATTGATGACCTTTTGCTGCCGCCGCAAGAAAATGCATTGTCTCAACAATGGTTATCGACATTTTCCTTGTTAGTTTCATAACAGTTCCAGTGGCACGAACCGCGGCTTTTAAGTCACGGATCGAGGAATGGGCTCATCGGTATTGTACAGTGTCGGAGTAAGAACTCGATACAGAGTATTGAGGTCCCTTTCCTGCTTGGCAGTGGACTGCCCCGCATGTCCCTGGCTGCGACTCCCGCAGTACCGGAATTTGTGCATTGTTCTAGGGGCGTCCAGGGGTTCTCATTAAGGTATTCCGTCGTTGCTTCAACCACGCGCTATCCCTTCAATGCGCTTGATCCACCCTAGAGTTCATCAGCATCGCGTCGTGTCAGCTGTTCAGGCCTTGGGTCGTCTCTGATTGTACCGTTTCAGTGTTCTCGACCTCTCGATGAGACGAGGGGCGCCTGGCCCCAGCCGAGCAATCGCGTGCCAAGACCCACCAATTCGGACGGGAACCTCCAGCGTGGACGACCTCCAAAACACCTCTCCACACCCACTCCCAGCAAACTAGCCATCCCTGCATCTTTCCCTTCGAAGCTGGCACAGGCCATTTTAGAGTCGGAGCTCTTTTGAAGAGCTGAGCCAGCGAGGAACTGCGACAACTGCAGCGAATATCTGCCGCTTGATTCTTTGGCAGTCGCCTCGTGATCTCGGACGACACCATTGACTCGTCGGTATAGGCCCAATTCTCTCGACAATTGCGCGACACGGCGCGAATGATTGACGCGCTCAAACTGTCTCTGCACACTTGACACTGCAGGTTCGGGGTCTGGGTTCGGCATGGAGTCCGACCAAGATGGAGGAGAGACACAACATGCACCACCACCGGCGCCCCCTGACCCAGCATCACCGGTGACACATGGCACTCCACGGCCGACCAATTCGCGGCCAACCGCCACTGAAACAGACAGCAAAGGAAGCGAGCACGACTCTCTCGTCACTGTTCGCCTTTCCGAGCCGCCGTCGCTCCATCTGGATACCGCCGTAGCGCCGAGCACCATCATCGTCAGAAAAAGCCCGGTTCCATATTATGCCATGAGCGACGCCATGACCGAGACAGTAGAGGAGGACGAGGATGATGACAGTGAGTCGGAGATTTTCGAGCCTGAGATTTCGGCCTCGAAACGCAGGCCGAATCTGCTGCAGGAACTCGGGCAGGTGGGCGCCAAATACGCAGACGAAGACGGAGACGGGAAAAAGCGTCACGGTTCATGCTCCAGCTCAGGCTCGGAGCATGTCGATTGGGACGCACTACAAAAGAAGGAGGATCTCGAATCAAAGGGCCAGGTATTCAACAATGTGGGTTTCTGCCAGGCTCATTTGGGCTCTTCCTGTACGCCATTTGCTCTAGCTAACATGCATATCCTTAGACCACGGCGTCACTGCTGGCCAGACTGGAACAGGAAAACGATAGGAATGGCACAAATCCGAAGAGCATCAACGTCAAAGCGGCCGACAAGCGGCCATTTCGCGAGAGCAGGCCCAGACCACCCTCAATGGCGCAGCTGCGCAAGATGCTTAGCGGGCAGACGCCTCCAGCCCTCCGATACTCGACATTGCCGCCACCGCCCATGACCGAGCTGGAGTTCTATTTGGCGTTGGTCAAAGATCCCAAGCAGACTGCCGCCCGGCTACCGACCCTGCTCTCCAACAAGGTCAGGAGGGGCATCCCGCCACCGCTGCGCGGTGTGGTCTGGCAGAGCATGGCCGGCGCCCTGGACAGCCGTCTCGAGGAGATTTTCGAACGACTATCTGGCGAGTCCAGCCCATATGAGGGCGTTATCAGCAAGGATCTCGGACGAAGCTTCCCTGGCGTCGACATGTTCAGAGACCCCGACGGAGACGGCCAGCGGATGCTCGGTCGGGTCCTCAAGTGCTTCAGTCTTTACGACACCAAAATCGGCTACTGCCAAGGACTTGCTTTTCTCGTTGGGCCGCTGCTGATGCACATGCCGGACAAACAGGCTTTCTGTGTCCTGGTCAGGTACGCCGGGATCCTCGTTTTGGCAATTAATAGGAGAAGAAAAAGCTTGAACTAACGCGTGCGACAAGGCTGATGGAAAACTACGATCTGCGCCAATGTTTCGTTCCCGACCTCTCCGGGCTGCACATCCGAATTTACCAATTTCGCGAGCTGCTGCGACAACGTCTGCCCGCTTTGTCGGCCCATCTGGACGATTTGCAGGTTGAACCAGCCTATGTTTCACAATGGTTCCTGTCGTTCTACGCCGTAACGTGTCCCCTGCCAATGCTGTTTCGCATCTACGATGTGGTTTTCGCCGAGGGCGCATCGGAGACTATCATGCGGGTGGCACTGTCGCTCATGCGCAAAAACCAGGCGCGCATCCTGGCCTGCACCGAGATGGAGGACGTAATGCAGCTGCTGCTGTCGCGGGGAGTTTGGGACTGCTACAACTACAACGCCGACGAGTTTGTCTCCGACTTTGTTGCGCTGGCCGATGTTGTCACAAAGGAGCAAATGACAGCGCTCGAACAGGGGTATAAGGAGGCTAAGATTAGCTCAAGCGCCAATCACCGGGGGACAGAGGCGGCACAACAAGCGTCGGTGGATGTCACCACCGCCGCCTCCCGTTTCCTCGGTCGCATTTGGGCTGCTTCCTCGTCTACACCCCGATTTGCCACCTTTGCGGCAGCAGCTCAGGCTTCGGGATCCGCGCCCGCCAGCATCACTCTCAACCCTGGACTTGGCACTGTGTCCCGCCCGCTCAGCATGCTTCGGCGCAGCACGTCGAAGCAGAGCCTCTCTTCAATGGACGCTGTTTCGTCCACGACATCATCCGCCGCCAGTGTTCTCAGCTCCGTGTCGACCGAAGCGACCACCATCTCGCGCGACAGCTCCGCCGACGATCCGCCCAGGGAGTCTGCCCCGCTGCCGTCCAAGGCCGTGCCGACCGCCTTTTCGGGAAGCGTCAATACATCAAAGGATGGCAGCAAGTACCTACACAGCCAAATCGAGGATTTGCTCACTGCGCTTAGCGAGCTCCAACGAAACCACAGCTTACTGGCCAGCCAGTTACAGAGGGAGCAGGAAGAGCGCGAGGAAGACCGGCGGGCCGTCTGCTCGCTCCTCGACGGGTTGCGCAGGAAGGCAGTCGGACGCGACGAAGGCGACGAAACGATACTCAACAGTTCCGATGACCAAGCGGTGTCCGCGGCCTCGGACCCTGCGAAGCCTACCGCGGAACAGTTATCCGACTTGCTTGACATTGTTCAGGAGCGATTTAATGAACCGGCCGCTAGCCCCACGTCGACCCCCGAGACGAAGCTGCAGCTGCGATACGAGTTGGCTCGGGCAAAAGAACAATTATCACAAGAACGGGCAAAGTCAAAGGCGTTCAATCGGAAGGTTCAGGAAATGGAACAAGAGATGGCCACCATGAGGGAACAGCTAAGGGAAACCCATGCGCATGTTCGGAACGTACACCAGGAGAAGCAGCGCCTCGAGAGGCAGATACACGGAATGCGCATGCGGGCTTCGGACACGCCAGCCAGCGTAGAGAAGAACCAATGGTTTCCCAAGGCAGCCGGCGGCAGCAGCGCGCCTGCGGCCGGACTCCGCGAGCTTAAGCTCAACCGCAGCCATTCGACGCCCTCCCAGACGCCCTCCATTTACAGCAACAAACGCGCATCGTCGGCGACAATACAGAAAAAGACGAGCAGCGAGTCGCTGGCTGCGGCAGCTGCGCAGCCCCCGATAAACGAAACCGACGCCCTCCTGCTCGAGCTTGTCCAGGCGAAAACCGCGGAAGCAGTCGCCCGGCAGGAACTCGAAGAGGCGAAACAGAAGCTGGAGCAGCTTCGCAAGGCATTTGGTCTCGCGCCAGGGGAGATGGCCCCCCGGGCGAACAGCGGAAGTGGAGCGGCATCGGCGGCGATGGGTATGCTTGGCCGCTTGACGGGGTCGACCACCACTCCTGCGGGTTCAGAGTCGCCTGTCAAGGTGTCTACGCCTCCGGCGACAAATAATGCGTCGGGCGGCGGGTTCTGGGGCTGGAGGAGGTGATGATTGCTTGGTTTTGCTGTTTCGTTACATGGCTGATGAATCTGGCGGGTTCTGGGGTGTAACTGTAATTGCTGGGATGATTCACCGCGGGCCGGCTGTATTTTGTGAGCATATGATACCATTGATATTGATTCTTTCGCAGACGGAGACTGAGGGAAGTGCTTATCACCGCTGGAGACGGGTTTTGCATGGGAGCGAGAAACAGGATTGCCACAAGTACAGAAATGGGTTCTGTCGATAGAGCCAAACCGAGGCAAGGATATAATAATGGCTAGTACAGGTGTTGACTGCCTGTAATAGAGCATTTCTTTGTTGTTTCAAGTGTGTTGGCTTGCCGCTTGACTGACGCACCGAGTCCAGTATCACATGCAACCAAATGGACCCCATGATGCTGCGCTTTTCGGTGGGGCCAAGAATAGCTTAACCCTTGGCAAGGAGGCAAGCCTAGGGTCGGCACTGATGCCACTACAAAGTACGCTATGCTCAATAAGGACTACATGGTATATTGCCTGGTGATAATGCATTTATTTATACGGATAATCTGCGCTCAATCTTCTTGGGTCATGAGAGCGCAGAACGGATCAGATCAAGAAGCTATAGGTTGTTTTTCCGATTGTGCGACAGAGCAGAGGTTTGGCGCAGGTAAAGGCAGGACGGCTTCTTCCTGCCTTCGGTGACGCGGTGGCATGATGAGATCATTGCGATGCCGTTTTGGACGTCTCCCCACCTTTCCCGGTTGGCAGGCTGAGGCAGGCAAGCTTTGGGGGGTCGATGTGGGGCCTTTGCTTGGTCTGAGCTGCTGCTGTCCCCCGTCATGGACCTTGACTGCCTTGCAAGTTTTTGATAAGCTCCAGAATATAATAGTCACCCTGGGTGTCTCAAAGCCCTCGCTACTTCTTGCCAATCCCAACTTCCAGCTTCTCGAGCGCACAAATTTCTGCTTTGATCTTTCTTTTGCAACAACCATCCTCCCGTCCAGAGTCCCAGCACAAAGAAGCATCGTTGGTGCGAGATCCCCAAAGGTGCCATTTAACGAGCTGCCATAACATATCACGATCACCGTTTTGTGCCTTGCCCCTCCTGAGTGGTCTATCGACGTCACGGGTTCCGGCTCTTCATCCTGCAACCACCGAAACAAGACATTGCTCACGCGCCCATCGCACGATAGCACTCCAAAATGGCTGACAGCGCTCGCGTCGACGGCAATTCCAACGTGGATGCCCTCAAAGCCAGTAAGGTTCGTCGTCTTCAATTTCCCTGCGCCTCATGCTTCTTCCTGTTTGCCAGCTGGCTAATGTGTCCAAGTGTTTCACAGGTCGACTCCAACATCCAACCCTCCGGCCGCCCGCATCAACTGATGATATTCCCTCTCGCAGATGCCGCAGCTGCCTACAACACCGTCACCAATGGTAGGCCTCTCCCGCCGCATCGAATTCACCCTGGGAATATACTGACTGGCTGTTTCGCAGGTCCGGTAGCCCAGAACGTCATGGATCAGACGGCTAAGACATCGGCCGAGATGTCGAACTTGGCCGCTGCCCGCCATCCTCCTTCCTACACGGCTGCCACCGGCCAGCCGTTGACACATTACCACTCGTTTTTCTCAGAGCTCCTGTCATGGAACAACCCTCGTATGCGTCCCGTACAAGATTGTGGCTATGGTCGCTGGAGTTGATGCTGATGTTTCGCAGGGGCTTCGGCCATCGCCTATGCCACCATCGTGACGCTTATCTTCACGTTTAGGTACCTTGATGTTTTGCGTTGGGCTTTCAAGCTCACTTGGATGGTTCTGGGCATCACCATCGCCGCCGAGGTCGCTGGAAAGGCCCTTCTCAACAACGGCTTCGCAACTCAGCTCCGCCCCCGGAAGTACTACACCATCCCCCGGGAGACCCTCGAGGCCACGATCGGTGACGTTCACGAGTTGATCAACTTCTTCGTCATCGAGACTCAGCGCGTGCTTTTCGCCGAGAACGTCTATGCTTCGGCTGCTGTAAGTGGTCTCCACGTCTTGTCTCCGCCCGAGCTTTGAGCTCTGGAGCTATGGCGTCAAAGCCGTCGAGCTAATCCGCGCCAGGCCGCTCTCGCCGCCTTCATCTCGTATTACCTCGTCAAGATTGTCCCTTACTGGGGCCTGGCCGTTATTGGCACTACGGTCGTCTTCTTCACCCCGCTGGTCTACACCTCTAACCAGGAGCTCATCGACACCCAGCTCAAGCACGCCAGCGAGATTGTCAACGCCCAGACCGCCCAGCTCCGCTCCGTCGCTCAGAAGAACACGGAGAAGGCTACCCAGGTGACCAAGCAGTACATGGGCGACTACACTGCCAAGGCTCAAGCGCTGATCAAAGGTGCCCGCCACAACGAGCCGGTCTCGAAGCAGAAGAAGCCCGTCCAGGAGGCCGACTTTCCTGCGCCTCCGAAGGATGAGATCAAGCACTTCCCTGCGGCTCCCAAAGAGGATATCAAGCCTGATGCTGCCGAACCCTCGCTTGAGCCTAAGCCAGAGCCGTCTGACAAGACCCAGGAGCCCCTGATCGTCGCCTAAACAGTGGGCAGGATTCCACGCAGCAGCCTGGTGACCGCAACGTCATCTGATTCTATAATGAAATCGCAGGCCACCGCTTCCCCAACCGAGCAGGGTCTGTCGGATTGCTGGACAACGGATGCCACAACAGCATGATTATGGAGGAGAACCCGAAGAGCATAGGAAGGGAAGGAATGGTTATGGAATGACATGGCAGGCAGGCGAAGGCAGGCATGGCAAGATTGGCAAATGCAGTTGAGGACTATGAAGTCTGTGTCTTTTTTAAGGCGGTTCTCTTTTCGTGTCATTTTCCAGGTTTTATCGGTTGAACGGGAGGGATGGGGCGGATGGAGTATTGTGTTGAAACAAGTGTATTTCCCTTTTAGTGCTGACTTGACCCTTGGCTTCGTGATGTGTGTGCTCTCTGAGGCATAGGTTGGCTCCGAGCAGGGGAGAAAGGCTGAAAGGTATCACGGGTAATGCTGCTTTCCTGTTGCTTGATAGGCATTGTGTTTTGGCACAGCTATTCAAGACGTGTTCTTATTCATGTCCAACATGACATGCAGGTTGTGTTAGCGAGGTGTTGCTCACCCATACAGACACATGGACTAAAGCCTGCTGTGTGCCCTGCTACAGTAGGTAAATAACAAATAAGATGTTGGGTGGCATAGCCTGTGGACGGACTAACTCAACTTGCACACTGAAAGGGTTCTCAGAACCCTTTGTTGCTTTTATCAACAACACAGCCAAAGGATATGCACGGCAAAAGCAGTAGTAGAGGCGGCAAAAGCAGCAGTAAAGGTCCAAGACGCAATCGATGACTTGAGCAGATAGAGTAGTATAGTACTTGAGAGTGCACCCTTCCCAAGGACCAGAGGCCGGCGATAGACGAACAGAGAACAAGCAGAACTAAACTGCAAATGTATGCATCGCCCTCCCTCTCCCCAATAAAACCACCAAGAGCGCCTAAGCCCAGAACCCACAGAGAGCCCAGAGCCCGTTCACTGCCTCTGCCCTCAGGCCAATGAGTCCCCGTAGTCAGGTAGCCACCAAAATAAGGAAAAAACCAAGACAACTCCATTCACCAGATCCAACTTAAAATAAAACAGTCGTGTCTCATCAAGACCACCGCAACCGCCATACAAAACCCGACTACTCGCTATTATCGTCCATATCAAACGCATCACTGTCATCCCTCCGGCCCTTCCGCCCACCACCAGTGCCACCGCTGATAAACGAGTCGTCCTCGTAGTCATCAATGTAAATCGGCTTTGCCTTGGCCGCCGCCGCGCGCCCTGGCCTTGCCTTGGGCTGGGCCACCACCGGGCTGGCAGGCTCATCGACAATGTCGTCCTCGTCGTCGCTGAGTATCTTTTTTGCCTTGGCCTTCTTGGCGGCGTAGGCTTTGGCAGCTGGGGAGAGAGTTGACGGTTTGGGCCTGGCTGCCGCCGCGACCGCCACCGGCTTTGGCTTAGGGGCAGGACCCTCGTCGCCCTTGGGCTTGTTCTTGGATCCCGCCGGACGGCCCCGCTTCTTTGGTGGGGCCGGAACTACGCTCAGGGGAGCCTTGGCCTTGGAGGCGGCAGTCTGAGACGCGGGTTTTGCGGCAGGTTTGGTGGTGGCGGCTGGCAAGTCGTCATCCGACAGGAAGTCGTCCAGATCGTCAGCTTTGGTGGATTTGAGCGGCGACGACATGGCTAGCGCCTCGTAGTTGGTGTCGTCGTGGCTGTCAACGTCCATGGCAGGCTTTGACGGCTTGCTCTTCAACTTCGGCAAGGGCGCGTCGCCTGCCTCGGGCCGAGACATGGCAAACAGACTAAGTCTGCCTCCGTTGCTGTTCGAGGTGGCCGAGGCCCCTATGCCTTTGACCATGGCGCCGACGTCTCCAAGTAGTTTGTCATCGTGGCCGTCATCACTATCTGAACCGAACTCTTCGTCCATATACGAGGGCTTAGATCTCGCTGCTGTCGCTGCTGTCCTCTTTGCCGGCTTCTCAATCACCTCGTCGAGTTCAGAGTCACCTTGATCGTCCCTCACTTTCGGCTTGCCCAGGTCCATGAAGTCCTCGTCAGAGTCATCGCTGCTCAGGACATACCTAGACTTGCTGGCAGCCGCCCGCTTATTGCGACCGTTGGTAGCGTCCGTCAGAGAAGCAGGAGGCTCCGACTCTTGCTTGACAACCGCCTTCTTGCCCAAGAGGGCAAAATCGTCATCGGAGAGATCGTTCTTGGGCGTTGGTTTGGCTGCTGCCTGGAACTTCTCAGTGAATCTTTGATGGGTCTTGGTCTCGACCTTCTCAACCTTCACAGCCTTAGGTTTGGTCTTCTTCTCGGGCTGGTAGTCGTCATCATCCTTCACACGGCGGCCCCTTCCAGCACCAATCTTGTGGGATGTGCGGCGACCCATCCTCCGAATGCCGGTTGTGATCTCCTCCTCCAGCTTCAGCTGGTTGTGCCACTCCTCGACGAAGCCGTCCAGGTCTTTCACCCACAAGTCTTTCTCGCTCAGGGCTTCGAGCTCGTCATACTCCGCTTTCTTTGCCGCGATCTGGTTTTTAAGCTTCTCGAGACGCTCGTTCGTAAGGGACCAGATTGGCATCTATGGTTTGTCAGCAACCAGAAGTGTGGCAAAGTCAGGACAGAAGCTCGGAATACGCACCGAGAGCAGGTAGTCGTAGTCGCGGGCGCCACCGGAGACGTCTTCGTCTTCGGCATCATCCTTACCGAACTCCTCGTCGGTGGACTTGACCTTCTTGTCGTCCTTGGGCGGGAAAGCCTCGTACTTGCGGTCTCGAAGTTCCTGGACGAGAACATCCTTTTTCTTCTTGTTGACCACCAACTTGTTCTCAATAATCTCCAAGATGAAGCGGTACTGATTCTTGAGTTTCCGGTAGTCGGCGTGGTAGACACCCAACCAGTGGCTCTTGCGCTCAGTGTACATCTTGAGGCGGTAGTGGTAGTATTCCTCCATGATCTCCTCCGGGCTCTCATACTTCTGGATTTGGCCGCGGGTGTTGAAGGCAACGAGGTTGGTGGTGGTGATTGACTTGGTAAGCTTGAACTTCTCTAAGAGACCCTCATCAAGTGCTGCCTTTAAATGCTTATCCTCCATCTCAATGATGAAATGCACTGTTTGGTGGTCGTTGAACTCCCTGTAATCCTTGATGAAGGAGGGCGTCTTCTCGGCACGAAGGATGTCCTCGAGCCTCGACTTGAAGTCATCAGTCCACATCCGGATGGGCAGCTCCGTGACATGAATCTCGTTAGGGTTCTGCTCGTCCTGCTTGATGATGCCGTTGAATTTGAACCTGTTGGGCCCATCTGGCTCAACCACACCCTTCCAGCCTCGGAACCATGGAGTCATGGGCTTGAATGGCTTCTCCTCGGCGTCGTCAGGATCGAGCCTGCCCATGCGCCGCTTGAGGTTCTCGACGATATCGATCGGATGATAGTTGGGGATGGATGTGCTCCACCCTGTGCCGATGCCATCAGCGCCGTTGACGAGGACCATGGGAATAACCGGTATGTAGACCTTGGGTTCGATGATGCTACCGTCATCATCCTGGTACTCGAGGTTGGGTTCGTCAAGCTTGGAGAAGACCCGCCGGGCAAAAGGTGACAAGCGCGTGTGGATGTAACGAGCGCTGGCTGCATCCGAGCCACCAGAAAGACGCGAACCAAAGTTACCGCTGGGTTCCAGGCAGTTGACGTTGTTGGATCCGACGTAGGTCTGCGCCAAGCCGACAATGGTCTGCTGCAGAGACTGTTCGCCGTGGTGATAGGCGGCTACCTCCGAGACGTAACCGGCGAACTCGGCGACCTTTTGGTCGTTGACGAGGTTCCGCTTGAACGCACCATAGATGACCTTTCGCTGACCAGGCTTCAGGCCGTCCACCATGGATGGAATGGATCGCATGTTGTCGGCCATACTGAACAGGATGAGCTCCTTGTGAACAAAGTCGGTATAGGTCTTCCTGCTCGCAGTCGAATCGAGGAATGTCCCGGGGACAAAGTTGCCCAGCCACTCCTTGCGGGCGTCCGCCTTTTTCTTGGAGAAGGCGAGCTCAAACAACTGGGACTCCTCAGGCTTCAAGATGTCGAACTTTTTCAAGTGCCGGTCCAGATCCTTGAAGTAAATCTGGGCATCCTCGTTGGAGGAGCTACCCAAACCCTTCAAGTACTTGTACTTCCACTTCCGCAGCTCGTTTTTATGGGCTTCCTTCCAGGTTTCATACTGGGGAAGGTTAAAGAACATCTTGAGGTTTTGGGGTTTCTTCGGGTTGTTGCCCTGCCAGACTTTGACCACCGGAGTAATAAATTCTTGGAAGAAGTCGTCAATGCGCAGCAAGGACGGGAATTGGACCTCAAGGAAATTGATGAGCAAGCCCTTGATGTGACTACCGTCGAGATCCTGATCTGCCATGATCATCAAGTGGCCGTAGCGGAGACCTTTGGTGTCTGTGTAGTTCTGCTTGTGCTTCAGGCCGAGAAACTTCTTGATGTTTTCGATTTCCTTGTTCTTCATGATCTGGTCAAGCGAGGCGTCGCGGACATTGAGCATCTTGCCGCGCAGCGGAAAGACGCCAATACGGTCCGGGTCCAAAACGGCACGGCCGGCAACAGCAAGGCCTCTGGCTGAATCACCTTCGGTCAAGATGAGGGTGCATTCATGGCCACGCTTCGTACCGGCCCAGTTGGCATCAATCAGCTTGTCGTTGCTGATGCGGGAGCGCTTGTTGCCGTCAGTCTTGGCCATCATCTTGTCTGCCTTCCTGTCGGCAAACTCCATGATGTTTGCAATGGCCTCGGATGCCTTGACCTTCTTCAAAAACTGGTCGCTGAGGACGCACTTGCTGCCAAAGGCGCTCATCTTGGTGGTCAACTGCTCCTTTGTCTGCGAGTTGAAGGACGGGTTGTCGATCAGGCAATTGATGAAGATGAAGATGTGATTGCGGAAGTGCGAAGGCTTGAGCGAGTGACCCTTCTTCTTCTTGTTCAGCTCCTTGCCAAGCGCCTCGCAAATCTGGTCGGCAATGTAGTTGACGTGCGTGCCGCCGGATGTGGTGGCAATGTTGTTGACGAACGAGACCTGCTGGAACGAGCCGTCTGAGACGGTGAAGCCGATCTGCCAGAGCCGGCCATTGGATCTCTGCTGGTCGAACTCGACTTTGGCGACCGCTTTCTCGCCGTCCACGGCGGCATCGCCCCGCTCGTTGGCAATGGACTTGGCGTACATCTCGCAGTACGACTTGAAGTTGACCTTGAGATGCTCCCCGTTCAACCAAACCTTGACCCCACTGACGGTTCCGGCCATGTCGTAAACGCGACGATAGATCAGAGCCTCAAGATCGTCGTCGATTCCATTCTCCATGCCGAACCTCTTGTAGTCGGGCAGAAAAGTGACCTTGACAAAATCAGAAGATTTGTTGGATGTGATCTTGGCCTTTTCCTTCTTGCTCATGTTCTCGGTCCAGGTTTGCTTGTACCGCTTGCCGTTGTTGGAGTCCTGGCACTCGATGGTGAACCTCTGACTGAAGATGTTGGTGAGCTTGGCACCGTAACCGTTACGGCCACCGACCGTCTTCTTCTCGTTGTCGTCGTAGTTGGAGCCGGTCAACAGGTGGCCAAAGATGAGCTCGGGGATATAGCACTTTTCCTTTTCGTGCATCTCGATCGGGATGCCCTTGCCGTTGTTTTCAACCGAGATCTCGCCCGTCTCGCGATCGACGGTAACCTTGAGATACGTCATCGACGAGTCTCGCTGGCTGTTGTCGGCGGCGTTGACGAGGATTTCGTCAAATATCTTGTACAGACCTGGAACAAAGCTGACGGTGCGGTTCTCCATCAACTTCTCGGCCTTGTTGTACACCCACATCTTCTGATCCATTCGCTCGACGGAACCAATGTACGTGTCGGGGCGCTTGATGATATGTTCGAGTTGTGTGAGCTTTTGGTACGTTTCAGTGGCGGTCTTGTTGGACTTAGCCGTAGGCTTGAAGGCCGGCGCGTCATCATCGTCATTGTCGATCACCATGCTGTCGTTCTCGATCTCAGCAAGGGGCTTGCCGCCCGATTTCTTCACAGGCGCCTTCCTTTGCTTCTTTGGAGGTGTGCCTTCAGCATCGCTCTCTGACTTGGGGCGCTTTTTCGCGGGAGCCTTGCCACCGGTAAGGGTTGTCTGGACCATCTTGGCGGGTTTCGCTGTCGCCATCTTTTTTGGTTGTACTTTAGCCTTGGGCTTCTGTAAGACAGTCAGTGTACTCGAGGTCGATTCATACAATTGTTCACGATGTCTTTTGGTGCAGGCTGCAAGAGACGAACGGCACTGCCGGGTTGTAGGGTTTGACATTCCGTGGGCAACGCGCAACATACGTACCACCTCTGGGATATAGCCGTCAGACTCGTCTTCGAAGTCGCCAAAGACCGAGCCAATGTCGGAATCCATGGCGAAGGCTCAGGAACAATGTTCCACAAGACAAGGCGCGGAAGATCAAGGGTCTGAATAGAGGCTTGGCAGGGGGACAACAAAACAGGTGGGCGCATCCAGAAGAAAGAAAAAATTCGGTCGCAATCGACGAACAATGAAGGGTACCAAGGGCTAGCTTCGCGACTCGGCTTACCCGGCGATGTCGTGGATAAAGAAAGGCTAAGGACACGAAAAGTACGAGGGCAAGGCTGCGATGGTGATGGGCGCAGAGGGGTGGATTGTTGTTGTGGCAAGCGGTGCCGGATGTAAACAGTGAATGTTGTGTGGATTTCCCAAAACAGGCGCGTGAATTGGAGCATGGGTCCAGTCGAGATGCGGCGGGCCCACAGCGCGCGATGAGGACGCGACCTGCAATGCACCTCACGCCTGAGGCGCCAAGGCAAACTGCCCCATGCGGACCCACTTTTGCTAACATCAAGCCGACACATAGGACGGGATGGAGTACGAAACGGCGCCTTCTCAACATGGAAGTGACGGTGGGAAACGAAGCCATCAATTACATTACCTGTACTTCTGAACCCCTGCTTTCTCCAGACAAATCCGAATGACTTATCACCAACATCCAATTTCCCCTTCTGCTCTCGGGGTCCATTTTCTCCTCTCTCTGGTTGGATTGATGAAACTGTTCTGTTTGCTCTTGTGCGAATTCGAGGATCTCGTTGTCAGAGTCAAGCAATTGCACAAGTGCGATGATGGCATTGCTCAGATGATGGCGCGGACGCTATCTGGTCGGATACCTTGTGCAATCAATTGCTGAGGCGGTAAAATGGAGCAAGATGTGGATCGAGTCCTTGAGAAGTTGTGGCTGTGATTGTGGTTACGGTTGTGGTTGGGTTGCAGTTGCTGGTACGTTTCAAGCACGCTTGCCCAGGTTGCGCTGCTCCTTGATCATGATGTTGACAATGAGTTTAATAATTCCTCAAGTGCTGTACTCCCTCTCAAGCCGGTCCCTGGCAGCCAATCCGTTGAATGTTTGGGTTGATTCTCGAGGAATTGATGAAGGGTGGTGCTTCCCGGTCCGGCTGTAAACGCCCGTCTCCTTCGAGACACCTGTCTCAAGCGGCTCCAATCGATCTCGGTGCAAGCGGGCCTTAGGACGGTCTCGAGCTGTAAGGGCATTTCAAGCTCTCCGAGTGTGGAGGGCCCTTTTGTGCGGCAGTAGGATGTCGTGCTCTCCCTGCCGCAGCCTGCTGTGCTACTTGTGTTTTCAGACAGCACGCACCAGGAAATTTCCCGACCCGATGCCTATAACCGCGACAAAGCCTGTGACGGTGGCACTGCTTTGGGGTAGAGGCTTGACATGCCTCGCGGCGAAATGGCCAGTGCTCAAGCGCCTGGGACACCTTATCGGCCCAACCTCTCATACCGACCATGACTGAACTGGCAGGTTGACGTGAACGGAGAGAAGAGAACGAGGTGAGGGAGAGAGAGAGCGATCCATCATCTCACATTCATGTGGCCACCCACGTTGCGGCTCAACACTGTGATCGGGCGCCAATCTCGCCTGGCCCCTAGATGCCCGGATGACCAGCAGGGTTTCGTCGGCTAGAAGTGGCAATGAGACCAACAGAAACTGACAACGGAAACGTCGGGCGGCCGATACGACACGGTTCAGACTGTTGCTGCCATTGCGAGGTCCTCTACATATCGAGATAGCTGGCTACCACGTCGCCCTTTTCCGGGCTGGTTGGTGATTGCACGTGAACAGCCAGTTGTTGCAGATCTGTTGTTGACAATTTGGGTCTAGTCTGTGATCCGTTCCGGCTCGATTTGGGCCTCCTCAGGTTCTGTACTGCCGTTTGAGGGCAGTGCGTCAGCCGTGGTATTGGGCATCTGGTGCCGGGCGGCCTTGCCGTGGATCCTGGCGGGTGGCTGCAGCCCTCATCACGGTTGGAACGTCAGGCTTGGGCATGGCATAGGGGTGACAAGTCGAGGGACCCATGTTGCCTAGCACACAACGGCTGGGTGTGTCCAGAACCCCCTCCCAGTGGATGTTCAGCAGCCCATGCAGCGACGAGCGGTCTAGTGATGTCTCCTTCCGCCGCCATCTCCGGCCCTCACCTGTCGCCAGCCCGTACGCCACATTTTCTTTCAACCTCGTGTGATCCCCTCGACTCCGGATCGACTATCCGGCCATAAAATGCTACGACCTTGGCGTTTCCCACCGGCCCTGGCGACGCCCATTGCGTCGACACCGCCCTCGCGTGGAAACAAAGAGAGTTTCTAGCAGAATCAACGTGTTTCAGACCATGTCTCTGTCCTCATCGGACACTTTCCTTGTGCTGCCGTTGTGCAAAGCGCACACTCGCGGGGGCAAGCAAGGTTCGGTGCAGTGACAAATGCTCTTTGCCGCGCCGCTGCCGCGGACTTCGGCGGAGGATACGCGGTGCCTTTCTCGAAGAAGCCTAGATATCTGCAGAAAGGGCTGGCCGTGGCCGAGAGCAGCGACTTCGGTCGCGAGCAGCACTCGGCATCTCCATTCCAGCCCTGTGCGCATCCGATTCCATGACGCTGCCATCGCGCACCAGCGAGGTCGGCGCTATTGGCGCATCAAGGCGTGACACCAACAACCCAATGCCCCAACTGTAACTGGGCGAGCCTCCCCGATGATGCCTTCCAGCGGGGAGAGCACCCCCCGGCGGTGAAGCAGCCCCGTGTGTCGAGTCAAGCCGACGTCTCCATCTCGCAGTCAACATGGGACAAGTTTTGCTCTTTGTTCCACCTTCTCACCGGGAGATACTCAACCAAGTACCCAGGTGGCGCCTCCTGCAGCCGGCCGACGGTCTACTTTCTGTCAAGTAATCCAAAGCAGCCCTATCCCTGCCCGGTTGTTTCGCTGTATGGTATTTGCGGTGTCAAACTCATTTTCTGTTTCGCCGGCCACAGTGGCCTCGTGGAGCCAGGACAACTGTGCAGTTTTGAGAGCTCAGCCCGATCTCATGACACCACAGATTCCCTCAAGCCCGTCTTGCTCTGCTTCCGTACCTGAACTTGGCTATCTGCGAAGCCTCATCTGCCTGGCTGGTCTCGCAAACGCCTAGGACACTGTTGAGGGGCTCGCGTAGCTGTTGACTGTGCTGCACTGGCGCCAATCGATGCCGCCCAAGGGGGGTACACAGCTTCAGAACATAGTCTCCACCCCCCTACTCAGCTAGCCAGCCGCCACAGTCACGGCTATCAAACCATCGGCTACTGCCATCACTACCCTGGCCATTGACCGCCGCTCCGCCGTCACTTGTCACTTTCGGAGCACCAACTCGAACCCCCAAAGAGCGGTGGAAGAAACAAACGCTTCCATCCGCCTGCTAGCAGTCGACTCCCTGGGTCCCCAAACAAAGAAGTTGCATCGAGAACACCGAACAGAAAGGCAGCGCTCGCCGGGGCTGCAAGTCATTGCATACCGACCCTCAAGGAAGCAAGAGGACCGGCCGTGGTTCCTTGTCGCAGGTGTACGCCCTTGAAGCTCCCGCCGGCTCGCGAGGGTTGCGCGAAGCTTTGTTGTTTGCGAACTGAAAGGGGTATCTGGTTGTCTTGCCCTCCAGCTCTCTTGGGCCGCAAGCCCTGCCTGGCTTCTTAACCTGTGTTCTCGCCTCCTCGCCGGTCCTTCCTTTCTTACCCCTCTCTGCTCACGAGCTGCAACTGTAGCGACGAGTACGCGAGACATCTCCACCAGTTCTCACCGCCATGGTGTCCGTAGCCGAGCTTCTTAACCCGGAGCCCCCTCGAGCTCCTTTGCCAGCATCCCGTCCCCATCCGCCTTCCCCGGCCCATCAGACCGCCCCCTTCCGGCACGAGCCCTCTCCCGTGAGACCCCAGTCCGAGACGCTCAGGATGGCTGAGAACAACAGGACTCTTCCGCGATCAAGAACCAGGGCGGCCATCTGCTTCCCGCCCTTTGAGAACTTGGATGAAGCTTCCCTTCGCGAAGTACGCAGGTTCCAGGTCCACCCCTTTGGGTCGATACGGGAGACTCGTGAGCGGATTCCATACAACAGCGGCAAGAAGGACTTCTTCTCCAAGACCGGAAGAGAGGGGTTCGAAGGTAAGGGCAAGGCTCCTCGTCAGGGCTTCGGGCTGACCAAAGCAGCATTCCATTACGACTTCAAGGTTCCCGGCGACGATAACACATACACAGTCATGTGGGACTACAGCGTCGGTCTCGTCCGCATGACTTCTTTCTTCAAATGCCGTGGTTATAGCAAGGTCAGTTCCGAGCTTTCACCCATCCCAACGTCGCTGACATAGGCAGACCACGCCCGCCAAAATGCTCAACATGAACCCGGGCCTCAAGGACATCACCTATAGCATCACAGGTGGCTCCATCAAGGCTCAAGGTGTGTGCTTCGCTAGCCTCTCTTCCTTTGCCGCTGCATGCTGACCTTGTTTTTTGGCCGCAGGCTACTGGATGCCCTACGCGTGCGCCAGAGCCATCTGCGCGACCTTCTGTCACAAGATCGCCGGCGCTCTCATCCCGCTCTTCGGTCCTCAGTTTCCCTCTGAGTGCATCCCTGACAAAGCACATGGCCACGGCCGCATGATAATCAACCCAGATATTGTGGCTCAGGCAAAGAGCGAAGCTGCGGCGCTCTTCAGACCATCCGCCGGTCTCCCCAGCCCGCGGTCTTCCCGCAGCGTCAGCCCCCTGCCGTCTCAGTGCTCAGCACGCATCCCCGATCCCCATGACTACCACTCCGACTACGACCGCCGCCTGCTCCTGAGCCCCTACACCGACACAGACGTCGACTACCGCCCGGCCTCAGAACACTACAGCCGCAGGCCATATCCACCGATGCCGCTGATGCGAATCCCCACATCAAGACCCCACATCCCGCCAACGGCAGCGCCTACGCCCTTGGACTCACCAGGCTGGACAGCGGTGAACCAGACTCAACACCCTCCTGGTGACCACCACCGCTCCGTCTCGCATCTCAACGAGGAACTCCTCGGACTGAATGTGTCGGCGACGGCCAGCCCGTGGCTGTCCGCCATCCCACGCTCTCCGACTTCAGGCGCAGGCGGAGGCCGCGCCAGATGGCAGCAACCATACCCGCCTCGCTCCCACCATCCTCATCATTACAAATACTCCGTGTCCCCGTTCTCCACCTCGCTCCCGGAGCGGGGCATAACCCTCCCCCCCATCCTTCTCAAACGCCGCTTTGACCAGGTCGACGATGCCCGCGACACAAACAGCGCTGGCGGCGGCGGCGCCGACGATGACGATGACCACGAGTACGACGCCGGCGAGAGCCGTGCGGGAAGCGCCGGCAGCGCCAGCCCCCTGTCCGTGACAGCGCCCTCGCCGACGCCGACGCGCCAGGCCGCGTTCAAGTCCAAGCCGAACACTCCCTGCCCGTCTCCTTTGCATGTCGCTACTGGCGGCGGCGGAGGAGGGCGCCGCGAGTCGGAGCGGAATGCGGCCATGATGCTGATGCACATGCGGGCCAGAAGTGAGGACAGCGGCAGCGGCAGCGGCAGGGACTCGGACAAGGAGAGCGGGAACTGCCCTGGAGCTGCCCACGGCGGAACTGCCACGGCTCTGGCTACCCCGTCCAGCTCGACGTCGCCCACCCTGCAGGGCAAGGATATTGTCAGTGTCGGCCCGCTTACAAGGGCTAAGAGGCGGAGGACGGTTGAGCGTTAACGGTGTGGTTTACTATGGCGAGGACGTGAGTGACTGGCGCTGGATTGGTGCATGGGTTGGAGTTGCAGGCGTTGCATTTCGGGTGAAAGGGGGAGCGTTGATCTCATGACTTGTGGCCGAGTAGTTCGATGGCCGGCTGATGACAACTAGCGTTTCGTATGGCTGTAGCCATCTCCTTGTTTTGCTTTGGCGATCTCTCTAGAACCTTCCTGTCTCTTCACCTTCATCTCGTCTTTCCTGTGTATTGGAATTGGAATAGGGGTGAATGTGACTAAGAGACTGATCAGGCGATCCTGCAGCTAGGGAACCAACTGTTGAGGCGCTGGGTTGGTGTGCCTTACGTTTGCACTCTGGAAGTCGGTGAAATGGTGCTGTGGCATGTAAGGAGCACGGTACTTTTTGTCCGTGATGACATTGTCATAGTCTTGTTTTCAGATCTGCCAGTCGTCGCTGGGACGTCCCTGGCGCTACACCTACTCTTGCTCAGTGTTTTGATGTGCAAACAACTTCATTTTGCCAAGAGCTCCCATCCTCTCATCATCTTACCAGTTACCTGGGTATCAATCCACTCTCCCGTTGCCCTTATTTTTCCCCGTTCGCTTTCTTCTCCTTCCACTCTTTCACCCAGCCCTCCGCCCTCGACTTCGGCACAACAAATATCTTCAACAGATCGTCCACGACCTCCACATTCCCGCCGCTCAACACCTTCAAGAGCGGCACCTTCCTCCCCACCTTTACCAACCCCCCACTAACAGTTTCCACATAACACTCAACGCCCGCAGGACTGTACTCCCCGGTCCGATCCCAGGGCAGCGGGAAGACATACCCAAAGTGCTGGTCCAGACTCTCGCGCTCACTGAACGCCTTGATGAAGTCGCTCTCCAGATGACAAGGGTACAGTAGCAGCGTGGGGAACACCAGGGCGCTCGCCGGGTCTAGCTCATCCGGCGACAGCTTGACTTTGGCGTCCTCCATATCCGGCGGCCGGCCTGTGCTGCGCGTGCGGATGCCCCTGGCCTGCAGCGCCGCCTTGAGCAGCGTCTCCCGGCGCCGCTCTTTTTCCTGCCGCTCTTTCTCGATCTTGCGCCGGGCCGCGTCGGCTTCGCTCGCTTTGATGATGTCCTGTGCCAGGGCCAGCAGGGGCTTGTTGGACGGGTCAATCTCCAGCCCCCGCGCGCAGGCGTCGTCGGCTTCGGCAATCTTGTTGACGGCTAGTAAGGCCCGCGCGGAGCGATAGAAAGCCTTAATGTTGCGCGGGTTGAGGCGGAGGGCGGACGCACAATCGAGGGTGCAGGAGCGGTAGTTGCGCAGCTCGAGGTGGCAGGCTGCGCGGTTGATGTAGAGGGTCTCTAGCAAGGCCTGTTCGGATTTGACCTCGGCCGGGTCCTCGGCGACCTCTTCAAAGTCCTCTTCTTTGGGCCTGGGGTCTTCCTCCAGGTCGACGTTGGGCGAGTTATCGGCTTCCGAATTGATCGTCACCGGCTCTGCGGCCTTCTTCACCCGCTTCTTTTCACCCTTCGCCCTCCTCGACTCCTCCGCGGCCAAGATCGCAATGCCCTTGCCGTAGAACTCCTTCGCATCCGGCCAGCGCTTCTCCCGGAAGCACTCGTTCCCTTGCTCCTTGAAGTTGGCTGCGTTCTCGAGGGGGGTGCCGTCGTAAGCGAGAGCCTGCAGAGCTGCCAGTTCCTCGTTGTCCTCGGAAGTGTCGAGCTCTGTCATGAAAAGTGGGTGCTTGTTGAGGTCGGCCAGTGTCTCCTCGAAGGTCATGCGCGCGTTGAGGGTGCGGCCAGGCGGCAGCTCTGGTAGCATGGCCGCAATGTCTGGAGGGGCTGATCCATTTGTGCTTGAGTCGTCCAGCTTCAGGGACTCGGTGCCTTTCGTGACTCGATCCATTCTTGTCTCATCCCAATCAGGTGGGCAGTTTGCAGTGGATGAGGAAGTCAGTGTCCTCTACTCAAACGAACGCTCCAAAACATAAAGAAAAAAAAGAAAAAGAAAAAAAAAGGTCGATCACTGCAAACTCAATTGAAGGGCTTCAATACCTCTTCCACAAGCCCGGTGAGGTCCACGAGTGACTTGCCCTTGGTTTAGACGGTGTGGTTAGGTGCCTGTGGAGTGTGCGAGAGATAAGTGGCATCCTGGAAACGATTCAGAAAAATTGGTTACAATCGGTGCCTAGCAAAGTTTCCTGCAGCCAAACCGACGACACTCACGACGCAACGTGGAAACCTGCCTACGTGGACCTCCGCCTTCGCGCTGGATGATCATTGAGTCACGGATAAAGTACAGATTTTAGATCACGGATCCAATAACTTGAAGGCTCTCCGGGCCTACTTGTGAGTGCTTTTTCCTTTTTCTTGAGTCCGAAGCAACTCGGCGTCATCATCAGTTTCTTAACCTGCTAGATTACTTTTTGTCACCCTTTAGTCGTCAATTACCCTGCAGTTCGAGAGCTCTTTCAGTTTTTCTCCGTATTCCTTTCTCCTTTTGACGTTGGTTTCCTGGATTTTTCCGTTTGTTCTGTGGAGGAAGTGTGCGTAAGATACCTCAAATCACAGCGCCAAGGAATTCAGAATACTCGGTCACGGGAAGACGCGTGATTACCGCAAAGAATACTATTGCAGCCCCACCCAACTTACAAAGAAAGTCGCGTGTTTCATCAAGCGATTTGTTCGTAGCACGCGTAGCCTTCATTTCCATTTCCCTCTCACAAGTTCTAGTACCTTGCATAAGGCAACTCGGCCGGGACTGCAGGAGCCAATTGCAACCTAAAGCAATTTAAAGACAGGCAGTATTCGTTCTACCTATCATTCCGCCTCTCTGGAACAAGCAGGATATTGCCCTCCTAACGCGATGGCGTCCGTCAAATCGGAGCCCGTGGATGACCCTGGCGCCGCCCTTGGCGCCGTTGACGCCGTCCACGGTATGACCGACAACGAGAAGCATGATTATCTTCAACGTCTTGTTTCCTCAGCCAACTCGCCAGATCTTCTTGAGAAGGGTGTCAGTGTTGGCGTGCGGGTGCTGCAGACCCTCAAAAAGCCACTTGAAGCGGCAGGTCTCCAAGCTTCAGGCGCCCAATGGCTGAAGGCCATCAGCGACTTTGAGACCCTTGCGAAGGCAACGCGGACCATCGTCGGTGTTGTCGGCGATACAGGAGCTGGAAAGTCGTCTGTCATCAGTGCTGTCCTTGATGAGGAACGGTATGTCAGATTCAACTGCCGGTCGGCGAACTTGCATCGCTTTCAGTCCCCCCGTCTCCTTCCTTCATATAACACTCGGATCTTCCCTCAAGAGGCTTAGCTGCTTTTTGGAAGGGAGTCCTATCGAATGACCTTCCTCCTTTCTTCCGCAACCCCGGTCCAATGCCGTTCCCCCGACCAACTTACGCCGTACGTCACCTGCTAAGTTGATTCGACAGGCTCCTCCCTACCAACTGCATGAGAGCATGCACGGCATCTCCGACTGAAATCTCGTACAACTACTCCGAGAATCCGGACGAACTCTACCGTGCCGAGGTCGAGTTCATCAGCGCTGACGACTGGGTCAAGGACCTGCGCGGCCTCTACACTGACCTTCTTGACGGCAATGGCGAGGTTTCCCGCGAGTGCACGAATCAAGACAGCGATGCTGGCGTGGCCTACGCCAAGATCAAAGCTGTCTATTCCAAATTGACCAAGGAACACATCGCACGGGCAACACCCGAAGGCCTTGCGAGCCAGGTTGCCGTCCGCCAAGTGCTGGGGACCATCAGGAAGTTGCGAGCAACAACAGCCGCCAGTTTGTATCGCCAGTTGCAGGAATATGTTGACAGCAAAGAAAAGAACACCGAGAAGCGGATGGAGTTCTGGCCGCTGATCAAGGTTGTCCGCATCTACACCAAGGCTTCTGCCTTGGCCACAGGCGCTTGCCTCGTCGATCTTCCAGGCGTCCAGGACTCAAACGCAGCTAGAGCCGCCGTCGCTGCCAATTACATGAAGGCATGCACCGGTCTGTGGATTGTCGCCCCTATTACACGAGCGGTGGACGACAAGACGGCCAGGTCCCTGCTTGGTAACTCGTTCAGGTCTATTGTCCCCCTACCCCACAAGTGGCACACAATGCTGACAGGGCCCAAGACGCCAGCTCAGGTACGACGGCACATATTCTGCCGTGACCTTCATATGCTCCAAGACGGACGACATCTCTGTCACCGAGGCTGCAGAGAGCCTGGGGATTGACGAGGAGATTTCTGAGTCTTGGGCCAGGATCGAGGAAATTTCGGATGAAGTCAGGAAGCTTAAATCTGACATTGGCGATTTCAAAGACGAGCGAGATGCGTGCGGCGACCTCATTGACAAGATCGAGCAGGATTGGGACAAATGGGAGGCCTTGGGCAGCAAGCTCGCTGGAGGAGCCACCGTTTACGCCCCAGCGCCCAACTCGCCAAGGAAGAAGCGCAAGCGGCAGGCTCGGCCACTTGGCAACCGCAAGAAGCTCAACTCCAGCGATGTCGATAGTGACTTCTCGGATTCGGACGGTTCGGACTTCAGTGATAAGGAAAATCAAGGACCACCGGCAGAGGACAGAGAACCACTTACCGCCGACGAGATTGAAGCCGAGCTCGCGTCTCTAAAGGCCGAGAAGAAAGAAGTCCGAGCGAAGAAAAAGGAGATCGAGGACAAAGTCAAGGCCATTCGTGAAGCGATCAAGGAGCTGGTCACTGAGAAAGACATGCTCCTTGCTGAGGTGAAGGCTATTTGCATACAGGGCAGGAACGAGTACTCGCGACGGGCCATCAAGCAGGATTTCGCAATGGGAATCAAGGAGTAAGCAGAGATGTAGCTCTTTGAGCCAAAGGACTGCTACCTTCTTCAGACTCGATCAGGAAAACGCGGCCGAGGAGGACGAGGCCAACTTCGACCCGGACGTCGACCTCCGTGACTACGACGCCGTAGCTGCATCTCTCCCCGTCTTCTGCGTCAGTAGCCGTGCTTTCCAGAAACTGAGCGGCCGCCTTCAAAAGGATGATTTCAACGCAGGGGGCTTCCAGTCAGTCGAGGAGACCGAGATCCCTCAAATGCAAGCACATGCCAAGAAACTCACCGAGGCAGGGCGCGCTGCCAGCTCTCGGCGCTTCCTCAACGACCTCATGCAGCTCCTCAATTCCATGACGATGTGGGCCTCTGACGACGGCACAGGGTCGAGCCTGACTGACGCTGAGAAAGCCAGGGAGGAGACGCGCCTGCGCAAGCAACTGCATAAGCTGGAACAGGTAGCCTGGGTCCCAGAGCCATCATAACCAACTCAATCCGACTGACTAACCCTGAATAGAATCTCGAGGCGGCGTTGAGAGGGTGTATGACTTCTGTAAAACAGGCTTTGACCGAGCACATTTTTATGAGTTTCGACAAGTACGTTCCGATGGCGGTGGACGCGGCTGTGCCTACTGCAACACAATGGGGAGCACCGAAGGCCGTAGGCGGTCTGTATTGGGCGACCTATAAGGCGACTTGCCGACGGAACGGTGTCTTTGCCGGCGCTTCGGGGGCCCTTGATTTCAATGCGGAACTCTTCGACCTCATTTCGAGGCATCTCGCCAGCGGCTGGGAGCGCGCTTTCCAACGTCGTCTGCCGACGTCCCTGGACGACTTCCTGCGGACCGTCAAAGTGCATTTGGAGAAGTTCCACGCTGAGGCAATTGAGCGGGCGAGGGAACTGGGAACACACTACAATGGTTTGCACATGCTGGGTCAACAACTTCAGGCCCACTCGCAGCGCTCCGCGGATGTCCGTGGTGCAGTTTTGGCTCTGGCACAGGAATTGCAGCGGGAAGCAAATGGGGCCTCCACTCCTGTTATCCAGGATGAGATGACGCCGGCCTATGAGGGCTGTGTTGAGGAGCGAGGTATGTTTTCCTCTCTATGTCCATCTTCCTCCCCGTGCTTTTTGCCTTCATCCTTTTGTCGCCTCTTCTCCTTTCTGCATTCCTGATGTCGTCTGATTTCTTCCTTACTCGTTACTCCTTACTTGCCCTATCATCTTGTTTCGTTTTCCATACAACGTGTTAATTCTTTCGCTAACAACCGATGCTGTAGGTCCTGGCTCCTATATGCGTATGAAGAGCCTCATGATTCGGCACGTCGACAACCGCCGCACCGTCATGTTTCGGAACGCCACCAACTTTGTGCAAAGGCAACTCGAAGTTGACTTGTGCAATCGCATCCAAGAGACTTTGGAGGCACACGTCCAGGAGCTGAAGTCCCGGCTTGCGCGCGACTATCTCTCAGTCCTTGTCGGCGTTGACGTGGCTTCCATCGGACTCGGTCCATCTCGCTTGGAGCTTATGCTGCGCGCAGAGATGTTGCCTCTTTTGGCCAAAACTGATGGATTTTTTGCTGAGCTTTTTTCTGACAGTGGGAAGGACGAGAAAGTTCAAACGACTGATGCGGACAACAGCGATGGCGAGCAAGACGACAACGCCGCAAGGCCTGAGCAGGGACTGACAACGGCCGAGGAGTCTGTCACAGTCAAGGGCGAGCAGGAGTAACGCGTGAGCATCGTGGGCGGGTCGGAGTAAGGTATCGGGGTAAGGAGTCGGGTAAAGTGTAGGGGGTAGGGTCATGTTCGGGCATGGATTTGCAGGCTGTGTGGGGCGTTGCTGGCAATCTATCTCTTGTAATCTATTTACAGGTGGGCAGCTAACGTACATGATAAGCGAACGTCCCAGACATGCGAACGTCCCACAAAAACACATCTGCACAACAAATTTCAACATGATTCAACCAACACTGACAAAAATGATTGAAATTACTCGGAATGGTCTTCCTCGGGCACTTTTGCAACTCCTTGACAGGTGCGTGCATTATGGCCAGGCTCGCCGCATCTGCCACAACGCCGCGTGCGCGTCTCGATCCTCGGCTTCCGACCACTGCCCGCCTGTGTTTCCGCCCGTATCTGCACCTCAACA